CCTTCTCCTTACCAAAATGCGACGCCTGGGGCTTTTGGTCGCAGCCTTCTCAAGCATTCGCCCACTGCAATCTACCGACCAGCTGTGTCTGGCGCGGGGAAAAAAGCTGCAGGCGCTACGGCAGTTGGGGACGCTCCGAATTTTTTTTTTTTCGGCCCTATGATTCTTTTGAAAGTGATCCACTTGCTCCTTTGATAGCCAGCTCTACTCATTGGCAAGAGATTTTTGGAAAAGGCATGATCTTGTTCAAAAAGCAAAAGACAACTCGCTCCGATGCAACCTGCGAACTGTACATCGAAGTACGACCCAAACTTGTCGAAGCGATGAGAGCACGAAAAAACCTGTGGCAGTTCTAGTGCAGCTGCACTATTCATCATCATCACTGCTGACGAGTGACGAGATGAACACCAAACTTGACAACTCGCATCAAGGTGAAACTCCAAACAATTTTTGCCATCGTTAGTACCCTATAGCGTATGTCTACACTAGCCGGAAAAGAACAGTCGCGCCGTCAATCCCACGACGACGGCCTGGATTGAGGAGCTGCTAAACCGGAATAGTATTTCATCGATTCATAGCGCCACTATTGTCAGTTTGAGGTTGACGAGAGGAAACAGAAGCAGCATCGTGCACAAAAGCGATGCGTGTGTCGTCTTGCTCTTGCATGGCACGGATAGTTCTCTATTTTCGTAGTTTTACCCATGGGTTGTAAATGGAATTAACGACACGCAGAGTTGAAAAAAGTCGAACCGATGCGGTTAGCTCGTGGCTCGTGTAAATATACGTATGTGTAGTTGACATGCATGTAAGTGCTCGCTCCGTGTGCAGTGTCGTGTCGCTTTTGTGTAAGTATGTTGCCCGCGATGAACTTTGGCGTGCAATTGTTACGTTGAGCTTGAGATAGAGGAGTAGGGTGAGGCGCGAGAGGACGGCAAAACGCAAAAGGATTTTCGATGTTAGAATACTCGGACCAATCAATGCAGTCGTTCGTGCTCGCTCGAACAAAAACAAAGTGTTGTTGCATGTAAAAATGATCGATGGTTGCATGGTCTGGCCGTCCTGTGAGATAACGAATGAAAACACTTGTTGTCTATGAAAACTTTCCAACCCCTGCCCCCACGGCTCTCTCTTCTCGAATCACTGTAAAAATAGTTCAAACTCCAAGCTTTGCACCGAGGTGGCAAAGTTAAAAGTCTGTCTCTACTGAGAAGAAAACAGCTCTGTCTGACACCGCAACAACTTCGGTGTTTTCAACAACTCTAACAAGATGACGTCTTTCTACGCAGCTTTCAATGGTCCCGAGGGGGGTATGGAAGGGAAAAAGTTTCGAAGCTTGCTTTTGCATGTGATAGCTTGCTTGCTTTTGCATGTGATAGTAGGTTAGGTACGACGAAACAGAGATGAAAGCTATACTTGGACATTGCATGACTCACGTGCACGTCTTGATGATTTTCATTTTTACATTAATAAGTTTGTGAGTTGTGCTGTAGCAGAATTGGCATGCAAAAAATAAATTTTTCCCTCCACACCCGAGACCATGAACAATGCCAACGGGCAGCAAAACTCCACGCGTAATCGTTCGGGGTCCATGGATATGCATTGCAAATATGTCTGGGTCTGGAAGGATGTAGCTTGTGATGCGCATTGCACAACACACACAAATCTCTCATGCGTAGGCAGCAAAAGATGCCCATTTACTGTCACCAAAATAGAGGACTTGTGATGCGGATTAGGCATTGCGGAGTCTTCGTGAAATCTGTGATGGTGTCATGCAAAAACAGGAGCACGACATTCTATTCTTCCAGACCCAGACATATTTGCAATTCATAATGGACCTGATCGGTTCTTACACGGCCGGGAATGGTGGAAACAACATGAACACGCTGAACAACCCGATTCCGGGAATGCAGATGAACATGCCGGGCGTCGGGGACTTGAACTCCTGCACTTCCAACGGCCACCAGATGAGCAACCAGCTGAACTCGTGGAACAACGGAAATACGGATGGCAACACGTCGCAGAACAACTTCACGAGCAACAACAAACTCGGGAACAACGCCCGCGCGGGTGGCAACAACGGAATGGTCGCCGGGCAGAAGCCCAACTGGGGCGGGAATGGAAATGTAGCTTTGTTTAAATTCTACTTCTGTACATGATCGGTTTATCTTGCATGAAACCTCTATTCATGCAGAAGAGTAATGAGTGAAACACCGTGAGATCACGACTCATGGCCCTGGGAGAATCAGTATCTGTTGTGACTTTTGCAACCTGAAAATCAATTTATGCATGAAAGGAAACTACTAACTTCCGAAAAAATAAAATCCTGTTACTGCAAATCAATTCTATGCTCACAGCAAGCGCTTTCGGCGCAGCAGCAACAGGCGAACACCCAGCGCTCCATCCGGAATGGCGAGAATCGCGAACTGCAGGCGAGACTGCGTATGCTGGATCTGATATGAGCATGCACAACTCCCCCCTCCTCCTCCTCAATTCTAGGGCATGAACAGCAAGACAAGCGTCGGCAAGAATGCAGGATTCGCACGACAAATATTTTTTCACGCAAGATTGTAGTGCTGTCTGGAACGATACGCGGCCAGAACCTGTCATGCGAAACAAAGAGAAAGAGAAAGACTGGACTTGGTATTTTGCATGACAAATTTTTAGGAAGGGGAAGTGGTGCACTCTCATACCTGAACGGGCTGCAACAGGAGGTGCGGGAACTTCTGCACACGATCAGCACAAAGCAGGCATATCCTGTGCAAAAGTATCGGACTCGTTTCAATTGCAGGCATGCATGACAAATCTCCCTGCCAAGGTAAAACAGCATGACAAATTTTCAATGTTGCATGCAGGGAAAATTTGTAATGCAATTCAGACTCGTGCGATACTTTTGCACAGGATAGGGCGCAGCTCCAAGCGATTTTTGCCGTGTGCTTACCCTTATCGACGGCAAATATGATTTTGTCTGGCTCTGGAAAAAAAAAATGCATGTTGCTGAGTGTTGCATATGCATGTTGAGATCAGTAAGTTCTACTTCTGTATACCATGAGCGCATAGATCATAAGGTTGACTGTCGTAGGCTTTTGGCGATTCCGTTCGTATGACAAACTACCTCGTTCTTTCGCATGACAAAAAAAAGCGTTCTATGTTTTCCTGCATTACAGATTTGGTTCTCTCGTGCTGATTTCGCATCACAGATGACATATTTGCAACGCATACGGCTACTCACAGCTGCTGCTCGAAGTGTTGGACAAAGTGGATTCCTGCTTTTTCGAAGTCTGCCAGGACGCACAAGGTGCGTTTTGTTGTTCTGTTCTGTATCACAAAAACCTGCTTGCATGGAACATCCGCATGACAAAAGACTGTATTTTTAGTAGCCACAGGCGGTCTTGCACGATCGACGTGCATGGGCTCCTGCATGACAAACATTCGCATTTGCTCCGCATTGCTTTGAACAAGGCAGAAGATGAGGCTTCTGTGGTCTACCAGCACGACGTGCTAGTTGTAGAGGATCGGGTGGTTATTTTTTGCAAAATTTTTTATTTACATTCACATTCGCCAGGTGCCACCGCGTTGCAAACGCTGATTGGCGAGACCCAGCTGGGCGTCCAGTGCAAGCTGCGTATCGCGGGCTGCTTCAACTGCGATCGCGTGCTCACGTTGAGCCAGTGCGCCCACGGCTCCCACGTGATCCGGAAGCTGCTCTCGTCCTGGTTGCCGGAAGAGGCCTCGTTTCTGTTCCCGCTCATGCGCGCGAACCTGAACGCAATCGCCTGCTCCAAGTACGGAACGGTGGTGCTGCAGCGATTGGTGGACGCTTTGGTGGCGGAAGACATGGTATCAAAAAATCTGTTCTATCGCCTGTCCTGCCCCACTGTGCATGATAATTTCTTTGCATTATTTTCTGTGTTTGACGCTTGCATGACGACGACAGCTTCCTGTGTCTTCTACCGGGGTTTCGTTGGATTCATCGGCATGCTGACATCGGTATTTAGTACTGAGACAATTTCTGATTCTGTTGCGAAAATTTGCATGGCGGAGAAAATCCAATAAGGAGACCTTTTTATCTAATACTGAAAAAAAAACAGATCGAGGCTTTGCTTATCGAGATGATCGGCCACGCGGCGACGCTGGCCCAGGATCCGTTTGGCAACTATCTGCTCCAGTACGTGATGTCTTCGAAACACCTGTACAAGTTCCAAGACCGTGACGTCTTCATCCAGGCCGTGCTGAACGCGCTGCAGGAGGAAGTTTCGCTGGAAACGCTGTGATATCAAATGCAAACATGTCTGGATCTGGAAGGTTGCGAGAGGACTTCTCATGCTGTTCTGGCATGACCCTTAGCTCTGTATTGCGGGGCCACAAACAGCCTCTCTCGTCTGTCATGCAAAAACGCAGTTTCCCATGCGGAATACGTAGCACAGAAGCTGCACAAAAAAACTTCTCATGCTTGGCGGCGCATTGCAGTGCATTTGCTATTGACTGACTTGCATCACAAGTTTCCAGACCCAGACATATTTGCAATGCATATGTGCTGCCAGAAGTTTGCCTCTAACGTGATCGAGCACGCGCTCTGCATATCCTGTGCAAAAGTATCGTATTCGTATAAATGCAAGTCTTGCATTACAAATCTTTTTGTCAAGGTAAATTCGCATCACAAATTTTGACTCTCATGCTGAGGGAATTTGTCATGCATTTACTATACGAGTGCGATACTTTTGCAGTTCATACTGCACCGCCGGCGACCGCGTCCGCGAACTCTTTTACGAGGAGGTATGGATTGCAAATCCTATATCTGGGTGTGGAAGGATGCAGTTTGTCATGCTAAATCTAGATCATGCAAAAATCTGTGTTGCGTGATTCTGAATACCGAAAGCTGACCACTGTTGACCAAGTTGAGAGGGAGTTTCTCATGCTAGGTCCTGCATTCCAGACCTCGTGGGTCATGTTAAACCTGCATGACAAGCCTCGTAATCTTCCAGCCCCAGACATATTTGCAATGCATACAAGGGTTGCACCTACGATTTTCTGAACCGCGTGATCCGGGTATGAGAGTGCACAACTTCCCCTCGTTCTCATTTCTCATGCAAAATACCTAATGTACGCATTGCCTCCTCCTGTCACTATTATGCATGACAAGTTCTGCCAGCTCAAAGAGCACTACACTCCTGTCCAAATTTGTCATGCAAAACCTGTATCCTTGCCGACGGTTGTATTGCTGTTCATGCAACACAAATGAGGGGGAGGGGGAGTTGTGCGCTTCCATACCGGGATCGTTTCGGGAACTACATCGTGCAACGCGTCCTGGAGCTGAGCAACAACTCGAACAACTCGACCTTCAACGGCCATCAAAACAGCTCCGGGCTGAGCCAGGCTTTTCACCAAAACATGACCATGAGCATGATGGGCCAGCAGTCAGGTGGTCACAATTCGAGTTCGAATCAGCTGTTGGCGGCGGCCGGGCAGTTGGCGGGGTTTTCTGCTAACCAGATGTACAATGCGTCGAACCAGCAGCAGAGCACGTACAACAGCTGCAACCAGTTGCCGATGCAGCTGCCGTCCAATTGTTCCTCCAACACGACGAATCACTCCAACCCCATGGCCGGCTCCGGGCAGAGTCCGGGCAGCGCGACCCAGCAAGCGGGGGGAAACATGCCCAACTGCGCGCCGGGCTTCCAGCTGCCCTCCGCCATGCAGTCCCCGCTCGGCGGCAACGCGGGCGGCATGGCCAATCATCATGGGGGCAACAGCGGCACCAGCTGTCAGCAGCAGACGCAGACCGTGGGGACACTGGGCGCGAGCTTCTCCGGGGGCACCTTCCAGTACCCGAGCAACTTCGGGTCCACCACGACGGGAACCTCGTCGCCGCTGGACAATGCCGGGTCTTCGTCAGGCGTGGGGTGCAACAACACCAACTCGCAGTCTACGTACCAGATGTATCCCCAGAAAAAACTACTGTCTCAGAAGTCTCAAACCATTACAGGACACTCAGCAACACAACTTCGATCAGCATGACACTCAAATATTAAACCTGTGATGCGCCAGACACAGCACGACGAGAATGCACATTATGAAAGACGCCTTTCATCTTGCATGAGGAGCATGACAAACAACTGTCTCAAGGGATGTCCGCATTACAAAGTTGAGATTGAGAAAGTTTTTTTGCGCGATAAGATGAGTTTGCCCTCGACGAGCTCCAACACGACCTCTCTGTCCTCGAACACGACCTCCGTTTCTGGCAACGGGGCCGCCGTATCACACAGAAAAAAGCAGGCAGGTCACATTTGTAATTCAAAAATAAATACACAAAAATCTGTATTGCGCATCCCAAACAGCATGCTATGGGGCCGTCCATGACAGATTTTTATGTGTCTTTATTGTTGCATTACAAGTATTCCCTGCCTGCTTTTTTCTCTGGGACACGCCGGAAACCAGATGTCCGGTTGCGCGGCTGGAGCCAACGCGATGGGGGGTGCAACCGGTGCAGCCGGGCAGACCTTCGGTGAACCGGTGTCGGCTATCCTGAGTAAAAACGTCCCCACACCAGAGTCAAGTTGGGACGAACTTAGCAACACAAATCCAGGAGTTTTGGGAGCCACGCATGACAAGCTGCAGTCCGTAGAAGTGTTGTGCAGGTTAGCAAGGCCAGCGGCATCAGAAATCCATCTGCTTATCCTATTTACAGCATTACAAATGTTTCCAAAACACGACTAGAAATGCCCCTCGTGGCGATGCGCATTACAAGCGTTCCTGTCATTGCAAATCTGCATGACAAGGACGTTTTTACAAAGGATATCGGCCAAGGTGTGGCGGAACGTGGCGCTGATTCTGACCCAGGACTTCACCATCCCGGTGCGGCCGTATGACGGTGCACAACTCCCCCTCCCCCTCCTTTGTCATGCAAAATCCCAAATCGAGGCTCTGCCTCCTGGCACTGTTTGCATGACAAGTTCATCCGGTTGCCCAAATACCACTACACCCCAGTGTAAATTTGTCATGCAAAACCGGTGTCATGCAAAAGCAAAACCGGCATAATTCTTGCTGATGCTCGTATAGCCGTTCCCGCTATACAAATATGGGCGAGGGGGAGTTGTGCACTGTGATAGGCCGAAGCTGTTGCGGAAGTTTTTCCCGCACTTGCAGCAGCAACTGAACGCGAACTCGAACGCGAACGGGACGTCGACCAATGGTACGATGGGGAACAAGTTCGAGCAGTGCGGCAGCATGAGCAGTATGGGCGGTAACAACTGCATGACCAGTGCCGCGGTCGGGTTTGGCAGTGCGGCTGCTGCGACGGCAATATGGATTGCAAAAATGTCTGGGTCTGGAAGAGTCATGTTGCTTTTGCATGACACAGAAGGTCTGGCATGGAAGCTCTAGCATCACAGGTTTCGAGAAGCTCTCGCGATGCCGAATCCGCATGACAGATGCCCCATTTTGGTGCCGGAAAGTGGGCAACTTTTGCTGCCTATGCATGAGAGATTTTTATTTGTTGTGAAATGCGCATCACAAGTTTGCACTCTTCCAGACCCAGAGATATTTGCAATGCATAGGCAACGCCCATTTACAACTGAAAGCCTCTCGTGAATGTCGCTGGTTGTAAATGAGATGGATATCCTATCAAAGTGAAAAGTCCCCCCTCCCCATATTGAAACGGAAACTTCTGTTGCTGGATTTGTTTACACAAATCAGCCCTGTCTTGCAGTGAGGCACTACAGGCAAAGCCTCAGCCTGGGTAGGTGTGTTTTGTTGTAGGCGCTTAGCATAACAGAGCCCTGCCATGTAGGTAAAACAGCATTACAAACCGCCTCCATAAGGCGGCGGATTCTTTGGATTTGCCTTCTTGCAAGAGAGACAGGATCTGTGCTCACAAATCAGCATCACAAATTTTTAGGGACATAAGTACCTTTTCAATATGTGGAGGGGGGATTTTTCCTCACAGTATAGCAGTTTTGTTGTAGTGCGGAAATCAGTATCAGTTTGTAGCTCAGAGTTAAGATGAGTAGACTCAATGTTGTTCACGTGGCCTAGTTGCTCCTCTTCGGAGCGCTCTATGCAGACTAGAAATTGATAAATCTTGTAGAAGAGTAGAAAATAAGTGTACGATTTTTACAGCTTCAAGAATCTTCACGAAGAGACAGACTCTATGGGCTAGCATTCACCAAAATTGTATGATTCAGTTTCTGTTTCAAAAATAAATATGAAATAAAACTACAACCTCTATTCTTGAGAATACAGTCGTATCCTCTGGATAAAGTTGTGTTTGAAAGCACGAATTTGCAGTACCAGACCTTTGTTTTGCGTTTACAACTTGCTATTTGACTTTTGTCATCACGCCTACCCAAACAAAAAGTATGAATCTCTACCGACTCATTGTTCACCTCTAGACATCTACCCTCGATGAAAATTTAGCTTTCTTTGTTTTGTTTCACCTGATAGCTTCGTTTGTCCAAACGTAACAGCCTACCCGTATCGACAAGAATTCCACTTATGCCCCCCTACCGGCTTTCTTTCCGTGCCCCAGCTGCGGGGGAGTTAGTGCTGGTTAGGAATTACCCAAATCTTCTACGTGCTACACAACGAACCTGATGGGTCTTTGACTCGTCAGCCCGTTTCTATTTCCTAAAAATAAAAGCGACGCAAGTGTTGGAAGAAAAATTTTATAAAAAAAATGAACAAAAAAAATCTTACTGGGAGTTAAATACCGAAATATATTTATCTCAATGTACCACTGTATAATCTACTGATGAAGTTCATCATGCGCTGAAATAGAATTCCTCGTGCGTAGCGAATGTAATGTGCTGTGTACTCTCAACATGTAAAAATTACTGTCTGAACATACGGCGGAAATAAAAGTATGACGCGCTTCCAAATTAAAGTTATTTTGGCCTACTTTTATAGCAGGCTGATTGAAGCTAGTTGAGAATACAGCAACAGAGGAGAGCAAGCTTCTTTTAGTACGTATGAATAAATCTAACGAAGGGAGTCACGATTACGATACAGTTTCCGGAATCTTTATCAAATCGCTTTAAAAATAAACATCAAAACCGTTTCCGTTTCAGTATTACTTTTAGCATCACTCACTTCATCACTTCGCGACGTTTCATCGCGAGTGAGTAACTCAGAGTATAACCTTAACTCAAACAGACCAAAACCAATCTCTCAGCAGTTTATCGAGACAAAGTTGTTGTAACCGCTGATGCAGCAGTACCCAGATATAAAAAAAAGTGAAAAGCAGTTTTACACTGCTGAGGCGAAATTAAAATCAAGCTCTAGTACCGTTGTCGATATATTGGGTCTAGAATTTCAGACGGCGCAACGAGGATGAATAAAACAGTAGTAGTAGAGAGCATGATAACTACTACGCGGCGTATATCTACTCACACCTAGAAGGAAGTGCGATGTTTTTTCGTCCCGATGGTGAAGGCAGACTCAAAACTAATTTTATGGATGGCGTCCATATTGTATTGCAATTGCTGACCAGAAATAAACATCGAAATATCCTGTTGCAGAAATTCGCAATGCCCATAGTATCACGCAACAAATATAGAAAAAAATCAAAAAAAAAGATAAACAAATGTTTTGTAACTACGAAGGAGTTCGTCGTATGAAAGGGAAAGGAAAAGCGTTTCTGAGTCACTGGATCGTGCATGAAATAAGGGATGCTTAAACGCAGATGACAGGTGATGCGTCAAGATATTATGATGTGTAAGAAACTTAACCAGGTCCCTCCTTTCTTTGGGGGGAGGAGGGCCTTCGCTTTTGCATGAAACGTACTTACCTGAAGGAAGTGCAAGTTTTGCTTTTGACTCAAAAATTGCTTTTGAGCTTCCATATGGCACTCAGACGAAAAATGAACGTGTACAACAGATAATGGGAGGATAAAGCGGGGATCCAACCAGTATGAAAAAAAAAGATTCTATTTGCAGCAACTGCAGCAGCACGAAAGCGCAGACTGCATAGGTGCTTGTTTATTAGGAATAGGTGTTTAGAGGTACTCTGAGTGATGTTTCGTCATGAGCGCTGCTTAGACTATGCAAGACTTGTGAATTCTGATACTTACACTTTCACTAAGGCTGCTGCTGCTGTTGCTGTTGCACGGTAGAAGAAGTTTTTTTTTTGCATCACCGAGAGAGGATTGGAGATTTGCGGCTCTTTATCGCACGAAAAAACTGTTTCACTGTGATGATTTTGCAAGTTCTGCATCACAAGTTTGTTTACACATGACACTGAAAATTTGTCATGCGCGCATTTCCCATGGGGAAAAGCACACTTGAAACTCCAATGCTCTATGCAGGTGTAGCAAGACAAGTAGTTCTGTATTCCATTTTCTGCATCACAAGTTCACAGAGAAACAGTTTTTTCTTACGATACTCTTGCAGTTGTGAATTTATCAACTCCATCGGGGATCATGTTGGAGGTGATCTTTTCTTCGTATGAGATTATCACAGACCGCTCCATTAATACCTTTCTTTGTAAAAGTATGAGAGGTGGAACAAGGCAAAAAGTCCCGATCACTATCGAAAGTTTTTTTGCAATTTTTCTGCATGCGAAATTTTCTAGGCAGTTCTGTGCATGAGGAATGGGATTTGTGATGCAAAAATACGCAGAAATGATGACTGTTGGTTCGGCGTCTCGAGCGCATAAGTATTGCCTTGCAAAAATCAAGCAGGACAGTTGCAGCTTGTGACGGGCTTTTTTCTGTGCATATGGACCACTGGCTGCGTTTTGTAATTCATCCAGCACTTCTGAACACGAAGATTACAATTCGCGACTCGCGGACGAACCTGTATCGAACAGAAAAACTTGGCTTGCTACACAATCACGCATGTTTCTTAGGATAATGAAATTTGTCCAGCACAATGAAATAGTAATCTTGAGCCTAGTTGATGAGAGTCCTCCTGCTCACGTCGTTGGTCCCTGTTGCAGAGTAGTCGGGTCTTGCTGTTTTCTTGCGCCTTGTCATGCGTTGTGCCGAGAACTGTGGTCATGCGGAAGGAGTGCTTATCACATCACGATAGCAAGAGCATGCTCGGAACGTAGCAATGCCAGGTTTTTTCGTTCGATAACCGTGAATTTGTACGTAACAAATCTCACAACTTACTACCACCTCGTATGCTGGTATCAAACTGTGAAAAAGATGTTTACGTTCTCGACGTCCTTACGGGTGGTTTTTTTGTGATGCGAATTGGGGGCATGAGTATGAAAATGAAATTCAAGAAACAACTCCTGACTAGCTGGTGCATATAATCGCTTGTACTTCCGCGATTGCTAAGCTCAAACAGTAAATTTACAAATCTCTCATAAACGAGCCGCAAAGATCTGCCGAACGTAAACATTTTTTTGCCCCTGCATAATTATCTCACCAAAATAAAAGAAGCTGCACGAACAAGCGTGGCCGGCCTGGAGGAAGAAAGGATCTGTTCCATAGAATCCGGAAACTCGTAGTGCTGTTCCTGTTCACGGTGCATTTTTCGTTTTGCATGAATAACAGAGATCGACGCCAGTAGCAGTTTTTTATGAGCGCGAAGTGAGCTTGGATTTTTTTGCATCGAGGACACTACTTAGCTACTTCACTTTGCAGTACTAGAAAGCTTTTTTAGGATGATTTAGAGCTAAAAGGCTCTGCTGTGAGGAGTAAAATTTGTACGTTTCAAGCTCGTCTTGCCTTGTAAACTTCGTTGAACAAAGCTGCATTTCGTCAGGAGACTACAGCTACACACTTTGTCACCGCTCAGAGGTGGAAGCACTACTATGTATGTATGTGCACCGTATAATTGCTTCATTCTCAGTCGTAGGAGAGAGTTTTTTTTTTCTGAACGGTCTCCGTCTACGTCGTCGAACTTCGTATTTTGATTCAGATTCGCTAATATGTCTCGCCCTTTTTTTTCCAACCGGGATAATTATAACCATGTATGAAACTGAACGTCGTCGGCTCCAAGTTTGAAAGCGAAAATCAAGAAGTATGTCGCTCTGCATGTAATTTTTATCCCCCCTATGTATTCTATTTGTAGTCCCTGCAGGATGTATGCGAAAGTGATACGTTGTACTAGGGATTGAAAAGGACAACTATTGCGTAGGCAGTCAGTGCAGTAAAGGAATTCAGTGTCTATTTCGTAATACCACCGCGACTTCTGACCCTCTATTTCGTCTTTTCCCTTCCCCGCGCAGTTAATTTTGGAATCACAGGGATTTTCTGTATGAAATTTATCGTGTGCACTGATCGAGGCAAGGACTATCAGACAACACCGTACATCAGCACTTGTTCGACATCATCCCACGCAGTTTTGTTTTCGAACGGAATACGAGCAAAAACTTCACCCAAACCACTCCTTTCATCAACACCTGACAGTCTGTTTTTTTTCGCTCCGGGGAATACGTATCTTGTTTACGGGGAAAAAAAAGTCAAGTATTTCTTTACGTAGTCGAAGAATCTTTCGTAGTATCCGAGAGAAGAAGTCTGCAGCCGTTCTTAGAAGAACTACGGGTATGAAATGGAAAAAAGAAACGTCTTGTGTCATGCATTTGCAGTTTGCTTGAACATAGTGCGGAATCTTGCATGTTTGTGTCTGCTACCTTGATTCGTACGTCAAGTCACGTGATGTCAAGCAGCTTTGTATCCGTGCATGACCAGTTCTAGGACCAGCACCATCTTGAAAACTTGAATCAGCATGAAGCTGGGTATAGTGAGTGTAGTAAAGTTCGTCTTCCATTTCTCTTTGCATAAAGCTACTGGAAAACAGACAACAAGAAGCGCCACTTGTGGTCGGAGTCTTCCAGTAAGAAAACCGGGGAACGGAGAACACTTTCTTCCTTCTGCCGAAAAAACACCGCTACGAAAATGTCATCTCGGTATCACGGAGTCTCGCGAAGCGGCAAGACCGCAGGGCACGTCCTGCGTTCACAGAAGCTGCGATCGCAACTGCACCTCGGCGGGCCGAACAACCTGCTGAATACGTCCGGGGAGAACTTTGCGCTGGTGGGCAGTCCAAAATCTCCAGCGAGTCACAAGTCGAGTTTGCTCAGCGGCCCGTTTAGCGATCCTTCGGACCACCAGAACTTTTCCAACCTGAACGTCCGCGTGCAGACGGCGGTGGCCTATCCGAAGCAGTTTGGACACAACGACTTGAAGCAGATCTTCGGCGTCCGCTACAATCCGAACTTCCACCGCGGCGAAAACTACGTCGCCGTCGGGTATGCGGACGGCGCTCTCCGCGTGTTCGAGACGGATTCCTGGTCCAAGGTCGCGTGCTCCCCCGTCGACTTCGACACTCCAGATCCGGAGGAGATATGAAAGTGTAGAACTTCAACCCCTCCTTATTCCCCCTCAACATTTGATGTCATGCAAGAAAATGAAAATAAAGCATCAGATCCACTTCCACCATGATGTTGTTTGCCTCTTGGCACTTCTTGCCTAACAGGGTCATCTTCTGGAAGCCGAAATATTGCAGTAGAATCGGGCATCTTGAACTCGTCATGCAAAAGCAGCACTTTTTTTGCCGGAGCTACTTGTGCTGTTAGTGTTCATGCTCATAAGTATCCAAGAAATTATTATGCGGGGGAGGAGGGGGAGTTGTGCACCCTGATAGGAGAGCAAGCTTCTCGCGAAGGGCATCCAGATTCCACCGAGCCAGATCCATGGAGCGTTTGACGCCTTCGAGCCGATCACCAGTCTCAAGTGGATGGACAGCCGGCGGGTGCTTTTCTTGCAGGGAAACCAGATCAACATTCTCAACGGCGTGGGAAACAACGGTGCAAACGAGGACCAGAGTAACCAGCCCAAGGTAGAGCGCGTGGACCACAAGCACGGGGCGATGTACGTGTGCGATGTGGCCGGCAATCCAAACGATCTCGGAGGTATCACTATACCAAATGCTGATACTTCAAACACCAGCGCACTTTATTCTGAATTAGTACTAAGTAACTGTAACTTCATCTACCCCCACGATGATCCGGAAAATGCGACGTAAGAAAAAGGTGCATGAAAGAAAACGATCGGAATTTCTGGTTTGCATGATAAAGCCGCGTATCGTATAGTAGTATCTATACCGGTCAGTACTATGCTTTTGCTCTTCTCCTGCTTCAAAGCAATCTGTACGACGAGCGGTGACCGTGACACATCGTTTCGTAGTATCTTTTACAACTACACTGCAATATGATATTAATTCACGTTGATCTTCATCTACACTGCAGCATGCAAGCGACCCCAGCGGTTCCTAGTGGGGGGAACGGAGCGAAAAGTGGTCATTTACGACGCCAAGACGCTGCAAGAGACGTGCTGCCTCCGAAAATCGTTGTACCGAGCGGATTCGTTTGCGCACTCGAATCGGTATGGAACGCAAATATGTCTGGGTAGTTCTCCCATGGAAGATTGCAAGATTTGTCATGCAATTTTTCTAAGCTTCGCAAAGTCTGCAAGGCAGGGCTTAGCATCACAAGCTCTGGAGCTCCTTGGTAATAAATGCGTATTCCGCGGCATGAGAAATCCGCTCTGCTCTGAGCATGGGCAGAAGTAGGCATTTTTTGCAAGGAGCCAGGCAAGACAGATTTTTGTTTTGTGTGACCCGCAACTCGTATGAATTCAACTTCGCCCTCTACTTGCTTCTCTTCCAGACATGCAGGGATATTTGCAGTGCATAACCAGATCAGCTCAGCAAAATTTTTTCCCGACTGCGACGGTCAGATCTACGTAACGGGCTCCTGGGACAATTCCGTTGCCGTATGTATCCTGTGTAAAAACGTCCCCACCGCCAAATTGTCATGTAAATCTGCATGCCTTAAATGTTCCTCATGCGGAGCCCTATGAGAAGCATTTTTTTGTGTAATAAATGCGTCACGATCTGGGAGCTAAGAAAAAGATTGAATGCCGATGATCAGTGATGCAGCAGCCCTACCTACATGACAGCATTGCACTGCGAGCCCGAAGTTGTCATGCGCAATAGCAAAGTCTCTATCTTGTTGCTTGACCCTGGGGGGGGGGACATTTTTGCACAGGATAGTATGGGACTGCCGTTCCGGGAAGCGGGAAAGGTACTTTTTCTCGCAGAAGCAATAAATAAAAATTACAAGTTGGCTTAACTTGTGGTCATTTTCATTCCGAGTGGCATAGAATTTTTGTCTGCAAAAGCATATCCGCGTGAAGAGAAAACAAGATCTCGAGCGTAGACTGAATCTGCCATAATTGTTCGGCGTTTTTGCTGCAACAAGACAAGAGTCCTGTAAGAAAGTATCACCGAGACCTCCGTGCAGCCGTGCCTAGCTGCTAGTGTATAATAATTTCTGGAGGTTGTCGATATTTGTCTGTCTCTGTGTCTACCACCATGCGAAAGAATGATCATGTTAATTTTTACTGACGTGCTCCCATCCCTCCGAATTCTATCCGCCGAACAAAATTTTGTTCCCAAGGTTTTTGGACGAGCAGCTAGTCCTCGTAGGTTCCGGGCCGGAGGCGCTAGATGTGGACCGCAATTTATCGCAAGAAAATACTGTTTCACTGTGAACTTGTGACGCAGAGAACGAAGCACCAAAGTGTTTGTCTTGCTACACCTGCAAGACATTGGATTTTCAAGCGTGTTTTCCCTTGGAAAGCGCGCAGGGCAAATTTTCCGTGTCATGTGTAACAAACTTGTAATGCAGATCTTGCAAAATCACCACAGTGAGACAGTTTTTTCGTGGGATACAACTCGATTCTGACGGGGATATCACACAAAAAAAAGCTAGCACAGAATCGTATTTGTCAACATGTAAAAAGTAAAACTTAAACTACCCATCACATCACAGTACAGAGAATAAAAACCAGGCATGTAGTTCGGGGGCATGCCGGCTAGAATGCTTATGCCAGAAAGTATGTTTTCGTTTTGTGTGCTGTGCGTAGGTCTTCTACTTGTAGTACTTTTTCGTAAGGGATGAAGATGATGAAACAAGTGGAGTACCTAGTGCTAGCGTTTTTCTTCCTATCCAGGAAAAAAACTGTGTAAGTGTAACTTTGTAGGAAGAGCAGCATCACAAATTCGCTTTGCATTACAGGGAAAACCTGTCATGCGTAGCTAGTACGTGGAAACACGTATGATAGTAGCCGATGACGCAATTCCAGCATGACAAGTGTAATTGTTTTGCATTTTCTGCATCACAGATTTACACTTACACAGTTTTTTTCTTGCATTCTCCCTTTCGATGTCGCAGTTACCGCACCAAGGATCCCTATGGAACTGTCAGGATTGGAATTGACAAAGTTGAAAATTTTGTGATGCATAAAACCGATACCAGTTGGAAGCCCAATTTGTAAGCGGCGCATGACAATAAATTTCGACGTCATCGAAGTCCACTTTGTCATGCTGTTTAGCGAAAGAAGGCATCCTTTGTCATTCTACTTTAGCAGCTCTATCCCAAACCCGAAACAGGCTCACAGTCGGCCTCTCTGGCAATCCCTGCAAGACAGTCACTTCGTGTCTTGCATTTCATGCATCACAGATTATTTCAACTTTGTCGATTTCAATCCTGACACACCCATAATCCCGTGCAGCTGTTCGACTTTGGCACGTGTAAACTGCTCGAAACCTGCCCTACATCAAGCTCGGCGCCGTCACTCCTCGGTGCGGGGGGCCCGGCAGCTGGACCGGCGACCAGCAATCAGCTGCTGCCGTACTCGTGCCAATTTTCTCGGGACAGCAAGAAAATCCTGATCGGGGGGAAGCACGTCAACGCGGAAAAGCAGGGCTCCTTTGTCGTTCTGCGACGGGTCGGTGGCGGCCGGTCGATGGTGCAGTATGAAGATCACAGCCGGCAAGCCGCGGTTTGGTCCGTAGACGCGGTCACGCAAAACAGCCACGGGGTACTGTCCACGGAGTACGCTCTGGGTCACGCCGATGGGGTGCTGCAGGTGCTCCAGAGTTGAGCGAACAATAAACTCTCCGACGAGATAAGAAGTAACTCTAGAATCCGTCTGATATTCAGATCTTTCGCTTATATTTCTTCTCGACGCACCGTTTGTAGTAAGTTCCTCTATTTGAATTTTCACCAACGCAAGGAGCAAAACTAGTCTCTCCAAGCATGATTTTTCCGATGACAACTTTAAAGCACTATCGAAAGAAGAAAGCCCGCTCTGTTCTTTCTGGGTGCAGGACTGTCGGTAGCAAACTTGCATTTTCTACTGCCGACGGAAAGGTTTTCTTGCTTCTGTCAGTTGTGATAAGTAGCTGGAAGTACCATTTCATCTCGACTGGTGCTTCATGTCTTGACCCTGACTTTCGCTTTCTTGTTTTGCACGACGAGTTTTGCATTTTGCGGGAGAAAAGAAACTTCCTTGCCCGGTTACGTCATGGCCGCAATCAACATCAAGCGACACAAATACTGTCACCGTCATTCCGATGCTGGACTTTTTTCTTTCGATAGCGCAGAAGACAGAAGCGGAAATATCCGACTAAAATCAATATAACCGTAGTTTCCGAGATCATTCTAATCACAACAACCTAGGCGTACTATCCAAACGGCAGGTAGATTTCTTCTCTTTATGATCACAAGTATGCATGGCAAATGTGTCTGGGTCCTCTGGAGGGATATTACAGCTCGTCATGCGAAGATGATGAAGCCTAATCCTAAAAAATCTGTGCTGCATGATGATGAAGCCTAATCCCAAAAGTTGCCCCCTTCGTGCTCGGTTGGAGAAGGCGGATTTCTTCTGCGGGATAGGTATGTCGCAAGATTTAAATTTGTGATGCTTTCTTGCATTCCAGACCATGTGGGTGGTCCGCGAAATGCATGACCGATCTTGCATTTAATCTTCCAGGTCCAGACGCATTTGCGCCTTGGATAAGAACACGTTGCGAGTCACCATTTTGTTTCTAATGCGAGATCAAGTAGATTTTAATGTACTAATTTGACACAAAGTAGTTCAGCATGATTTATGATTACAAAGCATAGTTTCAACCTTCAACCTTCTACACGGGAATCATGTATACTTCGGCAATTTTTTTATCCTATCCTGAGTAAAAACATCCCCACACCAGAGTCAAGATGGGGATTTTGCAACACAAACCTAGAACTTTTGGGGGTCACGCATCACAAGTTGCAGTCCGTAGTGTAGTGCAGGTTCGCAAGGCCAGCTGCATCATAAATCCATCTGCTCATCCTGTTTACAGCATTAGAAATTCCAAAACACGACTAAAAATGCCTCTCCTGGCGCTACGCATTACAAATGTTCCTGTCATTGCAAATCTGCATGACAACTCTGGTGTGGGGACGTTTTTACTTAGGATATATCCTATTTCAAACTTAACGCACCACTGTACAATGTTTTTTGGTAAAAGATTTTCTAAAGCTCGTCGCCTTCTTCTATGAAAAAGGGCAAAAAGCACGCTGCAGGTTTACTGGGAAGTCGCCAACGTGCATACAGTAGCAGTCTCGTGCCAACAAGGTGGGTGCAGAAGCAAGTACCATAATCAAAGCATACACGCGGCGGGTGCTGTCATTGATATGCGTGAGTGTAGGATCAGATCGTGAAGCACTACCAGCACAGCAGATCATGCACCTATACGCGATGAGGATGATGAAGTAGAAGTCTGTCATGTGGTGCTCAAGGATAGCTCGTTGTAAGTATTGTTGCTGCTGGTCAGCTTAAAAACATCATGGTCGCGAAAATTGCTATTGAGATGAAGATGAATGCACGTTGGCGAAATTTCCCACGACCTCCCACGGCCGCTCCATACGACGACTATTCCGATTTCAATTCTACGAACGTAATTTATCCAGAGGAAAATAGGTATTCGGCCCACCACAGCTGTTTTAACAAACTGCAAACTTCGCGACGAGTCCGCACGGCTTGCTATGAACTTGCAGGAGATCATATTTCGTGTTTGTTCTATTGTATGAGGTTCTTTTTGTCGAAGGGGTATAGTTTTGTGTTTCATGCATAATGTCAGCTGCGCCCCCATGTCAGACGGGGCTAGGAGGCATTACAAAGCTCGCGCGCGCGACCATCTTGTCGCAGCCCTTCCGCGATGGGCGACCGGCGCCTGCTTTTGCAGATCCGGGCGCCAGCAAGCGAGGTTCTGGCGCGGTTTTGGGAAGCCGGCGCTGATGCCCCCCTGGTAGCGGGGAATTTTCATACTCGCCCGGGTGAGTATGAAATTTCCCGCGGCCACTTTTGATGCCTTGATTCCTGCGGCCGTGCGCCGAAGCGGCGCCACCGTCCGCAGTGGCCCGGGTGCCGCGGTGTTGCTTCATCCGGCCCCCAGGGGCCTTTCCCAGCGAATTTGTTGTGAAATCTGCGGGGAGCCGGCTTCACTGTTGCGAACGACCGTAGGCTCCACGCTTTCTAGTTAAGAGGAGGGGAAAAAGTCGCCGTGGCGGCGTTGCTCTGGGGCACAGAAAAGCGAAGCTCTCTCAACAAAAGACGGGGAAACGTCTCCGCACCCCAAAAAGAAAGTATAATACGACCGCGCGTTTTATTGTCGCCACAGGTCTGCGAAATGAAAAGGAAAAGCGATACCGCCCTTGCTAGAAAGTAATGCGCTGACAATAAAGGCTGGAAATTTGTAACAGCCTGCGTCGGCTACGGCTCTTCACGACCAGTCGTACGGGTTCAGAGGGTCACAAAAAACGGCAAAAAATGCTCCCGATCAATTCGTACTGGCATGCTATGCATGACAAATAAGTTGAGCTGTGGTCGTGGGGGTGCTTTTCCTCATGTGCATAAAAAACACACCTGTACAAGAATATTTTGTTTCTGGGGCTTACTTTATTTTATCCACTCAGAAAAAAACCGCATCCCTGCCGATGTGAAGAGAAAACAGCTTCTTGCAGCAAGAAAGCTGCTCTCGTTGAGCACTGGTGTTCAACGGATAGGGCTTGTTGAACACTGATCAACGAATGTTTTTATTCTGGCCGGGCAGGAAATAGAAATTCAAATTGGAATTGCATGAAGAAACATCGTCAGCGAGGGGTTTTTTTCTTCCGCATACTGCTCTGTATGATTATAGTTCTTCATTTCCGCGCAAGAACAGGAACTTCGCTCTCGTCTAGCACGTCCGGTACTTACCTTCTTCTTTTATGACAGTCCCAGGTGGGAAATTTTCAAAAGGGAAATAATTTGCCATGCAGATTGAAAATTATCGTTCGACACAAGCTGAGCTCGCCACTTCTGGGCAACCTAAGACAACTTTTTGTGACACTGCAGGGGCTTTTATTCTGTTTCTGTCAGTTAGTTTGCTGCGACCACTGCTACTGTCATGCTCGTCAGTGTTGACCCAGAGGATAGCCCCACCCAGACTTCTTACCATTTGCCTGAGTTGATACCTCCTATGCATTTCTTCAGCTGTTTTGTGTTTACGTAGCATTTTATCCTTCATTATTTTCATTTTGACAATTTCCCACCTGGCACATCCATATCTTGTTCTCCTCTACAACGACGAACACGAATCAGAATCCTGACGTCGACCCTATTTCAACATGCTACAAACAAGAACCACGGGGTATGACTATTCGTCGGGCATATTTTTACGGTATAATTTCTATCCACGAAAAAGGAACATGAATCCCACCCCAGGGCGGCGGGTAAGTAAGCAAAAACTTATCACAGGAAGACATAGTTGTGCAGGTGTCACAGGAAAAATTCGTAACAGGGAACATCAAAGTAAGTTGTTGTACCAGCTACGGACCACTTGTAGACGATAAAGATGCATGATTTATTGCGGGAGACGAAATTCTTGCTTCTAATGTCGCGATATCTACTACTTCGTAGTGGAAGTCTGTTGTACTACAGCATCATGTATCTTCTTCACCGCTTTCACAGCTTTGATTTTTCAGAATATTCAGCCTTCTTTGTTCTGTCTCACCACGTCGGAGGTTCTTGTAGTTATTGTGCTTCGTTCAGGTCTCAGATCTTCGTTGACTATCGGCAACATCTGCTTTTTTTCGGTGCCTCATCTTCGTACGGTCGGAGAAGAAGTTGTGAGTGTCAGACTGACATCATGATTCAAATCGGTTTATTCACGAGAAAAAGGTCGGTGTCAGAATTTTTGCTATCTCCTCGGTAAATAAACGGATCGCGTCTACTACCAAACGAGGACTGAATCATCGTACGAAACAAGTCTACAACTTCTTACTGCCTGTTGCTCGTCTGGTGCTTTCTTCGTGCCGCCGATGACAATTTCATTCTCGGTGTTATTTCACTCCAAATACTGATTTCCTCGGTTGCGTAAGTACTACATTTCGTCGTAAGTTGTAGAGTTATTTTCAAGGTAATATGAAAGCAAGAACTGAGCTTGCTTTTCGTTTCGTGCATTCGTGCAATACGAAGTCGAGCAGGTATTTTTTCGGTTATCGTGTCGTCCATTTTATTTCTCGTGCAGTTCTCTCAATCGGTCTCGTCCTGCTACTTCGTAAGTCGTCCAGAAAAACTTCAGTCACGTGCAAAAACTCGTATCCACTGCTGCATACCACGAAAACGAATCACGGCTGTGACTATCATGGGCATGATTTTGCAGTGGCAAAAATCGAGTCTGCACTAGACTCCTTTCAACGTGTCCACTTCACCTATCCCCACTCCACAGTGCTTTCCGCCCTGAAGGTACTTGATTCAAATCGCGCCCACGAGTTTGAAAAAAAATTTTGCAACGACCCCACTTTTATTTGCATCAAACACGACTCTCAAAAATCTCCGAAGAACCATTTATTTTTATCCGAGTATCTAGTATTATTTACAACGACTACGAAGTTATTAAGTAAGGCGTGCTTGATAGTTTCTGTTTCGACACTTTTCTTTTCCCTACAAGAGATCACTTGTTACAGTTTGCAGCATCTGTATGGATGTGTCAGAGTTGAAATCGACAGAGTTGAAATGATTTGTCATGCATAAAATGGATACCAGTTGGAAGCCCAATTTTCAAGCAGCGCGTGACAAATTTTTGGAGCACCGGAATCCAATTTGTCATGCTGTTTGGGCACAGAAGACTGCTTTTGACATGCTCTTTTAGCAGCTCTATCCCAAACCCTAAATAGGCTCACAATCTGCCTCACTTGCCATCCCGGCAAGACAGGCACTCCATCTCTTGCATTCTATGCATGACAAATCATTTCAACTTTGACGATTTCAATCCTGACAGTTCCATAATCTGTTCTACAAATAAAAGCGACGACGCGGCTGCAACTACTGTTCATCGTTTTCATTATTCTCCTGGGAAGAAAAATATTACACGACTTGTATCCGGGGTCAAAAACGTCCCCATCTACCCACACTTCTCAAGGAGGTTTGCATGCCCGGTACAATGTTGTCTGGTTCTAGTGCGCACAGACCTGCAGGAGGCATTGCTCTGGCGCAGCGTCTCAGACTCAGTATATGTCTCAGCCGTGCCAGGTATGATCGACCGCACGGGAACGCCGGACCTGAGTTTGTCACGTGTAGAGATGATTCTGAGAACGTCAACCTCTATATGTACCTGTTCAGCAGAAATCATGTAAATCTGGGATTGGGGCGTTTTGACTCATGATATAAAGCCAGGAGTTCGCTGTTGTAGAAGAAGGGCGAAGTTTGTTCTAGATAGCGTTTTCAGTACTATCCAAGGAACGGCATCAACAGCTGGAGGCAGAAGAAGAACAAGAGCTGAAGAAGCCTCCATCTGGTGCTCGAAGAAGAGTATTTGCGCAACTGAAACCAGCACCCGCAGTTCGCGTTTTGCGTTCGAACTTTTTCTTCTTTCGGAAAGAGGACAACATCGAGGTGAACTGACTGAAACGGAAACAGTACATTCTTCAGCGGCGCGGCGATTTTCGTTTCTTCCAGCAGCTGCACTTCTAAGACGCTCACGCAAGAACTTGTAGCTGTGACCAAGTGGTGGATATGCGTTGCAAAGATAGCTGGGTCTGGAAGGGTGCAACTTGTGACGGCGCAAATTTCAGACAACATCACAAAGATCTGTCATGCATGAACAGCAAATCCGTATCCGGCCGAAGAGTTGGCACCAAAGGAGGGGATTTGTCATGCGGATTGGCCATCGATAGACACCTTCGTTCTCAAGACGTGTCATGCTACTTAGGGCTTGCATGCCAGAGCCAGACCTCCTGGTTCAGGCAAAACCTGCATGACAAAGTTCTGCAATCTTCCAGACCCGGACACATTTGCAGTTGAAATTGGAGTACCCCTCTGCTCCTTCTTTGCTCAGGCAGACCAGCTACAAAATCGATCATCACCAGCAGCTAGAGCGGTTCGAGAGCTTCCTTGCCTTCTCATCCAACTCAGTCGCGTCTACTACTTTTTACTCTGGATAAAAGAAGTTCCCATCGTGGGAGTTTTTTTTGCTTCCACTACTGTTGTGATACTGCGAGTACCAGCACCGAGCACAAGGGCCGAAAAGTCTAAGTCTCCACTGGGAAAGTAGATTCATTATCGTTTCCTCCCAAGTTTTTTAAAAATCATCATACATCATCGGCCGAAAGCAGGACGGAGGCCACGAATTTGACTCTTTTTTATTGTTTACACATTACATCAAAGCTAACAGCTGTTGTTCTCCCTTGTTTTATTATAATTTCATAACTTCCAGCACTTGTTCATAATTATCCTTGTTGAAAAGGCACTCCCTGTCTTATTTTTTTTCAAATTTCAAACTATCATTATCAACTCGTTCTCATCGTTCGACCATCTATGAGAGTGCACATCTCCTCTTCCGCGTCATTTGTATGGCGCAGCCAGCAATACAAGCGTCGGCAAGAATGCAGGTTTTGCATGGCAATAAATTCTGCTCCCAAGATTGTGGTATTGTTTGGGCTTGTTCCCGAATCTGTGATGCAAACAGTGGTATGAGGGAGCGCTTGGAGTTGGGATTTTGCATGGCGTCACATGAGTTGGAGGGGGAGTGGTGCATTTTCATACCATCCAGCAGCGGAGCAGCACCGCAACCCTCTCTCTGCAGCGTCACCCACGACCTGGTGGTGCCTGTTTTTGGGTCTAGAAACGGGTAGAAAATTATCACGCAGTACCCCTGTGTGAAAAATATCAAAGCCCGCAAAATATTACAATGAAAAATGTCCCCACTCAAGAACTTGCCAGCATTTTTTAAAATATGCAAAACTTCGCTGTGGAAACAAAAATATTAACATTCCCCATCCTCTTGCATGTATCACCATCACAGATTTTCGATGCTGAATGCGCGAAAAGAGCTTCGCATTTGTTGAAAAACCTTATGCATACAGAAAGTTGTGCCACTTCCGGGGTGGGGGCACTTTCTTTCCACTTTCATACAAAAGCAGTGAAACCGAGACGAGGTTTTTTTAAGCACCTGTATATGTACATTTGACTATGCATTGGAAATATGTCTGGGTCTCGAGGAGTGGGAACCTGTAATATGTGTGTTACGGGTCACACTCACACAAAATAAAAATCTGTCTTGCCTGCTAACTTGCAAAGGATGCCTATTTGTGGACATGCTGAGAGCGGATTTATCATGCAGAATAGGCATTACCAATGGACTTCTGCAGGACTTTCGATGCTAAGATCTGCCTTACAGACTTTGTGGAGCTGCTTGGGAAAACCGCATCACAAATCTCGCAATCTTGCAGACCCAGACATATTTGCACTGGATATTTGACTTATTTTAAGCAACATCTTCCGAAGCAATCAGTAGCACTTTTTTATTCCAAAGAAATATTTTACCAGTACCTCCAAGGGGAAACTCCGACGGCTATTTTGGACGTGGAGGACTGCAGGCCTGTTACTTAAAAACCCGCTGAAAAAAATTCCAAAAAAAAAGTAGCATCGGGCAGTTGTTCTGTTGTTGAAAAAAAAATTATCATCCAGTTTGTACACTAGCTTCTATCATCCTTTTTATTCAGATCAGCGAATGAGAAAACCCTTTACTTTTTATTTTTTGAAACACAGCCGGCTTCTATTCATTTTCTAATAAAAATTGCAGTTCAAAAATAAAATCCTTCCCGCGTAGTAAAAAGCGCCACTGTAGTCGGCTTTGCTTAAAAATTTTTCGAAAAAAAATTTCAAAAACGAAGTAGCAGCCGCGACGGTGTATCGTGAAGCGTAGCTTTTCATCAAGCCTTTCTTCTATTGCATTGCATGTGGGGGCCGTTTCAACAATTACAATATTCTTTTTTATTTTCTTTGAAGCCAACGAACTATAATTTTTCGATTCTTTCGCGCATTATCTTGTGGGCTCTTGTATTTGTTATCATCGGGATAGCAGCCAGAGCAGCCTCATTCGTCCGTGCGGGAAGTCGGGGCAGTTACAGCGCTTGACAGGTTCGAGTTTTGGGACGAAAAGGGAGAACCACGGCGCTCTCAGGAGCTACACGGCGGTCGAGCATTTTGCTACAAGGAACTGCCGTAGTGCGACCTGCAGTACAACGGTCGACGCTTTTTTCAGCTACAAGTTTTAAACGGGACGACCACACGACCAGAAGTGCCTAAGCAACCACGTGAAAATGTCCGTTTCGAGATTTCAGGGGCACGCCTGCGGTTGGTGGGGCAGGTGTGCTCTTGTCGTTCTTGTGTGCGTGGCACCCCGTGCGGCTGGAGAAAGGGAGAAAGAGCAAGCTCGGGGTCCGTTCATGATGCCGCAGGGTGGGCCCATGATGGCGGGCCAGGGAATGCCCATGATGCAGCAGGGACGAATGCCCATGATGCAGGGACAGGGAATGCCCGCGATGCAGCAACCGATGGGGATGGCCGCCCGACCAGGTGGAGCTGGAGTACCAGCACCACTGGGTCCTGTGCCAGGAATGGCGCGCCCGGCCCCCGCCCAGTACGTCCAGCCTGGTTATCAGTCGGAGCGGACACAGCGAACCCGCTATCAAATGAGTGCCCCCACGTGCCCGAAAAGAGATCAGATTTGTCATGGAATGTTTCATCCCAAAAGCAAATGCAATCTGGTTTTCTATGCCTTCACAGCAAGAAGACCCCCAAGGCAGCACAGGTTTGTGTTGTTCTTAGTTCTTGCGCAACACCAGAAGAAAACCAGTGCATGCAGTCTCTCTCTACTTGTTACTTAGTGTATCCACGTAGTAGTTCTCTTGTGCAGTTCTTTCTTTAAGTCGTTCGCTTCCCTGTGCCATGCTCTTGCTTCCAGACAAAACACCAGATGAAAAGCAGTGTAAGATTTCGCCTGCTAAGTCGTTCCATGCGAATTGGCTACTTGCGTTCATCTGAGGCAAAGTCATCGCTCGATTCGATAGAAACTCCGCACAAAACATCAACAAATTGTAATTGAACTTTACTTATTTCGAATTCTTGATTTTGGGAGCGGGGGGCACTTTCCATTTTCATACCTACAGCCCCAGACCCGGAGTTGTAGTGCGTGCAACCCTGATGAAAGACTTTTACTGCATTTGCATTTTGTTTTTGTGAAGAGGATAAGTTATGAATTTGTTTCCGGATCTATGATGTCTGTGTTGCCGCGTAGGAGGTAATCCGTGGTGCTCGATGAATATGTGCTCGGGAGGAACGACCGGGCATCAAGGTCTGAGTGTGGACGTGCGCCGCGCGTCGCTGTCGTGAATGTGTCCACCATTATATATTTGCTCAGAATATTAAAGCTTCTTGTGCATCATCCAACGCTGTGGTCGTGTTGCAACTCGGGGTGTGGCTGCCGAAGACCACAACTCGGGGTGTGTACTCTCAGCTTCGTACACTGTACTGTGCGGAAGGTGTGCCGAAGAGGGGTAAACTAAAGAGTACTCGTCTCGAACGGGCTCTCTCGACGCAACCTCGAGTGGTTGCATTCGAGAAAACGGAGGGACTTTGGGATCAAACATTCTGGTCGACCGAAGTCGTGCGGCGGCCCAGCTGGGTGATTGCCCGTTTTCGACCAGTCAACTTGCAGCCTCGCCTTCAATGAGCCCGCGCGCGAGGCGCAGCAGCGCAGAAAGGGGCGCCGCGTGCGTAATCTGCGGAGGAAGCAACGCAGAGAGGAACTGTACTGCAACCGCAGGACGCACGACAGAAGAGCGGAGGCGGCCCTCTGCGCGGCGGGCATGCGGCGTCTTCCTTAGCCAGACGTGGGCGCGCTGCCGCGGCCCTCCCGTGCGCGAGCTTTTTGCGCTGACTCCAGATCGATTTTGTTCGCACACAGCGACACTCAATGCGCGTGTTTTTCGAGGCGGCGTGTGGGCATCTGGGCAGCCTGGTTGCCCGCCTTAATAAGTGCGGTAAGTGTGCTGGGCCTGAATGGCCCGATTCGTTGCAGCCGCATGGCAAAGCGCATCCCACGCACCAATGACCACGCACCGCGACGACGCATCGTGCCAAGCGCCGGCGCTAGTCGGAGGACTGGCTGCCGCTGCGCCGGCACGGCTGGTAGTGCTCCGGTGAAGTACGGCGATTGCGTTTTTCGTTCTAGAGCGTCATGGGCCGCGTTTGCAGACTCTCTACACGGCAGTAGCAGCAGCGCGTGTTTTGTCGGGCACCTTGCAAATTGCATTCGTATGGTGCTTCTGGACCAATGCAAGAATTGAATTGAAAATGTTTGCGAAGTAAGTAATTGACTGCGGGTTCCAGATATTGCACGGTCTAGTTTCACTACAGCCTTGGGTGCGGGTGCCGAGGGAGGAACCGTTTTTTGCAATTGATATTCCGGTATATCCTGGGGTGGGACAACATCATCCTGGAGCGGCACATCCTCCAGGTTCCGGTGCTCCTCAGCCACAGCTAGCACGCCCTCCGCAACAAGTACCGCAACAACAACAACAAGTACAGCCGCAACAACTTCCGCAGCCAGTATGAAAATCAAAAATGCCCCCAGCGCACGCACAGTTCAAAGCACTTCGCCACCAGCTGCTCCGGACTACCAGTGCTGACGCCTTTGTGGTAAAATGCCGTATGAAAAATCCTTCATGCCGCTGAACAAGAGCTAAAGCGCCGACAAGCTCCTCTCGAGTGAAAAATTCCTCTCCACCTTTAAATTTTTGACCAATAACAGTGCGTCCGTGTGGTACAAGAATGCCATGCGTGCCAGTATTAAAATCTTCCATTAGACACGTGCGCACGAAAAACTTTAGAATTGAAAGAGGTTGTTTTTCCCTATACAAGTTGCGTTGCAGCTTGTGTCTGACTTCCGAGACCCATCGTTTGATATTGTAGGTAGCACTACAGCGTGGCAGCGTTCTTGGCATCCGAAACGAAAACAGCCGCTCACATTCTCGGGAGTACACGCACGCGAGACAAGTGCAAGGGATATTTTGCCACCCGGCAAGGAGGTTTTGCCATCTGGTAGCCAGAGCAGAAGGGCGCGCTAGCGCTCAGAGCGCTGCGCGAGATACTAGGTTTTTGCGAGCGAAGCGCAAGGGCCTTTGCCGTGGGCCGATAATGGCCACCCGGAAAAGGGGAAGTCCAGCGGGTCATGAAATCGGGGAGGAGGCACTGGACCGGTTGGGATTTGGCTTCCGGTATCCGTAGATATGAACAGTTCGGGCCTTGGCAGACCTATCTTCCGCAAAAACGCTGGCGCTTTAGCGGGGAGAGATTTTTGTGCGGGGCCTGGAGCCGCTTTGTGACTAATCGGAAAGTTGCAGGTGCTGGGATTCCGATTTGTGCCGCTTTCTTCGCGGGATGGCAGCAGTTTTTCGCCTGTTGGCAGCTTGTGCAGTCTACAAACTGAAAGAAGCGATACAAAGGACAGCGGATTGCGAACAGCAGTCGGCCGCGGAAAATTCGGTCGAAACGGTTACAGGCCGTGAGCAGCGCTCCTGGGCGGGCTCTCGGGTGGCCGCGAAACATGTTCATTTAGGTGAAAGGCGTCCGGGCGCGTAGAATCTGAGCGCGCCGTGCGAAAGGGGGTCGGAAATTTGCACCGTTTGCAGAACCGCCGCCGGCGTGACGCAGCCAAAAACATGAGAGGCGGCAGCTGCCTCCCCGATCCGCCTCGAGTCTCTCCGCGCTGCCCAGAAAGAGGCGGAGCAATGCAGCGGCTTAAAAGGTCTTTCCGTGTTGTGAGGGCCGCGAGGAGAGCCAGGAACCCGCAAGGCGTCCTGGCCTTCCGCGTTTTAGTGCTTTCATCTCAGCTTGATTTGATAATGCCCCATTCGACCCGCGCGTCGTTACTCTTACTTTTCGAGCAGACTGTGGACTTCTTTTACGTTCTTCTCTGCGCTGCATCGCAGCCTTATCGGTGGCGGAGTGCTGGGCATACTTATCATTTCAGGTTGTCTTGTGGCATGGTGTTGTCGTGTCCGCAAGACGGTTCTTTTGCGGGCGCGTTTTATTTCTTCAAGCAGAGTTTGAGTTTCCCTTTCTAGTTTCTTTGTTCTACCCTGGTGAACTAGCGGCGTAGTTTTATCACATGGAACTTTGCTGCGTGCCCTTCGTGTCAACAGTTCGGAAGTAGTGACGCGACGCTTCTCTGTAATCTGGCCTCGGCGGGGCCGGGGGTGCTCCGGGTGATCATGGCAGCCACGCGCCAAACTGGGGGCATTTTTGGACGTCGAAAATCGCAGGGGTTGGCTCCCGGAGCGGCGGCTACAGCAATGCTAGGAGGAGGAGGAGCGGCTCCTGGAGGTCTTCCGCAGCGAATAAATGGCGAATGTTCGGGCGTCAACTACCTAGGCTATCTACCAGTGGCCTTTCCTGCAAAGGGAATGGGTATCCGAGGAAAAAGTGTGCGCCGGAGTTTTATGGATGTTATTTGTTTCGTCAAGATAAGAGATGAGAGCACTACGTAAGCTTTCGGCGTGGTTCGTGGAATATGGCATATTTCACGAACCACCCCCAACGCAATGCACCTTCAGAGCATAAGGTGTATTGAGTCGTCCACAGTTTTCTGCGTATCACACTCGTTACCGCTGTTTTGAAAAAGGCGGAGAGCCATGCGAGCTGCTTCTTTCTGTCTGTAGTTTGCACCATGCAAAATTCTGCTTCCGCGGCACTTTTCGTTTTCCATGCCGGCATATGGAGTGCAACGGTGTCTGGGTCGGCATGGGTGTAGGAGCCTTCCGATGTTGGTGCATGATACGGTGAAGCTAGCCTTTGCAGATACATATATTGTTGACGAGGTATATCGCCGGTCCGAAGCAAGAGTGAGCACGCCAGCGGCATCACTGCCCCCGTCTCGATGGCCATATTTGGAAGCAACATACGAATACAGGCTGCACGCATGGGGGGGTCAATCTCAATGCGGCCTGCGGCTGCCACCAAATAGGCCGAGCGCGGAGTTTTCAGCGAGTACCGAACGAGAAGGGCGTCCTCCCGGAAATGCGTCTTCAATGCGCCTGGCGCAACATATGATATCGGGCGCCCCTGCCTGGAAACATTAGAGGCGCCGAGAGTAAAGCAGGCAGTCCGCAGGCCGTTGGCGCCATATTTCGGCCGCACGTGGCGGCCGCCAAAGCGGTGGAGCAGTCCGACGGCGTCTAGCCGCGGGGGCTACTGCTTTTTCTTTCTTTGCTGAGCAAAGAGACAGAGCGAAAGGGAAACGCGAAATCCCGCCTCGCCTGCATATCTTGGGACCGGCTTCTATTCCCAACAGCCGCAACGCCCCGCGCAGGGCTGTGCTGCTTCTCGTCGCTGCCGGGGGGACGAACAAATGCCGCCGGCCCGGGGACATTGCAGCGAACTTAGCGCGGGGCGCCCGCGTTCCAGATTGGCACGCCCGGCGCAAGTAGTAGCTCGGCCGTTGCGCTAGCCTTCTGGTTTTGGTAGATAAGACGTGCCGTTGCTGCAGCGGAAGTGCCTGATGCGTGCGTTGGCCCCCGGCCCTTGTTTGTACGTAGATTACGGCCGGTTAGTTAAAGCGGGCCAAGCCACCAACCCGTCCTCGCGGGTGTAGTTGTGTTTGCCATTTTGTATACACTGCGTGAGCCGTCGCCGTGGCGCAACCAGTGATTGCGATGGCGCGACAGCGATGGCGCGGGGGAAATTGATGGCGAGCGGGGCCGGGCACGCCTGGCCTGCCCTTGGGATATCGACAGGCACCCCCCGCGCGCTGCCTGTGAGGCGCTGAGTTTGCGGTGCCTCTGCCGCCTTTCTCCGTGTTTTTTATTTTTGTCCGGCCGCACCGCTTCCGCTGGTGTGTTAGTGTTTTGTGTCTTTGTCTGTGGTGCTGCCAGCTACGCTTTGCGCAAGACGGCACCAGCGCGCCAAGGATCTGCGCGCGCCATGAAGCCTGCGCGCGCTCGCAATTTTGAGGCGATCGAACAGTTTTGTTTTAATAAATTGGGTTAGCGCACACAGCATCTTCGAGCAGTAATTCATTCTAATTTTCGTTTTGTTGCACCTGGGGCGTGGCGACGGCGCGATCAAAACTTCAAGTGTCTCCCGAAGTAACAGAAAACGCAACGCAGGTGTAGCACAGTATCGGTAGAAGTTACTCAAAAGCAAAGGCGCGGCTTTAGAGAGGCTTGTTTGCGACTCATACATACTTGCACTGCATACCGAAGTGGGGGACTGCATCGAGTGGAAGGACAGCATGAGTCAATTTCTGGGGCAGCAACAGGGTGGCGCAATGTATGGGCCGTGCAGTCGTTGCATTCTCAACTGATGCAAAAACAAGATGCCGTGTAGATGTACTGTAATTGAGAAGTGCCAATCCACTTCTACGCGGGACATATAAGGGATAGTGATAGTGCTTTGATCCTCGAGACGGAAGGAAGCGATTTCTAGGGGCCGCAGCTAGTAGGCCTGAAGCGGCCCCCCGAGTAGCCGAAAAAAATTTGGTGAAGAAGCTCCCGCCTTTGGCAGTTGCAAGAATACGAGGTGCTTTGATTGTGCCAGCCCATCAAGGACAATGGCCACGAAAAGTCATCCAAGGCGCCCTCGTCAGGCGAAGCTACTTATTTAGATTGCTTGACCGATGGAGCTGCCCCATGCGTCGCACTATTTTTGTTTATGCCAAGGCATCGATCAGAGTCAGGCAGGTGGATCCTATGCAGCAAAAACACCAACAAGAAAAAACAAAAAGAGGACTTTGCGATGCTTGTATCGATGATTGTGGCCGCAGGAAATCCATCAGATCGGCACTTGTGCTGCGTGGCAGTGCGGTGACGAGAGAGTTCCATCGAGCGCCACAACGCGCAAAGGAAAGAAGTGCCACAGCTGAGAATGCACCAGAGTTGGACGCCATACAAAGCAAATAGATTCAATTGCCTGCCATTACGGTGCGCCGAATGTGATGGATCAAGCCGGCGTAGGTTCGAGTGCGTCAGATATTTGCCGTAGACTTGCGGACCGGCTGAAAAGAGAAAAGGCGGACATGGCGGCGTCTGATGCGGAATATCCAAGCTCGGCAACCAAGCCTCGCCCACCGGGTTGCGAGTTCGGGTACCCCCCAACGAACGGAGTAGTCATACAGAGGGTCGAGTTCGAGCTTCCTACACCGCAGAATTATGCTCTGCAAAATGGATTGTGTTCTCTGTGTCTGGGACTGCCGCTGCCTCTGCGTTTGCCCTGGACGGCGCTTTGCAAAGTGAAAACAAAATCCATCAATCTCTACTCACATGATGCATGAAGCGACGCGGTCGTTTGTTTTTTGTTTTATGTGGGATGGTGCAAAAGTAGCTCTGTTGCTTGTCCTTGTCGTGTGCAATGCTATTGAAGCTGTGATTGCGGCTGCCTTTTGAAAGCTTCTGCGTTGTTTTTCTTTTCTCCTCTGCAGAAGACCAGTATGATAGATTGATGGTCATTGAATAAAGCCATGGCGTTCCTCATTCTCTTCAACTTTTCGAAAATTGTATTATTCATGGAAAAACGAAAAAGGAAGAAAGAAAAAAGGCATCACTCTGCAACACACCAATCCGCGGTGCGGACGCGACGACCGTTTGTGCCTTCCCAGACTCGGACACGTTTCCCGTGGATAGTGATGGTGGGCGGTGTTTGAAGAAAGACTCTCAGACGAAGAAGGTTCTCTGTGACTACAAGAAGGATTTGAACAACGCGGAGCTCCTGCAGAACATTCGGACATGGTACAGCAGTTCCGGTGGAAAACTCGCGAGCATGGGATACCGCGACATGATTGTCAGCGCGGATACCCCCCCATGTAACCTCTTCCATTTCTTTGACACGTCGACGCGAAACATTGTGGAGAGAGCGAGATCAGACCAGAGGTTTGAAGCGTACAAGAAAGAGATCCTTGCGCTCAATGAGAATGATCACGCAGCAGTCATCGGCAACGGAGACCGGGCCGGGTATTACCTCGGGGTTGTCAATGCCTATCTAAACCCCACGACAAGCAAAGCTGAACCAAAGCCTCTCAAGATCGAGGATCCAGGCCAAGTTACCGAACAAAAAATCATAGAGGCGCAGAAGAAGATCGGTCTCGGTAAGATTACTGTTACGGGGCAGAACGGGGAAAAGCAGGACCTTGAAACGATGCACGAGAAGAATCTGGAACAGCACCCTGAGCCGGCGCCTGAACCGGCGACCTGGCCAAGAGATTATCATCAGAAAGAAGCTAGCACGCTAGCGCATTTGTGATGCAAAAATGAAAAGAAGGGAGAGGAGCTTCTCGTTGCCTTCTGTTCAACTTGTGTGTCTTAGACAGTGCGATGCGTTGGGCTCTCCCATGAGTACCTTCTGTATGTTTTTTTTTGTATCACGGGTTTTCTTGAATTCGCAACGTTGCAAATGCCTGCTGTGAGCATGCGGGAGCTTTTCTGGGTGATGCTGATGACGATCAAAGCGGGCGCTCTGACAAGGTGTGCAGCTACCTCACGAAAGGGAAAATCCATCGGGTTCCCAGAGATTGGATAGAAACAGCACAGAAGGACGCAAATGGAAACAGGGTGAAGGTCCAGCACCACGCAGCGGGCATGTGCGTGAAGTTCAATAACAGGGACCTGACACTGACTCCTTACAAACAGTGGAAGATAAAGGATTTTGCATGTGTCTACGTGAAAGGGACGGAAAGCGCTGCTTCGACCACCGGAGGATGTCAGCACATTCAGAACACAGAAGACCAGGATGCCGCCTTGGAAAACGCCTTTACAAATGTGCCTCGATACGTGGAGGGCGGGGGCTACCAGAAGCACGCGGACTGTGAATTTGGAAAACCAGACACAGGGGGGACTAGTTTTTCTTACTACTTGACCAGAAAGGGGCCGTGCATCAAAAGAAACAACAAGGGTGAGCCGGTTTGTTACTTCGGTTTTACAAGTATGAGGGTGTCAGGCTCGAAACCGACGAAGTTGAAATAAGTTTGTCCTGCATAAACCCGACACCTCCAGGACCAGCGTCACTGTAGCCCCCAATTTCTAATCGACGCATGACAAATTTCGGCAGCATCGAAACTCAATTTGTGGCATGCGATTTCGGGCAAAGAAGGCTACTTCTGTCACGCTCCCTCGCAGCTCCATCCTTACCCCAAAACAGGCTTACAGTTGCCCTCACTCGTGTTCCCTCCAATGCAGGTGGTTTGTGCTTTCCGCTTTTATATGGCATATAGCCTTGCATTGCATCGCACATTATTATTTCAACTTTGTAAATTTCAAGCCTGACGCCTCCATAAGAACACCCATGCACTGCCGCAAGATCGCAAAGGACGAGTCAAAGGCGCAGGCGAAACGGGTTGGAATGGGGGTTCTCGACGACAACGCAAGCCCGGACTTTTTCCTGACCAAGTGGGACGGGTTATCTTGAGTAAATACGCCCCCACCGCAGAAGCAGGTGTCATGCAAATCTGCATGCTTGCAATGTTTCTCATACGAAGCCCCATGAGAGCCATTTTTTAGTGTTGCTTTGAAATTTGTGATGCTCGAATATGCTAGTTCTGTGATGATACCGCACTAGCTAAACACGATTACACTGCGATGCGATCCCAAATTATTTACACCTCTGCCAGGTGTCGACCCTGCACCTACCAACTGGTAGGAGGAGGGTCGTGGGCTTTTTGTTTGCTCTTGGGCTTATTTTCGAAGACTGCGATGGGAGGTCCCGCGGGTATTGGTGAGCTAGCACCCTCGGGCTTTACCCTGCGTGACCAGGGCCCTCCCATGAGAGCACTTGCTTCGTACCTCCAGGCTTTTGGTCGGCGTCCTTGGTCGGATGCTCCTGTTCTTGGTTGAAGTAGGGCCCCGTGTGGCTGTAGCGTCTTCCTTCTTGCCCTACTTAGGTTTTGGCCGCGCCCCGTCGTACTTCGTGCAGAAAAGTTCTCGTCCTTCCCTCGTATATGCATGCTCGCCTTCCCCTCCCGAAGTTTATAAGTTTCTCTTCCCCCTCTACTCCCCTCTACTTTAAGTCGCATCTTTTTCTCACGCTGCACGTATCCTCGCGTTAAGTTGCTGCCTAGAAGTGCTTTTAGTAGTTGTTACGTGCTTGCTTATTAAAACGTTTTATTGGTCTTAGTAGGGCATGATGCCAACGGGGACGGACAGCCCTTAGAACTCCGACGTCATGCGCAACAGCCAGTGCTTGTTAATTTGTGTAGCAGCTTTCCCATCTTGCCTCTGGGGTGTGGGTCCCGGTTTTGCTCACGATACCGAAAGCGCAACGCCTATGTGCGCCTCGGTCGGCCAGGTGCAATTGCAACACCAGTTGGAGAGACAATGAATACGATATCGCTCTCAGAAGCCAGGTTTGTTGAGGGACCGCAGCCCGGAACGAGGACAGCACACGGATTTAGTTGGCTCTACGATCCGGTAGCGCACCCATTCAGCACTACCCTTGGCGAAGTGGGTCCGGAGAAAAGCAATGCACAGGCAGTACTTCTAACGCAGTCCACTTATCGCCCTGAAGATATTTACTTCGTGTATGACAGCAATAAGTGGCCAGAAGCAGAGTTTCCGTATACGAGTAAGCTTGACCGCGAGGACGTGGCTTACATCCAAGAGTCTGGCGGTGCGCCGGTGCAACTACTCGGGTCCACGACCACGATGAAGCGAGCCTATACACTTGAACTGCTGAAATACCAGCAGGATGCATGCCGCAAGCTTCAGGGGCACGCGGCAGGCTGGGAATTGGCAGAGGAAGCTCCGAGCGGGAAGGCAAACAGGGTTGACGGACACTTCCAGCATGACAAGTTTGACGAGAACAATAGGCTGCCTCGTCAAGTGGGGCACGCGGGTGCGAACTCCTGTGAGAGGATTTGCTCGAGCTGCGACTGGTTCGAAGGATTCGGCAAAAAAGACTTGGGCCCGGCAAAGGAAAAACTGGACTTGGGGGCATTCGTTTTCTGGAACCGAAAGTCCATTGCAAATGCAGAGAGGCGCAAAGACAAGGACGCGCCGACGAGTATTCGGTCTTTGCTCGGAGGAGGACCGTCGAAGTTGCTAGAAACCTTTGGACCGCCAAATGCGTACGCATACAAGTTATACCATACGCCAGGGCTAGTCAAGAACAGTCAGAGCAGCCTTCTGCGCGTAACGGGTATGCCCCTGACGAGTTACGAACAGGCCCAGCGAGAAAACGTCTTTTTCGGACGGAACAACTGGTTTGGTGACGGTAACGAGGACCCAGCCTCTGATGAGTTTCAGGGGCGCTGCGCGGTTGGTGCCGAGGGGACAACGACCACCGATCGGACAACGACCACCGATGTGTATATTCCTCTTGTGGATCTGCAAGAGAGCAAGCTTGCCTGCGAGTTCTGTGAAAGAAGAGATCCGGGAAGATTTGCTGCCGCGAAAGAGGACGCAGACCTTGCGGAATTGTGCGCGGCGTGCGCTGGCGTTGTTATCATGCAGCAGCTGCGCGAAACATTCAAAACGGGGCGGGCGACGTCCAAACTCGCTGCAGGTGTTGTCACCGGCTACCCGAGTGATCAACAAGACGAGCCGTCGTGCGAGCTGAATGTCAGCGAGCATGAGGGCATCCGCGAGGTTAACTACATCCAGAAAACAGTGCTACAGAAGCAGTACATGAAACAATGTAAGAACCAGGTCGACGATCTGGAAGAACTTAACATAGAGCAGATACGATTAGACGCCGAACAGGAGATTCGTAAGTACCATGACAAGTATCCTGAGCCGAAGGTGGCATTCCCCATGGACTCGGATTGCATCAAGCAACCCTATGCTGCCAGTTTTGACAAGTACACCATCGAACTGTATAGCTCGGACGCGACTTGTCGATCCGAACTGTTCCCTGACCGAGGACTTGACGCAACTTTTACAGGCCTTGTCGGCATTCGGCATTTCCAACTGAAACAGGACCCCATAAATCGGAACTACCCGGAGTTCGGTGCAGCAACCGAGCTAACGGAGGGGCAGGGGCGCAAGTTGCTAACAGACGGGACCTTTTATGATGTCGAGGGGGAGCGACCGGGGCTGTATCACGTTTTTTGGGCCTGGGTCCCGAACCAACCGCCATCGTATTCGCACCGGAAATGGCTCGGAAGCCTTCCTGAAAATTGTCAGGAGGACGTCAGCAGAATTTGCAGGGGAGCAGAACCAACGATTCGCAAGGCGACCGATTGCCCACAAGCCTGCGAAAAACGCCTTCAACAACTACAACTGGGTCAAAACGGGGAAGGAGCTCCCGCATACCTCGAGGTGGGCGCTGACTTTACGGCAGATGTTAATCCTGGGGAATGCTCGGCCCTTGGCATCTACCGCCAGATACTGAATTTCAATCGGCGGCAGCACCCGGGTGGGCGCAGCCTTTGCTTTATGGACGTGCAGCTGCAGGACCGCTCCAAGCGAGAAGGTTGGGGGATGTTTAGTGTAATGAGACCGAACCTAGTGGGGCACATTGAGCAGCAGGAGCCGAAAAAGACAATTCTTTTGTCCGAGGATTGCGCAAAGAAGCTCGACGGCATTTGTGCAGGGCAGGAGAGGAAAGAGCAGAGGAAGAAACTTCACGACACCAAGGAATTGCTGGTCTATCTGGCTGGCGAGCTGAAAGTCCTGAGGGACAAACTTGGCAAGGCGCATGAGGTTTTCAGTCAAGCTAAGGAGCTTTATAGCAAGGCCCGCAACGCTGTATCCACGTTTCAGACTCAAAATCATCAAGGGCTTGCGCACGCTTTGCAGAACAAAATCATATCGAACTGGGTTCTGCCAGAAAAAGAAGATCCGGAGACAACTTGGGATACTCAACACGCCGACCTCGAGCGCGCTTTCACAGAGTATGAGAGAAAGCTCACAAAGGCGGATGCCGACGCCCAGAGAGGCACTGCGGATGTCCCCGAGCTACCCAACTTTGAGCAAAGGGTTGACTGGTTCGTCCAAAGTGCTGATGTCCTCGTCAAGAAAATGCAAGACGTGAGCAGTTTCGCCGAGGCTTTGCAGAAGCTTTCGGGTGTGCAAAAACAAGTTGCAGAGCTGCAACAGAGCGCGGATAATTCTCGGTGGCGTAACGTGGGCCAGGTGGACAGTGTCCTCCCGTACGTGGTTTGTATTGATGACGCGGCGAGGGCCTTGGAGCCGGCTACGGGCGTGCAAGCTCTTATATGTCACGACAGCCAGCATACAAATAGCAACACCGACGAAACCGGGAAGCGAAATTTTATACACAATGTGTCGCGCTGCAGAATGAGGATGCAGGATACGCGCGGAGCCTTGGAGCTGCGGCGCGAAAATTTTCGCATGCTGACAGCGGCAATTTTGCCCATCGCGACCCGGCCAAAATGTTTTCATGAATATAGTTTGCGAAGGCTTCCTTTGGCTGCCGACAATTTTGCCGAAAGAGGGCCCACCCGCACGATTCCGCCGGGGAAAAACTGAAGCGAAACTTTTAAAGCAAAATCGCGAAAACTGTTCAAATCCGAAAGAACCTCATCAACCAAAGCGCCCCACGATTCACCCCGGGTTCGGTTCTGCCCCCATCGCGCCTTTCCATTTTCAGACTTTTTGCGTACTCCCTCCGCAAATTTTTTGAAGTGCGCTGACTTTTTGCGGCAGAAGTTTTTTCGTGGCGGCCCACATGAAAATAAAGACTGCGTTCGCGTTGTGGTTGCGTTTTTTCATGAAAACTGCGGCGCAGTTTGTTGTTCCGCCTTTTGAAGGCTGCTAACAGCATGGTTTGGCATTGGCGAAAGAGCGGAAAGCTTTGAGACCCAAAACGCCAGACATGACGGAGCCGGCCGGAGCACGCAGGGACGTCCGCAAAAGCAAAGAAGGACAAAGCCCCGGCAGGAGAAATGCGGGCCTCTGCCGGCTTCCCGGGGATAATTTTTTGCCCCGGGGCCCCCCACGCCCGGCTGTCCACCCGCCCTTGAGGCATCCGCGTTTCTGCTTGAGATCGTTCGCCCCCCCCGGGGAGTCTTCTTGTCCCCGGGAGCCTCCTCGCCCGGCTGGGGGCCGCGGCTCTTCCGAGAAGGAGGCCAATTCATTCGGGCTAGCCGCGGTTGCCTTTCGGGCGGGATTTGCCGCGCCACTCCGGGATTGTTGGTCCCATGCCGGGCCCGTTCAATCGAGGGGCAGCCGGGGCAGGCGGGCCAAAGCAAACAGGGGCAGGGCACTCCGGTAAGGATTCTGGAATCCCCTCACGGGCCCTCTACAATGCGTTCTCGCCAAGTCGGACCCATGCCGGCCGCCGGACCCATGCCGTGCCGAGCGAATTAAGCCATCCTAGTTTCGTAACGTCTTTCCGGGCCCTCCATCGGAACCCCCGCCCCAAGGCGGGCCCGTTTCGCCTGCCAACGTATGGGCCACGCGAGGCGAATGGAGCCCGGTAATTCCGAGGGGGATTTGGAAAGCCTCGGTGGGCTCCTTTATCAGCCCGGCCGGTCGAAACCGGGCCCGGCCTGCCATGCCGTCGGGGGGGGGGCTGCGCAGGTAAGTTGTCCAAATTTAGGTCAGTGGACTTGCGGGGAGCCGCCTTTTGCAGAGCCCTCCGTCTCGCCTGGGTCGCCGCTGCGTTGTGCCTGCGTGCACCATCAGAAGTGCATTGCTGCCAATCATTTTGCCACATGTGCCATCAGAAGTGCATCGAATCGCGAGGGCCGTGAGTGGGCGAGTGAGTGCCTGTATTTATTTAAGTCGGGCCATTGCCGTCTCATGGGGGCGACGTAGGGCGGTTCAATCTGTGGCGGGCCGAGGACATCTTTTGCACGCAGAAGGCTTGTTTGGAATACCTGCAGACCCCTCTGCGCACCCCCCCTGCGTCGGGCTTATTCCGGCAGCGGGGAACGGCCGGCGCCGCACGCAGGGCGACCACAGTTCGGCCGAGGGCCCTGCAAGGTGCCCGGCATTCCGCGGGAGAACGCGCGGCCAGGCCCCGCGCGTGGGGGCTGCTTCAGCTGCTTTCAGGGGCCGAAAGCATCTCCCAGGCAGCAGCCATGTGAAAGCAGCATGCCCCTGGAAATTAGCAGTCCCGGAAAGCAGAAGCCCTAGAGAGGCTGTTGGCCTTCTTCGCCCCTGCGCAGAAATAACTCCTATGAGCAATGGCCATGCGCGCTGCGCCCTGCCTGCCAGCCGTCCCGGGCTCCTTGGGTAGCGGGCTGCGCCAGTCTCCGGGGCCCCGGGGGGCAAAAAAAAGCGGAAAAGGCTAAAAAGATAAAATTACAGGAGGAAAAGAAGCTGCGGGCGCGAGGGGCTGAACCGCGGTGGCCAGCGCCCGCGTGTGGTTTAGTGGGTTCCGAAAAAGGCCGACCCCATATTCAAACTAACACAAAATCAAAAAAACCGTTTGTCGCCGAGCGGCCTGCGCTTGTGTTGCTTTTGCTTCGTGGTCCCGGTTTCGTCGGGTTTCGTTGTGCTGTCTTGGTTCTCCCGGACACACCATGAGCTTCGCGAGCCGCATGGGTGTGCCTGTGCGGCAACAGGAACAGGCTGTGGTCGCCAAGCTAAAAAGCTTCTTCTCGCTTTCCACCGCACAGCAGGACAGCTCGGGAGCCGGGGCGCAGCGCAAAGACGGGGGCCTCGGAGAGCGTGCCAACTGGGTTCGCAACCGTATTGCGGACGGCGCAACAAGTGCGGCGGATTTGGCGGGTGACGTGGCGGCGCTCGAGAACGCGCTCAAGTCCGCCAAGAGCGATGCTGGGCGAATTGAGAGCGCATGGACTGACTTTGCCGCGGAGCTGCAAGGGCGCTTGGAAGCGCTTGAAAGAGAGTCGGGGGGCCCGCAATCGGCCGAGCACAAGCACGCAGCGCGCGCCTTTTTGGAGTGCCACAGCCACGAAACGGGAACAGGCGCAGCGGGCCTGCTTCGCTTGGTCGCCATCGCTGAGAAAAACGATAGATTGGCAAGCCTCATCAGACAGGCCCCCGGATTCATGATGCATATATTAAAGCAAGTGACAGCCAGCGCGGAAGAGGCCCTGGAGGCGAGGCTGAGTGAGCTCAGCAAGCGGTGCGACGAGCTGAGCGAGGAGAGCTGGGGGCGCCGCGGGCTCGCTGATGTCTCCGATGAGATCCCTCCGGTCTCCATTAAAGGGCCCGGCGGGGAGACGAAGATCCTGGAAAAACCATACTACGCGCCGCAAGCAGACGCCGGGGCACTGAGATCCGCGATGGCCACGGGAACCTCTGCCAACGCGATTGAGAACAGTCTGAAGGGCAGCCGCGACCAGCATGGAGTTTGGCAAGACGAGCTGAACAAAGTGGAAAACGTATCCGGGGGAAAGTGGCTTGGGGCTAGCGTTTTCGCCTTTGCTAGGGTAGGCGTAGGCAGCCCAGTGAAATGCCTTTGCGCTTTTTGAAGATTTTGCCGCGGCCACCTGCCGTGAAAGCGGCCGCACCGCAGACAGCTTGAACCGTGAAAGCAAAGGGGCCGCACTTTCTTGTGTCGCCCTTCGAAGTGCGCCGGACCCCCGCTAATGAGGGGGATTACCCCTACGCGCCCCTCGTTTGCCAGCAACCTCGCTAGCGGCTGGCGCAAAATCTCGGGGTGAGCCGCTGGGCACACAAAATTAATCGGCGCGCCAGCAGAGGCGCGCCCCAGTTCTTCGGCGGATGGCCTTTCCTGTCCGCTCTGCATATGGCAGAAAGCTGTGGCGCTTGCGTGGGTGGGCGCTTTTGCTGGGGAGGGGTAACACTAACAGCTCCGCAGACTTTTCGGTGGGGCCGCGCACTTCTCCATGGTCCGCGGAGAGAGGCGTGAAGATTTAAGGGCGGCACGATAAAGACCACAGGAAGGTAGGGTAGATCTGCTGCGGCGCTAGCAGCCCCTCGAGGCGGCGTGGTTTTTTGGTGGGCCCTGTCGTGCCTAGTGGCCGGCACGCACGCAGCGTCCGCTTCCAGGCGGGGCCGCTTCGTATCGGGCCGCGAATGGGCGCCGGGGCGCGCGATGGCGCTTGCCCCGCAAATCTGGGCGCGTTCGGCGTTGGTAGTGCTTTGGGTGGGTTCTCGTTACCTCCGCGGCGCCATGGGATTCGTAGCATATATTTTGGGGCGCCTTCTCGTTAGCCGCGGCCGCCAGGTGGCTTGAATTTCAAGCGCCCAAGCGCTCATCGAAGCCACGGGCGGCGGCGCGCGAGGTTCTGGGATTGGAAAATCCCTGATCCCATCAAGACGGGCCCAAAGGGGGACGGGGGGTCGAGCAGAGGTCTGGAAGCGTTATGGGAGTGGCAGCCTGTTGGCCTGTCGCTGCCTGTGTTTCCTCTGGCGGCCAACAGAGAGATCACTGGCGGCCGGGCGCCTGCTTTGCTCCATCCGGGCCGGGGGCGTCGGGCGTTTTTGATTTTGACTGGGACAAGCGCGCGCACAGATGTCCTTTCGGACCGCGCCCGCGCGTTGCCGCTCGATAAGAGCGGCGGCATGCTTGCTGCGCGCTACGAATTAATGCGTCTGGTCGTAAGGTGTCCATCCGCTTCCGCGCCATTACAAAAAGAAAACAAAGAGAAAGGAGAGGCGCCGGCAGGCGCCGTCAAGTCAGTGCGAAAACCCCAGCACCCGCCGCTTCGCTGTCGATAGAGCGTAGACGGCCTCCTCGCTGACCAGGACTTGTCGCATGACTTCAAAGAAAAATGGAGAGGTGGCTTGCAGGCAAAATGCATCGCGGCGCAATTGTACACGACCCGCCTGCTACGTGTCTGGGAGGCAGTCCTGGACAAAATCGGCGACCAAATTCAGGCCGCATCCAAGGCGGAGCAGGATCAGCGCCTAAAGGAAGCAGAGGAAGCCGAAGCAAGGAGCCGCGTCGCGGACCTGCGCCGCCGTGTGGAAGGGTTATTGGATGGCGCACGCAAATTGGTTTCGCGCATATCGGACGACCGGGGCGCAGCCGAGGAAGCGCGAAAGGACAGGTACGGCGGTTTTCTAGTCCGCGCAAAGCAGCTGGAAGACACAGCCAGCAATCTCGACCAGCAGGCCAGGCAACTCGACAGGCCAGGCGATGGTAGGTTCGAAGACGTGAACAGTAAGTGCAACACCGCCGCGAGCGAACTCGAGGTCCTTGAGAAAGAATATGACCGTGAGCGCACAGAGATGCAAAGCGAGGCGGAGCGGCTGGCGGAGTGGCGGCGCAAGAAAGGAGAACTCCAAGGAGAGGGCGGCCCCTGCTTTCAGGTAGAGGCATTTGCCGGAGATGAGGCCACTTGGGCGACGCTGGAAGAGCTCGTCGGCGAGGTAGATGACCTCCTCGCGGAGCAGCGGGGACCGGGGGCAGGTGCGGTGGTGAAGAATCCAGCGGCGGGAAACCCCGGGGAGGCGCGCGAAGCCTTTCGGAGGCTCTCTGAAAGTGCCAACGCGGCGCGTGGCCCGCTTCACTGGGACACCATCAGTGGGTCAGAGGATATCGGTGCCGCAGAAAAGGCCTGCAACAAGTTCGACGAAAGCGGGAAAGCCCTCGCAACCGCTCTAGCCGCGCGCCTCGTGGAGCTCGGGGGGAGCGATTCGACCGCGGTACCATCGGCACACCCGGTTTCGCGTCTTGCCGAGAACTTTATGGCGCGGTATGAGCAGAAGGGCCAGGACGGCATTTCCGCGGAGTTGGTCGACGCCCTGACGCGAGTGGGCCGCAGATGGAAACCCAAGGAAGGCCACCGCGCCGACTGGCTCGTTAGCGAACTTCTGCGCTGCGCCGCCGCGATCAGAAACGCCCGCGATGGATGGGCGCGCGAGAAAGAAAGGGTCGAAAGAGTGTGCGGCGCGATTGCAAATGCATGCGCCGCGGAGGAGGGCGGCGGCGCTGCAGCAGGGGGGCCTCTCAGGTGGCCGCGCGAGCACGAGTATGCGGAGCTCGTAGACCTGGTGCGAGATGGCTTCAGCAGTTTCTCGGCACCGCAGCAGGCGGGCTCACGCCTTTCGTTCGGCGCGTGGTTCGCGCCATTGGTTGCGGCAGCGCTCCCCCCGCAAAGGCAGGAACCGTTGGTAGGGTTGTTGGAGGGTGTCCAAAGTGCCTGGGACACCTCCTGCCTTGTTGGGCAAGTTGGTTCCACCCGCTATGCCAAGCTGGAGGACGCCTGGGGACGCTATCTGAGCGAGCTCACGTCCCGCTTGGATGTACTTGGCAAGGCAAAAGAAGACGCGGTGCGCAGCTGGGTAGGCGACTTTGCCGGACCGCTCGCTGACGTCGAATTACAGTTCGCAAAGGAGCCGGCTGGCCTCTTTCTCGCGCATGTCGACGCGGATGCTAGCGACAGCCGTGCCTCGCCTTGCCTGGGCCGCGGGGTTTCTGCCAGTGCCCGGGGCCTTGTCTCTGCTAGCATCGAAAACATGGCCAGCCAAGCGGACGAAGCAGCAGCGCGGGCGGTGTCGTCTCTCCGGGTCGCCCGAGCTGCTGCTTTCGGGGACGCAGCGGGGGCGGAGGTCGATCGCGAGGCGGACCGGCTCAGGGAGCAGAGGGGTGCGCAGGATACATTGCAGGGCGACGGCCTGCGTATTGAGGAGGACACCGGGCGGCGCTTCGTTGCCGCTGTGGATGGTTTTCACAATGCACTTCTTGAAGCCAGCATCGAACTCCCCGCGCCGCTGACGTTAGGGAGCGCGGGCGACCTGTGGGACGCAGCCAAGCTCCTGCGCGATTTGGCTAAAGGGGGCAGCGCCGAGGAAATACGAACTGCGCAGGGGGATTATCGCGCGAAGCGCGAATCCTTCGTCACCTCCCTGGGGCATTGGTTGAGCGCCCTCGCGCAGTGGCCGGGCGCGGGCGCCGACCGGGGGTCCACGGAGTTTTTAGAGGCCTCGGGGTATGGTGCGGTGCCTGTATTCTCTCGCGACTTGGAGGGCCCTGCCACGGCAGCTGTTGGCAAGGTCTACGACTGGGCGGCTGGAGACCTGCGAAGGCGCGCTGAGAAAGTCGAAGCCGACATGGCGCAGGCAGTTCGAAACTACCGGCGCGGCGCCCACGGGCAAGTAGACGCCGCACTAAAGGAGCTCGAAGAATCCCTGGCGTTATTTTGTATCGCGCTGATAAATGTTGTCCTTTTTTTTCGCTAATGCCTTGGCAGGGTACCACCGCTGGAGCCACGGCGGTGGTTTTCTTTTTGTGTGGATGGCCTTCCGGGAGGGGGCAGCAGAGCGCCGACCGGGATTCCGGCAAATAGGTAGTGGCGCCTACCAGTCCACTGCGCTGTTAGTTTTGCTTGGCGTGGTCCGTTTGGTTCTCGGCGCGGCGCTACCCCCTCGCCGCCCGCCCTATCAGGGATCACTTCCGGGCCGGCTAGAGGCGCGCAAAGCGTGTTGGCGCGGGTTTTTTTCTTTGGGGGTCGCGCGGTCCTGTGCCTGGAGGCGCTTCGGCCCAAATCAATGCATTTTGCGAGCCCTCCGCCCCCACTTGTGTCGGACTAGGGGCGCGTGGGCACTGCACCCCGCCCAGTGCCAAGCCACCTCGCCACCACTAGGGGGCAGGGGCGTTGGCAGTTCTCACACAGGCGGACCAGATTCCGGACGCCAGACCGCGAGCTACTATCCAACACCCCGAAGGAAGGAGCCTGCCGGGATGCGAGCAAAACGGGCACCCCTCCTGGATTTCCCAACCACCTTCATAGGGCTGGCCCCCGAGGCTGGGCGCCCCCAACCAAATGCCCGAAGCCACAGGCCCGGGGCTGTTGGTGTGGTATTTTGTTGCGCGCCGGGTAGCCGACGCAACCCACCGATCGAGCGGGCCCAGGTCCGCTTCCGGAGTTTCGGGGCCGGCCGGCCGTCTCCACGCACAGACGCGATGGCGGCCCGGCCGGGTTGCGAGCGGTGTGGGCCTCGTTGAAACCTGGAACGCGGCCCCGCCAAGGCTTTGCGCTGGCTTTTGTGTTGCGAGTGCATGGCCCCGCCGAGGCTCTGCGCTGGCTTTTGTGCTGTGGGCGCGTAAGGGGCGCTCCAGGGAAGGCAGCGTGGTGGGGCGCATCCGCAGGTTCCTGGCGGGAAGCCTGGAAGCATGTCGCGCAACGTCGCTCAAGGTAGGTGTGGCGCGCCAGCTTATGCGCTTCTGTAGCCATTGAAGCGACAGAGAGGCGAAGGCGCAGATGCGCAAGGCCGCAGGGCGCCCCCTGTCCTGGATCTCGCCTCCCGTGTTGCGCGGCCGGACGGGCGGGCGGGGTGACTTCGATGTCTCCTGCAAGGCATGTACGAGCAACCGATGTCGGGCTTCGCCCGCGCAGGATATTTGCTCCGCCACTGTGCAGTGAGCCTTGCCTGCAGCCTCTTGGCCCGGGTCTCGCTCCTGGGCCTGATCCTTCGGCAGCGGGCTGAGGCCAGCCAGCGGGGTTGAAAACTAATGAGGCCCGCCGCGGGCCTCTTCTCCAAACCGGCACCGGGCCAGGCGGGGAGCCTGGGTCCGCAAGGTTCGGCTGGTGGCCTACCGCCCGGTAGTCGTCTATCGATTAAAAAAGGGGTCGGCAGGCGACCGCGCCTACCGTGAATGCGGCCTCTCCGGCCCGGGGATCGTGTGCGCGCGGACGCAGCAGGCGGCCGCGAAGCGTGCAGGGTCGGCCGGAACCGTAGCCGACGGCCGTTGCTACTGTGGGGCGCCCTAGGTACTTACGCTGGACGAGGAGGCATGCGTGTTGTGGGTGCATAAGGATGGGAGGTTCATTGGGGGTTGCCGGGTACGTAGATATAGTCGACCGCCCCCGATTTAATTTTTTGGCTAGGGGGCCGCCGATCGGAGACGCAGGCACATTGGTGCGCTCTTTACGTGCAAGTTTGCGCCGCGCTTGTTGTTATTATTGATCACGAGCGCATGCGCAGCCCTACGCCCACGCGAAAGTAAAAGAAAAAGTATGCGGGCCTCCGACGGTGTATTTGCATGTGACACAAGGGGCGGGGGCCGCGGTCCGAGTTTGAGTATGCGATGGACACAGCGCATCCGCATCGGCTGGCCACGCCGGCCTTTTCTGTCAGCTGGCGGCGGTTTAACTGGGACAACTTTTATCACTACAGTAGCCCAGAAGCGCCCGGATGTGGTGCATCCTGGCAGCTGGAAGCCTGCCAATTTTCGTGCAGCCTTTACCGGAATGCCTGGGCACAGCGAGGAAGTTTTGGAACTGGAGCGGAAGCTGGAGAAGTTGAAGGGGCTATTGCATGCTTTTCGAGAGCGAGCAAAGCGGGTGAGTGATGTAATGGAGGGTTATGGGCAACAGAATACAGTAGCTCACGCAAAAAACGTGCTCCGTCCCCGGTGTGCAAGGTGTCAGCTGTTTCACACAAATGCAGGGGCTTTGTAATGTGTGCAAGACAAACTCAAACACAAGATTGAGCGTGGGCCCACAGTGTCGTGCACTTGATTAGCGAGCATGTGCCTGGTCGCGTCGCGAAGCTTCTTGACTATGCTAACTATAATTTGTGGAGCATTTTGCCACCAGATTGCGCCGCATGAAGATGGGGCGCATGATCGTGTGCTTTTCCTGCGACTAGCAGTGGCACTGGGGCTGCAAATAACGTGTGTGACAAATACTTGCATTGAGGGGCTGGAGGGCGTTTTTACAAAGGATAGGAAGATTATGTGTGTGCACAGCCCCCCCCCCTCGCCCTCGTTTGACGGGTATGGGCAGCAGCAGAAGTAGTAGTGGCACAATGATGAACTTGAACATCAATAGACTCTGCATGGCAAACTCGGAAATGGAGTGTAGTACAGGTTCGTTTGGGTTTCATCGCAACCTGCTCAAATAAGACAAAGACAAGGTGGGTCCTGGTAATTTTGCATGACAGATGAGTGGAGGGGGGCGTGCAGTTTTATAAAGATGGAGCTACTTCACAGGTCTGGGACGCATTCCTCGACTCCATCGAGCCGCCACTGAAGCCGTATTTGGACCAGCTACAGATTGCAGTATTTCTCGCGAGCGTGGCCCATCCGAAGTGAAAACAGCTGGCGCTTAAGTAGCTGCATGCTCTCTGCTTCAGGAGCAGATTGATATATTACTGTGATACACCTACAAGAACCCGGCTGGGCCTTTGCCTGAGGAAGCCCGAAGTCGGTGCTTTCTACTTTGCATGAAAAGCCTCGCTGTAACCGTCCCTGCGTTGTATAGCAAGTCCGCCGCCTGCTTCATGCATGATAATTTGCTACAATGGCATGACGGCGAGGACCCTCCTCGTCGAACTCGCCATCGCCTTCGCCACAGGAGGCAAGTAGTCTACCACAATCCTGCCCCTGCGTTCCGTATGTGCGGCAGCTTGGCGCGGCTCACGTTCAGTTGCATTCTGGGCATCATGTAGAAAACGAAAGTGCGTGTGCAACTGCTGATCCAGGCGCGGCAACATACAGAAAATGCTGCGTACTAGGTAGTGTGTGGCAGAGTTTCTTTCGGGTTGGCCAAGTTTTCGATGTTATACCAAATAAGCGCTGTCCAGGACGAATGCAACAAACTTCCCTTACCAGAAGCCCCAGCCGCCTCGGAGTCTCTATCTTGTACCCGTTTTAAAAACAGTCCAGCCGACTTCACATGCATCGTCCATGCAGTGTCTTTGTGTTCCTAGCATTCCAGGAAGAGCGCCGGGGGAGTGAAAAACAAAATGGAGGCTCCTGTGCTAGCACCTTCCAGTGCTATGAAAATGCTTCTGCTTTGCATGTTGTTTGTAAGGAGTTTCCACCGCTTCCGCTGCAGAGATTCGTATTTGTGTTCCCCTGCGACCGACCACAGGGACTTTTGGGCGGAGGCGCTAGCCCAACAAGCGACTCGACAGACGTTAAAAAGCCAGCTTCGCCAAGATCTGTATAAATAAATATTGGTATGTGTATGTCCGTAGTTTCTACGGACGAGGCTGCGTTCGCCCTTTGCCATTTCTGGAGCATTTCTATGTGTAAACGCCTTTGGCATTGCAATATAAATGCTTCTACTCGTCCGTCCCTGTGGATCAAAAGAGGAGGACACTGCTCAGCCAGGTTACCCGCGTCTTAATGCTGGCGGGACGGTTTTTAATTCGATGTCGACGGGCCGACAAGATGGGAACGAAGACGCCCTGGTGCAGGAATTGATTACACTAGTAGGGAGCCACTTGAAAGCGCGGAACGAGAACCCACTATTTGTGCCTGTCCAGCAGTATTACGATTGCCTCGACGAAGTGCAGTCATTTGTCTCTGCCGCAGGCCCTTTCGGTGACGACGCGGAATTCGGACAGTCCATGACAACCCCGCTACGCAGGTTTCGCGAAGTGAAGGATCAGTTCGAAGAACGTGCAAAAAAAGCTCAGCGACCTCAATTGGACCGTCTGTTCGTGGAAGATTTTCGAGAACAAGTAATTAGCCGTCAACAGGAGGACCACCTCGCTTTGAGCAATATCATCCAGCAGAAGCAGCGCGAGCAAAAGACCGCGCTAGACGAATTGCGGCAGCAGCTGCTAATGATGGAGGAAGGCGCACACAGCGGGCAGGCGCAGGAGCTGGACGATCTGCGTGCCAGGTTAGAAGGCATTGGTCTGCCGGCAGCTTGGAAGGAGGCTGCACGTGTCCATTGCAATATTCATGTTGTCGGCTCCTGCGTGAAATTTGTTCGCGGCACCTCTTCTGGGTATCCAAGTCTATACTCTTTTATTTTTTTGTCTAGGATGACGACGGACACGGAGGAACAAGAGCAAGAACAGGGTATTTACATACTTACAGGCGTCCAAGTAGGTACTTAACAAGAATGCGTGGCGCTGGCACGCTCGATGCTGCGATCTATTGAGACGTCTGCTCGTAGGTATTGACCTATGTGGTGTGGCGGACTGGTCTTTCGTTTTTGTGCCACCTACTGTTGGCGTACAATATGGAGGGGACAGGGCCAGCGCTATCTATGTATAATCACGATCCGAGGAATAAGTATAAGAGGAACATGGGCGCGAGGTGTGCACGCAAGACCCAGACAACATAATTATTTCCTTTGATATCTTGTTGCCTCGGTGATTCGTTGGCTGAAGACTTTGACGGAGAATTGGCTGCAACGAGCGACCGCATTGCCAGTGCTAGGAACGCCGCGGCGACACAGGGGGTGTTGGACCAGGTGGAGGGACATCTGAGTAGAGCAGAAGCAAGCTTGCGCGCATCGGCGGAGACGCTCACTGAGCTCGAAGCCTTTCATGACGGGATAATGGCAGCCAGTAGCAGTGCCCCAGGGGATGAGGTTAGTTCGGCCGAGCGGCTGGGTTTCCTGCGGGGTGCGGCGGCAGAAACGGTCGGGAGAATCAAGCAGCAAAAAACCCAATTGGCTGCCCTGGAACATAGCAATGAAGCTGCATCGTTGTCCCTTCGTCGCTGCGACGAGCTTCTGGGTGCGCAAGGCGAGGAGCGAGATGCTCAGGTAGGGGCAGAGGCCGACCGCCGTGGCCTTCGCAACAAAATCCTACTGGCAAAGGGCCTCTTGGATGCGGAAATTTCGGGGGCCGAAAATGCGCGCGGGAAGATTAACAACTACCCTCTGGAGGATGTTTTGGAAAAGGCGCTCATAAGTGCGCTGCAGCGAGCGGAGGATGCCGGCCGCGCTCTGAGCGACGAAGAGGGTGGTGGGCTGCCAGAGGCTTTCCAGCAGGCCTCGGTGAACCCGAGAAACGGCGATGGCTTTGACACGCTAAAGCGCCTCGCTGGCGAGGCTTTGGTCGAGATCCAAGCGGGCGCCGCTGGTTACGAAGAGGCAGGCGAAGCGCTTAGTGTTCTTTCGGGGCTGCGCGACGACAATCCCGCGCCCCCCGCGGCAGGGGCCCCGGCTGGCACTGGCCAGGAACAAAAGCGCTATGGTGCCGGGTTGCGCCTTCTGCGGTCCCGCGCGATCTTTGCACGCAAGCTTGCCGAAACCGAGAGCCAGGTCAAAGACGCCCTTGCTTCGCTCCGTGTGGATTTGGCCCGCCACATGGGCAAAGAAACCGACGGCCACCTACTTTCCCAAGATGCAAACGACCTTGCGGCGCTGGCCACTGGGCTCCGGGAGGTGTTCGCGCTGCCGATTGGCGACTGCCTGAGGGAGCTCGACAGGTTTTCAAAAATTGCGCCGCGCGTCGAGGACCCAGCGGCGCAGGGGCAGCAATTGCACAGCGCCAAATTGCAGGAGCGCGTCGCTGCCCTTGCCGAAGAGGTTGACAAACTGCGTAGCGAGTTGATGGAGTTCGTCCGCAAGGCCGGGGAGCGCAAAATTGCCACCCTCGCAGAAGCCGAAAATGCGCTGCGGGACGTAATGGAACAGGCGGGGGAGCAGTTCAGGGCGGCAGAAGGCGCGCTCCAGGGCGCGGCCGCCGCCATTGCTGCTGCGGACTTTCAAGAGCCGGACACGGTTTGGGAAGCCGCGGTGGATGCCGCACTTTCCGCAGGAAAGGCACTTCGGGCTGCAGGCTTCGGCGCCTTGCTTGATTCCCGCAAGGGGCTCGTGGTGGGACTTGCGCAAGGACCGACCGAAAACCCCGCATTGCCTAGTTTGATTGGTGAGGCAGGGAAATTGGCCGCAGCGATCGCAGGCCACTTCGGCCGCCTTGATGAAATGCAGCAGTCGGTTCGCGAAAAGCGAGCGGAGCTCGCGAAGGGCCGCCAAAGCAGGCTGGGCGAGGCCTGCGGTGACGTAGCCTCTGCCGAGGGAGACGAGAGAGTCGCGTTCCACACCGAGGTGGCCTCGGCCGCTCAGCTTGAGGCGTACCTGGAGGCGGCGACCAAGTTGAGACGGGCGCTCGCACAATGTCGGGAGGCCGCGCGCGATCTGGCGCATCGTATCAATTTCGAGCCAGCCGGGGGCGTTGTTCTAGATTCCGAGGGGAAGCTGCGAAAACTCGCTGAGCGGGAAGGGACGAAGCGGGCGGAGCTGCAAACGTATCTAGAGGCCGCCAAGGGAGCCCGGCGCCGTGCGGCAGAAGAGCAAGAACGGCGCGGCCGCGCGCAGAAGGAGACGAGGCTGGGGAAGCTCCGGGACTTTGCCCTCGGTCTTGGGGGAGCTTTGGCTGCCGCAAATTCGGCCATTCGCAGCGCGGGGGCGCTGAAAGGGCTAACAGCCCCCCCCGGTGACGCCGCCCGGGCGTTTCGAGACGATGCCCGCCACGCCGCCGGAAAGCTCGCAGCGGTGCAAAGGGCATCACGCCTGGAGCCTTCGAACCCGCTGCTACAGCAGGTGCAGTCTGCAAGAATTCGGGCGCAGGCCGCTGCTGGTGATGCGGTCTTGCGCTTTGCCTCCAGTATCGAGGCAGCGCTTGCCGGCTGCGCGGACATCTCTCGAGTCGGCCATGACGGTTTCGGCGATCGCACCGCCCTGCGAAGCTCGTCCGGGGAAGGCCAACCATGGCAGGACATGGCGCTGCAACGGGCCGGAGACATCCAAAGGGCCATGGACGGAGCCCGCATGAGTGCCGGCTTAGGCACCGCGCTTGACGTCGTTTGTGAAACGTACAAACTGCAGCCCCCGCTGCAGCAGCAAAATACCGTGTCGGACGTTGAGGCAGCTCTCCGAAGTGAGGCGGGGCGCGAAAAATGCGAAAAGGCGGCCAGCTTGGGCCGAGAGATTGCGCGATGCCGGAGCGGGCTAGAGGCTGTGGCAGTGTCTTTGCAGAGCGAGGCCCTGAACATGGCGACGGGGGGCGCCCATGCTGACGTGGGCACCTGCGCCGAAGCTGCCATCGAGGCGCGGAGCTTGGGGGAGGGCAGAATGCTTGCCACTGCAAGAGCAGTTTCCGCCGCAGCAGCGAGAATACAAGCGCGCGCCGCGTTCCTTGAGCAGTTTGACCCGCTTGCCGCGTCTACAATGTGGGGCACGGGCGACGGCCGCCAGGCCCGAACTGGCTTTGCGGCTGCGGCCGCAGAAAATGAAACCGCCCGTCGGGATTGCGAGGCAGCGGCCGCGGCCATCGATCGTGGCGCCCAACGGCTCGCGCAGGCCACGCGCCAGGGGTGTGAAGGCGACGGGGTGGCTGTGGCTAGAGAGGACGCATTGCGCAGCGGGCTCGAGGTCGTGCGTGGCGCACAGGAGGCGCTTCGGGCTCTCCCAAGAGGAGGAGGGCAATCCCCAGCCGGGCAGGCACTTACAGAAGCGGCGAGCGCCTGCCAGAATGCACTTGCCGAAAGGGAAACACGGGCGCGGCGTGCGTGTGACAGTGCAGGCGCTGCACTTAGCGGGCTCGCGGCGGTGCTCGGGCCCGCCGGGGTACCGGACGGCGGACACGGGCTGGGGCTACGACAACTCGCCGCGCCGGCTCAAATGGCATTGCGCGGGGAGGAGACGGTCAGGGCGATGCAGCGGCGGCTCGACTTAGCTTTGCGAAGCCTCTCCCCGGAAGCCGCGGGAGCCGGCTCGGGCCAGAACTGGCATTCTGTCGAGGAAGCATGCGTGCAGTTGCTCCGCGACGTGAACGATGCCGCGGCCGGACTTAGAGAACAACAAGAGGCAGACGCGCAGAGGGAGGCGGAGGGCGAGACGGCCCGCAAGGAGCTCCAGGGCTATTATGATCCCGACGGGGAACCTTTTCTCTCAGAGCGGAATGCCATGCAGGGCCCTCTTCAAAGACGTGAAAGGATATACTTTTCTTCAAAGACGTGAAAGGATATATATAGTAGAAAACTTTTCTCAGTGCGCCTCTTATGTAAAAGCCTGCGTTTGTCATGGGCGAAAGCAGAATAAGAAAGAAGTAAAATAAGTATCAATGGTTCAGCGCAACGGGCTCTGCCCTCGCTCTGCTTCAGGATCTAGCATGAAGGGGCTTCCAAATGCCCCGCATTTCCCGTGCGGCCCCTCTTCGCCGCACAGATGCCCGCATTTGTATCATGGCGGCTTTTGTTATGGCGAATCTTCAAACGCCGCACGCGATCTCAATGCAGCTAGTCACGCTACCTAGGCTTAGGTCATGGCGCGGCAAAGTGTTTTCATGAGGAAGGGGGCCCGCGTTGCCAGTACTGCCCGCTCCGGGGGGTAGGGACTCTTGACAGGGTCATAAGCACACGGACCGCTGTGTGGAAATTCGGTCCGTGGTTGAGCTATGTCCTGCAAAAAAATACGTCTGGGCCGGCGCAACTTTGGATGAACAGTGAAAAGAGCCTCCGCCGTTTGCATGCTTCGGGATGGAACTACGGTGGGCTTCGTTCTCGGGCTATTCCGGTTTCCCACCTCAGACAGTTTATAAAGTAGTTACTAGGTATGTATCCTGAAGCGCTTTCGTGTGCTGCTGGGTCATGCATTTATTCAATTTCCGTGCCGTTCTCCTTCTCGTTTCCAGCGATGTTGGAAGCTTCGGCATTGGAAGGAGGTTCCAGCATAACGCGATGAAGCGGAGCAATTGATTCTGTTGCAAGAAGGGCCGAGGACGATGTTCCGATCGGGACGTAACCTAAGCTGAATGCATTCGTCTAAAAGAGAGATAATAAATATGCATCAAAGTAGCCCGGCGTATTGATTCTTGCGTGGCATACCGCAAGAGTTTGGCAGAAGTCCCCTCTGCCCGTCTGGAATCGCAGCTACAGGAAAAGGTGGGTGAGGGGGAAACGAGTGTGGCTCAGCTGAAAGGTATTTTGGATAAGCTCCAGGGATTGCAAATTGCGTCGCCGCAACAGCAGCACCTCCTAGAAGAAGCATTCAGACACTGCGGAGCGGCGATGAAATCCGCGACGTTGCTTCGAGACCAGGCGCAACAAAGCATTCAGCACCGGCAGGCTGAAGCTACGGTGACCGTTTACTTTCGAGACAAAGGCGCTGCGATTATCCTATGTAAAAACGTCCCCACCGCCACCCCAGAGTTGTCATGCAAATCTGCATGCTGAAAATATTTGTCACGCGGAGCCCCATGAGAGGCATTTTATAGTCGTGATTCGGATTTTGTCATGCTCTAATCAGAATCAATGATATGCTAGATCTGTGATGCTGCTGCACTAGCTAAAACAGGATCACACTACGAGGCCAAATTTGTCATGGATAGATCCCACAACTTGGAGATTTGTGTTGCAAATTTACCAACTTGACTATTGGGTGCGGACGTTTTTCCACAGGATAGCGATCTGTGGGGGACCAGGGTTGGGCCAGGCTTCTCTCGGTTTACCGCTCAATTTTTCGCCCAATCCGAACAGCTTGGCGCACAAGATCATTCTCATATGACAGTGCGCAATTCTTCCTCCTCCGCATTTGTCATGCAAAAACCCAAATCCAGTTGCTACCTTGTGGCACTGCTTGCATGACAAATTCCGGAAATCCAAACTATACCACACTCGGCGCATGAACCTGTCATGCACAGGGTCCACCTGTACTGGTGATTGTAATGCTGTTGATGCCATACAAATCGAATCCAAATGAGGGGGAGGGGGAGTTGTGCACTCGGATATCTCAAAAACGAGATTTACAACGAGCTGCCACCAGAAACGGCGGAGCGGATCCTCGGAATCGATGTGCATTTTGGCCCTGCCCTATCCAAGAAAAAAACTGTGTTAGTGTAACTTTCTTTGGCTGACAGCATCACAAATTTGCTCTACACGACAGAGAAAACCTGTCATGCGTGGCTTGTAAGGGAAAATACACATGAAAAAAAAGAAAAACTTCATGGCTGTGTGGCATGACATGTGTAACTCTGTTGCATGTTCTGCATTACAGAGTTACACTTACGCAGTTTTTTTCTTGCATATCCCCCGGAAGGCGGCAAGAAGGTTTGGCTGATCAGTTTCCGCTATGCGTTGCAAATATGTCTGGGTCAGGAAGAGTTCGAATTTGTGATGCGAAGTCTACATCATGACAAAATCTGTCATGCATGGCTAGCAAAAGGCCCCAGTTCTTGTTACCGAAAGAAGGGATTTGTCATGCGGATTAGGCATAATTGGGACACCTGCTCAAAATCTGTGATGCTAGAGCTTGCATGCCAGACAATCTGGATCAGGCAAAAACTGCATCATTTCACAGATCTCACATTCTTCCAGACCCAGACAAATTTGCATTTGATATCCGCTGCGGACGCACAATTTCGTCCCGGGGTGACGACGAGGTGCTCGGAGCCTGACGAAGTCGAAGAGCTGTGCTTGAAGCCTGAAGGAAGAAGAACTTCTATTACAGTGAAAAATTATGCCCCCGCTCCGAAAGTTGCAATAATTTGTGATGCGAAGTGTCCAAATGAATACCTTTTGTCTACTTGCATGAAAGGACTATGAATCTTTCTGATGCAGCAGAGTCCGGTCATATACATACATCATCGCCTGCACGACACGCGCCGCTGCCGCTCTGGGTGGGGTCTTTTGCTGCAATACAAATTTTTGCTAGTCATTCTTAAAAATCTGTGATGCTGATACATGCAAGAGGGCGAGTGTTTCCATTGAAACGGTTTGCAATTATATATACAAGCGCTCAGAGCGCTTGTATATATCGTAGGGAGGATACAAGCGCTCAGAGCGCACTCTTAAGTTCTGGAGTAGGGGCGTTTTTCCTCACAATAACATCGCGCATTGACTACAAACACCAATCGTCTAGGCTGACGAGGGCAGCTCCCGTTGTAAGTAAGTAGTACCCACGGATTTTTTTTTTCGCAGCAAAGAAGCATTTATAGTTCCACCGCGGCACAACTCCAGGATGAAGTGATGCACCTGCATGACTACACATTTTCATCGATACCAGTACCGGTTGTCTTGTCCGATACGAAGAACCGAGCACCTCCGCTAGTTCATCACACTTTTTCAGGATATCGTGAGAAAAAAGTGTTACAGTTACACACTCTGATGCAAGACAAGCAGGACAGACAACCTCTCTCATGCAGGAAGTGCCTGCCAGCCTCATCTCATTCGTGTTTTCCCTTATACTCTGCGTATCACAAGTTTTCCTTGACATGCAGAGCAACTTTGTGGTGCTGAAATTCCAACACATGTGTAGCTGTAACACTTTTTTCATGCGATACAGGAGTAGACCCAGGCAGTAGAAGAAGATCTGCAAGGCAGAACGAACTCAGTAAAGGACAGGACAACCGCTCGTGGAGCGTACAGCATCGATAGTGCATCACCATCAGAAGTTATCGGACACATAAAAGAAACTACTACGCAAAAAAGAGCGTTCTTGTGCCGACCAAGTATTATAGAAGAATGACGTAAAAAATTCAGATTCATTTTTTATCGGTAAGAGAATGAAACAACAAGGCAAAATAATTTTAACGAAATACTCAATTTTTGTAAAGAGAAGTAACTTGTTTTTGTAGCCTGCTTTACAAAGCTATCCATACAGTGTCACCTCGAAAGGCAAGAAGTCTAGAGCATTTCAAGAACTACCAGCACGACAAAGAAAATGTAAAAAGAAACTACCTACTTCTGTGAAGATTATTTCGTACAAGAAAAAGCTTTGAATTTAAAGACGAAATCGCAGTGTAGTAAGTACCAGTGTACAGCCTTGCCAACAAGAATTCCACCTCTCCATAGCATGATCACACGATAAGAAGACGCATGCGCTGAATAAACTAAGCTTTCTATCATGAACTTTTCAGGGGGAAAATGGGAAGTGAAAGGCGGAAAGCTCTTGCTACACAAATAGATGGAAAAAGTTTTGCGTCAGTATCAATCTACATGAAAATAAGCACGACCATTCCGAACACAGTAAACATAAAAGAAAGACGATTTCAAAAAGAGTTCGAAAAAACAGTGTCACCCTAAGCACGAACAAAAGTAAAAAAATAGATCTGCGTCGAACGTAACAAGAGCTGTGATGACTAGTAGCAATAACGTAAATTATGCAGCTCCGCAAATGAAGTAAGTCTAAGTATAAGGTTTTGGAAACAACTTTCGTAGCGTGAAATAAAGAAGTAGCAACGTATGACTACCTGTGAAGTATCCTGTTGTCATCTTCGCATCGGGCGAATTTGCATGGCTTGCAATGTAGGGGCAGCTTTCATTGTGTTCCCCTCTAGGTGGTGCTGTAGTGGTATTTGCTGTCCTTTCGTCGTCGAATTCGAAAGCATAAGCATTCCTCCCTGTCGTGAAAAAGCAGGCTTCATCTGCCGAAAGGGACAGGATCAGAGAAAAAACGACTACGGAGCCACCGCCAGTGAGCAAATACGATTCGGTTTTTGTTTGTCGTGGTTCTACTTCTTCTACCTACCTTCATCGACAAGCGACATTTATTTCGAATTTACCGAGTTGCAATACATAGCACTGAGCATGCTTTTCGATGTTACCGCTGAGTGGGCGAGCTGTCTTGGTGTAAGTTGTAGTGGTTCCAGCTTACTAGTAAAAACCCTGAGCGACGAGGCAGATACGAGTGATCGCGGAGCGAGCTGGGTGCTGAGCGCTGCAAAGTCAATCGGCAACAAGTTGTGCTTTTTGTTGACATGATCCACATCGTGGTTTCAAATAGCTGCTTTAAAATCATGTAGCCCGCTTCGTTGAGAGACCGTCGTCTTCGTTTTTCTCATTTCACTTCATTTGGCGCAAGAGAATGAATTCATAGCAGAGTCTTCTTTTGAGGAAGACAAGGATATATTGACAAGGATGGCGAGTGCGCCGGGAGTGGTCGTCCTTGGTGCTGCTGTATCCACTGCAAACATGTCTGGGTCTGGAAAGTTGTGATGCAAGTCAGTGAATAGCGAGCACGCTGTACTAATGCGGCACCGCCAAGCATGACATATTTTTATTTTATATTTTTCCGAGGCTCTGTGTTGCATATTCCGCATGAGGAACAGCGTTTTATTTGCATGACAAACGCGCAAGAGAGTTGGCCACACAATACAACAATGTTTAGTGCTTGTGCTATGCCAGACTAGCATGGGAGTTCTCGTCGCATTCACTCCAGATTAACCAGAGATGTTTGCAATGCATATGCTAGTTCCGCTGGTGGACCCCCTGCCGCGGCGGCAGCGCCGGGCACTCTGGCCACCAGCACGGGCGGCGCTCCTATAACCCGCTCAGGTGTTACAATCTCATAACGTTACAACAGAGTCTGAGACTTGTCTTGCATAATGACAATGAGCGTGACAGACTCGCAGAGCGTTCCATTTTGTGCAATACAAACTTGTTCGCCAGATGATTGTAGTGCGGTTTGGGACCACTTCGGAACTTGTCATGCGCAATCCTAGGAGAGTTGGCTAGATAGTGCACCTATTGCGTCACAGATTTGCATATTCTATTGTAATGTTTGAGATTGTACCACCTGAGTGGGTTATAGCTCCCTTGCAGAGTTTCGAACTTTCGGAGGCTGAGCTTTCCCATCTTGTCAACCTCGCACGGGTATGAATTGCAAATATGTCTGGGGCTGGAATGATGCATTTCTGTAATGCTAAGTGCGGATCATACCAAAATAAAATCTGTGTTGCATGAGCGACAAACAAAGCTTTCTGCCTCCTGCGATGCAAAGAGCAAGTTTCTCATGCGGGATAGGGGCATCAAAAAGCCTGTGCGCAACCTGTGATACTTTTGGGCGCATATGACGCCATAATTTGTGTGGTGCAGACGTTGCATGACAAACAGGACCATTCTCCCAGACCCAGACCTATCTGCAGTGGATAAAGGGACCAGGACGCAGCCTTCAAGGCCTTTCTTCGTGTATCCTGTGCAAAAGTATCGTACTCGTACTAATTGCAAATATGCATGACAAATTCCTAGAGACATAGAATATATGGGCGAGACTAATCCCTATAGACATAGACTAACTGCAAATATGCATGACATAGAATATATGGGCGAGAGCCCTGCAAGACCGGGCGACGAATGTAAGTCCAGACGGGAAAAACGCCAAAGATACCCGCGCCTTCTGCTTAACTGTGTGAATTATTGTGTCGGCCCGGTCCTGTTTAGTCGCAGGTCGGTGTCCGTGAGATCAGAACTCACATGTTAAGTAACGCACGCCGGCTCCTAGCTTAGAAAAAAAATGATGAATTTATATGCACTTATCGCCCTACGGAGACTGTGATCTGACCTCCCTCTACCTCATCTGGTGGACGTCTGCCGCGGCTTACGGCTCTGGACGTTAACTAGGATCGAGTGCGTTGTGCGGGTTTAGGGTTTTGAAACATAATTTTGTATCTCCCACTGTTGCATGCACCTGCTGCAAGAACTTGTCATGCAAAACAACCTCCGGGTTGTTCCCGCGCTTCAGGAGTAGTTCTGTTGCGTGAGGGCGGCAGAAGATGAAAAAAGGTGTTGGTTTAGGGGGTTGAAAATGTTTGTGCATGTGTAATGCAAAAGATGAAAAAGATTCGCGCGTGGGAGCGCATTTTTAAGCACAACGGGCGGGTGCCGTTCCCGCCGTCACACAATCACATACAATACAATATGCGAATGGGGCCCAATCAAAAAAAAGAATATGCATGACAAATCTTCTTCCTATGGTAAAACAGCATGACAAATTGCACTTCTCTTCGTGCCAAAATTTGTAATGCAATTTATACGTAGAAGTAGTACGATACAATACTTTTGCAATGCATATCGCGCCGGTGGCGCAGAAAGCAGGTTTGCGCAAGATGAGCTGGGACCAGCACAAGGTCAAGTAGACCTAGCGCGACCCAATCGTCCCGTTAGAGACCATATCAAATGCAACAATGTCTGGGTCTGGAAAGTGGTAACTTGTGATGCTGTCTATGGATTCCAAAAAAATCTGTATTGCATGACTAGCAAAAGGAGTCCAGTTTGTGCTACACGGGGAGGGCATTTCTCATGCGGAATAAGCATCAGGAAGCCTTCTAAAGATCTGGCACGCTAGGGCATGCATTACAGGCGTCATTGGTCATGCCAGACAAGCATGACAAACCCGGTAACCTTACAGACCCAGACATTTTTGCATTTGATAGACCTGATGGGTGCGCGTGCGTCTTCGGCCGACCTGCAAGAAGAGGCTAGCTGCAGGAGTACTACTTCTACTAGAGCCATCCATCCTTCATCCTCGAACACTCTGCCGCCGCATTATCCCAGCAAGAAAAAAATGTCACAGTTGGTTCTACATTGGTTGCAAGTTCAGCAACGCAGACTTTCTCTGTGTGACACCAGAGAAATCTTCTTGGATGAATTATGCAGCGATCAAAAATGAAGAGGAGTACACACGTACGTATGACACTACTAGGCTCCTGAGCAACATAATTAATTGATTTCTCTGTCCTGCATGACAGATCTTGTTTATCTTGGTTGGCCCGCAACACAATGTGGAGTAACTGTTTACACTTTTTTCTTTGCATACTCCTGCTTCATCCTCCTCCGGTGGGAACATCGTCGATCAGCCTCCTTTAGGCATTATAAACAAAGCATCGGACTTGATGTACCCTACCAATTGCGTTCATGAATGACATCAGATACTTATGGCCTCCTTTTTGATTTTTAGCAAGATTATTGTACAAATTTCATTTCTCATCAACATGGTAGGCGAATTTGTGATGCTGTTTCTGTTTGAACTTAGCACGATGCTTTTGCGTTGCATATCTTTTCGGCGGGTACGCCTTGCAACTTCTCTATTTGCGCTTCAAGGAGCACCAGAAGTGGTCGCAGCAGCAGGCGAGGGCGGGTAGTTGTGGCAGTATTGGTACGAAAAGCAAGTTCGGGAAGACGTCGTCGAAAAGCAGCCTGCTGTCCACGCAGGAACTGTCCGCTGCTAGGAAAAGATATCCACTGCAAATATGTCTGCTGGGTGTGGAAGTGTGTACGTGTAGACATTTGTCGTGCTGTTTTTGGATCTGACAGAAGGTCTGGAATGCACGCATTACATGAGAAGTTCTACTGCGGAGGCTTTCTCATGCCCAGCCTGCATGAGAAAAGACGTCTCCGGGATAGTATGTCTCTTTTGCAGACTATGCAAGACAGATTTTTCTGTGTTTCAAAATCCGCATATAGAAGTTTACATCCCTCCAGACCGAGACATATTTGCAATGCATAAAACGAGTGCCAGCACAACTTCGCCTGCTACCGCCGGTCGTCCCGGTCCGGAAAGCGAGGCGGAGGTGGACTCACCGGCAATATGACAGTGCACAACGCTGCTCCCTCGTCCCGCTCGTTTGTCATGCAAAATCCACCAACGTCCACAGTAAGTTGAAGTTCATCTTGCCTTCACGGACTGTCTGCGGGACAGGTTCATGAACTCTCGAAATCGTGTCCTCTTCTCACTCCGGTGCGGTCGTGCAGATTTGTCATGCAGACGAGGCTCTCTGGCGGGACGTCCTGCCCGTAGATCATGCGGACGAGACCGCATGACATTCACCTTGACCGATGCTTGTGTTGCTGCTGATGCCCACCTTCAAATGGGGGGGAGTGGGGACGAGGTCGTGCACTCTCATACGCAAGCCGTGCCAGCTACGAAGGGGGAGCAGCCTCAATAAACATGGATGTGGAGGGTGTCACGCGGGCGTCGGGGAACGAAGGCAGGCTGGGCGCGGCGGCTTCTTTTTCTCTCGACGAGGATATGAACTGCAAAAGTATCGTACTCGTATACATGCATTGCAAATTTCCTCACCATGAGAAATGAAATCTGTCATGCTGCTTTACCCGAAGAAAAAGATTTGTAATGCAAGACTTGCAATACGAGTACGATACTTATACTTTTGCAGTGGATAGAGGAGGCAAGTAAAAACGGCAGGGAGAAACTGCAGCTGCTATGATCCACAGGAATTTTTTTCCCGTAGTACACGAGGACGTACAATTACAAATGCGATTACTGCATGACAAACCTTCTCGCCGATGATCCTATTCAGCATGACAAGTGGCAGGATCTGAGTTGACAAAATTTGTGAAGCATGGTTTTGTACGTGTGCTGCGGGAAAAAATGACTTGTATTGCATAGCTGCCTTGGGTGCTCAAGATGTTGGTCCGGCGTCGTGCCTATCAAATGCAAATATGTGGTCTGGGTCCTCATCTTCTTCCCTGCGTACTAGTTGTACAAAGGTCGTTTTCTACTTCCCTTTGCTGTACTGAGGTCTTGTTTATTATGTATTCCAGACAAAGAAAAGCAAAACACCAGACATATTTGCAGTTGATAGTGCCTCGTCCGAGGACGTTCTTGGGCAGCGTCGTAGCCACCAACCTGCGGAAGTCCCGGAGGGGGCAGATGAATCTGTCCTGAACAAAAGCAAAGCCGCCGAAGCGCGTCGCGGGCGCGCAGAAGAGCAAACGGAGGTTGCTGAACTGTTGCGTGTATCAAATGTAAAAATGTCTGGGTCTGGAAAGTTGTGGTGCATGTCACTGAATAATAAGGACACTGTAATGCGCCGCCAAGCATGACAAGTTTTTTCATGCTTCTGTGTTGCGTATTCCGCATGAGAAACTGCGTGTTTGCATGACAGGCTAAGTAGAGGAGCTCTTGCTTGCCACGCAATACAGATCCCAGAGTCGTGTCAGACTAGCATGACAAATCTCGCAATCTCCCAGACCCAGACATTTTTACAATGTATAGCGTGCCGAGCGGTTTCTGACGGAGGTCGAATCTCTCACCAAGGAGTATGACCCGCTCAGACGTTACAATCTCAACTGTTACAAATACAATAGAATCTGGAAATCTGTGATGCAAGAACTGCATGATCTAGCCTACTCCCATAGGATTGCGCATGACAAGTTTCGGAGTCCCAAACCCACCTCAAATCCGGCATAATTTGTATTTCGAAGCGCTCAATTCTCTCTGCGTTCCTCATGCTCTGTATGCAATACAATTACAAATTCCAGACTCTATTGTAACGTTTGAGATTGTAACGTTTGAGCAGGCCATAAGGAGGAAGGCCAGCACCTCGCCCGGCCGCGGAGCCGCCCGGGTCCCTCGGCGTACGAGCAACAGTACTTCATTCCTTTGTATAATAAGTGGACCTCTTCCATCAACAGTGCGGCCACGTCGTCGCGCGACGCAGCTAGCGGCGCTTTTCCGCCGTCGCACGGCGCTTCCTTATCAAATGTAAAAATGTCTGGGTCTGGAAGATTGCCAGGTTTGTCATGCATATTTTGAATGACCCATGATGTCTGTGATGCATGCCCTAGCATTACAGATTTTTGGAACAATTTGCGATGCCTCTACCGCATGAGAAATGCCCTCTCCGCGTAGCTCAAACTGGAGTCCTCTTGCTGGTCATGCAATACAAATTTTTTTCGAATCCAGAGACAGCATTACAAGTTTAGAATCTTCCAGACCCAGACATTTTTACAATCCATATTCCTGCGACGCGAAACAAACGCAGCACAGCAAACGGCTGCCCATCACTACCCATGAGTATCCTGAGTAAAAACGTACCCACACCAGAGTCAGGATGGGGATTTTGCAACACAAACCTACGAGCTTTGTGAGTCACGCATGACAAGTTGCGCTATGCGGTGTAGTGCAGGTTAGCAAGTGCAGCCGCATCACAGATTCATCTGCTCATCCTGTTCGCAGCATCACAAAATCCAAAACACGATTGGAAATGGCTCTCATGGGGATGCGCATTACAAGTCTTCCTGTCTTTGCAAATCTGCATTACAACTCTGGTGTGGGTACGTTTTTACTCAGGATAATGAGAAAAACTGTGTTAGTCTAGGTGTTTTATTGGGGTAAGAGCAGGACAACCTACTTCCCCTGCATAACACAGATATCCTGTCATTCACAGCTTCTACGTGAAAACACATAGGATTTCACAGTGGCTTCGGCTGGCTGGCATAGCAAGGAAGTGTAACTGTGTTGCATGCTATTTACATTTCACACAGTTCTTTTCTTGCATAATCACCGACAAACCCGTCCCCGCCAGCGTATACGCTGTTCAGCAGCAGCAGTATCTTCTGTGGCAGCAGCAAGAGCAACAGTTTTACTCGCAGCACACTGCAGCAGGAACTAGTAGTGCCAGCACTGGAGTTATGCAAAGACAAAAAGTGTTACACTTACAGTTAAGTACACACTTTGTTGCAAAACGTCAGACAAACTTTGTCATGCGCAAAATGCTTACGAGACTTTATTTTCCATGTGTGATGGGCCTTATCATCCCCGTATTGCAACAAACTTTCTCTCTCATGCAACGCAAGTTTATAATGCTGAAGCTGAACTCACTACAACGAATGTGTTGTAAAAACTGGAAGGAAACACTTTATTTTTCCTTGGATATTAGGAGTCGAGCTACCGTACCACAGAACATCTAGTCGCGGACCAAGCGCCGGCGCTACAACCTCCAACGGCGCAGCTGCACTCGGCTTCGACATTGATATGACCTCCAGGAGCGCAGGAGCCGGAGCCCCAGGTGCAGGAGCCACTGCGAACAGCTCGGAGTTGGATAGAACTGCGACTGCTGGTGGTGGTCCCACATCAACATCTTCAACTCGAGGAAATTGTACCGACACGATGTTTGTCGCCGGGGGCCCCGCTGCTCCACATCTCGGCTATAATAATCACACCGCTTCCAGTACAAGTACTTCGCTAGTAAACGACGGCAACCTTTACCACCGGGAAGCGGGTGGTGCAGGAGCACCTGTTTCGTCGAGCACCAATGGCCCGCAGCTACATGTACATCAACACCAGCACCGGCCCTGCGACATGGTAGATGTCAGTGACCCGATGACTTCCACGCAAGGCGTTCTTTTTGATCACGTTTCTACCTGTTCCGTTGTTGCACCACATCAAGAATTACTCGCCCCGCACCATCACCCCTACAATACGGCTTCGACTGGTGGAGGCCGCGAGCGCGACTTTTTTGGAACAAATCTCCACCCCGCGCGGGGACGCACCGCTGGTTCTGCGTTTGGCAATATGAACAATCATGTCGCATCTATAATTCCAGCACCAGCAGGAGCCGACTACTACACAAGAAGTTCTTGCTCTGTGGTACACCCGAGTGCGGGCGGGACTAGTGCTGCTACTGCAACGACATCAGCAGCTTCGGCTGGTAATGCAGCGTTTCTTGGCCGCTCGTCCTCTGGCGCGGCGTACAAATACAACAATTACCCCAATCACCTGCAACCGCCGCCGCGATCATTATGAGAGTGCACAACCCCTCCTCCTCCTGATTTGTCGCGCAAGAGACCAAATATTTTTCCAGGCTGTGGTGCCTCTTAGCACTGTGTGCATGACAAGTTCTGGCAAAATCCCAAATAGCATTACTACACTCCACGTGTGGAGATTTGTCATGCAAAACCGGCATTGCTGCTGACGCTTGTAGTGCCGTTCATGCTATACATAGTACAAATGAGGGGAAGGGGGGGCTGTCCACTCGCATAGCGATCCGGGCGCGCCGCCGGGGACCTTCTGCGAGACCACCCATCTTCGAATCCGGCCATGGACTGGTTTTACCATCGGATTGAGGTTCTCGGCAATATGGATCGCAAATATGTCTGGTTCTGGAAGAATGTTGGCCGTGTTTGTCATGCATCTTTTGGATTCTGCAAATGGTCTGCCATGCACTTAAAAGCATGCCAGCTTTTGCGCAGGCCTTCTGATGCCTATCCTGCATGAAAAAATCGCGGCTTGCGTAGCAAGAAATGGGCAGGCCTTTTGGCGCTCATGCAATACAAATTTTTGTCTATTCCATAATCCGCATCACAAGTTGCAATCTTCCAGACCCAGACATATTTGCAGCTGATAGGCAATGAGCAGCTGCAAAACTGGGATCAGGGATTCGACATCATGGAGCTCGAGCTTGAGGTTTTGAAGAAACAGAAACGAAAAGCGAGCAGTAAAGACGCAATCTCGTCGTGTGGTCCTCCTGCTGCGGAAAAAGATGACAAATCTTCTATTACAGCGACCGATGGTGCGATGACTCGGATCCATCCGTCCGCTGGCGAGGAGATGAACAAACCGCTCCAAAGTCGACGCAACGGCGAGGATGAACTGCAAACAGGTCCTACTAGTTGTACCTCCGGAGCAAGTTCTTGCGCGGTGGAAGTAGATCAAGCTGCGAACAAAACTACTTCTACGGGGAATGCAGCTTCTACTGCGCAAAATCATTCCACCACGACCGGGTGTTCAACAACGTCCTCCTCCTCGGCGTCGTGCAGTACGGCCGGTTGTCAAACCAAGCCCACGTCTTCCACCACCACCACCACCACGACTAAAGCGGAGTTTTTATCCTGAGTAAAAATAATGTCCCCACCCCAGAGTCAAGATGGGGACTTGGACTTCGCAACACAAACCTAGAAGCTTTGGGACTCGCGCATCACAACTTTCAGTCCGTAGCGTAGTGCAGGTTAGCAAGGACAAACGCATCACAATTCCATCTGCTTATCCTGGTTACAACATTACAAATTTTTCAAAAACACAACTAGAAATGCCTCTCATGGAGATGCGCATTACAAATGTTCTTGCTCTTGCAAATCTGCATGACAACTCTGGGAGGGGGACGCTTTTACAAATGATAGTTTTTCAAGCTCCTGCCTTTCTTGCACCGGCGGACGGAGCAGTGCGGTTTCGAGGCGCTGGACCGGTACGAGGGTAATCCGAAGCTATCGAAATGGAAAATCCCCCCTCCCCACATCAAAACGAAATTTCTGATGCCGGATTTGCGTACACAAATCAGATTTGTCTTGCAGTAGGGGACTGCAGGCCCATATCATGCCAATGTAGAGAGGTTTTCGCCTAGGCAAGTAGGATGAGGAACGTCTATGCTGTAGGCCTAATAGCATTACAAACCGCCTGCATAATGGGGTGGGGCCTATGCCGTTGCTTTCTTGCAAGACAGATTTGTGGTCACAAACACAAATCAGCATCACAAATTCTCTAAGGCGTGCCTTTTCGATTATATGGGGACGAGGGAGCATTTTTCCTCACGATAGACGCTGCAGCAGATTCGGCAGACCTACCGCATCAAGAACATTGGGGTGAACCCGCACTTTGCCCACCTGTTTCGCGATTTGGGTCTGGTAGACAACCATACCAAATGTAAAAATGTCTGGATCTGGAAACTTGTGATGCTGGGTGGCGTCTCATGGTGAGGCCACAATTGCTGGCTCAGCATGACAAGTTTCTGAGCTTCTAGGTGTTGCCTATTCTGCATGACAAACTGCGTTTCTGCATCACAGAAAAATGGAGCTCTTGGGTAACGTGCATGACAGATTTAAGAGTCATGCCAGACAAGCATGACAAACATACACTCTTCCAGACCCAGACATAATTTTTACAGTTGATAAGCCAGCAGATCAAGCAATTCGTCAAGAAATTCGTCAAGGATCCCGGTTTATGCATTGCAAAAGTATCGTACTAGTATAAATTGCATTACAAATTAGCCCAGCATTACAAATTGAATTTGTATTGCTGATTTGCCTTGAGAAAGAAATTTGTAATGCATAAATGCAATTACAACTACGAGTGCGATACTTTTGCACAGGATACGGGTCCGTATGATGTGCAAATATAATGTCGGAGTCTGGAAGACTGCAAGACTTGTAATGCTCCGCTGACAGGAGAGAAAGATGTGTCATGCATGTTGCGCTACCAGGCGAATTCTTTGTTATGCAAAAACGTAATTCCAATTTCTCATGCAGTGTACGCAAGACCTAGCCGATCAGAAACTTGTCAAGCGCGTCCCCATATTGGAGGTTGCTTTATGATTCGCAAACTGGCATCACAACTTTCCAGCCATTATATTTGCAATGCATAGTCCGGACTGATTCTGCGGAACCAGACGCGAATCTGCACGAGGGCGCAGCTGCTCCAGGCGGTCACGGGCCAGCGTTATCCTGTGCAAAAGTATCGTACTCGTATTGTAATCATGCATTACAAATCCTGTTCTTAAGGCAAACTAGCATTACAAATTTTATTTCTCATCGTGCTGAGGGAATTTGTCATGCATTTATACGAGTACGATACTTTTGCAGTTCATAAGCGCGCAACCATGACAAATGGGGAGGAATTCGCTGGAAAGGTACGCGACATTGTATTGAGTTTACCGATGCTTGAGCCAAGAATAGGTGTCACTGCGGGGGTGTACGAAGCCCATTTTTGCTTTCGTAACGACCCTGAAGTTTTTTTTTCATCTGTGAAGTCATCTCTCCATCCCTGGCGAGCAGTTGCATTTCTTGGTTTGTGTGCTAGACCACGCAAGTAACGAAAGCTCACTGTCACACCAAAACCACGTCAGGTTCGCATTCTCTTGTCCGTCTACGGGAGTTTTGCTCTTTATCTTGGCAAAATCTTTTCAGAAAACAATTGTGTAGAAGTTGAGTAGAAGTACATAAGTGCGTATCATTCATTGCGGACCCACTTTTTACTCCCGGCAAACCTTTGGAAATTCAAGACTTGTCATTTGACTGAAGATCATGCAAGAAGCACTTGTTTCTTGCACGTTGGTGGTTCACCATGGAGGATGACGATGAGGAATTGTATCTGGAAAAGATTTTGCCAGGTGCATAGTTCGAAACACTTACCGCAAAAGTGGAACAAATTTTTCGGCAGCTGCAGTAGTAGTGATAGCTCCTCCACCTGTGCAGCAGCAGCAGCTTCTGCAGCTTCACCGGCCACCAGACCAGGAGCTCCTACGACAGATGTTGTTTCTGAGTCCTTTTCTGCCACCAGCACAGCTTCGTACGCCGAGGCGTTGCGACAGGTGATGGCAGAGAACGAAGAAAATGGAGGATCTTCTTCTTCTTCGTCTTCTTCTAGTCAGGATGTCGACGAACAAGTTGTGGACCAAAAGAGCAAGCTGCAGCTGCCAGTACACAACGGGATCACGACGAGTAAGAACAAAGGCGACGAAAAACAAGATCTCCTCACGAGCGGCGCAAATGAAGATACGACTAAGTTCAACAACAAAGATGACAGCACGACGAAACAAGTTCTTTGTGCAGACCGCGACGAGTGGCAGTTTGTGAAGGCGCTGCTGGAAAAGGAGCTGCGGGGGGTGGTGAGCTAAGCAGTGCAAAAATACTTAATTGTGGGGTCGTACAACTGCTATTGCTATTGCATTAATATACAAATTTTGTCAGAAGTAGCTCTAGATGGGAACAAGATCGAGTGTGTCATGCAGATGTAGGTGAGATAGAATTAGAAAGAGATGAAACACATTCATTCTTTCACACAAACGCAATTTAGCAACTACTAGTGCGGTCGTTGCGATACTTTTGCACAGGATACGAGGTTTATTTCCAGGCACCCGGCGTCGGGGAGTTTTGCAGATGGCAGTTCGGGTGCGGCTCGTGGGATGAAAAGGAAGACGCAGGAGAGAGTTCTTGCGGAAGAAGATGTTGCGGAAAAGGAAGACGCAAAAAGTAAACACGACGCGGGACGAAGCAAAACACAAGTAGAAGAACATGTGAGGACCATCAACAACTCAGCAGAGGTGGTTGAGATACAGGAGCTACTTCTCGAGGAGACTGGTGCGAATAGCGTTTCAGCGGACGCCGTATCGAATGCAAAAATGTCTGGGTCTGGAACGTAGCAATCTGCGATGCTGCCTTTGGATTCTACATCAAATCTGTATTGCATGAACAGCAAAAGAGGTCCTTTTTTTGCTACGCGGAGGGGGCATTTCTCATGCGGTATGGGCATTAGAAAGTCGTCACAAATAAATCTGTGACGCTAGGGCATGCATCACAGACATCATCGGTCATGCAAAATGTGCATGACATTCTTCCGGACCCAGACATACTAATTTGCAATGCATACGCTGTCACGCCAGACGAAATCGAGCTGGGAAAAGAACTGCCGTGGGCAGACGAGGTATTGCAATGGTTAGAGAAGAATTAATGACGATAAAGTCCAAAGAGTACAACTTCTATTCATTTTCGTATCTGTGTTGTCTGAGCACGCAGGTAAGTAACTGCAAGAATGAATTTTTAAGCGTGCAACGAAGCTCGTGAACACGGGGAAGTGTATGATCAAGATCGGTATCAGGATAGGCAGGACGTTATCAAATTTATCAGAATCAATCAAACTAGTTGTAAAAATTTATGCTCGAGGTCTCTGTACGTCTATGTGTACTCGTCACGGGCCTGCACAGTTCCTCCTGACAGCATCCACAGTCAAATGAACTACAACTTTTTCAGTTATATCAGAAAACGACAAGTGTACCTACGGTATGAGAAGTGAATAACTATTGGACCACGAGAAAGCACGCGCGAGGTCAACAAATAGCATTTTATTATTTTATCCTCCACCTCCGAAGGCGGCGATCCGAATCCGATCAGTCTGATGTCTGTGTTGAGCTTGATGCACAAATGATGGAATGGATCGAGGACGAGGTGTAGTACTACTTACTTAGTTTCATCGGAGCCCACGTCTCATCTGATCGGCGGTGTCTTCTTCAAAAATTCCGCCGCACCTAGTATTGCAGTCTCTTTGATGTTGAACTATTTATCTTGAAGCTTGTGCTGAATTCAAGTCAGTGTCGAATTGCGATGTGTGAAATGAACTTGTACTTTTGATGGCTATTAGTTTCTGTGGCATTGTTGATGATCAATCAAGTGGTGCTGCTTTGTGGTCCAACGATCTGGAAGATAAATTGGCAGAAATGTATACCTGTCTGTCAACCAGTGTCGATGTCGTCACACCAGCACAGGAGAGCCCCTCTGCCTGTTGTTGTTCCGAGGTGAACAGTTTTAGGCGCAATTTACTTGGGCGGGGACCAAAACTGCCACCGCTGGGAATACGAGAGGTCTAGGGTGGTAGTCGAGAAAACGTTTTTATGTGAAAAACAGGCGACGACGTGGACATTCAAGCCGCACAATGAACCGATCGGGCATGATTTCCGAAAAAGGGTTTCTTTCAATTTCGTTTTCTCTGATTTTTTTCCGTTTTTCGCCCCTGTACTTGTTTTGTGTTTCGTCTTTTTGGAGGTTTCGTTTTCCTGCTGAGGTTGCATTGTTTCGTCCGTGCCGAGGGTGGTGCTGATACGAAAAGGATCAGTATCTTGCGGCCTTGACATCAAAACTTCCATCTCCAATTGAGGATCAACATATTCAGCTTTTTCCGAGAAGTTCGCTATATATGATGTTCAGGACGATTTCTTTGGGACGGCCCTTTGAAAGCGACGTTTTCTTGTCGTCTTGAGAATGAAACGCACGCATTTTTTAGTGCGATCTTTAGGTGGTGGCCCGTAGTTGTTACATGTAGGGACTAGACCATCAACATCAACTTGAACATGTTCTGCACCACCAAGCCGGTCTGGTTACTCTAGGACGGCGGCATGTGTCGTATGCTAACTGTAAGAAGCTGATTTTTTATGTATGAGTTCTTACATTGGCTTTACTTGTTTGATCCCGCCACAATTTTCTTGAAATTGAATGTCAAGATGAAGTTTGCGTTGTGAGTTCATCCGGGCGGAAGAGGTATTAAGGGTCAGAGAAACTACTGTGCCCACTTCTCGTGGCTCGTCTTCCTCTTCGCGTCGCCGCAACATTTCTGCGTGCAAGGAGCAGCGGGATCGAGTGGAGGGAAGTACTGCATCCTCGCAATTTATTATACGGAAAAACCGAAAGTAGAGTGTCCAGCTCCAGCACGACGCGGACGCTGTTCAAGAACCACCGTGCAGCTCGTCTTGAGGCAGCTACTGGCTACTAGCAGTGCAAAATGAGCATGCGAGGCAAAGCAGTTTCGTCCTCCAGTGGGGCAACCTCCGGGGGGTCTCCTGGCAGCCCTAACGCCTCGGCAAGGCAACGAGGGTCGAAGGAGCTTGACGAGACCAGTACCAGCCCGACAAATCGCGGGTCCACAAATGGCGCAGCGCGAACAAGCAAAGAGATCGTCGCGCCAGCATCTTTATCAAATGCAGATATGTCTGGGTCTGGAAGAGTCATGCTGCTTTTGCATGACAAAGAAGGTCTGGCATGGGAGCTCTAGCATCACAGGTTTCGAGAAGCTTCCGCTATGCCGAATCCGCATGGCAAATGCCCCATTTGGGTGACAGAAAGTGGGCAGCTTTTGCTGCCTGCGCATGAGAGATTTTTATGCGTTGTGAAATGCGCATCACAACCACAAGTTTGCATTCTTCCAGACCCAGACATATTTGCATTTGATAATCTTCTAGCGCGGTTTCCTATGCGGTATCAAGCGGGACATGATGGAAAACAGTGGCGTTTTTATTTGGTTTCACTTCAGTACTTTGTCGCGTTCGTCGCAACAATAATTTATAACTTTCTGCCGCCCACTCAGTGTCAGTATCATTCAGCTTTCGAAAGTTTGCAGAGGCTCAAAAGACTTGGATTATAGGTAAATCCATCCTAGCTCCTATGCGCTGGCGCCCCACAAGCTGCATGTGAAAACGCTTGGTTTCACGACGTCATGATGTCCGTTCCATACCCTACGACGATATTCTACATGAGCCTGAACTTTGCGGTCTCGGTGCTGATTGTATCAAATGTAAAAATGTCTGGGTCTGGAAGAATGCGCGATTTGTCATGCAGCTTTTCCATGACCCATGAAGTGTGGAATGCAGGACCTAGCATGACAGATTCTGTGCGATCTCTCTCATGCCCATCCTGCATGAGAAACTCCCTCCCGACTTGGTCAAAACTGGACGACTTTTGGTAATCACGCAACACAGATTTTTGCATGTTTCAGATTTAGCATGACAAGCTGCATTCTTCCAGACCCAGACATTTTTACAGTCGATAGATTGTGTGGGTAAACAAATTCGCCTTCCAGCAGGGGTTCCGTATCAAGATGAAATTTGTGCTGATCCGGGATCTTGTGAAAAATGTGGTGATCTTGGTGATGCTCTTACTTATTTTCGTCAGCATGGTGAAGAGGTAAAGTAGATAACAGAAGATAAGACGGAAAGATGACAGAGGATAAGACGCCGCACGCACACTGGATCAGGATATTGCCCATTTGTTTCATACGCCGATGGAACATTTCCCTGACGACACTACATTTCCTGTTCACCTACATTGGCTTGGAAATAAGCGCCAGGTTTTCATTTTTGGTCTTTGTTTTTTGATATGGGAAGAAAAGACTTTATGCTTAGTAGCTATGTCATGCGTTCGATGCGCTCCACCAAAACCAGTGCCAGCGAGCGACGACTAGTTTACTGTGGACTGAAGAACTTCTTGATCGTCAACAGCACGTCCTCGCGCGGCGAATTTATTTGTTTTTCTGCATAAGGAGAAACAAACTCTTTTTCTTTTAGGTTCTTCAACCTGTTTGAGCCCGTGAAGATCCCGGCCCGGAAAGTCGCCCCGATGTGCGCCGCCTTTTGCGGCTTTGTGGTGTTTAACAACCTTTCTCTGCATATCCTGAGTAAAAACGTACCCACACCAGAGTCAGGATGGGGATTTTGCAACACAAACCTAGGAGTTTTGTGAGTCACGCACGACAAGTTGCACTATGCAGTGTAGTGCAGGTTAGCAAGTGCAGCCGCATCGCAGATTCATCTGCTCATCCTGTTGACAGCATCACAAATTCCAAAAAACGACTGGAAATGGCTCTCATGGGGATGCGCATTACAAGTCTTCCTGTCTTTGCAAATCTGCATTACAACTCTGGCGTGGGTACGTTTTTACTCAGGATACTGCAGTACAACCCGGTCGGCGTGTACCAATTGTTGAAAGTGTTAACCTACCAAATGTAAAAATGTCTGGGTCTGGAAACTTGTGATGCTGGGCGGCGTCTCATGATAAGGCAACAGATTTCGGCTCAGCATGACAAGTTCCTGAGCTCCTAGGTGTTGCCTATTCTGCATGACAAACTGCGCTTCTGCATCACAGAAAAGCGAAGTTCTTGGGTAACGTGCATGACAGATTTAAGAGTCATGCCAGACAAGCATGACAAACATGAACTCTTCCAGGCCCAGACATTTTTGCATTTGATATAACCACACCTGTCATCGTCGTTCTACAGAAAGCCACGCTTCCGACGAGCCAGATGCTGGCGCTGATCCCCACCTGCGTGGGCGTCGTACTGGCCACGGTGACGCACTTGGACGCCAACCTGCTGGGCGGCATCTTCGGCACCCTGGGCATACTCAGCACCTCCTTCTACCAAATCTGGGTCAAGTCAGAACAGGTATAGAGTATTGCCATCGATGAATGATGTTGTGCGCTGCCCATGAGAAATTTAAATTTTTGCAAGCCAGCTGCTGCTCGACCAGCAGCTGCAGGGTTACATTTCATCTACCGTCAGAAGAAAAATTCGAAACCTGTCAGGACGCCCTGAAAGTGAGCGCTCCGCAGCTCCTCTACAACCAGAGCTTTTGGAGTTTCTGGGCGCTTCTTCTCTTATCTCCTTTCGTCGAAGAGGTTTTTCATGATACGGGAAGGAAAATTGACTTCTGTAGAAAAGAACTGCAGAACAAGAAAATGAAGTACACTGACTCCACGTGGTTGTAACTAAACACGGTTTCGTTGCTCTGGGATTTTTGCCACGACTCCCACATGTTGCAGTTCTCAGTCTGCATTTTTTTTCATTGATCTCTGCATTCATACATGGAGTAAGTGGTCGTGCTAGCTTTGGATGCTGCAGGTGCGGAGTCGGTGGCAAAACAAAGAAGCGTACCGCAACAGGACGCAAAATAAAGTGGGTACTTCACCAAAGAAGTCAATAGTTTTCCCCTCCATGAGAAGCCCAGATCCGCTCGTGGCGTGCAGCTGGGTAAGTTAGTACTTGCAAACTCGTTTTTGTTACCTGTTTCTACAACTCCAGCCTTCTCTTTGGCATTTTTTCATGCTGATGTAAGCATGCTGATGCTGCTGAAGTCCAGATCTAAAATGGCTCCTGCGACGTTTCGATCAGTTTCACAGAAATAATTTTTCCATTTTCTCGTGCAGCACATCCATGTACTAGCTAAGAAAGTCAAAAAAAGAAGGTCCCCATGAAACAAATAACGACCACCAGGCCTCCTCACCCCTGACCCTAGTCGCCGTGGTCGGGTCCGCCGGCCTGGCGTTCCTCGTCAATTTGAGCATTTTCCTGGTCATTGGAAAAACCGATGCGGTTAGCTACAATGTTCTCGGACACGCTAAATTGTGTTGTATTCTGATCTCCGGGTACCTAGTTTTCGGCGAGACGGCAACCTGGAAAAATTTGGCCGGGGTTGGACTCGCGGTTTGCGGTATCGTCACCTACACGCATATATCAAATGTAAAAATGTCTGGGTCTAGAAGATTCTGAGACTTGTCATGCATGTTTTGCATGACCCAGGACGTCTGTAATGCACGCCCTAGCATCACAGATTTTTAGAGGGCTTCCTGATGCCTACTCCGCATGACAAACGTCCTCCCCGCGTAGCACAATATGGGTAAAACACACGGAAAAGGAAGAGGCTACGACGGTAACAGTGGAGGAATGGAAAGGGAAAGAAGCACACATGGCAACAATTGAAACGAGGCAGGACCACCTAAAGACAGAAGCTAGGGCAGAAGAGCGCAAATTCGTAGCGTATTGCAATAGCGCCATAAGAGCGATAGAGATGGCGAAGAAGCAGCAACGCGAAGGGAGTGGAGGGGTGTGCGTGTGTTTGCTGGATTGCGATGAGATGAAAGAGAAAACGCGGGGGCTCCTGCGGAAGGAGCAAGGGATAGCGCTAGAGCTGCAGGAGGAAATAGAAAAAGCAGAGAAACAGAGCCCGGGCTTAATAATAGCCAGGCGCTGGGGGAAGCAGAACGCGCCCAAAACCCTCGCAAAGAGAGAAGCACAAGGGGGCTATACAGAAGTGATACCCCTGAAGGTGGCAAACGTATCGAAGCACGATGACGAATATTCCGAATGGGTGCAGTACGACTTCAGTGCAAAAAATGTACCGACAAAACCGATCTGGGAATGGCCGGAAATGTCAAAAATAGAAAGACAAGTGCGCATCTACCGAAAGATAATAAGAGATGAGAAGAAAGAAGGGCAGATAACGGAGAAGGGAAGTGGTGGCGGCGAGGATGACAGAAGGAAAGGCAGCACAAGAGAGAGGAAGGGGAAGGGGGCAAGTAGCAGCGCGAAGGGAAACCCTCACCGCGGAGAAGGCCCCAAGGGGAACACTGCTCCAACAGACATGAACAGGGAGACAGACAGCGGGTCACTAGCGGAAACAATCAGAAAAATGGTAGAAGGGGAAAAGATAAGAGCACACAAAGAAGGAAGCGAAATGCTGCAGAGGGCGCTGGACATAATAGGAAGGGGCACAGACCTACTAGAAACAGCTGAAGACGTTCCACAAGAATCCCGCGCGACGTCGAGCAGCAGTACTAGGAGAGGCGTGCTGGAAGTAACAGAAGAGCGAAATGATTCACAAAAAGAAGAAAAGCGTGAAGAAGAAGAAGAAGCGTGCTTCTACTCGGCGCGGGAGTATCAGGGAAGCCGTCCAGGATACGCATTCAAACTTGGGCGCTTCGGTATGGGGTATCATAAGGATCAAGGACCGGAGGAGGCAACGCGGGAAATGTTCCAAAAAATTACAATAGGGGGGCTAGGAGGCAAACTGCCCAAGAGGGAAGCCGCGAAAGAACAGAAAACAACGAGCAAAGAAATCGCAGAAGCTGCGACGCGACACGATAAGAAGACGCAGCAAGTGAGCCAAGTGCCGGAGGAGGGGGAGGAAAGAAACAAAAGCGACACCAAGAGAAGCAGCCGAGCCAGGCGGAGAGGGGGGATTTGGAGGACTGAGACAGAAAATCGCCCAAGATAAAAGCGAAACAGAGATGGTGAAAGAAGTTAAAAAGGAAGAAAAAAAATTCCCAACGCTGAAGGAGCTGAACGAGAGAGACCGGAAGCGGGACCGCGAGGAGGCAACGGAGCGGGAGGAGGAGCGCAAGCGGCAGGAGGAAAGGAGATCTGTGAAAAGAATGAAATATGAAAACCCATTACAAGAAGAGTTAGCCAAGATGTATAGGGACAAGCACTGAGAAACAATGACGAAGGAAATATATTAAAAAAGAAAGAGAACAGAGAACGAAACAAAACGACGCGAAATGGGGGCGCAGTGTTCTGGGTGTCGGCGGAGGGAAGAGGAAACAGAGGAAAGAAAAAGAAAGAGAAGAAAGAAAGTGGTCCCTTTGGTTGTCTCAGCTAGCCCGCAAGGGCTCCGCTCCCGCTAGCTGAAAAGCACGGCGCTGCTAATCATCTCGTCCTCGCCAGCCGGTAGGCACGGCGCTGCTATCCTGTCGTCGTCATTGCGTCTTTTTTACTAGCGAGTGGAAACAGGGTTGCTAAGTCAAAGACTGCGCTAAGGCAGCGCCCCCCCTTCCCCAAGGGGTCCCCCCGGGGCGGGCGCGGTGGCGGCTCTGCCAACGCGGAGCTTCAAAGTCCGACTCTACCTATGCGTATACAAAGGGTGCGCGGAAATAGGTCGGTAAAGTGCTTGAAAGGGGCATGCTTTGGGGTTGCCCGTCATCGTGATAGGGTCAACGTGTGTGACCAATAGACCCCCTGTATATCTAGCGCGCAACCGCAGCAGCGTTCAAAGTTTGTAAGAATAACCCAACAAGGCAACGCTGGAGCTCCACCTTGCTCGCGGGCTTGGATGGTAAATCAGGTCAGCCACATCTAGCGCCCACTGGCCGTGCACGCGTAAGAAATCGGAAACGGTTCGGCGGATGCGGTCGGGTGGTGCCTGTAGGACGTGGAACGGGTGTCCACCTAGGGTATTGGCAGAGGCTAGATCTGTTCTAGCGCCACGGTATTGGCAGAGGCTAAATCTGTTCTAGCGCCACCCTGACAGGAGTCAAATGTCAAAGCGATACGATACGCGTAGCACGAACTAGACTCCTGGCTCTTGCTGGTCATGCAATACAGATTTTTTTAGAGTCCAAAGTTAGTATCACAAGTTCCAATCTTCCAGACCCAGACACTTTTGCATTTGATAGCATCTAAAGATAACCGCCGGGCAGAGCGCTGCGACGGCGGGGAAGAAGGGAAAGTGAAGATCTGAGGGTTTCATGTTTCTGAGCGGGAACAACTACCCGCAGGACCAGGAGCGAAGGTTCTCGGTAAGTACCCGGCAAAATTTTGAAATCATCATCATGTGTCTGTGTAGCGTTTGTGTATTAAAAGCTTAAGCGTGTAAAAATTTGTAGAGCGTTAATGTACCAATACGACCTGAGCACAGCCAGGCCGCTTGCTGCATGACCATGAACGAAATTGAACGTACATCGTATCCTGCTTCTGGGGACAGTTTGAGCTTTGCTGCGTATGTCAAAGAAAAATATTACGAATGACTGCGCCAGGACGAGCTCGTTTCCGTTTGAAATTAGCATTGATTTGTTCGGTCCCTGGCACTGCGACGGGCTTTTGGTGCGCTGCGCTCGGCGATAATAGTATGGAACAAGAAGCGATCTTCAGACAAGTCACGGTCCGAGATCGTAAAGAGAGGCTTGACCTCCACCTAGTGGGAAAGAAAGTACTTAAGTAAATCAGGACTATCTATACTGCAGTTCCGACTGTGTAGTTTGTGACCACGATCTTGGGAAAGATAAAGATCCCGAAGTATAGAGGGATAAAGATCCCGAAGTATAGAGGCTGCAGTGAGTAGTGCGCAAAAACAATCGAAGATCTTGCTGGCACGAAATAGTGCAGATCTTGGAAATGATGAAATCTTTTTTCATTGGTACAAATGATATGCAGTAGGGTCATCAAGATTCAAAGATCATCAAGAACAAACCCGGCAGGTGGACATGTTTTGTTCTGCAGCTGAAAATACCCTCTTGCTCTTCTCGAACGCAGATATTCTTTTCCTTTTTAGCGCAGTGATTGATAGTATTAAAGGGGAGTGAGACCACGCGCACAGTTCCTCTTTCGCTTTCAGCTAGAAGTCCTTTTCCTGTACCTCAAAAGAGTTTAGGTAGCGATTGTCGAATCTTCGGCACTTTTTACTTTGTATTCGAACCGATTTTCGACGACACACGCAAAACAACGGTGGTGAAATAAAGTTTCAGCAATATACTTCTGAAAGAACCGAAATCTTAAACCATCATGGGCAAAAGCGCGAAGTTTATGCGAGTGGCTTCACACGAGAAGCAGAAGCGCGTTTTGAAGAACAAGGACTGGCGAGACAACGGGCTGAAACAGGCCAGAATAGACGCGAAGAGGGAAAAACGGAGCAAGGCCGCACTGGTTTTCGGAACTGAAAGGAGGACAGAGAAGGGAGAATCTGGAATAAGTAGTACGAAGGCAATTAGGGCGGACCCGACGGCCGCTCAAGGCACACCAGGAGGTACGTAGTTGTCACTTTCTGGATAGAAGTTCTCTACGATAATCTTCTTAGAAGAGAGTTTAAAAGTTGAGTTCCAAGAAGAGCATCATCAAAACCAGAAGATATGGTGCTGTTGTTTGTCATTGTCATACTCCTAGCTTCGCACATCACAAAGACACTGACTACAATCTTGTTACAACAGGGCTTCCCTTCGGGTCTGATATGATGGCGAAAATGCGGGCAAACGTAGCAGAGCAAGCTGTAGCGAAGGACGGGAACAACAAACCGCATCAAAGTGGGGCCAACATTATGACGGGACAAAAGCCGAAGTCGAAGAAAGTGAAAATGGGGAAAATCAAACTACGACAGGCGGCATAAATATCCTAGATGCAGCTCGAAGATCATGAGCATGCGGGACACATCATAAACGACAAATTTTTCCGCCTGACAAGAATTGCACGAAGTCAAGAGCAGCACACTGTAACTGTTTCAAGCAGCTGTCAGAAATAATTCAGTAGGCGCAATAGCGAAGCATAAGCAGATAATGACTCTGACATCTTGTGGCCATGTGTGCAGTGTCTCGGGACGGCTCTACTACTGCATAGGTCTAAGCAGATGTGCCCCAGTATGCTGCCGATGTTGTTCCCATGAATTGCCGCCCTTCATCATGATCATCATCATGTGATTTATTTCGGAAGTAGGTTCGTCAACTGTCTCTGTCTCCCAGCGGTTTTTTTGCCTGAGAAAGGAGTTATAACTAGACATCCATCGTGTACTAGTAAACCAGAAAGTGAAACGTCGACATTGCAAGTTTGTACTGAGAATTGCCGAAAACCGTAAGGAAGAACTTCGTACACCATCCGACGACAAGCCCCGAAATTGTCCGTCTAAAAAGATCGGTGAACTTGAGTCTGTCATCGGTTCGTTTTTTCTGCCAGAAAAAGTAGAATCAGAGCCTACCAGCCGTGCACCTGCTCGTTCAAGAAAGTGACATCAAGAAAAATCCTCGTGACCACCTAGAAAACGATCGGTTTCGTTTTTTCTGCAGCTCGAATTATGACGAAAAGCCTTCAGAATCAGAACAAATTGAGTGCGTAAAAAATAAAGAGGTAGATGACATCGGTTCGTTTTTTTCTGCCAAGTATCACGTGAAGAATGAAGATGAATCTCAAAGGTGTATGGAAAGACACACAAGTACCAGCCTCGTACGTACATGATACAACAACCCGATTATAGTGCCATCTGTAAAATAAATCACATTCATAATTTGTCCTCCACTACATAACAGTCCCTCCTGCGGATAATTCTACTCCAGAATTCCCCCACTAGATTACTTAGGTGTAGTAGTACTCCTGCTCAGCTGGATTGCTGAATTACAGCAACCGTCGTGACTTGTACAAAAACAAGTTTACTTTTTCCAAGTGACAAAACCATAGCACAAGCTAGAGCATAAAGTTGCAGTAGCACTTTTAGAAGCTTCGATCGAAAAGAAAAAAAACTCGAAAAAATGCCGCCACGTCTGCAACGTGCGAACTCGCAGTCTATTGACGCGCAGCAGGTTATGCAGCGTCTGTCGACCGTCGAGGACGATGTTTTGAACTCCCGTGATCACGCCGGTGGCGAAGGCGCAGTCGGCCAAGCCACGCAGCAGGGGTAAGACTTATATCAGTACTGGATTTTCTAATTCTAAACCTTGATACAAGATGATGTGCATAGAGATGAAGCATCTTTTTTCCACTATGGCGTCGTGTGTTTGTCGTCGCTGATTCAACATCTTGTTCGCCTTCTGTGTTTATTGTATCGCTGTCGCATCAAAATCAAAAACACCTTGATAATGAACAACATAACACGACAACTTGTAGGTGCGACCCGACGGGGTGCTTTGAGGGCATCTTCGGTGGCGCCTCGGACGTCGCGGACGACGGCGAGGTCGATGTGGTCCTGGTCGGTGGCGGGATCATGTCCGCCACCGTCGGTGTGCTGCTGCAGCAGCTGGAGCCCATATCCTAGGTAAAAACGTTCCCACCTCAGAGTAAAGATGGGGATTTTGCAAGACAAACCTACAAGTTTTGGGCGTCACGCATGACAAATTTCAGTTCGTACTGTAGTGCAGATCAGCGTGGGCAGACGCATTACAAATCCATCTGCTTATCCTGTTTACAGCATTACAAATTTCAAAACACGACTGGAAATCATGCCTATCATGGGTATGCGCAACACAATTGTTCCTGTCATGCGAAATCAGCATGACAACCCTGAGGCGGGGCCGTTTTTACGCAGGATAGCCCACCTGGAAGATCCGCATGTACGAGCGGCTGTCGCAGTGCGGCGAGGAAGCTTCCAATGGGTGGAACAACGCGTATGGAGTTCTCAAATGTTACATTTTCAATTGTTACATGATTTGTCATGCAAAATTCCAACCGAAATCGACACGATCAAGCTGCTCCGCATGACAAATCCTCGAAAGGCCAAACAAGCTGAGAAACTGTTGCAAATCTGTCATGCAAGACGCGGAAGGTCACCCCGTCCACGTTTTCCATTCTTGCATCACAAATTCATGGAGCTATGCCGTTCCGGAGCCTGTGGAGGCTTGCCTCCTCAGCTATGCTGGACAATGGCAATGTCGGTGCGGTTGTTTTAGCATCACAAATTCATGGAAAAGTTGAGAATGTAACACTTGAGAGCGCCATAACGCGGGCACCGGGCACGCCGCGCTGTGCGAGCTGAACTACACCCCGGAGGTGAAGGGCGAAATCAACATCGAGAAGGCGGTGGCTATCAACGAAAAGTTCCAGGTGTCCCGCCAGTGGTGGGCCTGGCTGGTCACGCAGGGCGTGCTGTCGAGCGACACCGCGACCTTTATCAACAACACCCCGCACATGACTTTTGTGCACGGGGAGAAGAACGTCGACTTTCTGCGCCGCCGGTTCGCGTTGCTGAAAAAGGAGCCCTATCAACCGCAAAAATGTCTGGGTCTGGAAGATTGGAACACTTGTCATGCACATTTTGCATGAACGATCATGCCTGTAATGCATAACCTAGCATCAGAGATTTTGCGAGGGCTTCCTGATGCCTATACCCCATGAGGAATACCCCCTCCGCGTAGCATAAACTGGACTCCTCTTGCTCCTTACGCAATGCAGATTTTTTTGGAATCCAAAGACAGCATGACAAGTTTCATCCTCCCAGACCCAGACGTTTTTGCAGTTGATAAGTTCCTGTTCTCGGACATGGTCTATTCCGAGGACTCCCGGCAGATCAAACAGTATTATCCAAGCAAAAAACGTTGTTAGTGTAAATTTGTGATGCGCAACCTGCAAGATGATTGCGTCTGTCATGCTTGGCATGCGTCGTAGGGTCCAATAAAGGGCGTTTTCACGTACTATCTGCGCATGACAGGTTTTTGCTGTCATGCCAGACAAATTTGTAATGCTGTTCCTCCAAAAAAGTTACACCTACAATGTTTTTTTCTTGGATAAGTATAGATAAATAGCTAGTTGGTCGTGTCGGATTCGTATGCATTCGGTTTGCTGGATTTGCGTATTTGCTAGTGATGCAGCTACAAATGCAAGTTTTTGTCATGCGTGTGTTCTTTACATCCATGGGACGCGGCTTCTTCGTGTGCTGTCATGCAAAAAGAAGGCAACTATTAAAACTAAAACTCCAGGTGGGCCCCGCTCCTGTACTCCGGCCGCCAGGGCAACGAGCCGATTGCGTGCACCTACTTCCAGAAGGGCACGGACGTCGACTACGGTGCGCTGACCAAGCAGCTGGTCACCGGATTTGTGCGCAACGGCGGACAGGTCCGCATGAATCACGATATCAAGGCCCTCGAGCAGATGCCGGACAAGTCCTGGAAGGTCACCGTCTACAAGCGCGACTTGAGCGCCGGGAGGCTCAGCGCCGTCAAGGCGAAGGTATAGTACTCTAGATGGACAGCTGTCATAGTGTTTTTCTTTTTCAGCGAGGGGGTTGAGGGTATAGGATTTAGAGTGCACCACAAGCTTCCTACTAAGTAATATTGCTGGTTGAACATGAAAAACAAATCCTTCACACCAGTTCATCTTCGTCGGTGCTGGGGGTGCATCGCTGCAGATCTTGCAGAAGTCGGGGATCCCGGAGATCCGCGGTTTCGGCGGCTTTCCCATCAGCGGCGAGTTCTTGGTTATGCAAAGAAAAAACTGTTTCACTGTGAACTTGTGATGCAGAAAATGGAACACAAAACCATTTGTCTTGCTACACCTGCAAGGCAGTGGATTTTCAAGCTTCTTTTCCCTTGGGAAGCGCGCATGGCAGATTTTCAGTGTCATGCGTAACAAACTTGTGATGCGGATCTTGCAAAATCATCACAGTGAAACAGTTTTTTCGTACGATATTGGTGTGCCAGAACCCAAATATCGTGAAGCAGCACCCGGCCAAGATCTACGGCAAGGCCGCCGTCGGCGCGCCACCCATGTCCGTGCCGCACTTGGACGCCCGAATCATCGACGGCAAGCCCATGGTGCTCTTCGGACCCTATGCCGGCTTTTCGCCACGGTATGTTTACTACATTTTTGTTCTACTTGGCTATGGATGCGTGCTGCTGTGTGTGTGTTGCATGACTTTTGTCCTTATTTCTCATAGACCACAGCTCCATCGTGTTAATAAAGAGTTACTTCCATCAATTTGCAGGTACCTGAAGACCGGTTCTTTGACCGATATGTTTTCCACCCTGCGTCCGCACAACATCCTCCCCATGGCCGCCGCGGGCCTGCAGAACTTGGACTTGACGCTGTACCTGATCAAGGAACTCATGGCCTCCAAGGAGAAGAAGCTCCAGGCTCTGAAGGAGTTCATTCCGGACGCGCGGGCGGAGGACTGGACCATTGTCACCGCGGGGCAGCGTGTGCAGGTCATGAAGGCCGACGCAAAAAAGATAGGTACTTACTACTATTTGAGGTGTGATGTATCTTGTCATGCATGAAAACAAAGCGTACAAACAAGTAGTCGTAGTACACGAAGATGATTTCTTGTATAGCTCCTCTACAACGGTGGTGAAACTTCTGCGAAAATAACTGTACAGGTATTCTGCAGTTTGGCACCGAGGTGGTGGCCTCCGCCGACGGAACCATTGCGGGCTTACTCGGCGCTTCTCCCGGTGCGTCGGTGTCAACCCAAGTGGGCGTCGACGTTTTGTTGGGCTGCTTCCCGGACCGGGTGGCCGCCTGGACCCCGAAGTTTAAGCAGATGATTCCGTCCTTCGGCACCGAGCTCAGCTCGAACCCGGCCATGGCAGAAAAGATCATGGAGGCCAATGCCCGGATCTTGAAAATCTAATTTATTTCTACTGCGGTTTACTACTAGAGGATAATAAAGTAGTAGTCATAGGGAATGTTATGAATAGGAAGCACATGATTTGTTTCTTGTCAAAACAAGAATCTTCGGTTTCTCTTTCTGTAGTTTCATCAACAAAACGATAACGTAAAAGCAACAAGCAGTAGTGTCAGAATCTTCTCGAAAAATCTATGCAGATATAGTATACCTGCGCACGACCACGACGAAAAAATATATGTACGATCGACTCTAACTAATTTTTGCGGTTTGTGACGAGTGGTCACTCACAATCAACTAAGTTTCAAGCTAAGCGGCAACGGTTGCAGCCCCTGCACAGATGAGACCTGATTTAGGACAGCAAAAAACCTGGCTCACAACCGAAATTCTGTAGGCTACTGAATCGTTTTTACTACAGGATGAAATGAAATGGACAGGAGCATTCTACATATTCTATTCAATCACACATGTTTTTGCAATATCTATTCTCTTCTTATCCGTATGCTGGTTCTATTGAACAATAATCTATCAAGCCCCTGTAACTCTATATGAAACCAGACGACACATCAATCTGCAGCAGAGTTGACCGCACTTTCTTGCCGCGCAATTATTTGCGCGGCAGGAATTTTGACGAAATCTCTGCTGCAAAAGCCCCCAAGTACCCTCTTCCTATGCCCAAACCTAACGAGGGTTGTCGCGGTCTGCACAGTAGACCGTAGGTTCGTCATCTTTTTATTTCGTCGTTTGCTTCATCACACACTTTTTTTACCATTTTTAATATTCTGTGCGCCGTTACTAGTACAGCGACGAGCAAGGTCTTTAATAGTTTCCCCAAGTTTATTTGCTCTAGGGAGGTTAATACGGGAGTGGCAAAGACTTCATAGTTTCTCCTCGAGGTTACGCTCTAGGAGGATGCGATATCACACGGGAAAAAAAAGATACTCTCTGCAGTAGACGTCTAAGGTGCTTCTAGAGGTCAAGCAGATTGTTTGTTGGCAGAAGATGAAAAAACAACTTGTTTCAAGCTCTTTTTCTCGGGAAAGAATGGTAAGAAAAAGCGAAAATAAACCCTCAGCACTCGGCGATTTCGTACGCCGACGGTGGGGAACCAACCAAGACCTCGAGGTTTCCTGCTCGCGGGCAGCCGGTGGAGAAATAAATGTTCGTTGTCCTGTCATGAAGATTAAGTACATTCAACGGTGTCGCAGTCTCAATATGCTCTTTCGCCGGACGTTCTTTTTGGCGGTTACTTTTCGTGGCAGGGGCCAATAACAAAGCTGATGTAGTTCCACAAGAAAGATAAATTCGTGACCAACAACATCAAAAAATGTCTTCTCCCGACGTCCCTGTGTCGCCCGGTTCCACCTCTTCTCTCCCTGCCCTCGACGCCCTTGGGCTGTCAGACTCCGAGATCATCACTCTAAAAGCCGAACAACCGGACAGCAACGCCGAATGCGTGATTTCCCTGCACGGCGCGCACGTGCTTTCCTGGACTGATAAATTTGGCAATGAGCTGCTTTACATGAGCAAACGTGCGAAATTCGACGCAGCAAAGAACCAAGCCTTGCGCGGCGGGATTCCGATTTGTTGGCCGGCGTTTGCGAACAAAAAGCCGGCGATCGGCAAACACGGGTTTGTGCGGACGAGTAAGAGTTGGACAGTAATCGATAAATCGGAAAGCTACTGCAAACTCCAGTTCTCCACTATCTACCACCGGTGTGCACACGATGCCACCTGTGACGAGAAAAGCTTCGACATGGCGAATGACGACTCGTCTTCCGTGCTGTTTCGGGTGGAGTTCTTGTTGAAGGAAAATGCTCTTGGAATACAGTTGTCCGTGCTCAACGACCACGTAGAAAAGCCGTTGCCGTTTTCTTGTTGTCTCCACACGTATTTTAAAACCAACGTACTGGACCACGGAGTAAACGGTGCGAGTTTGCAGGTAAAAGGGCTGAATTTCGCTTCGATTTACGAGAAGACCCGGGAACTGGGGAAGGAATGGAAGGTGGAAGCAGATGCAGCTGCTGGTGCCAATGGCCATAAACAAGACGAAACAAGAACAAACGCGTCGTCCTGCGTCGTAGTGTCTGTCGATGGCAAACAAGAGGTGGAGCGGATGTTTTTTGTCGACAAGGTGGAAAATCCACTACCTACCTGCGAAACCAGTCTCGGCGACTACTGGGAGTATGACTTGACGGACCTGTTTCACGAGGGGAAGTACCGGGACAAGGAACAATGTGCGGCGTTGTGGTCAATAGCAGAAATTCCAGATGCGCAGCGGATAATATTGCAGCCAAGTGGTGGAGCTGCTGCGAACAACGAAGAGCAGAGCAATGACGTCGGCACAACAACTTCTAGTACACCAGTAAAGCGCGCGATATCGGATATCCTTTAAGCTCTATACCTCTGTCGGGTTACCGGACTTTGTGATATGGAATATTGGGTCGTCCAGTCCGGAAAAAATCCCGAAGGACATGGAGAAGGGAGATGAAATGAAATACTTCTGCGCCGAGCCGGGGATTGTTGAGGTCGACGCAGAGGTGCAGGCGGGGAAAAAATGGCAAAGTTGGCACGTGATTGAGGTGGAGAATCGGGAGGTCGTCGTGTCCTCTACAGAGGGTGGATTATAGAGCAAGTACTTCTTGGCTGCATGTAGAAACTCCGGTGAATTGAACCGACTACAACGTGCTCGAACGAAGCGCAACCCGGTGCGGCTGCCTGTGTCACGGGAGTCGTGTGGGACTGTAGTGACAGAATTACAACTCCTGCATCTTAAGTAGAACCTTCGGGCAAAACTCTTTTTTCCTCGGCTGTTGTTGGTTCAACCATTTTCCTTTCGACTAGAGAGACGATAGCGTGGGTCCTCTGCATTGGTCTGCTTCTGAGTAGTTGAGTGCTTAAGAACGGGGGAGTAGAGTAGACCTGCCAGAGTCGTGCAGACTTCGAACCTGCAAAAGTGAACAAGAGTAGTTTTTAAATACATTTACTTGGGCAACAATTTGATATCAATTGAAGTTATCGACGATTGAGAAGGAGACCGGAGTGCAAACAAAAGTGCCGAAAAGTGGAAATTCGTCCGGTGTGAAGAGGGGTGAACCTCCCAAATCTGCTTTTACTCGGAGAGTGAAATCGTTGTGCGAATTAGAGAGCACAGGTGGAGCAGGTGGATGCGGATTGCCATTACTTCTTTTTGTCAGAGTCCTCAGGCTAAAACATCAACCAGAACAGTTGCGTTTGAACACTTATTTTCACTACGTCCGCGTGAATGTCCCTAGAAGTTCTCTACTCGTAAATCTTTGACATTCCAAAATGGCTCCAGGAGCGGGCGCGTCTTCCTCCTCTTCCTCGACGAAGCAGATGTCGAGTACGGCTTTGGAGGTGGAATTTTGGAAGTTTCTTGCCGGTGATACCGTTTCCCTGAAGCAGAAAATCCCCGATGTGGCCATTTTCACCAAGCGGTTCCACTTCGAGGGGCACTACCACAGCACGAAGACGGGGCTGTTGGCGAAGAAGCCCAACGCCACCGTGGATTCGTTTCTCGCCCGCGTGCTGGATATCGCCCAGGAACGGCACACGGCAAAAAACCAGCCGTTCGGCAGTCACACGCCGGCCGCCATTTTGCGGAAGGTCGCCCCGGTGGCCGGAGCGAAAGACAAAGAGGGGTGTCCGGTGGCGGTCATACTCACCTCGTCGGAACTCTCGCAAATCATCCAGCAAATAAAAAACAAGTCCTTTGACGACTGCGATGTACTGATTTGTACGTAGGATAGCCTTCCGTAGTACGTGGCTTGTTTCGGTTTCATGTTGAGAATGCGTGTACGTACTAATTTTTGCTACATATTTTTACTGCTGGACTAACATTGACACACGACATCGGTCTCGATCTCCATCTAACAGGTATTCAGCATCCAGGCGATTGTCGAGCCGTTCGAAGACCAGAGAATAGTGTCTGTCTACAGCTGCGATCTGATGGGTGAGGAGCGGTCGGACATCTTTGGCCGGACGTTCCAGAAAGTTTATCCAATCGAGCAGGGAAAACCAATAGAAATACAAACGCCGCAGGACGTTGCGATGGACAAGTAGAATGATTGAGAAACCTAAATTTCGTTTAGTGCTTCTTTTTGCATCAGGACATCTATTAGCATACAGTATGCTATCATCATTCCTCTGCGAGCGAGTATACTTTCTGGTCCTTGCTTCTTCTTCAAAAATCTTCAACGACGTAATAATCTACGAATCACTTCCAGGTGCGAGCAGATTTTTCCGGCCCGCCGTGCGCTCGTGGAGTCAAAAACGCTCGCCTTGGTCCGGTACGCGAGGAGATTTTACGAAATTGCACTGGACGGATTTATATCAAATGTAAAAATGTCTGGGTCTGGAAGATTGGAACTTGTAATGCTGGTCTTGCATTCCTGTGAAATCTGTATTGCGTGACCATCAAGAACAGTGGTAGCCTCTTCTGTCATACAAAAACGCAGTTTCTCATGCGGAGTTCGTATGAGCAAGCGTGCTGCAGCCTCGTCATGCTTTCCTGCATGAGCAAGTGACTTCCTCTTGCACATTTTAGCATCACAAATTTCCAGACCCAGACATTTTTACATTTGATAGTTTATCGCCGAGTGGCTCGTGGACAAGAATGACCAGCTGGTTTTGCACGGCTTCTGGTCCGCGACGGTCTACAAGGGAACCTTGATCCCAGCGGATCCGGGGAAGAAGTTGCAGGACCGACCGGGGCCGGCGAAGGCTTACCCTTTCCCGACAGACGTGAAGTCCATGTCACTGCCGGAGTATAGATTGCAAGTCTTTGGTTTATTTGCGAAAGAACTTTATTTGCGTGATGATCATTCTGCATGGCAAAGTCGGTTTTGTATGGTCTCTGCGCATGACAAGTTGTGAGAACTACAAAGTTCTTCTACGCCACTGCAGGTACCGATACGACCCCAACACCACAAAAGCACACGCGACCATGGAGGAATATGGCGTTCTCAACTGTTACATTCTCAGCTGTTACATGAATTTTTTGTCATGCAGAACAACCATCGAGATCCACACAAGAAAGCTGCTTCGCATGACAAATTTGCGAAGGGCTAAACAGCACCTAAATCTGTGCAGGACTTGTAATGCTAGAGGTGCAACCTCCCCCCTTTCACTTTTGCAATTCTTGCATCACAAATTCATGTAACAGTTGAGAATGTAACAGTTGAGAACGCCATAAGGAAGAAATCAAGAAGAAAAAGCTCGGACAGAAAGAAGTTGACGAGTTGGTCGACCGGATTGTCGGGAGAAAACGCGGCGAGGAACCGCAAATCCTGCTGGAAGCCTGGAGCGACGACGATTATTTAGGCGAGGTGGTGTTGCCGCAGTTGTCCAACCTAGAAGCAGTCAAGGGACTGAAAAGCTACGAAATCGGGCGTCCGAACCAGAAAACCACACGGCTGGACGGAAAGAAAACCAGATTCATGAATGACAGCACGGTACAAGTTGATGGATTTTGTCATCAGCGAATTCTTGTTTTCTCCTAGGTGGAATCTGCTCGATCATTACATGTGACATTTGCACCGGGGACCACGAAGGTACTAGTCTTTTTTTTCATTCTGCACGACCGCATGACAAAATGGCCAATTTATATATAATTTATTTCTATCTCAGGTAACTCTCGAATTGAAGTGGCAGGGCAACGGGGAGCCCTTCGCAAACGAACTGCGCATTTTACTTTCCCACGGGCAGTTTGCCATGCCCTGCAACCCGAGGATACAGCTGTGGCTGCGCTACGAAGAGGAATATTCCCCGCTGTGGACGAGTCAGGTGCACAAACAAACCGCGTTTCCGCAGTTTAAGGAGCAGGCAGATCTTATCAAATGGAAAAATGTCTGGGTCTGGAAGATTCTGACACTTGTCATGCACGTTTTGCATGAGCCATGATGTCTGTGATGCATACCCTAGCAATACAGATTTTTTGAGAGCTTCTCGATGCCTATTCCGCATGACAAATGCCTTCTCAGCGTAGCCAACATTTGCCCACGCAGAGCCGTCCTCTTGCCGGACACAACCAACATCTGTCCGAAACAGCCTAGGGCCAAGACGACACCGTGAGGACGACCACAGGGGGTCCGTCTCAATGATGATGATGATGTAGCAAAAATTGCATTCCCTTTGGTACTCATGCAACACTCGATTTTTTTGGAATCCAGATGCAGCATCACAAGTTGCATTCTTCCAGACCCAGACATTTTTACATTTGATAGATCTGAAGATAGATTTTAGCAGTGGCGACGACAACGGGGCCGTGCAGCAGTGGGACAAAACCAAGAAAGTGGCCAGGTCCGCCGGGTCCGCAGAAGCGGGGGCTGGGGGGATCGGCGGTACTGAGTTTTTTCTGGTTTGGCTGTTTTACTTGTCTCTAGCATGATGCGCAACTCGTTTTGACCTTCGCTGTCATGCGAGATGACACAATAGGTTCATTCTTCTTGCCTCACAACATCTTTACCTGTTGAGAAGCACTACTACAGCCACTACCAGCAAAAATGCCCGAGCGCGATCAGCCGGGCCGAGCAAAGTGGGGCCAAACACACACGTCGCCGGGGCAAGGTTAAAAGAGCACTGGGGCGTCGACGGTTTGGAGGGAATTATGAGCACCCACGTGCTGGCGTCGCAGGTTTTGTCCAGGTAAACATTTTTGTACGACTTGTGCATGAGACTCAGGCAGCTGCTTTCCATGATACGTAAAGAGAAATCTTCTACAGGAGAAAAGATTTTTTTTGTCTTCGCATGAACTACTTACGACCCAAACAAATCAAATCCCAGGTATCAAACCGAGCGCACAAACCGGTGTCAGATGCTTTCTGTTCTCGCGAGACAACTGGAGCGATTCCGGGACGTGCAACTCTCCTGGCAGGAGCAAAGAATGGCCGCACGCGCGGCGGTGTCGAAGGCGCAGCAGGACGTGGTAGAAAAAGAGGAGGAAGTGAAAATGCTGATAAAAGAGAAAGAGGACCTGGTCCGGGATTACAAGAAGAGACTAGAGGTACTTACTACTAAATGTTCCAGTTTGATGAAAATGCAACTAACATTGCGGGACTCTAGCTCTACCGTGCAGATGAAGATGACACACCGCTCTTCTCATGCTGTTGACGCAAGATGAAAACTGATTCAGAATTCTATAGTACGCATAGAGTAAAGGCAAAAACTTTATTATTTCCTCTCTATCAGGCGATGTTCCGCGGGGTGACCAAAGACCTTGACGATATGAAAGCCCAGAAGATCATATCGGAAAACAAGCTCGCCGAATCGGTACAGATATGAAAGTGCACAACTCCCCCTCCCCCTCATTTGTAATGCAAAATAGCAAATCCACGTCTTGCCTCCAAGCACAGTGCGCATGACAAATTTATTTGGAGCCTCAAAGAGTACCATAATCCGTCTGCAAATTTGTCATGCGGATGAAGCCACATTTCTGGCGTTGCTTGTGTTGCTGCTCATGCAATACAAATGAGGGGGAGGGGGAGTTGTGCAGTCTCATAACAGAGAGAAGCTGAGCAAACACGGATGATCGAGAAGCTGGAGCAGAGAAATATGACCTGCTCAAACGTTACAATCTTAAACGTTACAACAGCGTCTGGGTTTTGTATTGCATGATGAGCATGACAGGCTCGGACAGCATTCGACTTTCTGCAATACAAATTTCGCCGGATTGTAGTGCGAATTGGGACTCCAGAACTTGTCATGCGCAATCCTATGAGAGTTGGCGAGATAATGCACTTCTTGCAACACAAATTCTAGACTCTATTCGTAACAAACGAGATTGTAACACCTGAGCAGGTTATAGGAAATTCCGCGCTGCGCGCGACGGTGGATAAGACCATGACCAAGATGAACCAGCTCTCGGACGGCGCGCCGGCCATATGAAAGTGCACAACTCCCCCTCCCCTTCATTTGTAATGCAAAACCCCAAATCCAAGTGCTTCTCTGTGACACTGTTCGCATGACAAATTCCGGAAGCCCAAACAGTACTACACTAGGCGCATGAATTTGTCATGCACAGGCTCCACGTGTGTTAGTGCTTGTATTGCTGTTCATGCGTAAGTATACAAATGAGCGGGAGGGGGAGTTGTGCACTGCCATAGGCCATGCGACAGGTCGACAAAGAAATCGAGAAGTCCGGCGCCGGAGGGGGTTCTAGCGCCCAGTCGGCGGACGCGAAAAATGCGGAGCTAGTGCTGGCCTTGGAGCAGGTGAAAGTCCTGCAGGGCGAGAAAAAGGCGATGGCGATCGATTTAGAACATGTGAAGGCGGAATTGCGGAAAGCAGCGCTGGAAAAGGGACAAATCGAGGAAAAGGCACAGAAACTGGAGCAATTTATCCGGAATGTAGCTTTGAAACCGTGAGAGCGATATTACTGTGATTTTTTCCATTTCCTGAAAGAAGAATGAAACAGTATCATGATGTGATGGGACAAAAACAATTCGAAGGTTGATGAAAAATTCAGTCTGACACCTTTCTGGTGCCGGTGATAAGCTGAAGCGAAAGAACTTTTTTACATTACACTCAAGCATGAAAGCGAACTTGTTTAATTGGAATAGTCAACCACGGCTGCAACGGGAAAAGCAAAGCCGAGAACTTACGAAAATCAGAGAAAGAACAAGGAATGAGACTAAAAATAGCGGCTTACCAGTTAAAAGTAACTGGAGGAAATTAACGTCGCAGCGTTGGAAATTTACTTTATAGTTCTTGGAAAGCAGTGACGGATTTGGATTAAGATCGTTTTTGACCTTACAAAGGATGCTAGCGCAGATGAAATCTGTGACAACAATCTGCAAGTGCGGTATCTTAGCTGCGCTAAGAACTACAACGAATCTGGAACTTCGTCGTGAACTTGTTTTTGGAGAAATGAACAATCAAACTCGCTGGAATTTTCGCCATTCTCGTCACCAGGCGCACGGGTGCTTGATGTTGCTGTTGTCTGTTCTTCTTGAACTTGCCGGGAAACGACAAAGAATACCTGTCGGCCCCTGTTGAGGGGAAAAGTTCACGATGCAGATACAGGTGTCGCACGTCAATTTGAAGAGATCTCCTGATCTGAGGACCGCGATCTCACTAGGCGTAGAGATTTACAGGCCGGCGCTCTACTAATCTTGGATGCTTCCATCCAGTCGTAAAACAAAAAGAAGACACCACTAACTACAAAATGTCCGTCGTAACGCTTCAACTGGGGCAGTGCGGCAACCAGGTCGGGGGCGCTTTTTTCGACTGCCTGGCCAAGGAGCACGTCCGATTTGAGCCGCGGGAGAGCTACGGAACTGGTGGCTCTGCTCACTCCTCTTTGTTCCCAGCGAGTGCCGTCCTGGAAAACATGTTTTTTCGGACACCCGAACAAGAACATTCTTCTATCGACCGGAGCGCTAGTATTTTTAAAGCCACTTCCTCCAAACAAACACCACGATTGGTTCCCCGCGCAGTGTTGATCGATTTAGAACCGCGAGTGGTGCAGAATTTGCTGTCGAGTAAACGGTCTTCTTCAACTACATCAACAGGATCATCAGCACAGAAAACTTATTTCCGCTACGACCCCTCCCAGGCGTTTTACCAGCAATCTGGTGCGGGCAACAACTGGCTGCATGGGTTCAAGCAGGGGAATTTGATGGAGGAGCAGCTGGAAAGCTTAATCCAGCGCGAAGTCGATTTCGTCGAAGACCGGTTAGAAGCCTTCCTCGTGTTCGTCTCCGTCGCGGGAGGCACTGGTTCGGGGCTTGGCTCGTTCGTCATGAGTCTGTTGAAAGACCTGTACCCCGAAGTCCCGATTCTCGCGTGCTGCATTCTGCCGTTCCAGGAGGGGGAAGTGGCGGTCCAGAGCTACAATGCGTGCCTGGCTTTACACGCCGCGTACGAGTTTGCGGACTTGATTTTCCCCTTTGAAAACCAGCGGACGAAGGAAGAGAAGAAAGTTTTGAGTACCAGTGTCGCGCAGCGGAGGATGAACAAATTCTACAACGAATTCGCGGAAATGAACTACTTGATCGTGAACACGCTTTTGCATTCTGCGCTGCTACCGGTTGCCGTTTCGAAAGTAGTTTGCAGTAACGACGAAGTTCTTGTCAGTAGGCGCTCAAATTGGTCAACAACAGCTGCAAGAAGTGACGCACGATTGAAAAAGCCAGGTGTATCGTCCACTTCATCTCGCAGGGAAGGAGCTGCGTCGACAAATAATCGTCGCTCGCTGTCTCCGAAAAAAGTGCGGGAACTCTTTGCGTCGCAAGGAGGAGGAGGCGGAAGTAGTGGGCACGACCGATTTTTGAAGGAGAGAATTATAGCTGGATCGAAGTCTTCTTCTTCATCCTTGTCCACAGCGACATCAACCACAGGGTCACTACAGAAAAGCCGAATCTGCGACCTGTTGTTGACCCACGGGTCCCACCCGAGCTACCGCTTCTGCACCCTCCGGCACTTGCCGACGCCGCAGAATTTGCAAAATTTGTTCGACGGGAATAGAATTGCAAACGCGTGGACCAACACAGACAGTTGGAGTGCGCTGGCGAAGCGGATCGCTCACATCACCAACGCGAAGACGGTCGAAGATTTCTACGCGCGCATGTCCGACAGCGGGAAAAACCGGCTGATCAGTTGCGAAGCAGTTTGTCGGAGAGGAACGGATAATTTTTCAAGTGGAGCAAGTGCAGCGTCGACGTCCACCCAGCAACAGCAGCAGAACACGGTGCAAGAGGTCGCGCAAATACTCGCCGCCGAACTGGAGTTCAGCACTCACGTGAGCTGCGTTAGTAGGACTGACGGTTGGGGCAGCTGTAGCAGTTCTTCCTCTTATAATTTTTCACCGCGGGCAACAGCTACCTTTTCGGCAAACAACTGTCTACGTGTGGTGGAAAGTTACACACCACCAGCGCCGAGGGGACTGAGTAATTCTGTGAGGCACGGCGCTCCAGCGGGTGGGTCAGCGAGTTCTTCTAATACAGTCTCCTTAGCGACGAATTGTCAAACCGTTTTAAGACCTTTGGAACAGTACTTGCAGAAAGCGACGTCTCTAGCAAGAAGTGCTTGCTACAGACACTACTTTGATGAGGAACTTTTGACGAACGCAATTCTTGGGGTGCAACAAATTTGCGAAGATTATCGACAGCTATCTGGAAGTGGTCGGCGGGGTACTATGAAAACCCAGAACTTTACTACTCTGAGAAAGTCTGCAAGACTATTGTTCTGCAAAACCTATTTTGCACTATAGTAATAGTTGGCATCTTGAGGTTGAGTTTTCAATGAGTGAAAAACCGGGAAGCTTACGGGTGAAGATGGTTGCGTGTGCGAGCCATTTGAGAGACGCTTCGGCCTGGTTGTTCCTGAGTCGCGCTGCGGAGATAGATAGTTGATTTGAGTGAGGCGCGCCAGGTGGTGCGGAAGCGAGCCTGGTTTTAGCACAGATGTCAGTCTAGTTTTTGGCTGAAATGCGACGAACAAAATGGCTGGACACGCAGACGACCATCGCAGCGCGTCGCTTCTGCTTTTTGGCGGGCGCGTCTCTGAAGTCGGGCCATGGCGCGCGTGGCGCGCCCTATCGGGGATGGCCAGCCGGGGGGAGGGGTTCCGTTGCGTCAAGGCTTCCCGGCCTATTTTGTGGCGCCGGCGCCATCGGAAGCCGCGGAGGCGACCAAACTGTTCATAACTCTGAGGGGCCGAGTGCCCGCGATGGCGCAGCGCTAGCAGCGCTACCCGGATAGACTTCGCGAACAGCCATCGCCCGACAATGCTACCCCGACGCGAGCCAGGAGTGGGCGGAAGCAATGGCGCACCAGCTGCGCCGCGTCGCGTAGTACGTACCGAGATGCGTGAGCTCGTGCGCAGTGCTCGTAGCCGCCGAGGAGCAAGTCAGGGTCCCAGCGCGAAGCGACACCGCCGGCCTCGTCCCGCGCGCCTTACTTTTGTTCCGCCTTGCCGCGCGCCTGTGTAGCTCCCCCCCAAACCTCCGCGCGCCCCCGGCGCCTTCCTTCGCGCGCGCCCCGGCCCGCCCCGCACTATTTTGGACAGCCGCGACGCCAGCCCCTCGGCTCTAGCAGTTTTGGCCATCTTCTCCTCGCCCTCCCCGGTGCCGTTGTCCGCGCCGAGCCGTTTCCGCGGAGGGGGGCGTTGGCGACATACCCGCGCGGCGCGCTTCTTCCGCTCTGCAGCGAGCAGTGGGGGGGCGCAGCCAAGGGCGGCTCGTCCGTGCTAGGGGATTGAACCTTATCCGGGATGATTTTCGCGGGCGTGGGCCAAAAATCAGTTTGCGTTGTTTGATGAGAAGGGCAGGGAGGCGACATTATTAGCCGAACCCATTCGCTGCAGTTGGTGTTCTCCCTTTGACGAGCGTATCTTGTGTAAAAAGTGCGGAGGGTGAGCGTTCTTGCAGTGCTTCTGTATTTGAGAGAGCAGTTTTGCTTTTAGCCTGAAAATGCAGATTGAAACAATGTCGCGCTCCTTCTGGTTTCCACGTAAGAAAAAAGATGGCTCACGCATCTTCCGTATGTCGGCGAGTGTTGGCGCGCGGCCTTCTCGACTCGAGTCCGGGTCAGTCGGTCTGGGCTGCCAGAAAAATTGCTTCGGGTGTCTGGTGGTGCTTGAAGGTTCCGGCGCGCGGTGCTCTGTGGTGTGCCCGGAGGGCGTCCAAGGTGTTTCAGGATGGAATTGGGGCGCCATGGCGTCTTCTGGCCCGCCTCCCTTGCGTGCCTGCCAGCGGGCTTCGTGGCTTTAACCGGCGGCGCATCGCTTCGCTCGGCGATTCGCGCCGCGCGCCTCTTTCTGCGTGCGCGCCGCCCGACCGTGCGCGACCCCTGCGATTGCGGGGACACCGCGGAAGCCCCGCACCGCGAGACGGCCTGTTCGAACTTGTTCGAGCCTGCAAACTCGGCGAACGGCAAGCGCGAAAAGGCAAAGAAAAAAGGCAAAGAGCGCGCCGGCGCCGCCCCCCCCCCCGCCCCCGTCAGCTCTGCCGGGCCTCATTACCCAGCCCCGCCCGGGGGCCCTTCTGCTGCGCTTGGGCATTATGGGGGCCGACCCCAGCCCCACGCCTCCCGGGGGGCCACAACGCGCCCGCGCGGCCCGGACGGCCGGGCCCTCCTGCAATTTTACTTCGCCAAGCAAAGAAGTGGGGACGTGCCCTGTGGCCTCGGCGGGGCCGGGGCCGGGCCCATGTGCATGTGGCCCTCCGTTTTCGATTGTCTGCGCCCGCGCTCCCGCCAGGCCGCCCTCGTGGCCGGCGGGCGCGTCCGTGGTTGGGCGCCGGCCTCATTTAGCCGGCAAGCCGCTGACGGCCTCACACCGCTTCGTCCGTATCGGGCGAGCGAGGAGTGCTGTCAGAGATAGGTGTGGCGGGCAGGAGGTTGAAGACAAGACAGCGAATTGAGCTTATTGATCGAGGCCACGTGGTGACGCAGCGAGCCGTTGTTCATTCTCCCGGGGATCAACGAGCGTCATCTGTGATTGAAGTCGAACAAGAGAGCTTGCTAGAAGTTCGCGGCTGAGAACTACGCGGCAGAGAGATGAATGAAGACGATTTTTTGATGCAACATCGAACGACGACAAATAAAGACTCCACATCCAAGAGACCAAATTGCAATACAGCCCCCCTCCAAAAACTCTATAGTATACACAAGATGCCCGAGGACTCTGCGCCCGACCCGAACAAGATGTCCCTGGTATCCGTCGACATCGACGGGTCACCAGAACAAGACGGGCAACAGACAACCAACCAAGAACCCAAGGCTTCCGCAGTATCCTTCGATCCCGATGTTGTGGACCAGCGCATCACCGTATCAGAGTGCACAACTCCGCTTCGTTGCCTCGGTTTATTGACGGGCATGAGCAAGAAGAAGAATTATACAAGCATCGCAACTTCTACAGAAAGCAGGCGTCAGCGTGACAAATCTGCACACAGTTTGAAGTACTGCTTGAGGTTCCACCGATGTTTGTCCTCTAGACAGGACTGTAGGGCGAGATGTTCTTTACTTGGCTTTTTGAGTTTTACAAACGTATGAGGGGGACGAGAGGAAGTTCTTGCGCACTCTCATACACCACGGGCACCGCTGCCGATCAGCGCGCCACCACGGGTACGACAACCACGGCCGTCACGGCGTTATCCATGCTCACGGCGGCTTCCCGTCTCCAAGCGCTGCCGGAGGAGGCAAAGGAGGACTCGAAGGGCACTAAGCAGCAAGCGCAACAGCAACCAGGAGACACGAAAATTCAGCTGCAACCACTGGACGGGCGCGACAGCACGCTGACACAACCCGAGCTGATCGAGATGTCGGGGCGCGACGAAAATTACCGAAAGAAATTCACGGACCCCTCTATGACCTGCTGAAACGTTACAAGCTCAAATGTTAGAATAGAGTCTAGATTATTTTGTCTTGCATGCTTAGCATGACAGAATCGCAGAGCGTTCCATTTTCTGCAATACAAATTTCGGTAGATTCTAGTGCGGCTCTTTGGGGCTCCGAAACTTGTCATGCGCAATCCTGTGAGAGCAGGTTAGCTCATGCATTTCTTGCATCACAGATTTCCGTACTCTACTGCAACGTTAGTTTGAGATTGTAACACCTGAGCAAGTTATACCCTCGCAGCGGAAACTCGCGATGGAACGGGCAAACCAGGAATGTTTGAAATCCATGATCACGGAAACGGATGAGAACAACCAGCTGCGCCTCGTCAACTGGCGCACAGCGGACGTGAAAAAAATCGGAAAAGTCACGCAGAGCGTCGGTATGATAATTCGGATGATTGATAGATGAGATGACTTTTATCTTTCACGGGCGAGTTCTTCTGCTTCTCGTCGTTGTTTCAGATTCAGCTTTCGCATGGCTATCGTCAAAACAGCACTTCAAATCCGCATTTATTCCGCATGACAAACTTTCACCTATTGCTATTGCCCTCTCTCAGGTATCGAGCTGTATTTTCAGTTCCTGCGCTACGGCGTGTTTTTCTTCTTTCTCTGGTCCCTGCTCACCGTGTTATTGGTAGCCCTTCGGGCGCGATCAGATGACTTTTATTTTTCATGGACAGGTTCGTCTACTTTTCGTTGTTTCAGTTTCAGCCTCCACTTGACTATCGTCACAAGACTTCACATCCGCGTTTATTCCGCATGAAAAACTAACACCTACTGCCCTCTCTCAGGCATCGAGCTGTATTTTCAGTTTCTTATGGCGATGGCAGAAACTTTTTGCTTCAAAACTTTTTTTTTTGGGGCATGCAAATCATCAATCAGGAAAACTAGACACCTTCTGGGCGGTGAATATTCCGCGCATGAACAGGACGGGTTTTTCTGTAGGCTGAGCTAGTTAGTCTGAATGCAGGGACAGGGTAGGCCTGCCCGCCGGCTGCGGCACGGATTCGTCCTGAGCCCTTTGGCCTCGAGGTGTGTGACAGCTAGGTCCCCCGGCGCGGCCTTGGCATGTCGGGAAGTAGTTCAGGATATTGCAGCGCAATTCTGACTGGTCGCACAAGGGCGGCAATCTCGAACGAGCATGGCCACGGGGCCTGGCGTGCCATAGCTTCCAAAGTACTCTGCGAGGCACAGACAGTGTAGGCGTACTGAGCCAATAAAGTTGCCCACTTTATTCCGGGCCCGGCTGCGTAACACCCGTCCTTGCCGGGTTCGCGTGATCATTTTTCCGGACATTGCTTTTGAAAAGCTGGAAACTTGCGGAAGCCAAAAGAGGGCGCGGGCCCCCCCTTGGGGGGGGGGTTTGGGGGACCCCCCTTCGTGGAGATACTAAGGGGGAGTACCCTTCTTAGGAGGCCCAAAAAGGGGGGGGGTTTGGGGGTGGGTCGTGGGGGGGCTTTCGATTTGCTTCCAGAGTCGGGGGGCTTTCGTTTTACTCAGCCGCGGCGCCTAAGTCGTTGGCGCCGTCGCGCTTAGCTTTCAATTGTTCGGCAGCCGAGCGTGGCTGCCTGTTTTGTTTACCGGGGCATGGGCCGGCTGTTTGCCACGGACCGCGGCACAAACGGCCTCGGCTTGGCTGCGTATTTCTTTTTATTCGACCAGCGCGATCCCATATGGTGTCTGTCCGGCTCCTGCGCCTGCCGTCACGGACCGAACCCGGGACGCAACCGGCGGCAACGTCCGTTCTGTTCCTGCATGCAGACCAGCAAATTTGACAGGGTCTTAAAGCCGCAGCGCTCATGCGTGAGATAGTTGCCGCTGGGACGATATTTACTTTTCGCGCTGGGTGATTCGCATGCCCAAAAAAAAAAAAGTTTTGACGCAAAAAGTTTCTGCCATCGCCATATTTCTGCACTACGGCGTGTTTTTCTTCTTTCTCTGGTCCCTGCTCACCGTGTTCATCCTCCTTGCCTGCTTGGCCCCCAGTGAAGAGTCCGACGACAAGACCGGCGCTGGGTTCCTCGCTTTGTTCTCCCTCGCCTCCTTTTCCGACGTCAGACAGAAGGACTTACCTATTGGGTCCAGAAAAATCGATTTCTACGGCGACAAACTGACCACCGTGGACGTGACCCCCTGGATGAGTGCCATGTCGGCGCTCGGCGCGTTTCTCTACCTGGGTTACGTACTGTGGTTCCGGTACGTCAACATTGCGAAGACGGCGGAGGCGTTGGACGCGCAAACCGTCACACCCGCGAACTTCACGGTGCTCGTCGACCAACTCCCCTCGTTCGAAATGGTGAAGGCAGAAGACTATGCAACGGAACTGCGGAAGCACTTTGTGAAGGTCCTCAACATGGAGAAATTTCGGCTTGAGCAGGTATCTGCGAAAGAAAAAGCGAAGCGGGAAGGTATCGATGTGAAGAAAGTGGAGTTACCGGCTCCCCCTGCCGACGGGTTCGAGGTGACGGACGTGGCGGAATTGGAAAGAATCATACCGGAAATCTCCTTCGCGCGGAACTACGGCGGAAAGTTGGCGGCGATTCAGGACGAAGTATGCATTGCAAATATGTCTGGGAGGTCTGGAAACTTGTGATGCTAAGTGGCGATGATTGAGCACACTCCTGAGTGCAGCCAAGCATGACAAATTTACAGCGCGCTTCCTCGTGTGTAATGCGCATGAGAAACTGGGTTTTGCATGACAAAGAATTCGCGCTTTTGTCGGTCACGCAATACAGATTTCACAAGAGTGCAACACACGCAATACAGATTTCCAGACCCCGACAGATTTGCAGTTGATACGCAGCCCGCTTGAAGCAAAAAATCATCGAGGCGAAAATTGACAACGACGAGAAAAAGATTGAAGCGGTGAAGAAACAGGTATACATTCGATGAACTGCTGAGTTGTTTCAAAAGTTTGTATTGCATCGTCGCAGCGTTCAAACTGTTTGTCATGCGAATTTCGAATCATCATACTGACATACGCATATTAACTCTATCAGGCCGAGAAACTGGACAAGCGCAACCAGAAGCGAAAAGACACGTTTGGGGACATTTTAGAGCACGAGCGGGAAATTTTTCGCGCCTACGTCAGTTTCCACCTCTCGCACGACAAGGCTCTCATCGAAGACCTCTACCGCATGTCTCCCTACACGTTTGGGTATTTATTTCAACCAAAGAAACTCCGGTTCCAGGGCGTGAAGCGAATCTGCGTCACCAAAGCGCCCGAGCCGTCGAACATTTTATGGGAGAACCAGGATTGTCCAGCCATGACGCGGTTCATCCGGCGGTCGATCACGAAAGTGCTGGTCATCATTTTACTGGCGATCTCGACCGGCGGCATCCTCTGGGCGCAGCAGAAACAACAGAGCGAAGCGAAAAAGGCGCAGGGCAGCGATTGTCAGTTGACGCTGTTGGACGGCGAGGAGGTGATGACAGTGCGGAACGACCCGACGAAGAAATTGACCGCGGCCACCGCGAAGGTGTTTTTGGATTCCTTACCCGCCGGGACAGTGAAAAAGGACTACTTGACCGACTGCGAGTGCAGCGCCATCGGGATCAGTGCGATGAGCGGGGACGTGAAGTTAGCCTGTGAGACGTTCTACGACACGCAAGTCACCATGTTCATCATCACCACCGGGTCGTCCATCATCGTGGTCGCAATCAATTTCCTCTTGAAGATGTTCCTCGTGAAACTAGCGAATTTTGAACGCCCCTTGACCGTTTCCGGGCTGGAGTGTGCGATCAGTCTGAAGGTGTTTGTCGCTTTGTTTCTCAACACGGCGCTGCTGGTGTTTTTGTTAAATCAAGAGTGGTTCTACCCGATGAGCGAGTTTTTACGGGGGGAGCGGCCGGACTTTGACCACGTTTGGTTTGCGACGGTCGGGCTAGCGATTTCCACAACACTGATGATCAACATCGCGTCCCCGCATCTCATATCCACGGGAAAAGTATCGTACTCGTACGTAGTAATTGCAGTGTTGCATGACAAATCTCACACTCTACCTGAACCAGCATGACAAACTGCATTTTTCAGATTGAAAAAAATTAGAATTGTGATGCAAAAATTTACACTAAGACTGATCAGCTCGATACTTGTGTAAAGTGCATATCTCATCCAAGTTGCGGTATCCTACGTTCTACGGCTCAAAGCCTACTGCTGCGGGCACTGCTGCGCGACTACCGAGGAGCAAATCGTGAATGCTTTTGAGCCGATCGTGTTCGAGCTCGCGCCGCGTATCAAATGCAAAAATGTCTGGTCGTCTAGAAGAGTGCAAGATTTGTCATGCAAATTTTACATGACCCATGACGTTTGTAGTGCATGAACTAGCATCCCAGAATTTTAGTGGGCTTCCTGATGCCTATTTCGCATGAGAAATGCCATTATTTCCATGTAGCACAAACTGAACCCCTCTTGCTGGTTATGCAATACAGTTTTTTTTTAGATGCAGAGATATTCCGCGTCTCTGAGCGTTTTCGATTTCCGCATCGCAAATTGGCCCCTTTGTTTTAGTTAGGAATGTGTCCACATCAGACGCTATTCCTGCCTTGCTCGTGCGCATACGTACGTAGATCTCTTGACTTCAGTCTCGAGGCTTAGGGTCGGAGTACTCTCAGCACTGCTGAAGCTTTAGAACCAGACGGGAGTTTAGAACCAGACGGGAGTGCACGCCCTGAAGGATCAGAGCAAAAGGCTTTTTGATAGCGCTTTTTTACAAACGGCTTCATGGTCCGCTTTCTCTGTTGCGCTCTTCCTTTTTCCTCGGGCCCTACTGGCACCAAGCAGTTTTTTCTTTCGGGGATCGGGTTATTGGTTTAGGATTAGACAGGTGGTAAACCACCCCATTTTAGGAACATCACATGTTACGCGCATCCGGATTCTCCACCAGCATGCCGTCGCGACTTCTTCCCTCCGTCGACTCAGCCACCGCGGAAGGGTTCCAGGGTTTAGAAGGATTTAGTTTAGGGTTCCTATTTGATTTTAGATGCAGAGACAGCATCACAGGTTGCAACCTCCCAGACGCAGACATATTTGCAATGCATACCGCGAACGGGGGCGCTATTAAACACGTTGTACAGCACGTTGGTTTTTGCTGCCGGTTGTCCGATCTATTGTGAGGAAAAATCCCCCCTCCCCAAATATCGAAAAGGCGTGCTGTTCAAAATTTGTGATGCTGACTTGTGGTCACAAATCGAGTCTGTCTTGCGAGAGAGCAAAGCCAGGGCCTCCGCTGCATTTCGCGGGCGATTTGTAATGCTGCTACGCTACTAGGGCAGACGTCTGCCATGCTAAGTGCTTACCCCAAGCCACCCCCTTCCGGGCTTTGTATCTGTCTGCAGTCCTCTACCGCAACACAATTCTGATTTGTGTACCCAAATCCTGCATCACAGATTTCCATTTCGATATGGGGAGGGGGCATTTTTCCTTTTGATACGATCTTGATTTGGTTTGCGACGCTGAACCACATGCTGTGCTTTCTGGCGGACAAGTATTTGTTACTTCGGGTGTCCAAACGGCCGCCGGCATATTATGAAATGTAAAAATGTCTGGGTCTGGAAGAGTGCGAGGTTTGTCATGCACGTTTTGCATGAGCCATGATGTCTGTGATGCATACCTTAGCAATACAGATCTTTTGAAGGCTTCTTGATGCCTATTCCGCATGACAAATGCCTTCTCAGTGTAGCAAAAATTGCATTCCCTTTGGTACTCATGCAATACAGATTTTTTTGGAATCCAAATGCAGCATCACAAGTTGCATTCTTCCAGACCCAGACATTTTTACATTTGATACATATGACGAGCAGGTGATTAAGGACGCGATTGGAATCGTGCCGTATGCGCTGCTATCAAGTGTAAAAATGTCTGGGTCTGGAAACTTGTGATGCTGAGTGGCGTCTCATGATGAGGCTACAAATGCTGGCTCAGCATGACAAGTTTCTGAGCTCCTAGGTGTTGCCTATTCTGCATGACAGACTGCGCTTCTGCATCACAGAAAAACGGAGCTCTTGGGCAACGTGCATGACAGATTTAAGAGTCATGCCAGACAAGCCTGACAAACGTGAATTCCAGACCCAGACATTTTTACATTTGATAGCTGTTGCTGCACGTATGGGATGGGTGAAAGAGGTTTTATCGTATTGGAACTTCGTCTTTGCATAGAAGGGAGGCCTGGAGGTTGTTTTTAGCATGACGAACTCGCCTCTGCCGCAGCTATGTACGAACAGGTATTTTCATTTTTACAGTGAACAAGCACGTCGACTGCACATGCATGACTCTGCAATGCGATACTAGTTTGCACTCCATACCACGCCATTGTCGGGATTTGGATGTTGGGAAATGTGGAAGTGTTTCCCTCAGAGGAATTTATCGAGATGACGGTGCCCCAGGACGCACCGAAAGCCTTCCGACCACTGTTGACGCTGGTATAGATGCATTCACTTCTACTTGATCCGGAGTGCTACTTTGTAAGTACGCGGTTTGGAGCATGACAAACGTGCTTTGTTTTGCTAATTTCCGCATGACAAAAAACAATTCAGATCGACCGCAGTTTGGTTGCCGCCGGCGTCCCCTACTTCCTTCTCCTCTTGGCTCTCCTCTTCTTCGTCGCGATCGAAATCCTGAAGCTCTTTCTCGGGCGCGCGTTCGACGCAGTGGGGAGCTGCCTGTTCAAGTGCTGCTGCAACAATAAAGTGACGAGGAGCAGTATCGAGGAAAAAAGCTGTGTAAGTGTAACTTTGTACGCTTTGCCTTACAGGGAAAAGCTGTCATGCGCAGCTACTACGTTGAAACACGTATGAAGTAGCCTATGACGCAGATTCAGCATGACACGTGTAATAGTTTTGCATTTTCTGCATCACAGACTTACACTCACATAGTCTTTTTCTGGCATAAGTAGCCTGAACTTCGTGGATCTGGACGCTTTATCCCCCTCCATGGTCCACGCCGAGGACAAAACGAACTACCGCGACGCGCAGCAAGAGTGGCGGGCGCAGAAGATCTGCGCGTCTTATTTCCTGATCGATAACGAGAAGTACGAGTTTATGCGGACCGCGGACGTCGACCTGCGCACCTTCGTGTCCCGCGGCGAGGTTTCGCGAAAGAAATCCTCCGCCCACAGCCTCCACAGCAGTGTTAAAACGAGTGTTAAAAGCGAGGGCGAGGCGAAGCAGGGGGAGGAAGTGGTTGTTTCCGAAGGGAACATATCAAATGCAAAAATGTCTGGGTCTGGAAGATTGCCAGGTTTGTCATGCATTTTTTGCATGATGCCTGACGCCTGTAATGCATGACCTAGCACCACAGATTTTTAGAGGCCCTCCTGATGCCTAATCCGCATGAGAAATAGCCTCTACTCCGCGTAGCACAAACTGGACTCACTTTGCTGGTCATGCAATACAGTTTTTTTTGGAATCCAAAGACAGCATTACAAGTTGCAATCTTCCAGACCCAGACATTTTTGCAATCCATAGAACAATGACGGAGACGCCACGCCGCTGAAAGTGTCCTCTGTCGGTGACTATCAAATGCAAAAATGTCTGGGTCTGGAAACTTGTGATGCAAATCTACGAATTGTGGGCGCACTGCAGTATGCATCCAAGCATGAGAAGTTATTGCGCTGCTGTGTGTTTCGTTTATCGCATGACAAACTGCGTTTTTGCATGACAGGTAAGAGGCCCTTTTCCTGCTCATGCATCACAGATGTAAGAGTCATCCCAGACAAGCACGACAAACTTGCATTCTTCCAGACCCAGACATATTTGCTATGCATAGTGACCCGACGAGTCCCAGCAAGCAACCCGGAGCGCTGAATGTCGGCGATGAAAAGCGGACCGGCGCGGACAGGGATAATGCGGATCGGTACTCGTATGCAGATGGGGTTGAGGGTTGGGTCAAGAGCATGAGAATTTGTGTTGCATCGATCGATGTGCATATGGAGAGTTTGCGATTTGGACAGTAGGTATTGCGAGATGCGATTCTGATCTCCGCGTTTTTGTCTTGCTGTGCAGTAGAAATTCTCAGTGCTGCATGATCACAGATTCTGTGCATTGACTCGTCCTCGGAATTTGCCATGCATAATCTGAAGCACTCGTTTTATCACCATCAAGATTCGGGATTGAACCTGATGACCGACCCAACCGTGGAAATAACATCGAGTGGACACGATGAGGCATAGACTCCGCTTCGTGGTCTCATGCAGTTTCATTACCTGTGGAAAAGGAAATCAAATGGAACCTTCATGATATGTAAATGTAAGGCAAAAATTTGAATACCGGCGAACAAGGGCTTGTTGTAGGATTTTAGTGTCAGAATATGCTAGAACTAGTACAAAAGTTTCTTCAAGCAGGTGTAGAATTTTTCGAAAGGAAGATTACGCGATATTTCTCAAGCATTTGCGGGTGGCCAATCGGCGAAATCTGATTTATGTATGTTGGACAAAATGGACATCAACTTTCGGTTTCGATACCTGTAGGTACGTAAGTATCCTCCCAAGGATAACGCTTCATCTGAAAATAATTACGGATGCACCTTGGTGCATCATTTTCGAGTAAGTGACGGAAAGGACGAAACTTCTATGGAAAGGGCTAGCAGATCCCTGGTAAGCTAATGCAAGGCGGCACGACTGGACCCGCAGTGGAGGCGGGGGTCGTGCCACGGTTTCTCTTATTTCGATCGGCTGGACCCAGTCTAGGTTGTGGTTGACTGGGGGCCGATGTAGGATTGGCACGGCAAGAGCCAGAGTTGGCGGTGCGACGACTGGGCCTGGTCCTTGTGAAAAAAGTTGCTGGTGGGTGGGCGCAACGACCTTACACTCGTCGCTTGGCTCTGGGCAATGTCGGTTTGAATCCGTTATCCTATGACCACGGGGGGTTTTTGGTTTTCGTTGGCTGCGCCGGGGCCAAGCGGGTGCTCTGCACTGGGTGTAAGGTCGTGCCCTCCTGTAACCTGGTAGGTGCTATGGACCGGGGACATTTTCACTAGGTTTTGGGGTCTTTCTCGACCCCCCTTTCGCGTAGTTTCGCGGCCTTGGACAAGGGATGGTCGCCGTTGTTGCGTCTAGGCTGTCTCTAGCATTTGGCTCGGCCCCGCATGGTATTGGTGCTGGTTGTTGGTTTGCGGGCGTACTTACTTTCCTGCATCGTCCGGGGACGGAATCTTTCGGAGAGGAGGCTAGGGGCCCTCTCAGTCTGCCCGGGGAGAATCGTTTTTGTTGCCTCTGCCCCGGCGGTAGTGAAGGTCGGGCGCTTCGAAGCTGGGTATATGAAGCTGCTGAGTCGATTGCTTTTGCGCTGGGGGGTTGGCCGCGGCCGCGCAGACAACTTGCAGGTCTAGGTGTGGCCCACCTGGGTTCGCGAGGATTGGCGTTACGAATCAAGATCCCCTCTCCTGCGGGTCCGTTAGGGTTTCCCATGTATCCGGGCTGGCTCAACGCGTCCACTTCATGTGGTAGGGCTTCTGAACCTCGGAGTGCAGCGGACAAGGGTAGAAGATTTTTCACGCACTGGCGGAGTCGGTTGCGCTCTGCGCCTTGGGTTCTCTGGTATAACGCTTGTAGTATTCATTCCCCGGCCAATTTGTTTGGTCTGCTCCCCGGGGGGCGGGATTTGGGTTAGAGAAGGTGGCCGCAGTTGCGGTGAAATTGTGCACGTTCGCGTCAAGGTTGGTCGTTGCCCTACTCGAAGGCCAGCACCATTATTGTACACACCCACGGGTGGAGGGTGGAGCCTATTCATCTTGGACTTCAAGTCTTGGCGCGGTCTAGGGCCACAGGCGGCCACGCCACTTCGAAAACGCTCACGGCCGGGCTTACCGGGGATACCTCGGACGGTTTGGGGCTAGCTTTATTACGGATGCTGGCATCAAGCCCAGGGTGGTTGGGCGAGCCTTCGGCTGGGCGGTGCGCCACTAGCTCTCGTGGGGTTGCGCGGGTAGTTCCGTTCATGGGGTTGGCAGGCTGTATTCGCCACCAATTGGCTGCTGGCTGGGCCAGTCGGTTTCCTGGGCATGTGCCTCAGTTTTGCTTGATGGTTTGGGGTAATGGCCTCGGAGTCCTTTTTTTTTTTTTTCGCCTTTACTGGCCAGAGTTTCCCACCGGGCATGTCTGGCGCACCAGTTGCGGGGGATGGCTACTTCCGGAGCGGTCTGTCTGTCGTAGCACAAGCGCCACTTCGGGGGGTGTTCGCGCTGATATCCGTAGCGCTACCGGCTCTGTCTGGGTTTTCCAATTACGGGTCGGGCCGTAGTGAGCTGTGTAGGTGTTGGGGGCTGACTTTAGAGGGGATTGCGGGCGCTGCTACATCTATCGACTTCTTTTGCGAGGTACGTAAGTATCCTCCCAAGGATAACGCTTCATCTGAAAATAATTCAGGAAGACGAAACGCCAAGAAACTTCGCAGCGCTTGTCTCAGAACGAAAGAAAATCAATGTAGAGAAAGTGCTGCTGCGAGAAAATTGCTTCTCTTGTTGGTCTTGCTTGTTGTTCCTTGCTAATTAGCACTACAAACATACACCGGAAACTAAATTTCTTACGATGCACCAGCGACGCACTGAAGGCTGAGAAATCTGTTTGTATCGTTTTGGAGCTGTAGGGAAAAGAATCGAGTGCGTCGCAACCTGAAAACTGAGCACTTTGGAGCTAATTCTGGAAGTGTTTGCGGCTGCGCAGCTGTGATTTACAGATAGATGCCAGTTCTTTCGAGTTAGATTGTTATACGTACTGTTTGTTGTAAAAAGTTGTTCATATCCATCGAAAACAGAAGATCAAACAAAGCCAAAGAAAAAATGCGGCCACTCTCATCTCCCCTCCGCCACTTCCGTCTGGCGTCTTTGAAAAAAGTCCTAAGTTGGTCCGCAAAAATCCTCCCACCAGCTATTCTCGTGAAGGACCAGCTCGGCTGTCTCTCGACCGTGCGGGGCCAAAGCATGGCGCCCTTGTTGAACGACAGGAATTACGGGATTGCTTCATCAACTTCTGATGCGGACCCCCGAGTCGACACGCAGGACCCCGGGCCGCTAGGAGAACAACAACCATCCAACCCTTTTTCGAAACTGCAACATTTTCTTTCCCAAAACCTCCGGTATTTCGCCAACCACCTTTTCGACGATATTGTGCTGGTTCTTCGCCTATCAAATGCAAATATGTCTGGGTCTGGAGGAAGATGCGAACTTGTGATGCTGCATCTGGATTCTACAAAAATCTGTATTGCATGACCAGCAAGAGCAAGAGGGGTCCAGTTTGTGCTACATGGAGAGGGCATATCTCATTCGGAATAGGCATCAGGAAGCCCTCTAAAAATCTGTGATGCTCGGTTGTATTACAGGCGGAGGCGTCATGGGTCATGTAAAATTTGCATGAAAAGCCCTGCATTTTCCCAGACCCAGACATATTTGCAATTCATATCGGCTCGGACACGTGCCCGATATCCGCACGGGCGACGTTGTCGTCGCGAAGGACCCGAGAAAATCCGGTCCCTGGGAGCGGAAAATCGTGAAGCGAGTCGTTCTTGTCGGCGGAGCGGGGGAGCACGGAGGAGGTGATAATTCTCTTCTTGGTGTTGTTGCAGACGATGAGGAAGAGCAGCACGAAGCGGCTTCGTTCGACCAGCCGAGTCTCGATGAAGGAACGGGGACCTCCGCACGAGGACCCAGGACAACGGCAGCAGCGTCGGCCGCTGTTGCTGCATCAGCCGAAATTCCTAGAACCCTTGACCCCGAGGACGAAGGGGATGAAAGCGACCAACTGTTTCGAGGACAAGGACAGCTGCACGAACTTCACAAAGGCATCAAGAACCCACCTCGACGTCAACATGAGGCCGTCGTGAGCTCGGAAGTTGTGGAGATGCTGGTGTCCCCACCGTCGTCCTCTTTTTCCGGCGGCAGCAGAACATCAAGCGCTGTTGGTCTTGAGAGAGACAACAACTACTACTACACAACGACAAAATTATCGAGGGGAAAAAGTACTTCTACAGCTACGACATCAACAAAAAATATCCCTGATAACATTCCGACCGGGCGCTGTTGGCTTCTCGGCGACAACTTGGCGCTGTCCAACGATAGTAGGAAGTTCGGCCCGGTGTCAGTGTCTCTGATCGACGGGATCGTCGTTGCTGTTGTCTTCCCTTTCTGGCGCATGCGGTGGCTCGTAGACGAGGAGGGGAATTCGATAGGATAAACGTAGGACATAAACAACTTTTTCTGCAGTGAAATGATTCTTGTGCTGATCATGCGACCAATGTTCATCATCTCCACTTCTGAATATAGAAAAAAAGGAAGCAAAGTCGAACTGTGTCCGTATCAGGTATAGTACGTACTCCTGTTTAATAGTGTAGAGGAATTGACAATAGTGAACGCGTGATCGATCATAGCAACCTGCTGACGACAAACGACGATGAAAGCTGGACCGTGAAAATGATTTCTGTGATTAAAAACTCAGTGTCGTCGTGTTCCACCGTGGTATCACACGAATTTCACTTGTGCAAAGCGAAAGCTCATCAACTAGATAATAGATAAACATGACAGGAGGGGGCAACTGTTTGAAAATATGGACTGAGTCTGAGCGATGCGATGTTTAAGCTCATTGAATGTGCCGGCGCGAAGCTAGTAAGAGTAGCCCAATTTTTTAGTTTCTCGACCTGTTCATCTTGGCTTTATTCAGTAGGTTCACTGAGGTGAAAATTTTGATGGGCCCGCACAACCAGTATCGTGATGTGCAAGAAGATCTAGCTCTAGTACAGGATGCATTTTAGTAATTTTTTCCGTGCTAATATCCCAGTTGTTTGGAAGATGTGCTTTGAGGAAATTAAACCGGTTCTTCTACATACAGCGGCATAACACGCAGCGCAACATGTATGTGCTGCTGCACGAGCGGTAGTCGCATAATGCTTTTGTTGTTCTTGACACGACAAGAAGAACCTCTTTCCATCAAAAAACTGAAAAACAGCGACAACCTGAAACAGCGGTGTGTAGTAGTGAGGACGTTATTACTAGTCTCTAGAGAGTAATAATTGCGCTACCTGGCCTGGGATTGGAGCTTTTTTGTTGAGGCGGAAAATCAAAGTAACAAGAGTATAAACTACATCTGTTATAATTTATTCCAATCAGATTTTCACAATTATGGAGTGCTTCATTATCGCTTTTCAAGATATTTTGCTAGCACACCCACCTTATTAGTATCGGAGACAAGAAACAAAGAGGCGACTTGTACACTTTTCTTCTATACGACAGCACCAAAATATACAGAAAGCCGACACTGAACACAGAGTGAAAGTCAAACTGCCACTTAGATAAACGGAAGCAAGAGCAATTTAAGTAGACGCAAGTAGCACGAAGAACACAAGTGTAAAACCACGTATGAAAAAAATTTCCAATACAAGGATGTTGCTTCATAGTAAAGAAGAGGAAGCATTTTTGTTGTGACCACAAATGAATATGCCACCTAAATAATACTTGAAATTTTTCCCACTAAACCAACACTATCTAGCCTCTACTAGAGATTGCTGGCCGTAAGAAAACAACAGCATTAAGTTCGGCGATCGAGATCGACCACGTCGTGTTAGGGTAAAAAAAATCTCCAAAGGCGGCTTCATCTTTCTGGAGTAGTAGGCATAATTGAAAATCCCACTTGGAACACAGATACACTATAAAAATTCTTGGGTTCTGTCGCCCAAAAAGTCTTTATTTTTGGGTCGCGTAAGAACCTACACGACTGGTTGTATCCTGTGATCATTCATCATTTTCATGCACTTCTACAGTGGCACGTCCACGTGCCGAGCCGCCAACCTTTTCATAGCACCCAAAACAGGTCGTGGCTGCAAGATTCAGAATCAGAAGAGTTGACAAGAACTCTATTACGCCCACCCAAAGAACCTGTACCTTAGCAGAATATAGTCCGGCAAAATTTTTTCCAGAATAATTTTGAAATCAAAGTTCCGTTTAGATAGCATGTTCATGATTTACAGCTCTGGCAGCCAAGGAGAACTTCTTTTATGTGGGAACTACGAGAAGGACCGGCATAAGGGGAGTACTACATGCCATTCGAAATAATACACAAGTCAGTGACCCTTGACGTTGACCGGCAAACATCGAAGAAGCAAAAATGCTGTAGCCTACATCTTGATTTTTTTGCTCCGTGCTCGGGTAGTTGCACCAGTACACATATTGTGAGGAAAAATCCCCCCTCCCCATATCGAAACGGAAATTTGTGATGCTGATTTGTGACCACAAAGAAATCAGGTTTGTCTTGCGTACAAGGCAAACGGCACCCATGTGGCGCAGTGTTAGCCCAGTCTGTCATGCGTTTTCGCCTACGCCAGACTTGTTTCTCATGCGCAGCTGCTAGCCGGATGCGTACCCAAATGGGCTTAGAGTATGCCGACAAGCTCTTGCTGCAATACAAAACTCATTTGTGTACACAAATCCAGCAACACAAATCGGCTTTTGAGTATGGGGTGGGGGCTTTTTTCACTTTGATAACACAACCGCTCCGGTCTTCCATGCAAGCCGGGTACTGCGTACTCGCTGCCGGAGCAGAGCCATCAATGGAAATTATATTAGACGAGGCCTCTTTTACTTTTTAAGTACAACCTTTTTTTTCAGAAATAATTCAAGAACGCGTGGTGGTGCACGTGCGCCGTCTTTGGTACATGATTTTTTTTTCGACGAACGATAGATTCATCTCGACTAGAGGAAATGCAGGGGGCGTTTGTGCAACAATTCTATATCGTCGTTGATTTTCATGGTGCGCGACAGACTCTCTCACACGGTGACACTTTACATTAGCTGTGCCGTGTTTTTTTTTAGAGTCGTTGCGCTAATACTAATAGGCGGTGCCTGCTACTGTCACGTTTCAGTGTTTCGGGTATAGAAATCTACTACCTTACGGAAGTTTATTTCTTGATACCGGAAGTAAGAACTAAGCTATTCACTCTCTCCTAGAAACCAACTTTTTCGATTCTTCGCATTTGCTTTCTAGCTGTGCTGCCGCGCTCTCACATTTGATTCTTAACGAATTGGGTTGTAAATAGCTGTTTGCAGTTGAAAATAAAGTAGCAATTCGAACGTTTAACTGTATCTATATGATTATGTTGAACACCTGGAGCTGTTGGCGTTGTTGTTGACTGACTTCCAGGAATCCGGATGCACTTACCACAGGAGGAAAAAAACCTTCGAAGCACGACTGGCGCAAGAAACTTTAGCCACCAATGCTACACCTAGATCGGCAAAGATAAAAGTAAAACAGCGCAAACTTCTTTGCATGACAAGAAGGCCCACGTAAAGCCGGGTAATATTCATCACGCGCAACCTTAGTTAGCGTAGTAGCGGCGCATCACGCGCAACCTTAGCTAGTGTAGTAGCCGCGGAAGCAAAAATACGAATCATCGCGTTGCGTGTTGTGCCCGCTAAAGATAGGTGGTTGTCAAATACTACTTCGCGTAGAAGTTGACCCATTGAATATGTCTAGCGTGGGCGCAACACGGCACGATGACGTGATTTTGGAGTAATTTTGTTCTGAACTTGGTGAAACTGATGAACTGACAAACTAAACCTGATAAAAACAACTACAGAGCGTTATTTTTTTTCGATGCAGTGAGAAGAGCATCCAACATTTGATAGATACTTTTATTGTGAACAAAATCAACAGACCAAGACTGCCCTTTAAGACAAAACCAGCTCGAAGGACTGTAGTGAATGTTTTATCCTTACGGGCTTTTCCTTTTCCATTCCTAGTACCAGAACCCCCGCCCCGGATTTCAATCCTCTTTCTATGCTTCTCCCCTAGCTGCCCTTTGAGACCTGATTGGTGGCACTATTCAACTCTTCTGGTTTATTCCACAAAGTTTTTTTTTCCTATTTTCTGCCGTAAATAGTACACCCACCTAGTCCGTCGAAGCATCTACGTGCAGCAAGTATCTATTTGCAGCACCTTAAGATCTGTAGAAGTAAGTACTTCTTCTTTATCTATCCGCGCGTCTTTCATTAACGATCGTCTTTGTGTCGATTTTCATTTTTTTTTTTGGCGTGAAGCCAAGTCGGTGTCGGGCATCAAGAAAGCTCCAACGCCTATCCGAAGCTAGCAGCGCATGAAATCACTAAAAATTTAAACTCTTAAATAAACCTACTGGAATAGTAAGTATCTGAATCTGTCGAATAGGAGGAGTGCCCGCAATCATACATTCCTCGACGAAATGATACAGAATTTGTCGGGAAATAAGTGATTCTGGCGGCAAGGCTGAACTATAGTGCTCGACGTAGCTGCTGGGACATAATAATTGTTCTACTCGACTTGTTGTACAGAAACCACGATGGACCTCCACATCAGCAACGGAACTCCATCTTGATCCAGGAGTCGGAGCAGGGTGGTCGTGGAGGCTCATTTTCAACATCGCGGCGCTGGAGGCAGATAACTCGCTTGCTCTATTATTTACCCTGTCGGCAGGAAGTTTTTCTTGCGCACCATCGTCGACACACCCTCCACGTGTGCCGCAAAATCCTAAACCCCCAGCCGCCTCTACAACGACGTCTTCGTGCCACGATTTTTTTAAACTGCGACAGTCAGCAGAAGTTGAACATCGGCGACAGGCGGTGGTCGTCCCGGATCATAGTAGTACGGTGCCACTACATGATGATCTTCATGTGCAGCTAGGAACAACATCTTCCAAACCGCTTCTGCAGCACACACGAACATCTTGCCCGTCGCAGAAGCACTCCTTCTCTTCGTTGCCGGAAGCGAACATATTGCCGGAAAAAGACACCACCAAAGTAGCACCAGCACGACTTCCAGCTAGGACCAGTAGGAGCAGTACAACAACTTCCCGTGGTGCTATAGTAGTACAACCACCTTTCGGTAGTAAGTTTCGCGCGATCATCATACACGGCAAGCAGAACTCTTTTCGAGAACAAAACGGATCACAAGAAGATGAAGCGCAACCGTTCTGTGTCCGGGGTCCCCATGATCCCGGTCCTGAACCCGCTCCACAGCTACGCCCAGCTGTTCCCCACGTTCGGCAAGGGGCTATACCGTTCCCCGAAGGATTTTCCGCAGGACTGGGAGGTTCTGAAGCAGCTCGGCACGGCGAACTTCGGCAAAGTTTTCCTCTTGCGGCACAAGCCGACGAACCAGGAGTTCGCGGTCAAGCGCATGGCGACCGACGAGAGGAACGCGGACGGACACATCAGCAGAACGGGCGTGCTGGAGCGGTACACGCAGCGGGGGGAGGGCGAGAACGCGATCGTCGAGCTCGGCGTCTACACGTACTGCTCTTTCGGGAAGAATTTAGACAGGAAATTGAACTACCTCCGGGAAAACAAGGATTTAGAGACGCTCGGCGAGCTGAAGGGCGGCGAAAGCATGGTCCAGGACGTTTTGGATCAGACGAAAATATGCATTGCAAATTATTTGAAATTATCCAGCGATCTGGGTTTTTTTGTCATGCAGTGAATAGCAAGATAAAAAAGATCTGTGATGCATAGAATCAAAAACATGCCAGCTTTCTTGTCATTCTGTGAACAAATAACTCAGTTTATTCCCATGCGTTTCACGAATGAATTTGCAAGAACAAGCTGCCTGAAAAACCTGTGAAGATGCTGTGATGCCGTAGTACAAGCGTCCTCCTCTCTGCGATCTTCATGCGAGTTGTACTAACTATCACTTAGCATGATCAACTACACATAGTTTAGTATTCCAGACCCGGATCATCATGATCGATGATAACTTCTGAATGCATAGCAAAAGGACATGGCGTTGGTGCTGGTGAACCGGGGGCGGAGTGGGGGCTTCAGTGACGTCATGGGCGGCACCAACGTGAACAACTTGCATCTATCGCACGAAAAAACTGTTTCACCGTGATGATTTTGCAAGATTTGCATCACAAGTTTGTTACACATGACAAAGAAAACTTGGCATGCGTGCTTCCTAAGGGAAAACACAGCTAAAAATCCAATATCTTGCATGTGTAGCAAGACAAACACATGTGCGTTCCGTTCTATGCATCACAAGTTTACAGTGAAACAGTTTTTTCTCGTGATAGCATCTAGACGAGGTGTACTACAGCACACCCGCAGGCGCGAAAACCTTTGCGAAGAACCTGGGGAACGATCCCAGACCGAACGGCGACAGTTTGGTCATGGGGGAGGTAAACGTGCCCTTTGTCAGCGGGGGGAGTGACGCCATCATGCGGAACAAGTTCAACGTGCCCTTCAACGAGGGGGAGCAGACGGGCGCGCCGGACTTGAGCACCAACCTCGAGAGCACCGAACTGGACGACTCCGAGTACGCGCCGCCCTACTGGATGGAACACAAACCCTGTCCGAACCTGCTGCGCATGTCGTTTTGCCTCATGGACAACGAGTACGTCTACGTGGGCACGGAAAAGTGCACCCGCGGCGAGCTGTTCGAGCTTGTCGCGGCGAAGAAGCGGCTCGGCGAGGCGCTCTGTATCACACAGAAAAAAGCAGGCAGGTCATATTTGTAATGCGAAAATAAATACACAAGAAAAGTTTGCATATCCTAAGCAGGATGCTATGAGGCCGCCCATGTCAGATTTTTCTGTGTATTTATTTTTGCATTACAAATCTGCCCTGCCTGCTTTTTTCTGTGGGATACTCTGCCGGTGTTACCTGCGGCAGGTGTGCGAGGCCGTGCTGTGGCTGCACGACCGGGGCATCTATGAACTGCAAAAGTATCGTATTCGTATAAATGCATTACAAATTTCCTCAGCGTCAGAAATAAAATTTGTAATGCAGACTTGCCTTGGGAACATGCAAGACCTGCATTTATACGAGTGCGATACTTTTGCACAGGATAGCATCGGGCACCGGGACATCTCGCTCGAGAACATTTTGCTCACCGACGAACCCGTATGGATGTGTCAGGTTTGAAATCGTCAAAGTTGAAATAGTTTGTCATGCATAAAACGGATACCAGTTAGACCTACAGTTTGTAGTCGGCGCATGACAAATTTTCCCGGCCCTGGAAGCGAGTCTGTCATGCGGTTTAGGGCAAAAGAGCTGCCTTCTGTCATGCTAGTTAGCAGCCCAACTTTTGACCCTTGCCAGGACTATGACCTGCCTCCCGTTGGTCCGCTGCAATAGAGTCACTTTTTGCATCGCATTTTATGCATTACAAATTATTTCAACTTTGACGATTTCAAACCTGACGCTTCCATAACCCGAAGACCGGTGTATCCGGCTGATGGATTTCGGGATGTCGTGCAATCTATCAAGTGCAAAAATGTCTGGGTCTGGAAGAATGCAAACTTGTGACGCGCATTTCGGAACACACAAAAATCTCTCATGCATAGGTAGCAAAAGCTACTCACTTTCTGTCACCAAAGTGGGGGATTTGTCATGCGGGTTCGGCATTGCGGAAGCTTCTCGAAACCTGTGATGCTAGAGCTTCCATGCCAGACCTTCTGTGTCATGCAGAAACGTCACGACTCTTGCTCTTCGAGACACAGACACTTTTACATTTGATACAATCTGTACCGCGAGCGCACCGACGACGAGCAGGCCGCAGCGGAGGCCGCTGCGGCGGCCGGGAATAAATCCACAGCAGACGGGACCACCCGGCTGACGGAAGCCAATCACGACGCCTCCGAGCTGCAGCCGAAAGTCGCGCGGACCGCGGGGAAGGTCCGACTCTCGGAGAGCGGGCGGGAGCTAGAAGACGTGCACTACTCCTATGACTTGCTCAAACGTGACAATCTCAAACGCTACAATAGAATGTGGAGTTTGTATTGCATGATGAGCATGACAGACTCGCACAGCTTTCCACCTTTTGCAATACAAATTTCGCCAGATTATAGTGGGGTCTGGGGCTCCGGAACTTGTCATGCGCAATCCTATGAGACTTGGCTAGATCATGCAATCTTGCATCACAGATTTCCATATTCTATTGTAACGTTTGCGATTGTAACACCTGAGCGGGTTATAACTCCGGGTCCGTCGGCAAGGACTTGTACCGGCCACCGGAGTATGGATTGCAAATATGTCTGGGTCTGGAAGATTCCGAGATTTGTCATGCAGTTTTTCCAAGCTCCACCAAGGCTGGAATGCAGGGCATTGCATCACAGGTTCTGCAGCCCCTTGGTGATGCCTATTCTGCATGAGAAATCAGCGCCCTCTCAGCATGGCCAGAAATGGGGACCTTTTGCAAGTCATGCAACACAGATTTTTGTATGATGCGCAACACGCATGACAAGTTCGCATCCTTCCAGCCCCAGACATTTTTTGCAGTTGATACGGAGCTGTACCACGGCACCCAGCAGAACTTCTACAAGGTAGCCCCAGTGGACGTGTTTTGCTGCGGTGTGGTATTTATCAAATGCAAAAATGTCTGGGTCTGGGAGATTGCGAGATTTGTCATGCTTGTCTGGCATGACTCTGAACTCTGTGTTGCATGGCCGCGAAGAGCTCCTCCTCCCTGTCATGCAAAAACGCAGTTTCTCATGCGCTCGGCTAGCTGGCCGGGCTGTACTGATCAGGTGTGGTGGGTAGCTCCCGACTGGTTGGTACTTTTCATGGGGCGACTTGCCGTGGTAGCGCTCGGCTTTTGTATGATGAGGTCGCCGAAAGTGCTTCCTCGCCCACCCCCCGGGGAGGGGATCCTTGACCTGTGGCGCTGGGAGCGGGTGTCCACTACATGATGATGATGATGATGACGCAACTCAGAGCCATGGAAAAAACTTGTCATGCTTGGCAGCGCATTATAGTGAGTTCACCATTCCCTTTTTTGCGTCACAAGTTTCCAGACCCAGACATTTTTGCATTTGATAGCAGTCTTCATGATGCTCACCGGCAAACCGTTGTGGAGGAGATATCCTAAGGAAAACCGTCCCCACGACCCCATAGTCAGGTTGGGGAATGTGCTACACAAATCCACACGCTTTGGCGGTCCCGCATGACAAGTTTTCATCTGGTGTAGCATGGTGCTGCTTAGCAGGGAGAGCCGCATCACAAAGACGCCTGCTCATCCTGTTTGCAGCATTACAAATCCCAGATCACGTCGACTGCAAATATCTCTCATGCGGATGTGCATTGCAGTTGTTTCTGTGGATGCAAATCTGCATGCCAACTCTGGGGTGGGGACGTTTTTACATAGGATAGGAGATGCACCATGAGCGACAAAGTCACTGCTTTCCTTGCGGAGGGCGGCGCGGCGAGGTTCGACAGTAACTGGCAGCGGTTAGTCGACGGCTGGGGCTTCCGAGAACGGTTTTCCGCTGATGCGCTGGATTTGATACCAAAAATGGTGCACTTCGATCCCGGCAGAAGATGGTCGATACCGGAGATTTTGAAGCACCCCTTTTTCATAGAACCGGAAGGAGACGGAAAAACGGATCTGTGAGGAGGGCGGGTTCATCTGTTTTAAGTATTTATGGACCCACGTCGACGGACATCGACCCAGCAAGTCATCGACTACTTTTTTTTCAACACGCGACTTTTACTTTAGAAAGATTCATTAGAACAACTTCAAGCTAGCCTGTGAAAAACAATACGAAGAACGCTGACGCGGGTTGTAGTTGACTGTGGAAGTACCTTTTCTGTTTCGTATGAAGCAAGAGGAACGACTACAGCGGCGAAACCGAAATCCTAGCGAGCAGCTGTGTAGTAGCTCCGAACCCGGGGTGATGTTTCAGCACCGAAGAATGTGTGGGTTGTTGTCTCACCAAGAAGACTAAACACACAACCACACAAAGACAACTTTATTCAATTTTTTAGAAGCGCGATCGTTGTCATCAACGCGATCGAGAAAGTGATCAAGCAAGTGTGTTGGAAAATAAACTCTTACCCTTATCAATCTCTCGTGTGTCGGACTGCAAATCAGTCGATGAAAATGATTTTCCGACTTAGGGCTGCGAACAGTTTCTCTTGCTCACCTTCTTTTGGAAAAATCGCAAAAATCGAAGAAGGACGGAGTGGTCTTCGGACTGTTTCAATTTTCATTTTGGGCGGTATATTAATTATAGGTACTGGCTTTTCAGGAGGAAAAGATACATACGGACGATATTGTTTTTACAGAACTTATTTCCTGGTACGTACTTCAACTTCTAGACAGATGGATAATAGCATTCGCATGTCCGAAACTTTGACAACAGGGCGGCGGGCTATTCTGTCTAAGAGAAAATCATCGACACACACATGATATCAGGTTTTGATTGCAGCTAGGAAAAGGAATGATGGTGGCCAGATGCAGCCATACTTCGGAATAAAGCGGAGTAGCTATGACTCGAGCACTGAACATGAAGCCACAAAATTCGTAAAAAAAAGCCGCCAGTCTCTTCGGAATATCAGACACACTACTTTTCGAACAGTATTGACGTGAAATGGTGACTTTAAGAGCTTCAATGACTGCCACAGACCAGCAAAGGTTCTTGCTCACGGATAAAACAATAAACTCTTTATAACAAAAGGGATGAACCATCATCGAGGGTATGACCAACATGGTCCTCTTCTAGAAGCGGAACATCGAAGTTAAAAATGCCCTTGCTGCATGAGAAAATTTATACCTGATTGATAATTGCTGGTAGCATCACCAAGCGTAGAGAAGAAATAGTACTATAACCCTTCTGCGTGTGGTAGGAGAAGCTCGCGGAGGTACTGTAATTTCTTCGCAGACCGGCAGGGAAGGAAGCAATTTGTTGTTGGAACTTGCGCACGTTTTCCAACAATAAATCATTGCAGAGTTCTAGTAAAAATATCAAAAAGCGACAGCAGCAGTAGAAGTACCTCTACCTATAATTTGCACCCAGAAGTAGAATTACAATTACGACCCTGAGCTAGGCGATCAGAAGGCCGCTCTTTCATTTTAAGAAAGCAAAATCGCTTTCGTTACAGACGCAAATAACGCCCACGGAAAATTATGACAACTACGACACAAAAAAAGAAAAACTGTCAGTGCTTTATGGGAGAGATTGAAACCGGCGAAATCGAGAGCATGATAAGAAGTGGCACGACGTCACTTGAACGCAGCTGCTCGATTATCCGACGATTAAGTAGATAGTAATCCTACATCCCGTAATAGAAACTTTCTCTGTTTAAGTACTTTTCGGATATTTCCCTTTTCGGATACTCGCACTGCTATTGTGGATTAACTTAGAGTGGTAAAAAATTGGAGCGCAATTGTTTTTTTTTACGTCACAAGAGGAGGGTGACGTCATGGAGATTCCCCGAAGTAAATTCGAGGTTGAGTCTTCGTGTCTTTGACACTAGTTCCAATTTTGAAACTCTGTCGAGGTAGGATAGCACTTTAATAAAGTGCTATCCTCCCCTTAGGGAACCGGAACAAGTACTAAAAGGAAAGAGTAGCTGTCACGGGGTACGAAAGTACTTATGATGTCAACAGGGCATCGGTCTACTTGGTAAGGGAACCAGCAGTGACAAGTAGAAGTAGAGTCTCTAGAAGTAGCAGACAACACGAGCTATATTTTGAAAACGATAATTCCTTCGCCGTGCAGGCGCAAGCGAAAGCATAAGTATCAACGCCACTGAGGCCGACGACCTTCTTGTGCAAAGAAAAACAAACGCCCTAGAAATCAGAGGTCTTGATATGATGTCATTTGTAAAAATGCGCGAACGAAAAGGGCAAGAGCCCGCCAATCGTTCCTGAGTTTTTCTAATCGGAATAGCAGCAAAATCGTAATCGGAATAGCAGCAAAATCGCGAATACATATGTCGACCGAATAGGTAGATAGTGTTCGCCCACAATAGAGCAGAAAACATCTGTTTGCCTTTCTATTCGTCTTTGCTGCAAGGAAAGTTTCGGTTTCGATTGCAACCACGTCCGAATTATACTAGCTAAGGATTACATTTACAACACAACGCACTTTTTGCACCACTTTTTCTGAAATTGGAGATTTATTTCTCACTTGCGACGACAAGAAATCATATTCGTGCAGCACGACGAACCGGCGACAATCACAAGAAGCAGAAGGGTGCACACTCTCTTGTGTACTATTTTCTCGAAATGACAAAATCAAAATCTCTACGCAACGGCGCACGACTGGCTCCTCTCTTCCGCATTTTTCGCTGGCTTCGGCGAGAATTGAGATTGACGCTACGAAAGAGCTTTTTCCGTGTGTCTGTGTTGTATGTACTCATGAAGACCGACAAGCAAGGGCTTGTTCTATTTACGTTTATGGCAACATTTCTCCCTCGGCGAGCAATATAATCTCTCGTCCTTGGCTCGTGTCGGCTTTTGTTGCAAGTTTCGGAAACCAACTCTTCATCTTCCAATGTTGTTTTCGTTTCGCTTTCCGATTCGTTATTTTTAAGTTTAGAGAGAATCAAATGGGCGTCAAAATAAACGGCGTCAGGCCGATGGCTGGAAAAATTTCTTCTAGTTTTTTTTTTCTAAATGTCAATGACAACTCAATAAAGCAGTTTTCAAATAATACCAAGCCCTCTGCCGTCAATAGGAAATGAGAGGTTTTTCATACAGAAAGTATAAAAAAGGAGGGGTTCTGTAGCAAAGCGCTTCTGGTTTCGGGAAGTTAAGCAAATCTCTGTGGCAAGAATCGGCCTTATGTACTACAAAGTCTTGTTGTGTGTAGCTAGCGAGACAAATACAGTCAAAGCAGGGTTTGCTTTGTCTCACACAAAAGTCGCTTTTCGAGAACTTCTTCGTACTCACAGATTGCTTGTATTTTTCAATATATAGAAGTCAGAATTCTTCTACTTCTGAAGAAAACGACAAAAGTTCCAGTACTAGTCCGCCCGTATTTATTATTTACTACGACCACCTACTTATATTTTGATTTTTCGCTTGCGCGTTAGCTAAGCAGTGCGACCTCCACCGCTGCAGTACCGCTGCTACTGAAAATAAGTAACGCGGAGCAAGGGACATTCATACACTTACACCCGAATCAGGATGATGGTACCGCTCACCGAAATAATCAATTTCGAAATGTTTTGTTGAAAAAAATCGATCGACTGGACTCACTAGGGGCGTGATTTACCTACTGTTGTTTCATGACCTGCTGGTTCACTGCATTTATTTTCTTTTGTGTAGGAAAAGAATTTAGAATAAGAAACCTTAACTTTATTGACTGGTTGCAATTGCATCAATCTTCACTCTCATCATGCCACCGCTGGCAATGACAGTCTCGCATCCACCGTCGTCGAGACCAAAGCCTGGGCAGCTACCGCAGTATTTCCTGCATCCGGTTTCTTGAAAGATAGCCACTCTCGTTCTGTTCTTCCTCTTCCGAAGTAGATCGGAGGGTCTCACTTTCTGACGATCGCCTGCAACGATTGAATAGCAGTTTCGATCACAGGAACTACGCTCTTTAGAAGTTTGTTGAGTATTGAAAGATCCGATTGCAGGAGGCGCGCTAAGGATCTCTGACGCACCACTCAGATTTTAGCGCCCTGGTTTGCCACTGCGCTTGCTTTTCATGCACGCTCACATTCATCATACTGTTGCTCTTGCTGCCGATGACTTTGGCATGGAGAAGCTTATAATTCAGGGCTGATCATGATCAACGTGAGGATAATGATAGACAAAATGCATGATGGTGGTTCTGTCACAGGCCGCCGAACACGCAGCAGCGTGTTGTGATGTGTTTCAAGGAAGAACGATCAAAGCAGGATCAGACTCCAACTGTATTTTTACAGCTTTGTTTCGATCCAGATTTCCATTTACTCTTTTGTAAAGCCTACATCTTCGAGTTCGAGTTCCACTTTAAGCTGCTGTTTTGGTTGTCTACTTTGTCAGTCCAGAAACCATCATCGCATGAAAATTTTGGAAGAAATTGTATGATAGAAACGAGGAAACTATAAGAAGGTTACAGTACTCGCTGTCGCTACAGATTTTTGTAAAATCGCGAAACCGATGAATCAAGTACGAGTATCGGTACATCTAGTGTATTACAAGAAGAAATCCTAAAGCCATATACAAAATTTCTCAGAAGAACTTTATCCCGAGGTAAAAGAAACTTACCCGCGGCATCAAGAGCCTTCTAGCTATCGATAGAGCCGGTCAACATCAACTTTTCCAACAACAGAAGACAGAAACAAACAAGCTATGCCCTCCATTAACAGTCTGCTTCTGATCGCGCCGCCAGGTGGTGGCAAGGGAACGGTGACGAAACTTTTGCTGAACCGGTGTAAATATGCATAATGCAAAAGTAACGTACTAGTATAAATTGCATTACAAATTTTGGCAAGAAAAAAAATGGAATTTGTAATGCTGTTTTACCTTAGGAGGAAGATTTGTCATGCGTATTTGCAAGTAGTACGAGTACGATACTTTTGCACAGCATAGTAAAGCGCTTTTCTCCCAGTACCCGCAGCAGCATTTTTCCATGGGGGATGTGTTGCGGAAAAATTTGGACCAGCTGCCACAGGACCAACAGGCAAAGATGCGGAACGGAGAATTACTCCCGGCGCAGGACCTGAAGGAAATCCTGTTTCGGGAGGTGCGGAATTGCCTTGGTGGTAGTTCTAGCGCTGGAGGTGGCCACGCGGTCGTGGACGGCGTGAATCTTCAGGGTGGTAGAAATTGTAGTGCCGTCAGGGTGGAACATCAAGATGCCTCTCTCGACGACAATTACAACGGCACTAGCAGTCGTCCACCTTGGATCATCTTGGATGGGTTTCCGCGCACGGTGGAGCAGGCGAAACTACTGGAGCAGGAGGACGAGAGAAGTGATGAACATCAAATAAGCGATAGCACTCCTACTTCTTCTCGTGTTGACGCCGAGGACCCTGCAGATAGGACGACTATCACGCCAAGTATCCACAAAAAAACGAGAGCCATCCCCGTTCATTTTTTGTATAGCAAGGAGTGGATTTTATGCATGTTTTGTGTGACAAATTCGATAAGGATGGTTCTTTTTTTGTGGATCATACCAAAAATCGCCGTCTTCCTCGATGTGCCAACGGAGGAAATCTTGGACCGCATCGAGCACCGCTTGATCCACCCCGGTTCTGGTCGGACGTACAATGAAAAATGGAACCCGCCGAAAGTCCCCAACGTCGATGACGTGACTGGAGTATGAAATGTAAAAATGTCTGGGTCTGGAAGAGTGCAGATTTGTCGTGCACATTTTCCATGCCCCATGAGGGCTGGAATGCAGGACCTAGCATCACAGATTTTCGGAATGCCTCCTAATGCCTATTCCGTTTGTAAGAATAACCCAACAAGGCAACACTGGAGCTCCACCTTGCTCGCGGGCTTGGATGGTAAATCAGGTCAGCCACATCTAGCGCCCACTGGCCGTACTCACGCGTAAGCAATCGCAAACGGTTCGGCGGATGCGGTCGGGTGGTACCTGTAGGACGTGGAACGGGTGTCCACCTAGGGGTATTGGCAGAGGCTAAATCTGTTCTAACGCCACGGCATTGGCAGAGGCTAAATCTGTTCTAACGCCACCCTGACAGGAGTCAAATGTCAAAGCGATGCGATACGATACGCGTAGCACAATCTGGGCTCCTCTTGCTGGTCATGCAATACGGATTTTTTTAGAATCCAAAGACAGCATGACAAGTTTGGATCCTTCCAGACCCAGACATTTTTGCAATGCATATGGAGAACCGCTGGAACGGCGCGCGGACGACGATTTCGCCACAGTGAAGAGGCGATTGGAAGTTTTTCGCGAATTCACTTGGAAACCGCTTTTGGATCACTACGTCGGGCAGAGACCACCACGGCGGGGAACAAGTACACAAGATGAACTACACGAGGACGGCTGCACGTCAAAAACAACAACCTTCATCGTCTCCGGAGACGGGAAAGGCGCGGGGCTAGTGCAGCAGTTGACTTCAGCAGCAGCTGGTGATCCAAATCGTTCTGCTTCGGGACGAACAAGAACAGGCCCCCGTGATGTCTTCGACGTGGCGAAGAATCTGAATTTGATTAACCAGGGCCGCCGGAGCGAGGCGATCGTCGAAGAGCTGTTGGCGTGTCCGGAATTCCGCAGCTTGCTGGGGCTGGACGCTCTTGAACGTGAGCACAGCGCAGGCGCAGATTACACTGCAGAAGGCCACCAGAGCGGAAGATTTCTCTCGAGCGACGAACAAGCCCCAGCCGTGTTGAACAGTTGTGCGGTTGTAGCCGAGGGCAAGGGTATTACTATTAGACAAGAGCCAATGGGGCGAGAAGAGGTGGCGGGAAACAGTGAACGCTCGCGCCAACAAGGAGCCGCTTCTACACGAGCTCCTGTGTACTCACGACTGTAAGCAAGAACTCCTTGTTGCGAAGTGTGACTAAAGTAAAGACTTGTTGGAAAGTGTTGTGTCGAGTAAAGACTTGATGAGATCATGTTGTCCGCCATGTGTGATGAAAGGTAAAAATCGAAGTTGCCAATGCGGAAAGCGAAAGAAACACTAGGTCTACCCTGTAACAAACCGAAGTGAAGCAAATGCGGAGAAAATTCACCTACGGGCACGGCTCTCTCCGATGCTGTGCAAAAACTTTAATCCTTTCCAAAAACCTTCAGGGACTTTTTGTGGCACATCCGTAAGGTGAAGCAGTGGCCAGAGCTCTCGTTAGAACTGAAAAAAGGAAAACTGAAGTGGAAAAAAGAAACTGATGCCTCGTTGTTCAACTTCTTCCACTTTTTCTTCGTCGCGGCTAGAGGAATAGCGGAGAAATCAACACAAACTGAGAGAACTCAAGACCAAAACTCTTCTCCGTGTGCTGCGACTGGTGTTGTATGCGCGTACTTTCGAAATGGAAATAGTCGAGAGCAACGCGAAGAAATATGAGCTTCTAGCTCTAGCCAAAGAGCCTAGCGCTTTCTGATTGGTGTGTTCTTTTGCGACCTCGCAAATGAAAGCGGCAAGGCCAATAAGCTCCGCGGATCTACTTCTGAAACCGAAAAAAGCAAAAGATCTTGAATAGAGCAGTCCTGTATTCCACTGGGCAAGAAAAAAACCAGTCAGACGACGGGCGCCGGCACTTTGAACATTGTGGAAGCGCGTGGGGGTTTGGGTGGCTTTTCACAGCATAGCGGTGGAGCCGGTGCCGGGTCTCTCGGCCCTGTCCGCCCCGATGCGCCTGCACAAACTAGCTGGGGAGAAAGACTGGCCGGAGCGGGTCGCGCACCTGTTTCGGACGCCTTCGGAGCGGCTTCGCTGCCAATGAAAGAGCCGCCCCGAGTGCGCCAAGAAGTGCGCCCACGAGAGGGAGGGGAGGAAGCGCGGAAGGCAATGCAGCACCAGGCGGGCGCCTTTCCCTCCGGCCGTAGGCGCGCGCGCCGCCGGGCCCCGTTCATTACCGGCCGCGGGCCCTTCGTGATCATGGTCAGCCCGGGCCCCTTCTTGACCGCCTGGGGCAGCCGCGCGCGACTTGGCGCGCGCCCCCGCTGGCGCGATTCCTGCCTGCCGCGCGAGTCGCGATGTCGGGCCGGGGTAAATGCCCGCGCGCAACTGGGCGAAAAGCGTCGCGGGTGCTCGCTGTGACGAAGGCACCGCCAGCGCCTTGGTCGCAGAGCACATGGCTGCGGATTTTCGCCGCCACAAAATTAAGGCGGCCCCCACTCTCGAGTTCCGGAACCCATGGAAGCCCGAGCTTGGCCACATCTTGAAGGGCTCCGCCCCGATGAAGATGCCCAAGGCCGCGACTTCCCCCCGCCCCGCCCCCTCCGGCAGCCAGCGGCCCAGGCCCGGGAGGGCCCGCCGGCCGCACTGGCGCGGGCGCCCTGTGCGCCCGCCTGCCTCAGGGGCGCGGCCGTTGCCCCCCGAGCGCTCTCCGCCCCTTCTCGGGCGGCCGGCGTCGCGCGCCCTCCCCCCTGCCCCCCTCCTGGCTGTCTGATTCATTAGTTACGCGCATTCTGGGTCGTGGCACTCTGGCCCTGGCCCCGCTCGATCGTTTGTTGAGACTCGGCCTCGCGCGGATCGGGCCGTCCGATCGTCCGTCCCGGTGGTTGCCTTCGTGTGCCGCGCCAGCTGCGGGCCTCAGTGAGTTCGTTGCATGCCCCGCCCGGCGGCGTGGACTTCGTTTTTGTCTGTGGTCGGTCCCGGCGTTGACTTGGCATCCGGGCCGTGGTGTTTTCTATTAATTTTGTGACATTGCCTTCGAACCGATGATCATGCCAAGGAAGTGGGTGTCTGCCCACCTCGCTGGCTCTTGCGTTCTTGGCTGGCGTTGTTCTCTCATTGCTTGAGCGCTTTCATTGCGGCTATCGCGTTGCGGCACTGCGATTTCCTTCGCGCAGCAGCCGGCGCTCCTTTGGCGACCTTTCCTGTCATTTGTCGACGCTCACTTCCTTTACTTTGCAAAGAACACAGTCCGGTGCATAAGTATTTCCCAATTTTATTGAGTAGTGTCGTTTTCCCTATCTTATATCAGCACCTCTGCACAGAGACAGAGAGGTCTGCATTTTTGGCAACAAGATAGATACAGCCGCGTACTAAGACACCTGAATTACTAGGAAACAGAATTCCAGAGGAAAGTTCTTCGGCCTAGTTGTTTTAGAAGTGTACACACGTGGTCGACGACTGCGACATAAGTATTCAGATGTTCTCGTCATGTCCGTAATGCAGAGCTTCCGTGCGGCCGTCCGACTCCGATGGAAGAGGAAGAGGTAAGGCGCAAGTAGATCATCAAGCACTTTGTACAGCAGTATCGGGACGAAACTCTACTTGATCCAAAATGAAGAGGCGTTCACCAGAAAACTTTTCCAGCTTCCGGGGCCAGCACCTCTGCGTCTTCTTCCTCCTTTTCCATCAAGCGAGCCCAGTCACCGTCTCGGCTGCAGCGTTCTTGCCTTCCGGGGGTTCCTCCGTGGCGACAATATCAGCCGGGCCTGTAGTCGCCTCGTACAGCTCTGGAGCCCACACACCCCGGGCGCCGTATCATCTTGCTTCTAGTGCGGTACCAGTGCCAACCGCCTCGCATGGCGGTTTATTCACATCATCGTCGGCGTCACCGGGTGGTACTACGTCTACAGGTCATGCGCCGCTGATAATACCTGGGACGGTTTTTGGAGCAGCTGCACCTCCTGTGTTCGCTTCTGCGTCGCAACAACAGTTTCAGCCAGGAGCCCCGTCCGCCTTTCTCCGATCAAACAGCTCCGTGGGGAACACGAGAAGTTCTTCTAGCAATAGCACCGCTTCCGCAGTCCAGCGCGCACGGAGTCAGCCGCAGCCGGGACAGCTGTTGGGGCGAGCAGGGGCGATGCCGGTAGTACAAACTACAGGGTCTTTATCGCAACACCAGCAGCAAGCACAAAGAGCCCCTGCTTCGTGGGCATACCCTGCAAGAGGACCGCAGCATCAACAAACAGTGCCTGCTGGAGTTTCCGGAGGTCCACAAACAGCAACACCGCTCCCTGGGGGACCACCTGTTGGAGCTGCTGCGCCACAACTACACTCCCACGGCGCCGCTTCCAGTACCCGCACAGCCACCCCCGCGACCACGCGAACTCACACGCCCGGCGGGTCCATGCACGTGCCGTTGCGTGGAACTTCATCCTCCCTGGCAGCCCCGGCTGGGTTATCGGTACCGTTTTTCGGTGGTTTTTTTGGTGGTGCTCCTCCGCAAGCATCCGGCCACCAAACTCCCAGCCCGAGTGGAGGAGGTGCTCCTGTATTATCAAGGAACTTATTGCACAACAACGTTCGTGCCATGACGCCAAACACCAGCCCAGCAGGGTTTGCGCCCATGGGCCTGCAGTCCAGCCAGCCGCTACTGACAGCAGGAGCTTCAACTGCAGCTACTACTTCGCCGCTATCGAGTATGCTCTACGGCGCCATACCTGGAACTACAGCAACTGCAAGTGGTTTATCACCAGCAAATAAATCTAAAGAGCCTTGCCCCCTCTGCTTCGAGGACCACAACCACCCAAGCGAAGGAAATTTCGTCTGCCGGCACTGCGGCGCCTTCGCGCACCGGACGTGCTTAATCCCCTGGATTGTTCCGGGAATTCAGGCGAAGGGCAATTCGGAGCTGCCCCCGGACCGGGGAGACACACCGGCCGGCGAGACGTTCGTGGGCATGAGTCTCGGCGACGTCCCGGGGAACAACTTCGTCACTTCCAGACATTGCCCGACGTGCGGGGGCGAAATTGGCTTCAACGAGTTTTTGCACAGCGTGCGGCCGGGACGGGCGTATCAAATTGGAAAATCCGAAATTTGGTATAGGGAAGAAGAGGAGAAGCTGCAAACCGTGCTGGACCTCGGCGTGGATCTGCTACATAACACCGAGAAGGCCGCTATCATGGAAGTCTCGCGGATCTCCGCCGCGTTCGCCGCCTGGCGGTCTGCGGTCGATTTTTTCGTGCGCGACTTGGAGCCGCTACTCGCGGCGGCCGAGGTGATCAGTATGAATGTGGACGAGCTAGCGAAGCAGATGCAGCAGTTTTCACTCCTAGGAACCAGTACATCAAACAATAACGCAGCATTTGTTTCATCATCTCCCCGTCGTGCCACCACATCAACCACCCAATCGCTGCTCGACCAGAGCCTCTTGACTTCCGAAAGGGACGCTGCGCTCTACAAGACAGTAGGCAGAGAGGAGCTGGGCATGGAAACGGACGTCTATGCCAGGTTTGTTACGAAGTGCCGGATATGCATTGCAAAGATGTCTGGGTCTGGAAGAATGCAACTTGTAAAGGTAATTCTGGCTCATGCAAAAATTCGTGTTGCACGAATGTCAAAAGTTGTCCACTTTTGACGAAGTTGAAAGGAAGTTTCTCATGCAGGATAGGCATGATAACAATCCCACATAATCTGTCATGCTAGGTCCTGCATTCCACATGACATGGATCATTCAAAATATGCATGACAAGTCTAGCAAAGCCCCAGACATTTTTGCATTTGATACCGGAAGACGACTCCGTTTTCCGCTTCCGAGAGGATTCAGGACCGGCCGACGGTGAAAGCGTTACTAGACTGCGGCTTGGTGAAGTTTATGCGGAAGTATTTGCGGCTCGGCGCCGGGGGAGATGAAAGTACAGCGTTTGTAAAAGCGGCACAGGACATGAGCTACGGCTCGATGCCAACGACTATCAGCGGCGGATTTTCCAAATCGGAATTGCTCGAGATACACGTGAAACTGGACGAATTGCTTCACGAAGAGTGGTCAAAGCCTGTGAACACGAGTAGTGGGTCTAGTGGAGGTGCTGGTGCTGGGGCGGGCAATGCGAACGTATACTAATGCTGTTCTAGTAGCTGCTTACTTTCGAAAATTTCGATGAACTTGATGTTTTTCCATTTGCACTGCTCGTTTCTTCATGACGAAAAAGTTCGTACGAGTACGAAGTGCTCGAATTCCGCACAAACAAAAAAACAGCTTGTCGTCTCGTCCCAGCCTTCCGGCAGCATTAAGCCAACACCTCCGACGGAGCGGGCGAAAGAGCAGCTCGAATCGGGCCTCCAGTACGAACACTACATCATGAACAGTTTCAATAAAGCGCTGGAGGAAATTTATGGGTTCTCCGTTCTCGAAGCCCTCGACCCCGACTGCAAGCAGGAGCTGGTGAAGTACCTGACACAGCGCGCCTTGCCGTTTTTTCCGAAATTCAGGAACAGCGAGCAGTTCGAGCTTCTTGTCTACGAGCACTACTGGCGGGTCGACTGGGCGGCGAAAATTTTGACGCACGACACGCAGTACAAGAACCTTCTGGCAAACGGCCACGTGCCGGTGGGCAGCAGCAGGAACTTTGACCAGAATCAAAAGTTGGACGAAGTCATGCGGGAAAAGAAAAGCGGGAAAGAGAAAATGGATAGTAGTAGTACTTCTGGCAGAAATACGGATCATGGAACGTCATCAAATACTAGCACAACAGGAGGCAAGAGCAGCAGTAAAAAGAGTCAGAAACACAGTATAAAGCCGAAGAAACTGCCCGCCCTTTCCGTAACCACCGTCATCAACGCAGGTTCCTTTCTGGCGCAGGGCGTTTCCGCGCGGCAACTGGTCCAGCCTTTGTTCCCTTCGGCCTACAGTTTTTTCAGTGACAGGTCGGGTCAACACCTGTCAGCTGGGATGAATCAACCGAAGATGAGCACCGAGGCGAGCATCAAAAAGACGGTAAAGAAAAAGAAAAAGAAGGGGTTTGTTAGTTACGTGTGCTGCTAGGACGAGAAATTGGAGCGCGGTTGTTCTTTCATACAGATGAGACCACTACTTCTTGCTGTCGTGTCGGCGCTGCATTTTACTTCTCGATAGGAGAAAGACGGCCTCCTGTCGAAGATCGTTTTTGCACATTGATCATGTTGAGTGGATTCGTACTTTTGATGACTTTGCTAAATTGATACAAACAAAATTTGGTTCTTCGACTTGTTCGAAACTGCATATGCAAGTGTCACAAGAATGAATCTTCCGGCTCTTGCAAACTGTTTCGCCACATCAAGAAATGCGATCGATCGCTTCGGCTTTTTCTTCGGCCAACTTTGATGGACAGCTCAGTACTACTGTAAAGAATATAGAAATTATACCTGCAAAACGCACAGTTGCCTGTTTCTAAGCTACTGAAGCTGGGAATACTAGATCACACTACAAAACGAGTTCTCGCCACAACCACCAACCTTTCATCAACAGGAAATTTCGAATACAGAGAAAATACCTTTCGCACCATGATGCCGAAGAAAATTTCGTATACCATGACAATAGAAAAATACAAATGCATATGCAATAAACAAGCATGCTCGGGAAGTTGGGCAATGAATGCGGATAAATCGCGCGACTACAACAACTTACTTGCGCGATTGCAATGACCAATGACAACTCCATGTCCTACGACTTATGTCCAATTTTGACAAAATGCTCCGGAAGAAAGATGATAAAAGAACAAGCAAGTACTTTGTTACAATCAAGTACAACATCCACAGCGGTTTAGTAGTATCGTGACTAGGAAGGATTTGTCAACTTGATGCGTGTTGAGCATCGCCGTAGTAGACATTTCTGCTTCTGCGGTCGCTGCTCTACCACTTGGATGCGTTGTTCCGCATTAATAACGAGTGCTGATTGAAGAGGAGTTACAATAGGTTCTTTGCGCAGCGTAGAGATTGATATTGAAAGCGATCATTTTCCCGACCGCGTTCTGAATGCACGCACAGCAGCACAGGAAGATCCTGCTTATTGCTTTTGTCGTGATAAATCGAAAGTTTTTGACCGAAGTACTAGCCAGCAAAAAAAAAAAAAGGAATGGTAGATTAGTACTTGGCGCAACAATCCGTAAAATGAATAGAACTCTAAGATCAAGATTGCAGTCAGTTATATTAAAGCACCTTAGCGCTACTCTACAATTTCGCAGACCTAGGAGGCTCCGTTTAAAAAATACTCACACGCTCTTAATGGCTGCCCATCAAAGCTAGATCGATTTCAGATTTTCTATGGCAAAAAACGCCTGAAAATCATTGTCAACAAATTGCAACCAAAAAATCATCAGGGGAAGAGCGGTTAGTTATAGTTCTGCCGTGGGCTGAAAATCACTTTTCTCATCGAGAAAAGGTGGTTTTCGACCTGTATAGCACTTAGCTAACGTAATCACTAGTTCGACGTGGTGGAGTGTTTTTCTTCACTGTTGTATCACACACAAAAAAACTTAATGACTTTACTAGCACGACCAAATCACCTAACATTCGTTGTCACCTCATAGTTTCACCCGAAAATAAAGAATTCTACCTCTTCGATATCATCAGTCTTTAGAAACCTTTCACATAAAAACACAAAATGGCAAGACTAAAGAAAGACGACGGCGCAAAGAAGAAGGGGAAGGTGAGATAGAGATGTGGATTTTCTTGGGAAGAGTTCTGCGATATTGTTTATTTGTCATGCAAAAACCAGCACAGCTGCACCAAGTGTCTGTGATGTAGGAAATGCAATTTGCAACAATAATGTATCAAAAATTCTAGTACAACTACATCCACTAAAACGAACAGGAGCAAGTGGGAAAGAAGCATTTTGCTGCGGATAAGGAGACCCCAGCCGCTTCCATCGTCGGTGGGAAAACCCCGGGCCTTAATAACGAAACCCCAGCTATCCTGTGTAGAAACGTCCCCACCCCAGAGTTGTCATGCAAATGCGCAATGGTAGGAACATCTCTAATGCGCATCTCCATGGAAGGCATTTCCAATCGTGTTTTGACATTTGTAATGCTGTAAACAGGATGAGAGAGTGGCTTTCTCATGCGGCTTTCCTTGCTAGCCAGCACTACGCTGCAGATGAAAACTTGTCATGCAGAACTCCCAAAACTTAGGAATTTGTGTTGCAGACTTCCCATCTTGACTATGGTGTGGGAACGTTTTTACATGGGATACCAGCGGGCTGCGCTCCGGTGGTTGTTGTGAAGAAGCGCACGACCAAGCCAGGCCAGGCGGCGATCCGGGAAATCAAGAAGTACTTATAGATACGTTTTGTGGATCTGGATCGATTGTTTTTGCATGTTTCCTTGCATGAGAAATCAATGTTGAATTCACTCACTGCGCATGACAAATTTTTAACAACATTTGTGGTGCGAGGGCATTGCAAAGTATGCAACACAAGAACTTTTTACCAGGTACCAGAAATCTACTGAGCTGCTGCTCCGAAAGCTGCCGTTCCAGCGATTAGTTCGTGAGGTGCTCCAGGGCGATACTCGCGCGCAAGAGTTCCGCTTCCAGTCGCAGGCACTGTTGGCCTTGCAAGAAGCTGCGGAAGCCCACTTAGTTGGCTTGTTCGAGGACACGAACTTGTATAATTGCATAGAGCTGATTTATTTTGATGCCTTTGTTTCTGAACAGATCCATTTATTGCCTGACAAATTCAAATTTTCCGTTTGAAGTAATTTCTCATGCACAAATCACGCACAAAAATCACAGGTGCGCCCTGCATGCCCGTCGCGTGACGATTATGAAGAAGGATTTGCAATTGGCTGTCCGCATTCGCGGCGAGCGCCGGGACCCGGGGAACGGTTACTAAGCAAACAGTAACTGTTATCGAAGAAAAAAAGTGTTACTGTTACACATTGCAAGAAAAAAACCGAATATTTTCATCCGTTCAGTAAGAATTTTTTTGGCACGCAGGTCGGCGAAAACTTCGTTTCTGATGAATGACGCAGACATGACGAAGGCAGCCAGCCATCGGCCCCCTCAGTTACGTCCTACACTAGCTAGCTGAGGGCGCGCCTATTTTGGCGCTTCGCTCCCAATGGCTCGCCCGGAATGCGGTTCGCTGGCCTTGTGTTTCCTGGCCCCATCCCGTGACAACATGAAGCAGAGAATACAGATGGAAGGGGACTCGGTCACAAGAGTGGCAAACCGCCTCCGGGTGAACATTGGCAGGGTTTTGGTAACCCTGTAGCACGAGTGTTTCGCTATCAAGCATGCGCGGCTTGACTTGTAGGGGAGATATTTTCTCAGACACCCACGGAAGAGCCTGCGCCCGCAGGATCCCTGAAATTCAATCACGGACGTGGGGGCAGCTTCTTTTACGTGGTGTGCAAACTTGACGCAAAGCCTCTAGCTGAAGGCTCGCGCTTTCGCGTGTTTGCTTTCAGTCGAGGTGTTACACACTTGGAAAAAAAAACGGCAATCTCTTGCGCAAAATCGCCCACATTTTGACCCTCCCTTGAGGGCTGGCCAATGTTACACATTTTGGTGTGTAACACAGCAGTTTTTTTGCGAACCCCCATGGCACTCTGCGATTTACTGTGTTACACATTTCAAACAGTATCAAGATTCCGCTCGGGGAGAAAAGTCTAGAAGTTGGATGTCGCCCGGTGAAAAAAGTGTTACATATCGAAAAAAAAGTGATACAGTTGCTATTTTTTCTGGCCTTGCTTTGACCCCTCAAAAAAATGCAGTGTGTATCACTTTTTTTTGCAATCCGGGTGGAAAGTTGGCTTTCGGGACAGGGCGCCGATTTCGCCAGGAAAGGGCAAATTACGTAGAGCCATCATGGCCACGATGGGAAGGAAAAGGCTGGCATTCGCGGCGAGCGCCGGGACCCGGGGAACGGTTACTAAGCAAACAGTAACTGTGAATATGTCAACATCTTCGAAAGTGTTGACTTCCACTGCATCGCAGAAGTGGGACGAGCAATAGACGGTCTATAACGAGAGGGTAAGACTAAGAATAGACTTCTAGAAAATGATTTTGCAAATTGCATCGATTGCAAGATAACTTGATCAACATAGGACCTCCTTTTATCGTTGTAGACAGGGCGTAGCTAGCACATGTGCCGGAGATCGGATCAATGGCATGTGCGTTGGCATGAACCTAGAGAAGCGAATAGAAGACACTTCTGCTGCAGTTTCCTATGAAAGATCTTTGAATTAACACCGGATCATGTATCCATCAGGCAAAAAACCATCTTCATACACAGCAGCTGCACAACATCAAACTAAATTGTAAAGAATACTATTGGCGCGACGTCAGGAGTAGAATTCGAAATTGAGATCAACATCAACGAGCTGATTTTTGCGAACACTAGCTAGATTTTGATAAGATGATCTTGATCACAGAAAACAACAAGCCGCGGCTCCTTTCATCTTTATTTTGCGAGAAAAGATGAGGAACCACTACTGCTCTCGAAGATACTAAGACTGGTCAAAGTATTTCTGCTCAACACCGCTGTACATGAGGATGGCTTTTGTCAAAAAAAGATTGATCATAATTTTCCCTTTCATTTCTATGAACTACTGTCAATTATCTGGTAGCTCCGTATAGAAGGCCTATGTATGTATTTCTATTTCGAGAAGGTGTGCTCGCTCCGGGAAGTAGTTCTTGACATCTTCCTCTGGCCGTTTCGGATTGTACTCCGATGTACTTCTGTCGTGACCCCTGCGCTGTAAATTCTTTGGATATTATGACTGCTCTCACGTGAGCCGATCGGGACCGACCAATTACTTCTCTTGAGCAGTATACTATACGTTCTAGCTGCTGAGGCTGATAGATTTACAAGATGGAAACAGGACTACTTCCGGTATTTTTATACTGACGGCATGGAATCGATGGAAGGAAAAAATAAGAATGAAGAAGGATTTCTAGAGTGACGTCCATGCTAATGCGCAGGAAGCAGTGTCTTTTTTGTTCTCTTAGAACTACCTACTTGCTGAGGAGGTAGAAATTGTTTCACGAGAAGAAAATGCGTACTAGTCACTGGTCTAAAAAAAAAAACAAATCTGAGACGATCTTCGAAGTAACAGGGTCTTGGCAAATGCAGGTAACATATCGCACATAATTCCAGATGAATTTGGCTTTTGGATAATAACTTGTTTGCTCGGAATTCCAATTCCAATTCGTTTCACTCATCAAGAAGGATCAGCGTTCTGGAAAATGTAGCGAACTTTTTTTGCAGAAATTAAGATGAATCGGAGGATCGTGCCGAAAATGTGACTTTGGTATCTCTAGGGGACGGTGGGTGCGTCGACTGGTACAAATCTCTAGCAAGGCCGCGGATGCAAGGAAACAACGGAAAACTCCGAGAGCAATTTATTCGTTTTCACACCCACGAATTTTCCTGCAGCGACCCCTCTTTTTCCAACAACATGAGAAATACCATGATAGAGTTTCATCCTTCATGTTGTTGTTTCCAACTTGATTTCGCGAATTATACCGAATTAGTCGGCAATATTGTATCGTAGTGCACGTGAGTGGCGAGCGCCGGGACCCGGGGAACGGTTACTAAGCAAGTAGTAACTGTGAAATTGTCAACATCGAAAGTGTTGACTTCTACTGCACCGCAGAAGTGGGACGAGCAATAGACGGTTTATAACGACTAATAGAGATGACCCCCTCGTCGAGGGGGTAAGAACAATGGACTTCTAGAAAATGATTTTGCATATTGCATCGATTGCAAGATTATAACTTGATCAACATAGCACCTTCTTTTATCGTTGTAGACAGGCCGCAGCTAGTACATGTGCCGAAGATCCGATCAATGGCATGTGTGTTGGCACGAACCTAGAGAAAGAGAAGACACTTCTGCTGCAGTTTTTTATGAAAGATCTTTGAATTAACACCGGATCATGTATCCATCAGGCAAAAAACCATCTTCATACACAGCAGCTGCACAACATCAAACTAAATTGTAAAGAATACTATTGGCGCGACGTCAGGAGTAGAATTCGAAATTGAGATCAACATCAACGAGCTGATTTTTGCGAACACTAGCTAGATTTTGATAGGATGATCTTGTTCACACAAAACAAAAACCCGTGGCTCCTTTCATCTTTATTTTGCGAGAAAAGATGAGGAACCACTACTGCTCTCGAAGATATTAAGACCGGTCAAGGTATTTATGCTCAACATCGCTGTACATGAGGATGGCTTTTGCCCAAAAAAAGATTGATCATAATTTTCCCTTTCATTTCTATGTGAAGTTCTGTCAATTATCTGGTAGCTCCGTATAGAAGGCCTATGTATGTACTTATTTCTATTTCGAGAAGGTGTGCTCGCTCCGGGAAGTAGTTCTTGACATCTTCCTCTGGCCGTTTCGGATTGTACTCCGATGTACTCCTGTCGTGACCCCTGCGCTGTAAATTCTTTGGAAATTATTATAACTGCTTTCACATGAGGATGAGCCGATCGGGACCGACCAATTACTTCTTCTCTTGAGCAGTATACTATACGTTCTAGCTGAGGCTGATAGATTTACAAGATGGAAAGAGGACTATTTCCGGTATTTTTATACTGACGGCATGGAATCGATGGAAGGAAAAAATGAAAAAGAATTTCTAGGGTGACGCGCATTGTAATGCGCAGGAAGCACTGCCTTTTTTGTTCTCTTAACACTACCTACTTGTTCAGGAGGTGGAAATTGTTTCACGAAGAGAAAATGCGTACTAGTCACTGGTCTAAAAAAAACAAATCAGAGACGATCTTCGAAGTAGCAGGGTCTTGGCAAGAGCAGGCAACAAATCGCACATAATTCCGGATGAATTTACCAATTTGGCTTTTGGATTTATAACTTTCCTCGGAATTCCAATTTCAATTCGTTTCATTCATCAAGGATCAGCGCTCTGGAAAATGTAGCGAGCTTTTTCTGCAGAAATTAAGATGAACCAGAGGATGAAATTATGAATGACTTTGGTATTTTTAGGGGGTGGTGGGTACGTCGACTGGTATTAATCTTTAGCAAGGCCGCGGATGCAAGGAAAAGGAAAACTCCGAGAGGAATTTATTCGTTTTCACACCCACAAATTTTCCTGCAGCGACCCCTCTTTTTCCAACAACATGAAAAATATCCTGATAGAGTTTCATCCTTCATGTTGTTGTTTCCAACTTGATTTCGCGCCGAATTATACCGAATCATTGGCAATATTGTGTCGTAGTGTCACACTTGTTCCATAGCGACAGTGAAGTTCGACAGTGAAGTTTGAAAGCTATCCTTTCCGACAGTTTTCATCAGCTTTTACTCCTTTTGTGCGAGTATTTTGTAAGTTAGTCCTAGTACACCCCAGAACCTTACCCCACCCCAAAAGAATTCCTCCAAGATGGTGCGGATTCAGATCAAGGGTGGTATCTGGAAGAACTCCGAGGATGAGGTCCTCAAGGCGGCAGTGATGAAATATGGGCTGAACAACTGGAGTCGAGTCAGTTCCCTGTTGGTCAGAAAAACCGCCAAGCAGTGCAAAGCAAGGTATCTATAGTGTCGTTGATTGAAGATGGGATCTGATCTTTGCATGACAAAGCGCTCGAATGCTGCGCGCAACCGCATGACAGATAATGTTGTATGGCAAAACAATAAGAACAATACCCTCGTCCTTCCGAAAACGAAACCGCAACACAAACTGTCAACTTTCTCAGGTGGTACGAGTGGCTGGACCCGTCCGTGAAAAAAACGGAATGGACCAAAGACGAAGACGAAAAGCTACTCCACCTGGCAAAATGCTTTCCCTGCCAATGGCGGACGATCGCGCCGGTGGTCGGGCGGACCTCGAACCAATGCCTGGAGCGGTACGAGCGATTACTGGACATCGCCCAGAACCGCGAAATGACGGAGGATGACCCGCGAAAGCTCCGGCCCGGCGAAGTCGATCCGCACCCCCACACCAAGCCAGCGAGAGCGGATGCGCAAGATATGGACGAGGATGAGTTAGAAATGTTGACGGAAGCGCGAGCCAGGCTGGCGAACACGCGGGGTAAAAAGGCGAAGCGGAAAGCGCGGGAAAAACAGCTGGGGGAAGCGAGTATGCATTCTGCAAAAGTTTTGTCGTACTGGTAGTAGTTGCATGTGCATTACAGGTTTCGACGTCTCTGGGTATGATGAAAATGGAGTTTGTCATGCTGGAAAATGAGGTATTGAGTAGAACACGAAGAGATATTAATCTGCCGTGCAGCATTGCAACTAGTACAACGAGTGCGACACACCACGACTTTTGCCCAGGATAAGAAGAAGATTGGCGCAACTGCAGAAATCCAGGGAGTTGAAGGCAGCGGGTGTGTCGCAGGAACGGCAGGAGTTTCTGAAGCGACGCAGAAGGCAGATGGACTACGCACGGGAAATTCCCTTCCTCCAGGAAATCCCGAAGGGGTTCCACGAAACCGGGCCGGAGGAGAACCCGATCTCGCAAATCGGAACGGGGAAAGTCGCGTTGCAGCAAATTGAGCAGAAAAGGCGGGATCGGGAAGAGCAGATAAAGCGGGCGGAGGACAACCGGAAACTGAAGAAGCTGCAGAAGGAAAATCTCGCTGAGCACATGGAAATCGTGAACAAAATGAACGACCCGGCGAGCACAAGGAAACGAGTGGAACTGGATTTGCCCGCGCCGATGCTGGAGGAGTGGGAGCTACAAGCACTAGCGAAGCACGGGGAAGAGAATTTGAAACTGCAGGGCGCGGCGGGTGGGTTGATTCAGTCCTACGAAACCCCCATGTTGGGTGGCGGAAACACGCCGGGGCAAACGCCCTTAACCCAGTCGAAACTCGACGTGGTCTTACTAGAAGCGCAGAACGCGGCGAAACGGAACGAGATGCAGACGCCGCTGGACGGCGAGGACAACCCGCAGTTACACGATTCGGATTTTACAGGGGTGTTGCCGCAGCGCATGCGGAAGAACGACAAAGCGGGGATGACACCGGGGGGGATGACCCCGTCGATTGGATTCGGATCCAGCACGCCTGGAATGGGCGGGATGACCCCCGGGCAGTCCATGCACGGAGGTTCGCAAACGCCGGGGATGACGTCGGGGGGAATGACGCCCGGTCACTCGGGGCAGTCCGTATCAGGTATGAGCGGCATGACGCCCGGCGGAATGACGGGCGGACGGACACCTGGGATGTACACGCCGCGAGACGGGCTGGGATTGGCGTCCGAAATGGACCCGAGCGAGGCGCAGAATTACCTGCAGGGGCAAATTAGGAACGCGTTCGCGAATCTGCCGAAACCCAGCAGCATGCTGGAGGTACTTTCTCAAATAAACTGATACGAAGTTTCATCTCTTACTTTAGTTCAGTTTGGCAAGTCGTGAATCCAGCACGCATGATAGACAGAAATTAACACTGATGCTTGTCTCTGCATCACAACATTGTTCCATTTCCAACCTTCACTCTTCATCCTAACCCTAACAGGTCACCATGCCGGCGAACCTAGCCGAAGACGCGGACGACGACGGGGAGCCTGAGATTATCGAAGATGCCGACGCGAAAGCCGCACGACTGCAGAGAGAGAAAGAAGCGGAGGAGAAGAGGAAACTCCTTCTCGCCTCCCTGGTGGTACAACGAAACCTGTTAAAAGATGAAGCCACGATGCTGGGCAAGCCCAACCCCGACACGGTGTACCAACTGCCCATGCCAAAACTCCCGAACACCGTGCAAATCACCTCTTCCTCCAACCTCCCGCTCGCGATAGACGAGGAATTAGCGAAGCCGGCGAAGAATTTCGTCACTTTTAAGAGGAAGGCCGAGACGAAACTGATAAGGGAAATTCAGGCGCAGGTGATAAGGGATGCCTACGATTTTGGGTCGGTGGATAAGGCGACTTTGAAAAGACCCGCGGACTTGAATGAGGATTTGCGGCAGGAGGAACTGACCGCGAAAAGGAAAGTTTTGGAGTTGGAAAGGGAATTGTTAATCCAAGAATTGGCGGAATTTGACGCGGAAAGCGGCGACACCGTGCGGCCGAGGTACAGCTTATGTCATGCGCGAAAAGAAGCTGTTTTTTTTGTCACGCGCGATATGCAGGAGGATCAGCCGGTGAGGTGTGAATGATTTACGTTACAGTAGAATTCCTCTTGCTAGATCTGGATTCGACGTCCCCTTTGTCATGCAGAAAACCGAATACGTGCATCTATTTTCAAAAAATGAAATTATCCTCAGTTACCCCGAGCACGTGGAGCTTACGGAGCTCTTCGAGGACCGCTACCTCCCCCAACTGGACTACAACGGTAATTTCGTCGCGTTCACGGAGTCAGATGCCCTCACTCCGGTCGAGAAACTGAACAGCTACCGCTTCCTCTTCGAGCGGCAAAAACAAAAAGTGAAAAACGAGTCGCAGAAGTCTTTGAAGAGAGAAAAGCAGTTGTCGAAGGTGTGGGGGTCGGAGTTCATCCAATTGAAGCAGGCGAAAGACCGATTGCAGGTGTTGGAGAAAGAGCGGCTAAACGCGGTCCACGAGCTGGCCGTGTTTGACAAACTGCAGAAGGATGAGGACCGCTTTTTGAAAAAGCGAAAAATTGAGGGCACGGAAATGGTGGAGCAGGAAAAGTTGCGAAATAAGGAACTGCAGGCCGAGTTTGCTGCGTTGGAAAAGGTCAAACGCGAGTTGACGGAAATGTTGGCTTAGATGGAGGTGACAGATTGCTGCGTTGCTAGTACATCTATGTGAAGCAGTACTAGGCAGCACTCTCTCGAGGACCGCGACCGAATTCAGCGACTCTGACTCAAAGTTTGTTATATCCGTCATATCGACACTTTAGTATCATGTCGACAAGTTTTGCCAAGCAAGTCGATGAATGGAAGTGAATCGAGCAAAGGAACACTCAGCTACGCCAACGATCTTCTTGTCACGAAGTAGCGGTGGCATTATATGTTTGCGTGTTCGCGAGGAGAGGTTTGAATGTTCCTCATGGTTAATTGCACCACGCAGCTGTTGTGTAACTGTATGTAGTACGTATCGAGAGAGACTGAAAAGAACGCTAAGGACACCGAAGACGTAGTTCAGTGTCGGCAGAATTTTCAGAAAGTTCAGGCGTTCTTCCAGGCTGCTCTGGCCGGCGCGTCAGTGACCCAGGTTGCAAGTTCGTGGACGTGTTTCTTACATTTGAATTGGGAAAATGTATTTGTGGCACAGGACCTCAAGCTTTGATATCTACCAATGGCGTTCATTGGGTCGAATTCTGTTACGATATCATTATCATTATCAAGAAGAGTAAGCGTTTCCTATCTTGACTGTGAATGCCTACTGTCCCAGAGATAGAATAAAGACCGACCCGCTGTGACTTTGTGCTGCCGCGCATACCAATTTGTGGAGCACAAGACGATCAATCAAGAACAGCAGCAGCTCTTTCGCTGCAGCAACACACCCTTCCTCGTCTCCTCGGGACTACGGATCTCAGTACCGGCACGCGACGACAGGTGCAGTGCGTATTACGACCCCACGGAACGATCCCACTGCAAACTTGGTGAGTAATAACAGTCGACCTACTATCACTATCCGCGTGTGCCTGCTACCTTGTAGTACGCCGGTTCGCCACCTCTCGTCGCAGTGACGTCTTCATCAGATACACAGGTAAAAATCTGCAGGTTTGCGCACTTCATCTACAACTACAGCGGTAGCAGTTGCCCGATCACTCGCACCATATTTTCCTTAGGACGCGACGGCGACACAGACGTCGCCCGGGCGCTCTTGGCACGCCGCGCTTGTGCAGAGACCGGACGAAGAAGCCTCTCTCCCCTTTCGCCGCCACTCGAACACAGACCTGACACCGGGAGCAAGATACAACAGCTGACGGTCGCACCGTATTAACGAGGGGACAAGACGACCCTAACCTGGCAGCAAGGCTAGATCTTCCTTCCCTGATACAACTCAAGCAACAGCGGCGCACTGTGAGAGTACACCGGAGCAGTAGTGCCGACAGAACAACAAGAGGAGGCACTTAGAAGAAACCGGCGATATTTAGCAAAACGTAAAGACAGTCGGGAGCAGTACGTTCTTCGGCCCCAGTTCAAAAGCGGCTTTCTTACTGGCCGAAGGCTCGCGTTCGATCTGTGTTTTCCGCGCTTTGGCCGTCCCTTTTCCAAATCGCAGGCGGAAATACCGGTCACAAAATGGGCGCGAAACCCTCAAAAACCTTGATGGACACCATCATCGAGGTAAAATTGACGAAAAAACGACTCGAAGCAGCGCAGAGGAAGGCAGAAAAACAGCACGGCATGGAGAAGCAAAAGGTACTTTTAGTAGTGATGAATGAGTTTGAGTGATCAGAATTCCAGGTACTCGCAGAGAAAGATTCAGAAAGCGGAATTGCTTTCGCATTGGCATGTTAGTTTCTGATGTCGCAGAGCTGGAGTTTGTCTACCTCCGAGGTTCAGGGAATGGTTCCAGAACTTGTTCATCTTTCTAATTCCCCAGGTCCTGAAAGCCATCGAGCAGGGAAACCTCGAGGGCGCACGTGTTTACGCAGAAAACGCAATACGGAAGAAATCCGAAGCGCTGCAGATGCTCCGACTCGCGGCTAGAATGGACGCTGTAGCGTCGAAACTAGACACAGCAGAGAAAACACAGGCGATGTCGCAGAACATATCGGACACAATACCCCAGTTAGACGACGCGCTGACAAAGATGACACCGGAAGCAATCGCGACGAACATGGACCAATTTGAGAAGATTTTCGACGACCGTACTTGTTTGATGTCTGGATCATGTTTTGGTTCGATTTTCGGGTTGTGCGTTCGTGATGTGAAAATTTAGAGAAAGAGGTAAGGGAATGAAAAAAGGGCTACGACATGTCTCACATAAACAAATCACAGTGGACGTGCGCATGAACTACATCACGACGGCGGTTGACAGCACCACCGCTTCGGCAACACCAACAAACGAAGTCGACCTACTCATCCAGCAGGTCGGTGAGGAGCACGCCATGGATGTTTCCAACCTCCTAAATCAGGACGGACTGAAAGACCCCCTGACGGCGGCGATCTTGAATCCGGCCGCCGGGCTTCCGGGCAAGGACGCGTCGAAAGATTCGGTTGGGGAGGATTTGGAAAGCCGGCTCGCGGCGTTGCGGTCGTGATGAGGATAGTATCGCCTTCGCGGTACGGTGACCCGCGATTTTGGATGCGTCCCGCGTGCAAGTAGGTAAAGCACGCCATACAGGAGTCGCAGCTCTGCTTCGTTTTCGTTCTGGAAAAAAGAGACTCAGAAAAATGAAAGACTTTTTCGAACAACCGCAATGACAACCTACATCTAAAGATCCGGCAGGTGTCCATCAGAAGATGGAAAGTTGAAATGTACGATCGTTTGTAAGTTCGGAGGAGTATTGCGTTTTGACATCCCTCTTCCGGTTTCGAAATTTAGTTTGAGGTTTTTCTTTTGTTCCAGAGCCGGTGCCGGTTCTCAGATCTAAAGATTCTAAAAGATCTCGCTCCACTTTCTACGGGCGCCTGCTCGCTTTTCGTGTCTTTTCGATTACAGATGATCCGAAAGACAAAGATCCATGCCTACGTATCGTGACCCTGAAAGCATTTTTAACATCGAACGCCAATCTATAAATTTTAGCAAGCTCGGTGTTCTAGTTCTACAGGTGTTTTGTTTCAAAAAAATGCGTCGCTTCCACCTCTTGTCCCTTGCCCTGCTCGTGCCGGTCACCGCTAAACTGAAGCTGAAGAAGAATGTTGTTCCCATTACCACGGGTAAGGTCTACCCGGACGCCATGGCAGCGTGCTGTGCCTGCTTTAAGGTGAAGTACTCGTTTCCAGAAAACGGCGGGTTCGCGCCGACCTTCGCCTTGAAGCACACCTGCAACACGTGCTATGTCGCCGACCGGTATGGGACCGATGCGAAGGAGGAAGAGACCTTTGACGTCCCAGCGGGGCACGCGAAAACCGAGGAGGGTTACGAACAGACCAAGGCGTATGGAAGTGTCAGGATCGAAATCGTCAAAGTTGAAAAAAATTGTAATGCATAAAATGCGACCGAAAAAGTGGCTGGATTGCAGAGGACGCAAGGGGGCCAGATTATAGTCCTGCTAAGGGTCAGGAGTTGGGCTGCTGACTAGCATGACAGAGAGGAGCTTCTTTGCCCTAAAACGCATGACAGGTTCAGTTCCAGGACAGGGCAAATTTGTCATGCGCCGACTACAGACTGTGGGTCTAACTGGCATCGATTTTACGCATCACAAATTTTTCGACTTTTTCGATTTCGATCCTGACACTCCTATAAGGCGGAAGTGAAGGCCATCCACGAGTGGAACTGGAACTGCGCCGAGGGCAAGGCTCCGGAGGATGAGGCGCAGTTCGCCGCTGGTATAGTTTGTTCTTTCGGGATTGTTTGCCTGCACAGGCTGTCATATGGAGTTAAAAATTCGCCTGAAGGAATGGAGTGTGCGCGTGATGGGTGCCTAAAGTGGATGCGTACTTGGGTATAATCTTAATTTCTAAATTCTTGCCTTTCTTGTATCAGGTCCGGTCCCCGGGGAGCCGTCTGCCCGGTCGAGCTTCTTGATGTGCAAGGAGGATTATGCATTGCAAATATGTCTCGGTCTGCAAATATGGAACTTGTAATGCTAGTCCTACACTCCTGTAAAATCTGTATTGCATGACGATTAGCAAGAGGATGCCCCTTTTTGTAAAATACAAAAGGCCTGTCTCTCATGCGGACTGCGCATGAGGAAGTGCTCTGCAAACTTGTCATGCTTGGCTGCATTGGGAAGTATTTCAGTCTCGCCAATTCAGCATGACATGCTTTCAGACCCAGACGTATTTGCATTTGATAAGGACCCGGGCTGGTACTGCGCCATGGAGGGTGGACCGGACATGAAGAAGCCGGCGGGTGTATCCTGAGTAAAAACGTCCCCACAACAGAGTTGTCATGCAATTCTGCATGCCAAAAAAGTTTCTCATGCGGAGCCCTATGAGAAGCATTTTCTATTCGTGTTTTAGAATTTGTGATGCTAGAATCAGTATGGTAGGCTAGATCTGTAATGCTTCTGAACTAGCTAAACAGGATTACACTACGAGGACAAAGTTGTCATGCGAAACAACCAAAGTTGGCCGATTTGTCTAGCAGATTTCCCATGTTGACTCTGGTATGGGGAAGCTTTTACTCAGGATAGGGTGTAGGATCTTGAAGAAATCCCTTGATCCTGCTTCATCATTTGCAGGCCATCCGCTGCAAAACGAAAAGGTTCACAGGTGCAGCCTCTGCAACACAAATACTTTCATTCATAGTACTCATTTGAACCCCTGTATTTCTGATAATTGTGCAGCTCCATTCGGAGCTTGTCATGCGAAAGCTTCGATAAAAGAATGCTGATTTTCCTTAGCATTTTGCACCAGAGATGAGCGGGTGGGATTTGTTCCCTTTCATATTCGGATGGTGAGGTGGAGAAGCTGGATGAGGACACCGGGTCGGACACCTTGGTCGAGACCATGAGCATGCCGGAGATTGGCGCCGAGTAGAGTAGTTCAGACAACATCAACTTTTCGAATTCTCTTTCTGCAAGTCTTACTGTAAAAAATGCACCTGTACTCAAGGAAAACTAAAAAGGTAAAGGCAGAAGAACAAAGTATACTTCTGCGGTCCATCTGCCTAGACGCGCTGTCAATAAAACTCAACTCTCCTACTTTTTTTTTGTCGCACTATCAATTGCGCTTGTCTACTTTAGGTGATCTCCTGTTTCCCGTGCAAAGATGTTTTTTATTGTACCAGTTACCAGCGAATTTGAAAGTAAAGTTCATCTCATAATACGTTTCAAACTTTTACCAGCGATTTTTCTTTATGTAAATTTACCAGCGATTTTTCTTTTTACGTTTACCAGCGATAGCATTTCAAACTTTTACCAGCGATTTCAAAAATGTCAGAGAACCAGCACGGCACGGGAAAAACTAACGTTTCAATGAAGCGCGCAAAGAGAGAAGATTGAGTAAAACGCAGCGTGCCTGGCTACACAGGAGAGTTCTGATGGTAGGATACGAGTGCGTTTGAAAATTTTGTCTGTAAGATCTGATCTTGATAATTACGCTTTCGAACGGCAGATTCCATCGAGAAAAGCGTTGGTTTCTGTTCCGCTTCTGCCCGTGTCCGGTTCGGCAGCTGTTGCGCGACCACTGCAAGTTTTGCAGCTCTAGAGCGGAACGAGAAAGGTCGTGTGTCGCCAGCACCCTTTTAACATCATTTCGTTTGTCGCTCGGTACTCGTGGAATCTATTATCGGAGTCTCGCCCTCGACGATCGTATCGCAGCCCCTGTTCGTTCGTGTAGTTGTCATCCCCTTCATATGTGAAGAGGTGCGACTTTACTCACAGTTATGAGGTCGAGCCTGCGCTTTTTTTTCCCTAACCACACCGATGCGCAGGCTCGACCTCATTTAGGTCTGTCACATAATACTTGGGTCTGAGCGCAGGTCGGTGCCACTTTCGGGAACGGATTGTGTACCCAAAATGTTTCCGCACTTTGCGCTTCAGCGCAAGTATGTACTCGCACGTTTGCAACAAGTACGGAATGAAGATAAAGTGTCCAGAACTACAGTGTCATCGAGGGTAAAGTTCTGCGCAAAGAAAGCAAAGACAAATCTCCTCGCTGCGTCCGCACAACGACATTTCTGAAAAAGAAAGATCAACATGGGCGTCTTTTCTATGGCAGCGCAAACTGCAGCTGACGAGCTGTACACCGAGCAGCCTGGTTTCCCCAGAATGGTGCATCACAACACGAATTTCCAAGCCAAGGGAATTCCTTCGTCTTTCTACCTCCCCGACGGCACCCAAAATTGTTCCCTTCCGACGCTCCAAATCGACGGTCTTCGGCCCATCGCCTGCCGCAGACACAAACCCGACCGGAGCGAGAGGACCGTTACTTTCGAGGTTTCGAAAAACGACAGCAACACGGCGCCGTCCAAGGAGGCGGAAGAGTTGGAAAAAATTCTCGAGCAGCAACGAGAGAAAACCCGACACCGGGTAGCGGACCGCGCCGCTGAGGTGGAGAAGGACTATTGGAAGATGCGGGACGACGAGGCCAGCATCGAGAAGGCGAACCGCCGACTGTCCTTTTCCCGAGGCCTGCGGGAGGCGAAAAAGTACCGGTCCGAGCAAACGCCTGGCGGGTTTCGGGTCGTGCCGCACTACACGGCGTATTTGCTGAGTTTGGTGGAGACAAGCATGCGGAAGATGGCGTCGCTGTTCCGGTCCGACGGGAAAATGCGGCAAATGAAGCTGAGGCTGGCCGGGACGTTTAACTGAAGGAGCAGAGGGCGCCGGTTTAGTCCTTGTAAGACACGGTTGTGCCACTGCTAGAACTTGAAGTAGAGGGGCTAAAAAAAAACCCAGACAACGCTGAGCGATCATCGAAATTTCCGAAAAAGAGTTTCAGTTCCGCTTACTGCAAAACGAAGATGATCATGTACTGTCTTATTGAGCTTGTCTGATCATAGATGCCGCTCATTACCATACGGATCGTGGTGTTCATATTCGTGCAGTTTTGGCGATGTGCGTCTGCGTGATTGCTCGGTTCGGCAGGACGAGAAAGATGATTTTAGCAACGTCGGACGAAGTAGATCCGTGTGGTACTCCATTCTTTCGCCGAAATCAGGATCTCTTCCGTATCTTCTGCGGTTGCGCCTATTTTGTGACATCGCAAATAGAAAGACCAGACGAGACCTGATGGATCACGCCCATTGCCTGCGGATCATCCTGCCACTGATGATTGTGGTATTTCTCTTGAGATCATTGCTGACTCGTACTTATCCCCTAGCCCTACTCTGAAGGTCAAAAATCGAAAACACACTCGTTGTTGGGGGTGCCACTTCGAAGGTTCTGTCGCATTTATTGAGGATGCAGAAGAAGAAATTGTTCCTCCAAGATTCTATCGTGCAAAAGGTAGATCTCGACTAGATATTGTAGAGGCCACACTTGTGCTGGTTGCGGAAGCGAGTGCAAGACGATTTTGGCGATGCCGGTGCGACTAAAAGCACCTCCAACTCCGGGTAGCAGTGGTGTACGAAGTTCGCCGATCACGACGGGGCTTGCTGTAACGGCCAGCTCTTCCAGTCGAAGCACAACATGTGTTTTACCCGCACCCTGTTGGAAGTGCGAGCCACAGCTGCAGCTGGGGAAAGCGCGACGGCTCTTCAATTCAGCCTGCAGCCGCGTCGCTGTTATTTCCGACAGGGCTTCGACCGTGACTCCGCAACCAGAAGAGACATCGGGTCCAGTTGTACAGTTCTCCAAACCAGGCTACGACCACCAACTCTCTCGTGTCAACCAAATGCTTCGCGAAGCGGAGAACGGCTCGCAAACGGGCGTTGCGCTTCTCGCCTTGGCGACCGTTGTGGACGCGATCCGCATTTCGCCATCCACGATTTCGCCCGGTGCAGAAACAGGAGTGGACAGTAGAAATAGCGGGAGCAAAAAGGACTGCTCCACAACCAGTACTTCTACTCGTCTGCTCGCCCGGAAACTGGAGCGAAAGTTTTTCGCATGTCTCTTGTCCTCCAAAGTGCAAAAAAGACTCCTAGAATCCGCCCACGTGGACGTGTTGTTTCGTCTCACAGCGAAGGTGAATTCGTGGTTGTACGCGCGAGGGAAAGGCGACGTGCTGGAGGTGCGAGCGAAGAACGCATCGGTTGGCAAAAATGCAAGACGAGGTGGACCACCAGCATCGATTATTCCCAATGCAGCGGCGCCAATGGTTGTTGAAGCAGATCGTTTTCTTACTCCCAGACAGATTTCGACGCCGCCCTCTACGCTACCAGGCGCAAAGTGGCTGGACGGGCTTTTCGCCGGAGGGGAGGCGCGAAAAGAACACAGTGCGCTTGTAAAGACCGCGCCCGAGGAGGGGACGAGTATGGGTGTCGTCAAAAGTAGTGCAGCCCCTGCTCTTGCATCTTCTATGTTATCGCCCCAGACCTACTTCCAGGCCGTGGAAAGCCGCAAAAGTCCATCAACTAAAAAGGCCAACATACACGAAATTTTCGCAAAAACGGGATGGACGATCGGGAAAAAGGCACCTGCTTCTGCGGTGGGCGAGCACGAAGTAGAGCACGACAAGCAAGCGCTTTTTACTCTGCCGCCCTCATTTTTTGCGGATCTGGAAGCGGATGAGGAGAATGTGAACGCTCATCCTCCTACACATAGTCGTGCAGGTGCAGGACCAGCACCGCAAGACAGCACCACAGAAGCGGTATCACCAGTGAAAGTTCGCCGGCTGAACGCAGCGAGAGATACGATTGTGGTGGAGGAAAGCAGGGAGAGGTTTTCCTCCTTCAAGAAAAGACGGCATCTGAGGAAGGAAGCAATCAGACAGGCGAGGAAAGCGGCAGAACTGGCGCACGGTGCTGGCGGGGATGAGCTCGTCGCACTGTCGGCAGGTGCAGGAGCCTCTGGTGGCAGAGATGCAGCTGTACAACTGGCGATCGGAAATAACAAGCACGCTGTCGCCGCTACTGCCCCGCATAGTGCTTTCGATCCCGTGAAGCTGCTGCTAGAGGAGCAAGAAAAGGAGCGGCAAATGATGCGTAGTTCTGGCGCAACACAGGGTGGAAACAATGGCTTTATCCCTCCTCGGAAAAAACTTTCGTTCTGGGAACGGCGACGCAGCAAATTGCGGGACGCCAGCGAGAATGCGCCAGTATGGGGGTTGTCAGAAGACCCTATCGCAGATCACGCTGGTGGTGCACTTGACATAGGTCTGCAGAGTAAAAATGCTTTGCCGATATTAAGCCCCGAATCTATTGAGCCAAGAGCCATGAGCAGGAGCAGGAATACTGCTCTCAGGGGACATGCCAGCACGAGAACTGCGCAGAGCACTTCTAAAAGCAGCGACTCACCGTTTCCTGTGGCCGCGTCGCCGACTACTAGTGCATCAGCGACTTCTACCAGTGCCCCACTCTCACGCACCGCAACGGATTGCAGTGGTGCAGGTGCTACTGATCCCGAAGGAGGTAGTACAAAGACCACCGTTGTCCCGTTCTCGGAGGTACAACCGAGAGGTGGATCCAGTCACGCCTGTAGTGCACCAAACTCCACTAGCGCGATGCAGAATTATGCAAGAAATGACACGGTGGAACAAGTTGAAGCACCTGCGCCCCCTTCATCGACGTTGGCAACCAACTTCATCGCCCCGCCAGCTTCCCCGTCCACGGCTGTGCAGACGTTCCTGCAGAAAGCGACGAGAAAGCTGGTTGTCAACAAGTCCAAGGCTGTTTCGGAAGACGACTGGCGGGGACAAGTGCGATTTCTCGCCCTGCTCGCATCCAGTAACGTTGCTCACACGCAGCTCCGGCCGGCGGTCTGCGCGTTAGTGCGGAACTTGCTTTTGGGCGGGGGAAGCATAACAAGCAAGACGGCCATGGTGACTACAGAAACAGGATTTGATAGTAGAGTTTCTGCACCTGCAGATAGAGATACCCGTGCCAGCACTGTTGGTGGAAAACACTTACTGTTATGCGACTTGCCGACTGTTTCAGAGAAGCAGGAGAAGGAACTGCAGGAAAAATCGGCCGCAGCATTACGGATGGACAAGCCGTCAGAACCAGCACCTTCTCGTCAGCACGACGAATGTTTTCAAATGATGTCCTCTACGACGGCACTCGCGGAGACGCAGCAGTGGGGGGAGGTAGAACGAGACCAAGTAGAAGTATCCGTAGCAACAATAAAGCCTCCAAGCGTCGATCCATTCTACCAGATCCCGCTGCTCTACTCCGTTCAGATTCTCACTCTTCTGTACAAAACGCTGCAGTTCGGGGACGCGAAGTGGACGGTTGTGGCTGATTTGCAAGAGTTGTTCGAACGCAGGAAAGCGAAAAACACGAATTTTGTTGAAGGAAAAACTACACCCGAAACTGCAAATGACCTAGACATCAGCTGCAAGGAGAATAAGACGAGAAAATTCGACCTGCGGAAAACGAGAAACGAGAGACTCAGCGAGGGCCCGGAGGTCAATCTTCTGGGGTCGAACACGGCGAGAAAAGCGGAAAGGGTGTTTTCGTCCTGCGCGTATTTTGCGGAGTTTCGGGACCTAGCGGGGAGGCTGGTGCGGGAGACTAGACTTTTGGAGGCGGTTGGGTCATGGTCATCAGGACTACTAGGGTATGAAGACGTGTTTGGACAGGAAAATAAACACGCCCTTTCGACGACGAGGACCCCTACGGACCATCGCAACTGCACTCGGCTGAACGACAATGCTGCGGCTGGAGTGGCGGAGGCTGTAGGTTTTTTCAACCTGGCCATAGTGCCAGCGAAGGGAAGTTTAAGCTTTTCCTTCCTGTCACGCGTCAGTTCTAGTTGTGGGAAAAATGAAGCAGCTTTATCATGTTCTAAAATCAGCGAAGCAGGAGCGGAAGATGAAACAGTTTCTGTTGTAGAACCTGACGATTTTAAGCTCGGTGCAGCTGTGGACAATAAACACAAGCGGCCCCTCTCGGTCGAGAAGCGAAACCTGGTATTCCTCTGGGCCGAGCTGGCGATTCATCACCGGTATGAAATGGAAAAGTATCGTACTAGTAAAACTAAAAGTATAAATTGCATTACAAATTTCCCTAGCATGACAAATTGAACTTGCATCCTGTTTTAGCGTAGGAAGGCGATTTTTGTCATGCATGACTGCAATTACTTCTACGAGTGCGATACTTTTGCACAGGATAACCGGAAGGCCGCCGAGTGCGAGACGTGGCGGAAACTGGTGGAGGAGAATGGGTTGCACGAAACGGAAACGGGCAGTGCTTTTGCGTCCTGGTCTTCGTGTCGCAGGAAATCGGAATCGGTCACCAGGAACCTGATGCGGCGGCAGGTCGAGTTCTGCTATTGGAAGTGGATGAAGAGGGCTGATTTCGGCGAAGAAGAAGAGACAAGTGCAAGCAAAGTACCGAAGGCGCAGAATATTAACCCCTTCTCCAATTTCCTGCACCACCAGCACTTCGCCATCCCCGATGTCCTGCTCAACGCGAGGCCGCGAAATTTACCAAGTGAATCCCCGGCGGAAAGCAGGAAAGCCGGGACGGTGAACGTTCTATCAAATGCAAAAGTGTCTGGGTCTGGAACAAAGCAACTTGTCGTGGTAAATCTGAATCATGTGGAAATCTGTATTGCATGATCGCCAGAAGCTGTCTACTTTTGACCTGATCGAGAGGCAGTTTCTCATGCAGGATAGGCATGATAGAACTCTCACAGAATCTTTCATGCTATGTCCTACATACCAGACCGCGTGGGTCATGGAAAACCTGCATGACAGGTCTTGGCATTCTTCCAGACTCAGACATTTTCGCGGTTGATACGTTCCCGATTACTACGACGAATTTGTGCAGTTGCGCAAGCGGCTGCAGCCCTTCTGCAGTGTCTGGGAGAAGGAAAAGCCACTGTGGACGAGTTGTGACAGCGACGGCCGGGTGGGAAGTAGTAGTACTTTTGCAAAAGGACGACGAGGCAATAAAGAAGAATTCTCTCACCCAATTACCGATATTGGAACTTCGTCGCAACAAGTGGAACCGGATGGAAGTGCACTTCCGGACTCGACCAGAGGTAAGCCACCAGTCGAGGGGCAGGATCGCGACCAGGCAGTAGAGCACCCTGTAAGAAAAAAGCAAGACCGCGTGGTTCCTTCAGCGTCAAGAACATCTGGAGGAGTACTTTTTCCCGATTTGTCGGGAATTCTAAGAGACGAGAATGCAGCTCCTTCTAGACGCAAACCACTTGGCGCGAACGGAAGTTTTGACTCGGACGACAAAGAAGATCTGGCACCACCCCCACGAGGAAGTGAAAATTGTGTGGGCGCACGAAGAACGGAAGAGCAGACTGGAGTGTCTAATGTGTGTCTCCGCAACCAAGAAAACGCCACACTGCACCAATTGGGCGAAGAACGTCAGCAAGATGTTGAAAACGGAGAGGATCGCACGTCAGAAATTTCGAACCGCACAGCGTCCACCACAGCCTGTCTGGAAGAAAGCTGGAAGTTGCTGCCGTCTTTCGATGCGGACTTCTACTCTAAGAGGAAAAATTGCAAGAGTAGAAGTCCATCTTCTTCCTCCGCGGCACAATCGACCGGCAACGACCCCGGTGTGCTGTTAAACGGAATTGAGAATCTCATGTGGCATATCGTTTGGAAAGTTTCTCTCTATTGTGACTTTTTGTCACCACGATTCTACTGCTCGTTCGCCGGCACTGTGTAGGTACTTGCTTCTGAAAAGAGTTTTGTATGCAGTGGAGCCACGTGGACGTGATGCATGGAGGTGTTTGTCTTTTCGTGTCATGTTTTATTATTCTGACTCTTCTTGCATGATGACGATGAGTTGCAGGAGAACCACAAAAAAAACGACCAGTGGCACTGGAGATGGAAAACCTGATCAGAGAAATTTCTCAATTTCATATCCGAAACTGCGTCGCGGCCTATCGTGGTGGTTGACACGGCAAAACGGTACAGTGTCAGTTCTTTGCGGAAAATGGAAAAACAAATCAAACGCAGAATCATGGCAGAGAAGTAGAGACACTCAAAGTTGTAAACCTGCATATGGTCGTGAAAGAACAGCAAGCCGCGGAGGATAAATCTTGCAACGCAGAAAAGACATATTACTCAAAGTCGTTCAACATGGAAAGCATGAGTGTTTCTACTCCGCGCACCGGCCAACTACATGTGGTCAGCGATAGCTCGACGATTTTGCTGTTTCGGCACATCAGATGATTGTGATTCTGACAACGTTTTGCTCGCGAACAGAATCACAACCAAAAAAATAAGGAGAAGCGGTTGCTTTTCCCTTCACCGTTTTTTTGTCACGGGTTTGCTCGGTTTGAGGAGGGGTTTTCGGTTTCGTATGTAGTTGGTTGCTACTTCTATCTCTTAGAGTATCGGTAAAAAAAACCTACTGTGCTGTTTTGTGCGATCTTCATCGCCTGTCGTCGTTTTGGTTGCAACAGTACATACTAAGCAGCTTTTATTGATGTCACAGACTCCCTGTGACTCGGTTTCTGTCGTGCTCGTTCCGGAATTTGTCTCGGTTTCATTCGCATCATGTGAATCCTCGTCCTTCTCGTACTACGGTTGCAAGAACCAATAATATTGTAAAGCCGAAAGACTCCTCGGTCTCGTTGGCGATAAATTCACACCCGACGGTGAAAGCAAGAACTTCGGTTCGTCCGTACTCCAAGTGCCTGTCGTGCCGTCTTCCTAGTGGTCGCTCCTGCGTTCGTAGTCCTCGTGCTTTTCGTACAAGCGAACGTGTGGCTTTTTTTCATTTTATTTGTTCTTACATACTTGCATACTTCACCATCACCATGCATCAGTACTTTACCATTTTGATTCTCTTCATTTTTGATACCTCACGACCGACCAGAATCGCTAGTACAGTCACTTGCTGACCACGTACCAGTAAAATCCTCTCCAACAAGTAAACGCAAAACCCCACTTTCCACTTTCATCCTTTCGGAAGAAGCAACTAGTACAACCCACGGCAAGTAGCTTTCATCCTTCAGCAAGCTTTTTCTTTGCAAGAAGCTGTAGAAAAGTTGTAGCATACTCAATTTATCAAACGCGTCGCCAGGAAAAAACCCACGTTGTCCCAACTTGTAGAAGCCCACGGACGAAGTTCCAAGCATGAACAGCGAATCAGGGACCAGGCCTGTAATGTGCGACACAAACACGGGCTGCATGATGTGGTCGCCGGATGGGGAAGAGAAATGGTATTTTTACTATCTATTGGATATTGCATGAGTCAAGGCGCGTGTATGTTGTGCTGCGCGTCGAACAAAGCGAAAAAAATACACAAGTTGCGCTACGCCTACTCTAAGTTGTGCTACGCCTACTTTTTCCTGGGTGACTGGGATTGCGTTTGCGTTTGCAAATTCATTTCTATCCTTCTTTCTGTATCTGTTTTGCAAAACTTTCCAGGTGTCCCAAAACCTCGGCTGTTCTGGGCGAGCAGGGCCACGTCTTCCTCCCCACTGACGGACGAGCGCAGCATCAGGGGAAGATGATGCAGCAGGCCATGACCGCGTTTAACAACCGGGAACAAGCTACTCGCACTGCTGCAACACGCGGTACTTCCGGCATGTCCTTCTCCAACACCTCCGACGACCAGAAAACCGAGGCTCCCCAATCCGGGCACGAAACCGTCAACACGCGCTTTTCTGGGACGAGCAGCAAGCCGTGTCGAAGCGAAAAGGCAAAGCTGGCGAATAAAGAAGGCATTTTGTTTCGCCCCCGCCCCCCCGCGGACCCGCAGGTGAGTGATGTCTTGGAGCGGGAGAAGGGGCAAAACTGGGGCTTTTTCGTCACCAACGGGGGAAATTCATCATCCGGGAGTGAGAAGGACAGTGAGTTGCGCAGCTTCTACAACAACCGGAACAGTGTCGGAGGTAGCCGCGGGAGTACCAGAAAAGGGACCACTGGAAAGAATTCGAAGCAGCAGGGTAACAAAAACGGCAAGCCGGGTTACAACAAAATGATGGACAAGACGAGCACCAGATCTAGCAGCAGCACTGGGACCCTCTTCTTACACCGGGTGTTGAAGATGCGTGTTTCCACCTTCCGCGGAGGTGGTCTGTTACGCCTTGTCTCTCTGCTGCTTGCAGTTCCCCCCGCGCCCACGACCCTTGGGGTGAAAATTCTCAACCGGAACCTCGGAGCGAGTACCAGAAGTTCATCCGAGAACAAGTACAATTCCCATGGACCTTACGAGCCAGGACAACAAAGCTGGGAGTCGTCCGACGGTGATGCAATTAATTCCGTCCCGAAAGTAGAATCGGCCATTTGGCATGATGACGAGGGGCACCAGGTCGAAGCGACGTTGACCACTTCTGCTGCACGAAAGGAATCAGAATCGGAAGATCTCGAACCGGGATGGTTCACCTCGATTCCGAGCCAAATTGCCGGATTTGGTTCTGGTTTGGCGGAGCAGCTGGGAAGCTTTCTGCAAGCGGGCAGTGACGCTGTTGTTAACGGTTTGTTTCCAAGCAGTGATTCTCATCCTACCGACGGAGGTGGAAGTGGTGGGGGCGCTTCTTTTCTCGCGGAAGAAAACAGTGCAAGGAATCATGCGCAATCTGACCCTCCTCGGATGTCTACCGTGACTTCTACCACTGTCACAACGCTCTCTCCGTCTACGGATGAACTAGAATTGCCTGCCCCGCAAGATTTGGAAACCTCCGACGGGGATTGCGAAGGCGAAGGCCGCTGCGCGAAGAAGTCCGAGACGTCACAAGAAGATGCTAGCTCTTTTGCCGACTAATTTACAAGCTTCATGCAAGCGGCTAGCGACGCGGTCGGACTCGGAAATTTGCTTTCGGGACCGGACGAACAAGGAAGCAGTGTTGATATGCTGCAGAGGGCAAAGGGCATCAAAGAGCAGCACAGCCCGGTGGATCCGTCTCTACTGCCCACGACCGACCACGCGCATTCTCCGCTGCCGCAAAGGGCTTCGCCTCTGGTGGGTCCCGGAACAGCTTCGCCGACGAGTGCCACCGCTCGCGCCGGCGCGCAGCAAGAGGAGAAGGAAGCGCCCTCGGTTGTACTAACGGAAACGACTACAACCACGACCCTGACGTCGCCGCACCCGCCGGCACCGCTTAAGCCTTCTGTCGACGGGAGTGTGTCGACTCCCGGCTCCTCGAGTGCGCGGACCACAACGTCAACGCCGCCCCACCCGCCGCCCCCGATTCTTCATCCGGGACCGCAAGGCGAGGAACTGCAGCCTGCTGTCAGTGGGCCCTCGCTTCCAGATTCTTCCCTTGAGAAATTGAGCCAGGCAGCGGAGGACCAAGGGGGAGCACCACTAGCTGGACCTGGTCTGGAAAACATTGTCGCGGGCAATCTGACAAATTCAAATACGACGGTTGAAAGAGCTTTTTTCGCAGCTGTGGCGGGAAGGTCCAGGGGGCACAATTTCTCGGCGTCCACCTCTGCGCCATGGACCTCCCACGGGGCTCTGCCGCAGGCAGCAGGGGCAGGAAACGTGACCACTACCACTAGTTCGGCGGCCCCAGATATCTTGAGGAATCTGCAGCGCGGGGCGGGCACGATGCATTCCTGGCATCTTCACTCTAGAGCGCATTCCATTTCATTCCAGTCTTGTAACTGTATCTGAGGACCAGCATCACCACGACGGCACACAGCACAGGAATCGTTCGCTTTTTATGCAACGCAAAAAAATTATTTATACAGTACTAGAAGGAGAAGCAGAAGGACAAACAAAGATGTAAAGTCGTGCAACAATTCTGTATGGTTCAATTATGGTACAACTTACATGGCGTCCGGTATCGTGTTGATTGTGCGTCGGTGCAGACGAAACAGCAGGAAGTCAGCGAACCGAGTCTACTGCCAATATTGTGTCGAGGTTGGACGTTGCTATATGTACTTGAGGAATGATTATCTAGGAACATTACTCGTTCTTGCTATTCATGGGTTGCAAGAAGTCGAACTCGAAGTCCTCCCGAGCCTTTGCAGTAGCGCTGGTTGTAAATTATGGCGCGCACCAAGTCATTGTGACAGTGACCATATTTGTGCGTGCACTGTGATGGCGCTCTCAAGTCAGGAATGCTCCTTGCATCGCGGCGCCCCGGCTTTTTCGACTTCGATAAAGAAGAGATTTGCAGAGCAGCAGGGGGGAGAAGAAGGTGCGAGTGCATTTCTTGATGCAACTCAGCCTTTCCGTGGCCCCCCAAGGCCAACCCAAGCCCTGCGGCGTACTAATTCAGCTCCACCAGGATTCTCGGGCATTGCGGTGCAGCGCGACGCACAGATAGATAAGCAGACGAAAAAGTTTTTTTCCAGCAAGGCGTGGACGCGAGTGTTGGCCGCCGACAAAGCGCGCCGCAAAGCTCAGAGTACCATTGAGTATGGCCAGCTGCGAAGCTATGTCGACGACAAGGACGTCGCTGCCTGGCATGCCTTTCAGGAGGACAAGAAAAGCCCCGGGATGACGAAGCAGTGGACATGGATAGACCTGTTTTTCTGCCCGAATCCCAGGATGCGCCAGACGAGTCGGGAATCCAGACACACCTTTGTGAGATTCTCCATTGTTGATGAAAAAGATGTTACAGATGGGATGGAGCCACCCTTTTTGACAGTCAGCGCAGAGTACGAGCCGGGATTCGGAATGGACCTTACAAGCTTCGACGAGTTGCAGGTTGAAAACGGCTACTTTTTTGGATATGGATATGATGGTGGCTATCGGCATTACAATCACGAGAAGATCGGAAATGAGAAGTTCGGAGAGCATGCAGATTCATTCACACCGCAGTGGTGGACGACCGGGGTGGATATGAAACTTTCTGTTGTCAATGATCGCTCAAGGTCGAGACTGGGAGCGTACGGCGGCCACGGTCGGAGCCAGGATTTATTGTTTGAACCTGGACTACGGACACGCGCAAAAAACTCCATGGTGAAGCTGATAAACAAGACTGTGCTGAAGCGTCGTCCCCTCGTTTTTTGGTCGGAATATGATCCTGTTCTCTCGTGGCGCTTTGTTGATGCAGAAGATATAATGAATGTCGTTGCGCTTGCCGCGCAGGCCACGGGGTTTGGGTGGGTCCATGAGCAAGCGGGCTTTGTTGACGAATGGAAACACTTTGCAAACGTGGTGATGAACGTGTGGACGCGACCGGGCAGCCCTGCTTGGTGGAACTTGTCCAACTTGAAGGGCAGCGGCGTCGAACCGATGAGCCGTTTCGCCACCCCAGCACAAAGGCCGAACGGAATGGAAGTTGACGGAACTACACCAAAACCTTTTTGGCCCCAGCAAGCGGAGCACGCGTTGATAACTGAAATTGGGGAAGTGATACGCAATATGTGGGCGATCTACAACGACTGGTACGTCAAAGCGGATTTTGCTTTCCTGAATGCGGGCTTGTCGGCGGAACGACACAAAAAGAAGCAGCGTCTGCAAGAACTGTCTCGCATTAGATCAAAGAGTCCCAAGAACGTCAAAGAGTCCCAAGAATTGCGATATGACATTTTTCAGATTGACGTTTTTGGGTACCCCGACCTGTATGCGCTTTACGAGATGCTATTTGTGGAGCTTAATACTAAACAAGACGGCGGCGGCGATTTGAACCTCGTCAAGCTCAATCAAGCAGCAGAGGCAATGGATGCAATCTGCAGAGCGAGCCACCCAAAAGTGCGAGAGGTAACAGCTTGTTGGGATCGAGAGGTGAGTCAGGCAAGGCGCACCCATGCTTGCGAGATCAGTCGCGGAATTCGCACCTGGTTGTGTAAATCACAGGATGGCAAAGGGAACAAAAACAACTGCGTGGAGGAGCGAATGGAAAGATTGAAACAAGACGATTTTGCGCGGACCATCATGGAGAGAACCCCACTTCCCGATTGGAATTCAAACCAACCTCAAGAGTGGTGGGCTTGGCCTAGCTTCATGAGACAACTATATTACTGCAGGGGGCGGGTTGCTCCTCCTCATGCTCCTGCAGTAAAGGAAACACCGGCGACGTCGCAACCTGGAAATGGAATAACAAAAGCGGAATCAATATCGGGGGAGAACCTTGACCTCACCTCTTGGTCAGGGCAGGAGTACAAAAAATACAATTTTGGGAACCCTCCACAAAAGAATTTGTTCCAAGACCTCCAATCAAAGGCGAATGTGCCACCGGACCATGTATATGCTTGGGTGAAAGTCTACGTCGATGAGTCTTCGCGGGAAAAGCATATGTCCCGCGACCCAAGATAGCAAAATCCGGAAAAACAGGACAAGTTTTCATCTGGTACGTTTGGAAGCCGAGCATTGCTGGTGATCCCGGAGGACACGGGCCGGCTGCTCGAGTTTCGGCGATTTGAATTGGCCCGCGTGACGCGGCTCTTCGCGCTTGCTTGTAGCAAAGCAGTAGGGGCCTCTCATCGTTCCACAGCAGATGAACAGATCTCCGACTCGCACTCGGGACAGGTCGAAAACTTCGCCTGGGAGAGCAAGTAATCGCAAGCAGTGCCAGGCAACAGAATGCGCTGAGGTGTGTGACATTTTCGAAAACTGCAAACGCGACCCCCATGGCCCATGTGAAAGAGCGAGCAAGGCCGGCAACGGTGTCGCGTGAGCAACATGCGGCGCCGCCGGCCGTCGCTTCAAAATTTCCGCACGCCGCACGCGGCAATTCCGCCGCCCGATGCCCGGCCAAAATTGACGTCCCCCGCCTTTTCGGGCACAATTTTGCGTTGCTGGGTGGCATCAATTTTTCCGGCACAGGCCCCGGGCAATTGTTTTACCGCGGAAAAGTCAAAGTGCAATTTTGGTGAACAAAATCGCGAAAACTTCCGAAACGCGAAAAGCATACGCGAAATCGCAGCAAAAATCGGCGCGCGGCATTTTTTTCGGCCCTGGTGTCGCCTGTTTTTCAGGTTTTCGCAATTTTCTTGCAGTGGTTCAGATTTTTTTTCATCTAAAAATTTCCTTTCGGATTTGGATTTTGTTCCAGATTTTGTTCCGGATTTTGTTCCAGATTTTGATGAACAAAATTTTGTTCGGGAGTTACATGAAATCTTTGTTGCCCGTTTTTCTATTCTAAAGTCTGTAGCAGTGGCGTGGCCGCGCTTGCGAAGTCTTTTGCTTTTTGCGCCCGCGCCCCAAGTGTGTTTTTGCCTCCAGTTCCGCATAATTAAATCTCGCACCGCAAGGACTGTCGCGGAAGGCGCCCTCTGAAACACCGCATGAGCGCCACCAGTAGCGGCGGGGCGAGGACTGGGGGATTAGTTCCGCCACAGTGTCACGGTTATCCGGTGTGGGATAATGTTGCGCAGGGTGGGCAGTTGCTAGCATTTGCCCGGCACAGTCCAGTGACCCGGAATCATGAGGGTCATGTCAGGACATTTGTGCGATTTCTTTTTTCGTTTTCCGGGTTCTATCGTCAAATCAAACTCAAACAAGTAAGTCATGTCGTCTTTTCCCCTTCCCTTCCAAAATAGATAAACTAGTTCGCATGTGTGTTATATTTGTATTCCCCCTCCTCCAAATTTCTCAAAAATTTGATTTTCCTTTTCCGGGTTTTATCGATTTTGCTCTCTTGGTTCTCCGGGACATATGAGAAAACGATGGACGGATACGGCGTTCGCGACTGGGTGAGGTCGGCAAACAATGGACCTGCTTTTGAGCCTGACGTGCAGTATTTCCGATATGTCGGGGAGCTTCAAAAGGGAAAGGCAATGTCAAACCCATTTGGCTATCACTTCAGCTACGTCATGTAGCGGCGTCAGTGCGGGGCCACGTGGTGGCCGCGACGGGCGGAAGTCTGTCGGCGCTTGCTAGGGGGTTTACAGCCACTCTGGGTGTCGGGAAAACAGTCTCCTGGTTGTCGACAAATCAAATTTTACGACCTCCACCAATTGTAGTTGCAACGCCACCAGGGAAAGTATAGTCGTAGCACAAAATGGCAACCGCCTAAGTCTTCATGTGTCCTTTTCATCCTCGTTTTTTAATTAAATAGTTTTTGTATGGTTTGCAAGAAAATCCATGTACGACATGCAAAACCCTAGTTTTATCACTGTTTTCCAACTGCTAGTATTAACTCAGCCGCACCAAGCACAACATATTTGAATATTAATTTCCGGAAGTTCCAAGTTTTTGGGGTTCAGATGAGTGCACATGAATCACGTGTTTTTAAAGAGCGCGAATTTTCTTTCAATGCCGACATTTCAAAGACACGTAAACGTGCACGATATTGTCCTTGCGCCATCTGTTTTATTTGTATGCGAATTTAAGTTTAACTAGAGTACGTCCCTCGAAGATATCCATGTTAGTGTTACCACAAGATAGATTTTGTACATTATTGGTCTTCTTTATCGTCTGTCATGTAAGCCTACAAATCCGTACTGTGCCGAACAAGAGAGATGAAGGCCGAGTCTGTTCTTTTGTCTTTTTAGAGTCAGTGATGTTCAGCCGGACTTTTTCACTTCGTGGTTGATTGGGATGCTCGTTCTTCTTTCGCAGTTGCGGGGGCTTATCTATTGTCGGTCATCAGGCTTATCTATTGTCGGTCCTGATCCTAGTACTACCAGGATCAGGAGCAGATAACGCCGGCCGAGTAAGTGGTTCTCTGTAGAACGTCGCCCCAGGAGGTTCACGTTTCTCGGAGAACAGTTTTCCTCTTCGTTTCTCCCTAATATCTTCATGTTCCAATTGACTTATCAGGACATACTAGTGCAGCGGGTTACCTCCTGTATACATATTCTTGTGTAAGGCCGAACTTCCAAGGAGAAATACGTGACTTAGAGGCACCAGACTTTCAACAAGGCTCTACTTGACCTCCGCCTTGGATTTCGAGAAGGCGAGGTAGGCCTTAGGCGATAGGGAAGTATGCATGGGCTACTTCTTACCGGGGGCGGCAGAGCATGTACTGAGCATTCGTTTTTCGGATTTTCATCATCGACCGTTATTGTTGAGAAAAAAAAATGCATATGACATCCTCGTGATCGACAATTTATTTGAATCGGAAAAAAACACATGGCTTCGTCGCTGTCGTTGGGGTTGGATGCTGCTTTTTTGAGAAACTGTCCCCTCTCGGTCCCTGTCCTGAAAGTATCGGAGCGCATAGCATTCTAAAGCGATGCTGTAAGAGCAGTGCCTTGACGGGATGACGAATCTGATAGAAGATTATTGTCAGTCGGGCGCAAGAACCAGGCCGTTGTCTTCAAGGTGATCAAGACGAAGGCCCGTCGTGCGTGAATCCAAATTGCCGACATTAACAGAACAAAAAACAGGATAACCAGCTGTCTTAGCGATGTGTGGCAGTGCAAGTCGGTGCGGGTCTATGAGCATGTCAGTTCGCGATAAAATGGCGCCAAAGTGAAACTGATTTTTCATAAATGTTTATCGGATGCTGGTTTGATTGCGTTTCTCTATTTATTTGGTTTGTAGGTCAACAGTACTCACGTAGACGAGTAAGTAGGTGAAGGTGTGAGACAGGCTTTGATGGCTGAGCCGAGCGTACGTGCTTGCTGGTACTCACTGGGGTTGCTGCATATTTTCAGTACAACCAAAACATCGTAAACATGTAGCGAGTACGCAAACGAGTACGTATTTTGGCCACATGCTGCAGCGTCACAAAAACAGAAGTAGAAGCAACGATAAGTGACGCTGACTCATGCGAAACAAGTATACACCATTGCTTCGAAACTCGGAATCAAATTGATTTGAATGTCGTTGCCCTTGCCCCTCGTAGTAAGTCGGCGAGTTGTTCTCCGTTCGAGTAGCAGCATCGTATTTATGAAGCGTAACGCGACGGTGATGTGGATGTCGCTACCTGCTTCGTTACAGCCAGGCACCATTTCTAGGCTGTGTTTGTTATAATTGATTGATAATGAAAGAATTTGTCTTGATGAATATGTCGTCCTCGTCTTGAATTTGATCTAGTTCTAAGCCAGGACCCTCTAGTACCCAACGACCCCATGACCGACATCCTCGTCAATTTCTGGCAGTATGAGCCGGTGCGCGTTTGGCGCCGTGGGTTGGTGGATTCCATTTCGATCCACCGGTCCATCCCGTTCGTCGTCCGCTCACAGTTGATCCGGCAGCGCATGCTGCAGTGCTTCTTGCTGAACGGGATCATTTTTGTGGGCAGCATCCTGCTCTACAGCAACGTGATCAGCCCTCTGTTGTCCTTCTTGCTTAAAACCGACGTATTGCAGCAGCTGCTCTACGCTCCGGAGACAACCTCGAGTGCAATTTACACCCCAGACGCAGGGGGAATTGCGCCTTTCCAGGCGGGTAGTACAACTACCGGCGAAAGTAGATTCTTGGAAAACACTGAAAGTAGTGGCGCCATCAACAACATAATTGGGGAGCAGGCAACGCTGCGAAACGGACTTCTAGCGCAAGAATCCGAACTTCCTCCTGGCTCCGCTTCTGCCCAACACGATAATCTCCTGTCAGGAGCTTCCACCGACCAGGAGTCCGCTGCTCGCCGAGCAGCCCTTGATGCAAGTTCCTCCGCGTCTGGGGCCACAACTGGGATCCTGGTTCAGCACGACACGCTGATTTTGACCTTGTTTTCTGTGCTGTACAAGTTGCTGTGGCTGTACCCGATTTACTGTATTTCGTTCATTTTGAACACTGTAGCGTACCAAGATATCGCAGATTGCTGCCAGCTCGAAACAGCGGATGAGAAGAAGAATCCCAGCCTGCAGCAGCGGATCGTCGACGAGGCTTTTTTATGGATTGCAAATATGTACTACGGGTCTGGAAGTATGTACTGTTGATATTTGCATCACAGACTCGCCGCTTGCACGGCATCGCAGCATCAGAAGTTTTTTGATGCTTCTTGGAGATTCATTCTTGGTACAACGCATGACCAAGAACTGGGTTCTAGCACGACGAAAAAGCGGGCGACTCCTGTTTATGCATCAAAGATTTTGATGCTGTCCTTCTTGCATCACAGATCCAGACCCAGACGTATTTGCAAAATGCATAACTCCGGGTGCTGCTGAACCTGATCTACATCCTGTGCTCAACTTTGATGTACTACTGCATCCCCTTCGGAGTCGGGAAGTTCTTCTACTTTGTCGCCAGTTGCTGGCTTGCCTCCTTGTACTGCTTCGAATACCGCTGGGTCTTCCTCGGGTGGAACTCGCACCAGCGGCTCAGCTACTCTAAGGAAAAATCCCCCCTCCCCATATTGAAACCGCACCCGGCTGAAAATTTGTGATGGAGATTTGTTGCCACAAATCGAGTCTGTCTTGCAAGAAGGCACATTCAGGATGTCCGCTACGTTGTGCAGGCCATTTGTAATGCTGGAAGGCCTACAGGGTAGCCGTCTACCATGCTAGACGCCTACACCAAATGGCCCCTAAGTGCCTGGGCTTTGCTTAGGATCTGCGTGCCGTCCTCTACTGCGACACAGATTGGATTTGTGTATCCAAATCCAGCATGAGAAGTTTCGTTTTGTTACGGGGAGGGGGGATTTTTCCTTTCGATATCAGCTACTTCGAATCGCACTGGCTCTACTTCTGTGGATTCGGCTTCCCTATCGCTTTCCTCTCCTACACCTCCCCCACCTTTATCGACAACGGCATCTTCGCGCTGATCTTTCCCTTCTTCATCCTGACCAGCTCGGTCGCCAGTCCGCAGGGCTTGCCGGTGCGGACTTACAGGGCGAATGAAGGAGTTCTTGCGGCGGCGGGGGGGAGAAGTTCCGGTGGCACGACTAGAAGTACAGAGATCATGACAAATAAACACACAACGACGACCAACAACGGTGATGCGACTAATTATGCGTCAACAAGATCACGGGGCTCCAGGACCACGACCTCCGCAGGGTTCAGTACAGCCGCTGGAGGTTCAATTTCATCAACACCGACCTCATCTGCAGGTTCTTCTGGCGCGGCGCAAACAGTCGGAGGTGCAACAGCTGCGTCTCAACAGCAGCAGCAGATGAATACTAGCGTGAACCACAACAACTACAAAGTGCACCGGATCCCGATCTTCTGGTTGGTGGCCAAGCTGACCACGTTTCTGCTCAGTTACTGCGAACGACGTCGAGCAGACCCGGCGGGGGGAGGTGGTGGGGGCAGTAATCACAGCCAGTCGAACGGTTCTTCCGGTGTTTCATCTTCTCGTGGCGACCACAGGAAATCACGTATGTCAGGGGGTAATGCTGAACAAAGTACGACGAGGAGTAAGCATCATGGGTCCTCTTCGAAAACCAACTTGATGAATAGGACACGGTGATGAAAGAGTTTTTATGAAGTAGCACGATAAGTAGGAGAAAAAAAATCACAGGTGTTCATCTTGATGTGCACCACCGTCCGAGAATAAAGAGCGAAGTTTTGATATTGCATACTACACACAGATCCATAAAGATCTTGGGAGCAACGTAAGTAAGTACTTCATCTTCATCGCGGCCATGATCTTTACTGTGTCAAACCTGTTTTCAGGGCGCTTACGGCTCTCACTTGCAGCCTACGCGTTGTTCCGAGAGTGCAATGTCTTTTGTGAATGTAGAAAGTGATAGTGAATGAAGTGTAGTTCCGGCAAAAGAAAAGATTCGGTTTTGGTTTCGCAATTTTCACCTTGATCATTTTCTAAGAATGAACGACGAGCGTGGGCTCTTCACTGGCTCGAGAAGAGAGAAACAGCAGCACAAATAAAAAAGCTAATCTAGTACTAGCAAGTACTTCATGATGATGATACTCACTTCTTGGAAACATCATCTTCAATATCTAGAGCAGCAGTGTGGTAACTATAAGTTTCAGTCGTAAAAAATAACGACCCCGTGATATTGAAGAGAAAAGTAGAACCTCTGCACACACATCCACTCGCCCTCCCCAGGCGCTTCTTGCCCGTTTTTCTCTACCGTTATTTTTTGAGTCTCAAGGAGAAGAAGAGTAATAAACCCAAGTGTAATTATCTGACAGTAAGTTTTCTTTCGAGGAACAAGCAGCCCTGCACGACTGCTACAACTTTATAAACATTTTATGGGTGCCCAAGCCTCCTCCGTGCGAGCAATGGGCCGACAAACAGGATCTTTGCTCCCCGAGGGCATCTGCATCCCGGGGCGGGACACGGCGATTCCCCAGGCGCCGCCCAAGACCGCGAAGCACTTCATCAAGGGCACGCCACTGTACGGCCCCTTCGAGAGCAAATACGAGCAGGCGCTGATCGGCATGGGCTGTTTCTGGTGCGTGGAGAACCTCTTCATGAAGCGGGACGGCGTCTTTTCCACGCAAGTCGGTTACGCCTGCGGGACGACGAGGAATCCAACTTACGAAGAGGTTTGCTCAGGTATGACCAACCACAGCGAGGTGTGCCGGATTGTCTACGACCCGAATGTGCTCACGTTTCAGGACATTTTAAAGACGTTTTGGACCATATCATGGGGAAAATCTTCTTTTATTCACCTGGCTGCTGTTTGCGCGATTGTCAAAATTTGAATTTGGACGGTATCATGCTTCTATTGCAGTACGCACTTTTGTAGCTGTAGCATGATTGTCTTTTCGCAGGATTTTTGTATACTCACGCACCACTGAGTAATGCGCTTGTTGCTCGTAATTGTAATTGCAAGTTGAGTTTGAGCTTGACTTGAGCCATAGCCCGGTGACGTAGATTTTCCACAGGATATACCAAGCATGATCCAACGACGCTAAATCAGCAGGGAGGAGATCGGGGGACGCAATACAGGTACAATTGGACATCATTCGTTATGCTTATGCGGGGAAAGCAGGAAGTGCAAGTGCCTGAGTCACTACCAACTTCAAATGAACTTTTCTATGTGACGAGAATCATGCGCCAGTGCTTTTCATCAATTGTTAAGACACAGAAAGATTTCTGTGCGTTTTTAATGGTCCTAGAAGTAGAAATAGAATCAAAAAAAAAAAACGACGTTGAAAATAACCAATTCACTCCCCGAAGAACACTCAGGTCCGGGATCTACTACTACAATGAGCAGCAGAAAAAGATCGCGGAGGAAACGAAGGACAAGATGCAAAAGGCCATCGACGAGGCCTACGGTGCCGGCGCGAAGAAGATCTCCACGGAAATCCTTCCCGCACCGACCGACTTCTTATCCAGGAAAAAAACTATGTAAGTGTAACTTTGTAGGAAAAGCAGCATCACAAATTCGTTTTGCATAAAAGAAAAACCTGTCATGCGCAGCTAGTACGTGAAAACACGTATGAAAGTGGCCTATGACGCACATCCAGCATGACAATCCTATATAGTTTTGCATTTTCTGCATCACAGATTTACACTCACATAGTTTTTTTCTTGGATACTTCTGGATGGCAGAAGATTACCACCAGCAGTACGACGCGAAGCCGGGCTCGCGCGAGTACTGCGGTTTACGACCCCTGTTCAAGGTCAGTAACGCAGCACTTTGAAGAGCAACGGGGGGAGATGATGAGAAACGGTCAGAATAAGTAGAAAAACAGGGTAGGTGCTGAGAGTTCCGAGCACGAACGAGACGCAGGTGTTGTACAACTTCGTGGAACTAAGACAGCGACTTTTTCAAAAGATGATCAAGCTGTTGTTGATCTGTAGAATTTAGATTTTTTCTTTTGCTTTCACATTTCTCTGCAGTATACTGAAGTGTGAATGATGTCGTGGTGGAAGAAGAATCTCTTGATTGCTTTCACTTATACATCGATAGCAAACACCTGCCTGACGGCTTCCTTTCTGTGTTCTTTGTATAAATTTGTTTGCCTTCTATGAGGTGAACTTAGCTGCTTTTTTGGTGTAGGCTTGAATTTCACGAAGATTACACGAGGAACGCGATATTCTATCTAATCCTCAAGCCTCTACACACTTTGCCTGAAGAAGGTTTCTCATTTTTTTGTCAAGTATTCAAGTTGAGCTGCAAGATGTTTAGTCACGACGGCTTTCGTGAAGAGAAATTTTAGTATAAAGAAAGAATTGGAATCAATGTGAATGTGCAGTACGAAATCTTAATCTTCCAAATGCAAATGATACGGGTCAGAAGTCAGATTCTGTCTGCATGGACAGGAAGACCGCAGCTCCTGCAAGATTTACGGGCGACAGAAAATAGTTTTTGCGACTGGAGTACTACAAACGACCGAATGTCGAATTGGCTCGCAGCACGATATCGTCTATCAAACGAACCTTCTGGTGTTCTTCGCAACATTACTTTTTGAAGCTCCTTTTTTACCTGTCTTCTCACTCACCATGAAATGAAACACAGCTGAAAAGGTGAAGTTCATCACAGTATCGCAGCTGAAACATGAAAAGTAAGAGACGGAACCCATGGAGACCGAGTGGAGAATTAGGAGGAGAAGAGCGCTAGTTTTCCAAGTCCCGAGGACAAAATTTACAGCAGTTGTGCGCATGAGGCAGATACCGATCGAGAGCAGAACAAGTGAAATAAGAGAGCGCACCAGCAGCAGGCGTTAAGTGCCCTGGGTTTTTCTGAATAAACATGTAGTTCCACCTGCTCGTTCATTATGTCTTCCGTTCTCTTGGGCCAGGTCCCGCTGCCCTTCTGTGAATTTGGTCTCCTTTTCCAGCACTTGCGCTTTATCAGTCATGTCAGCGAACGCTTCGCTGACGCTGCCCTCTTTATCTAACCCATTGGTACTCTGATATCTCTATCAGTGAAAATTTAAATATACATCCGAAGTAATATCATGTTGGCCACAACTACAACTCCACCACCAACTCTTACCGCTTGTTCTTCCCCCCCGCCAAAACGAAGCGGGTCCAAAGCGAGCTCACTTTCCACCCCGAGCAGGACACCTCGCGATCGTCGTACAACTACCGATCCGCCCACGACGAGAAAAACTACCGGGACGATGATAGAACAAAGACTGGGCTCCGCGTCGAAAACAAAACTATCCTCTTCCCACCTCTCGTCCACCCCGAGGTATTTTTTCCACCTGTTATTCCAGAGCACGTTCCTGTCTCCCAAGAAGTTTTTCCAGGGCGCCTGGCCGTTCATTCTGATCCTTTTGGTAGAGCTGTACGACGACTGGTACACGAAGTTCACGGCCGGCTATACCTGCCCGCCGTGGTACGTTCCTAACGCGAGTAAGATCTCAACGGAGGAGGCGGATCAGCTGTTGCAAAAAGCCACCAAGGCCTTCTTCAGCGATTTGCAGAACCTGCTGAAGTGGATTTTGCTCGGCGGGTTTTCGGACCTGGGCGTAGCGGACGATGGAATGATTTTTCGGCCCTACCACGATGAAATCCACTTATGAGAGTGTGCACAACTACGTCGTCCCATTTTTCCACTCATTTTTTGAAGGACATGATCAGGAGCGTCAGCAGCGCTAGTAAAGAAGATCATGCAGTTTCAGTTATTTCTACATGGCAAATTAAAATTAAAATTATTCTGCCGGGATGGTAACCGCTGTTTCTGCTTGGGCTTCCGGAACATATCATGCAAACACCGCCAAAAGGCTTAAGCTAACAAGGCAACAACAGGCGTTCTTGTCTTTTTGGATAAGTATTATTCTATCTAGCAAATGACGCAGGAACAGGCGGGTTGTGCACCAGTGTCATAGCAAGACGCGGTCTGCCCAATTGGTTACGAGTACGACTTCCCCGTGTCCGGCACTACCTGGCGCTGGGAGTTTTCGCCGCAGTACGCGGCGGAGGTGGAAATGAACCACCTGACCTCGGCGCTCTCGTACGACCCCTTGAACCGCTTCTACTTCTGGGTCAGCATGTGGCCGGGGTGCGACGTGTTGCTGCTCCTCCTCCTCATCCTGTTTCGGCGCGGCGCCGCGGAGCTGATGTTGTTAGTCGGGGTGGTGGTGCAGGGAATTCTGCCGACCACGATAAAACGGTCCGTGAACTGCTACGGCTTCGGAAACGACAAAAATTTCGCGGACACCCACGTGCTCGAGCAGATGCTGTGCCCACTGTGGCTGCGACCGCACACGAGCTGCCTTGACGACTGCGGGATGCCGTCGGGCCATGCGAACGTCGCGTATTTCTACCTGGCGTGGGGACTGCCCTACTTCTGGAGAAGCGGGCTGTTGGGGGGCGAGGGAAGTAGTAGAACAAGAGCAAATACAAAAACAAAATCCGCACCATCGTCTTCTCCTGAATCTTATTCTACCACCAGAGCTGTTGAAACAGCAAGAACAACAGCAAAAAACGTCGTGGCTTCCTTGCCCACCGCAGTGGAGCCGCGGCCGGAGGTGGACACTGCAAGTGGAATTCTCCTCCTGGCGGGGGCGGGCTCTTTGTCTCAACCTCTGCTAGAGGAGAGCTCCTGCGGCGAGAACGCGATAATAGATGCTGGTGCTGAATATAGGAGTAGAGATTCGAACACAAATAACCGCCGTGCGGCTGAGGACGGTGGTTCAAGGACGACTAGCGACAAAACCATTGCAAGAATCACGGTGGAAGACAACGACAGAACCACAACAGCATTCCTCGCTGCATCACCAGAGCAGCTGATGAACACATGGAGTCGTGGAAACGATCGCAATCAGTCCGCCAAACCAGTATCAGCAGCGTTTTTTCCAGAGGAAGGGGCGAAAAATGAAGCAGGATACGGAAGCGGAGTGGAGATATCTTCGAGTGCTACGATAGTACTACCTGCTTCTGCAGCAAGAGCAACCTCCTACAGACGCGGTCTCATCCTCTTTGTGCTGTTCTTTCTCGCCGTCCAGCCCTACGTGATTGTCGCGTTGGGAGACCACACACCCCTGCAAGGCCTCGCCGGCGCGGTCACGGGGTTTCTCACCGGGTTTTCCTTCTACAAGTTCGTTTTAATCGATGACGTGGTGCTGAGCTTCGTGGAGAGTCCCATCGTACCAATTGTAAAAATGTCTGGGTCTGGAAGGTTGGAGCTTGTGATGCTAATTCTGGATCATGCAAAAATCTGTGTTGCATGAATGCCAAAAGTTGCCCACTTTTGACGAAGTTGAGAGGAAGTTTCTCATGCAGGATAGGCATGACAGGGATCCCGCAGAATCTGTCATGCTAGGTTCTGCGTTCCAGTGATGACATGGATCATGGAAAATCTGCATGACAAGTCTCGGAATCTTCCAGACCCAGACATTTTTGCACTTGATAGATCGGAAGGTTTTTGGGGTTTCACGACAACTACACGTTTGGAGCTCGTTCTGGTTGTACTGATATTGATAGTGGTAAACCTCCACACTTTATTTCTACTAGTGCCAGCTGCCAGAAAAACGTAGCTGCCTTGTCACCTGCTGCTTCGACCAGCGTGCGAGGAGGACAGCATGTAGGCATAGACGTATCGGCACAGGAATCGAAGCCTTTGTCGTCGCCGCTGTTGCCCGCGAATAATGGTACTGGACGTGAAGCTGAACAAAAACATATCGGAATACAAAGCCAAAACCTACCACATAGTACAACTTGATTTTATCAGCATGTCTGGCCCTACCAGCAAGTTTGAGTTTCTCGTCTTTCTACGACTTTAATTTTTGTTTCTCACCTCGCACAGCACACTGTAAGATGAAGACGATTTATTTATGTCGGGTAAGAACCCTGCTAATGTCATCGTTTCGCCACGGACAGAGTTTTTATCGTTATGGAATCACTTGCAGGGCGAACTGGCACAAAATAAACGAAGCCGATTGATGCGGTAATGAATAAGTAGCTGCTCGTTCTTCTGGTAGACGGCCGCATGTTTGTCATGGTCCTGGACTCTGTACTCAGCAAACTTGTTGTAATATAAATCAGAACACCGACGCGACACTAATATGCGCGAGTTTTTTACTTCGTTAATCGCTGTTCCGTGCGTATTTGTTCACGACTAGCTTCCGTGCAGGGACACGCTGTTCAGCTAATTGTGAAAACTGGATCATGTTTTCTTTCTTGTATAAAGCAGAAGATTTTCAGAGATCAGACTTTCGTTTTCCTTTTGCCGTATGAGATGATCATGTATGGGTTTTTTTTACAACAACTCCTTCTAGTTCGAGCCATCGGCCCTGCTACATGTTGATGCTTTTGTTTTTACATCACATCGACATGAACGAAATGCGCTGAGGAAATGAAAGTATCTGCCAAAGAATAACCCATGCAGCAGCTCCAAATGCTGCCCAAGCCCGAACCCTCCCTCCGTAGAAGAAAGAGGATGTGTAGTTGGGCGGATTCTACTCCTGCAATCAGAGCTGATCGTCCTGCTGAAATAAATCGTTCATGTGAGGATTTGGATTGTCGCAATAAACGAAAAATTAACTCGAAGCAAGGAAGCGACCGTAAACAGCAGCACCCCTCTTTTGCACGAGACCATAATTCTTGCAGCGCGGCTGAAATATTGATTCCTGCCGAGGAAATAACGACTAGCAGTGGCATGACAAGCGACGGGGCCAGTGGCTGCCCGCCATACGACCCTTCAGGGTCGTCTACTTCGGCCTCAAGCCGTGTAGTTCCAGCAACGGCGAGCCGGCCCAAGAGGGGAACTTCTAGTAAGCGAAGTGGTGATTTTTATGCCAGGAACAAGAGACAGCGGCGAGCAGCACGCGATGCGCAACTGCAGGCAGAAAACGATCTTGATGCATTAGGGCAAAAAGTTTCGCAGCTGCTGGCGCAACTATGCGCAACATGTCGGGACCTCAGCCGAAAGACCACCCGCACGCTCGGGCGATGGCATCAACATCATTTTGCCGACCGCACGACAGAAAGAAACACGTCGATAGCTTGTTGCGCCAGAAGGAACAGGAGCTGTATAATTTTGAAAAACCAGCAGGCGCAGGCCCGCCCCGCCAAGAATTTCTACGCCGGAAAAAGCAAGAGCTTTCCCAGACACAAAGTTTTCGGGAGTATCTGTGTCACCCTGGCATCCACATCTTTGCTGCTGAAAGCCGCTTGGGTGCTTCATTCCCTTCTTCTACACGGCACGTTTCCAAGGGTGGTCCTGGCGCAACAAGAATCGCAGATGCAACAAGGGAACTCCGCCGGCGCGAGCAATGCTCCCTTGGGCAACATGAATCTGCTCCAAAATTCCCCCTGCCAGCAGGTCGCGCGTTGCAAATTCGAGCAGGAACTGTTGCCGCAACTGCAAACGGTGGATAAGCAGCTGTTCGAGGAGCAAAACGTGCAGCCCGCTCTGGAAACGCTCCTCCTCCTGGCCGAGAAATTTTTCAAGGAACCGGGCGACGCCCTGGACTGCCGTTCCGGCGGGGCGCTGGTGTTTTACCGGCTCGCCGAGATCTACCGACACAGCGTGAACGCCCCGCAACGGGCCCACAACCTGTACCAACTCGCGATGAGCATGTTCTGGGACATGAGCCGCGAGCCCAACGGCCTGGAGTGTCTGGAAACGGGGCAGGTGTGGAGTTTGGATTTTAACGCCTTCATGGAGGCGTACTTGACTTTGGCCAAACAAGTGCACCGACACGAACCGGAGGGCTTACCCCCTGCGTTTGCGTACGACAAGAATAAGAGCAAAAAGCGGAGGATCGCGATAACGTCGGTTTGTGCGTACGCAGAATCGCACATGCTGTACGAATTGTATCCGCTGGTGAAGCAAAACAGGGACCGATACGCAAAACTGAACGGGTATGATTATGTTGTAGCTTTACGCTAGTACTTCAAACTTGAGTTGTCGCAGCAACGGGAATAGACACGGATGCAGCTCCGACGTTGGTAGCTTGATTTTGACAGCGTAGTCTATTTCTAGGCCTCAATAATCACAAGGACAAGTGTTTAGCATTACTTGTTCCTAAGTACTTAGAACCCATATGTTCCATCTCTACTATCCCAGGTACGACTCCCACCTCTGGAACACAACCTTTGACGCAAGCCGCGCCCCCGTTTGGTCCGCAGTCGGCCTGCCCCTCTCGCTTGTCCAGAAAAAAACCGACTACGATTGGATTTTGGCCGCCGACTGCGACATGATGTTCATCAACATGGACGTGAAAATCGAGCAGATCCTCGACGAGTATGTGAACGAGGAGCAAGACCCGGACGCAAAAAACGTTCACGTGTTAATTACCGAGGACGGGCGGGGACTTGCAGGTGGGATCTTCCTCATCCGGAATTCGCCCGAGGGGAGGGCGATCATCGAGTCGGTGTACGGGAGTCATCTGCCCGTGCCGAATGTCTACGACCGGCATGATTTACGGGACCAGTGGTCGTTTCTGTGGCATTTTATCCGGCCGAAGGCGACGGAGGCGATGAAACCCATGGAGCTGGTTGTCGGTATATTGATATGTTGCTGCGTTTTCATTTAGATGTTCAGCATGACAGGAAGCACAGTAAATTGACAGTTGTGCAACACAAATTGTCGGTCGTCATCAACGTGTAAACCTACACGTAACTCAGGCTCCGGCACGCGGGATTGGCGCATGCTGGAATATCGGGACCAGGTTCGCCTCATCCCCCAGAAGTATCTCAATGCCTACCCTTGGGCCAGCTGTCGGCCCAGCCACCATTGTTTTGACGATGATAAGGACCTGGTGGTCAGCTTCATCACGCTGGGTTCGTTTTCGAAGGAAATGGCGTACGCCATGTTGAACAAATTCTTGGAGCAGAGTTTGCAAAGTTACGAGAAAATTACGGGGAGCCGGGAGTTGTGAAGAAGCGAATTGATCATGCGGCGCGGATGCTGCGAGTGCGACGCACACGCGGGATTGTTTTTTTTTGAAGTAGATGGCAACAGTAAGAAAGTCTTAGGGAGAAATACTTAATAAATCAATCATCAGACAACAGAAATCAAGTGGAATTGAGTGCAACTATCTCAGAGATGAAAAGAAGTGCGCCTGTGAAACACACTGGTAGCACACGAATATCATTTTTGTTTTAACGCTTGCTATGGCGTTGGCTAATTTTTTTTCATTGAAGTTGACCTAGTACAGAAGTAGGGATGTGCTCTGGTGTAGTGTCCGCTACTAGTAGTCCGACTGCACTGGTTTGTTCGAAACAAGACCACGATTTGATGAAGCAGCGTTAAGATGAAATGTAACATGGGCAGATCGACATACAGCAAGAGATCAGCATCGCGATTAAGAAGGTTCTTTTTTGCAACTCTTGATCTGCAGATCTGCGTGCGAGATACAACTGCGACCAGCTTTCTAGGATCTGCAGCTGCAGCAGCGTTTTAGTTTTTTGTCATCATCATGATACTGCACAATAGATCCGCGCATTGATTTTTGTCTCCTGCCGCGAGGCCGTGAAAGGCAAAGATCAAGATCTGCAGCGTTTTGTTTTTGTCGAGCAACAAGCTTGACCTCCGCGGCGTTTTCAGATGCGATTTGCGTTCTACAACTTGTCCCGACTCCTTGCATACTGGCGGGAGTTCATTTTTTTTACGCTTTTAAGTACATGCGCCTCGTTCTATCGATCCACAGCGCGCGTTAGGAAAAAGGGCAAGAAACCCACGAGGAGGTGGATCGTCCATGATGCATGCCTGTGGATGCAGTTCGCGAACAAGAAGTTAGAATTTGTCAAAAAGTTTTTCATACTCCATTCATGGTAGATGTAGCATACAACGTCGTTTTTTTTCCCGAATTCATCAACAATAAAAAAAAAAAACGTAGCAAACTGTAGCTAACTGCTTCGTCCACGAAGACGAACGCGAAAAATCTTCTAGACAAACATAAACAACTTCTACACCACTTGAGAAAAACGTGTCAACCGTTAACATTTTCGACTTCACTTCACTTCAAGAAAAACCAAAATCAAATAATCGACTGTGCTTCGCTTGCAATTTTCGGCATTTTTGTTTGCTATCACTTAATTCTCTCCGATTTCGTTTTCGAGAGTCCAACATTGATTGTTGCAATCGGCGACTGCATCTATCGCGTTTTGCAGTGTTTCTTTTTTGCTTTGTTTATTTCTACTTTCTATATACCTATGCTTTTTTCAAAAATGATGATGCCCGTAGATCAGGAGAGTCAACTACTATCTTTGGAACTTACGATGGATATGGACACTTTGCTGACCCTGGTGCTTGATAATTCTACGACAGCTGAACCTTCTTCCTCCACGACAACTATTACCGCCATGCCAACCATTACCGCTTCCGACTTGATTCTCCGGCATCACAAACTTGGACGGACGCATTTTAAGTCTCGCGACAGCCGGCGGCATTACGGATGTAAGCATAGTGGAGAGGTAAAACAGCATCAGTATTGAGGTTAGGACGAATCACGTGTGCCTGGCAGCGACGGACCCCAGAAGTAGGGAACCGCGAGGAGAGCAACTGGAAGCGTCTTCGTAAACGTGAATTCACCGACTCAACAGAGGGCAACGTTAATACGGACACAAGGACGGCACTGTAGCATGTTGCAGCTACTTAAGTGAATGCTCGCTTCTCACTTGAATGATCACCACAGCCTCACTGCTAGTCGTGGTTGATTTTTTTTTAAGTACTTATTTGTCGTGTGAATTTACATTCGCATTTGCACTTAGAAAAAAAAGTTGATATCATGCCACGACCCACCGTCACACACAGGCTAATCGCAGGAACGGCGCGAACAAGCGGCCTTTATACGTCACCGACACATCGGACTACACCATAGGACGAACATCAAAAGCACCACCTACTGCGGAACGGTAGAAGCGGAGTCACCCTACCACACGCAACAAGGACAAGCAACTGAAATTTCATCCAAGACAATTGCCACCACGCCCCTGGCGCAACCAACACCAACTCGAATTCGGAGTCCGATTTGGGAACCGCGTAGTCCTCGCCGACCCATCTGCGTCGAGCAAAGACAAGATGACAGCGTCGTCAACTAGTACGAGCACGAAGGCTGCGGCCTCGTCCTCGGCCCGGCGGAGCGATTTTTCTGGAGGAAGCGGGAAGAAGATGAAATCCCCACTACACTACAGCACAAGAACCGCGGCTGCTGCTGCGGTAGCTCTATTCCAGGGGCTGCTCGTATCGCAACACATAATCACGGAAGTTAGCGCCGACTGCCTCCCCGGCAGGTACCGGCACATTCTCAAGCACAAATGGGAGACGGAAGTGAAAGTGGTTTCAAATAACGCAGCTGCAGCAGCAGGAACCAACGACGAGGAAGCAGTGCCACCAGCGAGTCCAGCTGCTGGCGTGGATTTAATATTAACCGACGAAAATAACACGACTCCTACCCCTCCACCTGTCGAAGAAACCACTTTCCTCAACACCGAGGACTCGAACCAGGGCCCGAAGTGGGAGCTCCCGCTCTGGCTCCAGCACAATCTTCTGCGGGGCAAGTGGCACTTCAAGCAGGTCAGGTACGATAATGAAGTCGGGAACCAGCACAAATGTCATCTCCCGACCATCGAGAACATCCCCCGAACCAAGGCCGAGTGGCTGAAGCACAGCGAGAACCCGCAGATGTTGTTTGAGAAGTACGGGATTTGCCCGGCGTATAAGTTTTTCAAAACGGTGGAAAATCTCCGCGAATTCTACGACCCAAGGTTTTATGAGGAAGTGACGAAGCAACTCGAACTGGCTGATAATAAAGACCCAAATGACCGGAAGTACAAGGATAAAGACCCGTTGGAACGGTCCGCCGACCAGCGGGCTTTTAATCTGCAGTTTGTTTTCCCGGAGTTGAAGAAGCAATTGTCACCTGGGGATTCTGTGCAAATTTCCCGACGCTCCCATGGGTTGCAGGACCGGCTCATGCAGCGGTTTTCTGCGACGAACGGGAAGGAAACTATCAGCCAAACCGCGACCTTTGAAATCGAGGTGTGGAGTCCAAAGAGCCCGCGGCCGCAGTTGTTTATGCTGGATCCGGTGAAAATGAAAGAGGAAAAGATCGCGATGAGCTATTTCTGCAACGAGAAGTCGGAACTGTCTTTGGTGTTTAAGACCAACGAAGATCAGGAGAAATTGGCCAGTTACAGCGATCCGGTTTTGTTGTACAAGGGAAGTAGTGCTGGTGGTGGGACTACTGGGGCGTTGCCGAGCGGAGCTAGCCCTCGAAACGGCAATTTATCTGGAGACCACGCGGTGATGACTCCGGTTGTGGGGCCCGCAGCCACGCCGGTTCTCGGGCCAATGAGCGGCAGTCCTAGAACGGGTGCAGCAGGGACTGGTGCACTCGCAGCAAATCCTTTCTCTCTTTCCCCCGTCGTTGGACCGGCGGGTGTACAACATCAAAGCACGACGAAAGTTCATCCCGAAGTCGACCAGGATCTGGAGAAAATCATGATGGTTGTCGATCACGACGACGCTGCTCCAGGTGTAGTTCCGTCTCCGACTTCTGTGTATGAAGATGAATCCGGTATGATTTCTGATGAACATCAGATCCCGACCGAGTTTTCCCTCGATTTAATCAAACTCGAGCCCGAAGCTTCCGATGCGGAAGCCGCCTGTGAAGCCTATGGATTGCAAAAGTGTCTGGGTCTGGAAGATTCTAAACTTGTAATGCTGTCACTGGATTCTAAAAAAATTTGTAGTGCATGACCAGCAAGAGGACTCCAGTTCGTGCCACGCAGAGAGGGCATTTCTCATGCGGTAGAGGCATCGCAACGCCCTTTAAAAATATGTGATGCTAGGGCATGCATCACAGACATCATGGGTCATTCAAAATATGCATGATAAACCTGGCAATTTTCCAGAGCCAGACATTTTTCCATTTGATAAAGCCGGGGAATATACCAGTTGGACCGGCGCACACACGGTGATGCTGCCGAAAAATCTGCGGCAAAACGTATCAAATGTAAAAATGTCTGGGTCTGGAAGAATGCATGTTTGTCATGCTTGTCTGGCATGACTCTCAAATCTGTCATGCACGTTACGCAAGAGCTCCATTTTTCTATGAGACAGCAACGCAGTTTGTCATGCAGAATAGGCAACACCTAGAAGCTCAGAAACTTGTGATGCTGAGCCAGCATTTGTGGCCTCATCATGAGACGCCACCCAGCATTACAAGTTTCCAGACCCAGATATTTTTGCATTTGATAAAACGAGAAGGAATCCAATTCACTCGCTCTGGCGGACATCACACGCAGGTTTGACAAAAGAACCACTATGCTCGAGTGGTCCGGAAACCCGCTCGCGGTGCTGGAACTGGAGAACGTGGAAGTCAAGTGCGAGGCGTTCAAATTTGCTGCGGACGGGGTGACGAAGGTTTTCCTAGGTAAAACGCATGAAGATCGCAAAAATAAAGCCGAGGACGTTGACATGCTAGCAGCCAGTTCAACCGCCAGTGCAAATAAAACCACCTCCATCGACGAGGATGCGGCGCGGAGCCGGAAGGTGTTCGCGCAGCACCACAGCCAGAAAACGAATTTTCCCGGATCTTTTGCCTTCGCACCGATGGAAATTGACGAAAAAGGCAACGAGGTGCAGGAAAAGGGTTTTGTGTCGACCGCGACGGAAGAGCTGCATGTCGATAATGACGGCACGACCTTTCCGTTACCTACTTCTCCGAAGATCTACGATGAGCTTGTTGCGACATTCAAACGCACGCCGCGGTTTCAGCTCCCGCCGAACCGTATCAACTGCAAATATGTCTGGGTCTGGAAGGATGCAACTTGTGATGCTATTTTTGGATTCTGAAAAAATTTGTATTGCATGACCAGCAAGAGGAGCCCAGTTCGTGGTACGCGGAGAGGGCATTTCTCATGCGGAATAGGCATCAGGAAGGTTTCTAAAAATCTGTGATGGTAGGACATGCATTACAGGCGTCATAGGTCATGCAAAATATGCATGACGTCTTCCAGACCCAGACATTTTTACATTTGATAAACCGGGAGTCGGCGCAGATTTCCGACAACGTGTATTTCCCCTACGAGAACACGGAGAACGTCATGGCTTTACCCGATGGAACCACCGTCATCCATAACGAGAACGCCGTCGTGACCCAGACCACCGCAAATGTGGATGCCGGAGTCATCCAAATGCGGTTTTCCCGGTATTTGGAAGATCCAGATTTTTTGGAAAGGGAACTGGATCGATTCGAAAAGCAATTTCCGGCGTGGATGAGTGCGGAGCAGTTAGTTGCGGAAGGGTATGTGCAGAAGAAGGACAAGTACAAAATTCTGGTCGCGCGGAGACAGCGAAATTTGCTGTTTGACAAAGCCTATGAACTGCAAAAGTATCGCACTCGTATAAATGCATTACAAATCTCCTCAGCATGAGAAATAAAATTTGTAATGCGTTTTGACCTTAACAACAGGATTTGTAGTGCATGATTGCAATACGAGTGCGATACTTTTGCACAGGATAAAGCCGAACACGCCTACGCGTTAGCGGATATTCTGCCATTGGGAATCGAGGAACGGACGGACAAGATTCCGTATTGGATTTTTTTCTGCTTTTTTAGCCCTCCTTGCTGGGCTTTTATTTTCGCATGGGACTTGCTTTGTGTTAGTGTTTGTCGCCTGTGCATAACAGAATGACAGGTTGTGTGGTCTGTGTCTGTCTAATCCAGCATAAAGAAAGTTTTGTGGTTTAAGTACTTACTCACGTTATCCAGAGTCTTCAACTTAAAAAGAAACCGAACCTATCAGCCTTCTCTCTTGGTCCGGCCTCGGCGAGTGGTTTTTCGACAAATTTGTGCCTACCGACGGCGACCGAAACCAGCGGATGGGTGGCTCCTTAGACCACATCGCGCTTCGCAAACCGAACGAATTACGCCAGTGGTTCAACAAGCGACGGGATGAGGGCACGGCTTTGCACAAACTCGCCGAGGTTTACTACAATTTGCTAAATGACCAGAAGTGGCAGAACCACATTGAATTTCTCTCCAACAAGAATCCGGAGTGGTCTTTGGGGTTTTTGATTTTTGCGAAGGAATTTGTGAAGAACATCTGGCAAGCCGAGCCTTTCGCGACGGAGTTGCGCATGTACTACCGGCCATTGCTGATTTCCGGCACGACAGACATGCTGTTTCAAAGGACCAACCCTCGCACCGGCGAACTGGAATTCATCATGTGCGACTGGAAGCGGATGGCGGTCTATGGATTGCAAATGTGTCTGGGTCTGGAAAGTTCTTGGAACTTGTATTGCTGCTCTTACATTCCTGTGAAATCTCTATTGCATGACCAACAAAAGTCGCAGCCTCTCTCGTCATACAAAAACGCAGCTTTTCATGCGGACTGCGTATGAGAAAGCGTTCTCCATCAAACTTGTCATGCTTTCCCGCATAAGGAAGGGTTCTCTTGATGCGCATTTTAGCATCAGAAATTTCTAGACCCAGACATTTTTGCATTTGATACGGTCCTGGACAACCGACAGTATTCCCCGACGGAACAAGATTTGTCGCAGGAGCAGCTAGAGCTCGCGGAGGATCACGAGTTCGACCGGATTTCTGCGAAATTTCTCGAATCCGCCCCTGACTACGTGAAGAACAAGCGCAACAGCCGGCTGTTTTACCGGTTGGAATTGGTGAAGAAGGCCTTTCAACAGCCCTGGATGATGAATCGCACGTTTAAATACTCTCTGCAGCTACGGAATGCAGAAGTACTGTACTTGTAGTAATCTTCGCGATCCCTCATCACAAATGTGCTTTTTTAATGCCTGACCGTGCATGGCAAATCCAAATGTTACCTTTGCTTCTGAAAAAATTTGTGATGCAATTACTACAAGCGCGGTACTTTTGCCATGCATAACCGCTATTGTTCTACAAGTGGATGGCGGAATTGGTGTACGATATCGAGATCAAGTACACGTGGATCGTTATCCTGCATAAAAACGTCCCCACCTCCCCGGAGTTGTCATGCAACTGTGCAATGACAGGAACATCTGTAATGCGCAGCTCCATGAGAGGTATCGTATTTCCAGATCCAGTCGTGTTTTGGAATTTGTAATGCTGTAAACAGGATGACAAGATGGCTTTTTCGTGTAGCTTCCGTTGCCAACTAGCACTACACTGCATGAGGCAAGCTTGTCATGCGCAACTCCCAAAACTTGGAGATTTGTCTAGCAGATTTCCCGACATCGTGAGTATTGGGATGTGGGGACGTTTTTACAAATGATAATCGTTCTGATCAATCCGGTGGAAAAACTCTCCGAGAAAATTATGACTTGCTCAAACGTTACAATCTCAAACGTTACAATAGAATCTGGAATTTGTGTTGCATGATTAGCATGACAGACTCGCACAGCGTCCCACCTTTTGCAACACAAATTTCGCCACATTCTAGTGAAGATTGAGACTCCGGATCTTATCATGCGCAGTCCTATGAGAGTTGGCTAGATCATGCACTTCTTGCATCACAGACTTCCGGATTCTATTGCAACGCTTGAGATTGTAGCACCTGAGCAGGTTATAAAAATGATCTTCCTCGACCGGAGAATCGGGGTCGAAGTGTACCCGGTGGACGGGTGGACCGACCATTTACATGCGTATGCAGTGCAAAAGTATCGTACTCGTACTAATTGCAGTTTATGCATTACAAATCTAGTTCTTAAACGTAAATCCGCATTACAAATTCAAGTCTGTAAGTAATGCTGAGCCAATTTGTATTGCGATTTATACTAGTACGATACAACTTTTGTACAGGATAATGCGCGACTGCAAGCGATCATCCAAACCCGGCACGAGAGTCTGCTCGCAGCAGGTTACAACTGGGGGAACGTGGTGAAGGATGTTGAGCCACTGTACCCAACCGTGAGTTCCCTGGACGAGTTGCAGACGGAGAAGTTACCCGCTTTGCCGGTCAGGAAGTCGAAGCCGGTGTATTGGCAACATCTTCAGGCAATGATGTTAGGTGGGACCACATCTTCGCAAAGTACTATGGACAACGACTTGGTGAAATTCCACGACTTCAGTCTCCAATTGCAGACCATCAATGCGAGGTTTGGGATCAAGGACATCGCGTTATCCGACGTGTTTCTTCTCGACAGCTCCGATGGGACGATCGTGAAAATTCTCGATCCCGTCAAGTGCCGGGAAATCTTCGCGCAGGGCTGTCTCAGTTTGAAGGTCGGGGATCGCATTGAAGCATTTTGGAGGAGGCCACTGGATAGCAGCAGTGGTTCTAGTTTGAATCGAAGCGGATCCGCCTCTTTTTCCCGGAATCATGGTCGCAGTACTACATCAGGAGCTGCAGGAGCCTCCGCGGCGAGAAGTACAACATCCTCTCCCTCTCACCAGCAAAACCAGTTCCACAAGCACCAAGCCGACGACTTGCAGCAGATCCAGCAGAGAGGCAGGGAACTTGCCTCGGACAACAACAGCAAAACCACTTGGATCGAGACCCATCCGGTGGAGCGGCGGGAATTCGTCCGAAGACCGGTTTTCAACTTGCAAAAAGTCCTGATCGTCCGCGACCGGTTCAAAGTTGCAAGGGACCTGACTTCCGTTTTCGACAAAATCAAAACCGAAAACTTCGACCAGCCGACGGTTGAGAAGATCAAGATGTTCATGCCCGGGTATGATGAGGTCTATCAGAAGGTCCACGGCTTTCCGGTGGGCACGCGCATCTGGAACAAGATCACCGGCTCCGTGGGCGAAATCGTCGCGGTGGAAAGTAGTTCCATCGGGAACGAACTCTTCGCAACAGTCCGGTTCTGCACTGATGTCTGCCGGGAGGTGGAAGTGGCCCAGGCGGTCTTGCAGTTCCCATTGTGGTTTGCGAAACGGGGCTACGCAGTGAACTTTGAGGTCACGTTTGACGAGTTTGTGTATGTCCGGAATGCGTTTGAATTGGCCATCAGTGACATGGACGAAGAAGCGATTTCGGTGTTACAGGAACCGGTGCAAGAGTACAAGCAGCAGGAACAAATTGTACAAGCAGCGAATGGACGCGCGAACAATGGCAACCCGAATAATGGTGGTGTACCAGCTAAGAAATCTAAGCCCGCGACCCCGAAATCCACTACCTCTGCTTCCAACATCCCTCAAACGGACAAGATCCAGGGCCGGATCCCCGTCGGCGCGGTGGGAATCGTGCGGAACGTCGAGCGGAAATTGGTCATGGATAGTGACCACGACGATGGTACTCTGACGGTTGTGTCCGGGAGTACTAACAGTTACCAAATTCTCGACGTGGAATTTCGGTCCCCTCTGCTCGATTTCGCCTACAGCCGCAAGAAAATTTGGATCGGGGAAGACGCGGACGAGCTGATCAACCGGAACGAGTATAAAGTCGTGAAGAAAATCCGGTTGTTTGACAAGCACGGGACCTTCGCTCTCCGCCCGGTGTCGCAAGCCACGCGGTACCAGATTCAGGTGGACGATCCGGTGTGGGGGGAATTAAGCCACTTCAACGCGGAAGCTGCTTCATCTGAGAGAGGAACTGGACCAGGAGCAGCAGTCGCTGGACATCCTTCTGCTCCACCTGGAGCAGGACCGCAAGGGCCGCACGCTGTGACCACACAACCCCCTCTATCGGCTGATGCGATGATGTCAACACCTGTGGTCGTTCCGGCGGCCCGCGCCAAGGAGCCCGCGAAGCCTGCCAACGGGACGATTGCGTGGCGTCGGGTGCCGTTGGAGTACGTGAACGAAGCCCTGGTGCGTTCGCTGTTCGACGAGGAAACAAAACAAGACTTGATCGACGGTTGGGCGAATAACAGTCGACAGCTGAAAGAGGATTTGAAGATCATGCGGGCAGTGAGACAGCGACGATTGAGCAACACAGCAAGGACGAAAGCGGAGAACCGAGCGGATGCGGGGAATTTTTCAGCAGCTGCTGGTAATCGCGGTGGTGGAAATAATAGTAGAAACAACTACCGGGGAAGATCTGTCTCCATCGACCCGTCCTCTGCGACGAGTCCGAGCATGCATCCCTCATCCTCCGCCAGTCCGTCCCGGGGCACAGAGCCGCACTCCCCAGCGGAGAGTGCCACGTCGCACGGCAGTAGTACGGCGAAAAAGCGCCGCGACCCCTCTGGTACGAGGCAAAGAGCTGGTGGGCGTGGTGGACCTGAGGCAGCGTCGTCCTCTGGCGCGCGCAGCCATTCCATCGACTCCATGAGTCCCACAGCAAAAGCACGGACGGAAGCTTACGGAGTGGGCAGTTCTTCTGCCGCGATGAACAGTAAATCTGTTGCATCTCGACCGGTTTCCTCCCCGAAGCAGGGACCGAGTTCTACTACTCCGAAAGCGCCAGGGGCTGCTGGTGCAACATCATCTCCCGCCGGGTCAACAGCAGCTTCAAAAAGAGTGGCGTCACCCGCCCCGAAGGCTATGGCGAAACGCGCGGATCATGGGAGTGCTGGCGCGAGGGGGAGAAGCCGGAGTCGGTCGTTCAGCGTGGAGCCGGAGCGGGAGGGTGCAGAAGTTGTTATGCAGCCTCCATCGATGACCTCCGCAGCTACTTCGACAACCTACACTGGGACCCCGTTTCCACACACTGGAGGAACAAGTGCAGAAGTTCCATCTGAACAAGGGCCAAACCAAAGACTCTCGCACCCTACAAGAATTTCTTCCCCACGCGTGGTAGGACCTCATTCTTCAGGCCCTGGTGCCATCCCGGCCGGGTTCGCCCTCTCTCCCTTGTTGCAAAACGCCCTGGACACCTTTCCGAAGGAATCAATGGAACAAACGAAACCGCCGCATATCACATGTAAAAATGTCTGGGTCTGGAAGAGTCATGCTGTTTCTGCATGACACGGAAGGTCTGGCATGGAAGCTCTAGCATCACAGGTTTCGAGAAGCAAGCTTCCGCAATGCCGAACCCGCATGACAAATCCCCCATTTTCTTTGTGACAGAAAGTGGGCAGCTTTTGCTACCCATGCATGAGAGATTTTTGTGTGTTCTCAAATGCGCATCACAAGTTCGGATCCTTCCAGACCCAGACATTTTTGCACTTGATACCGCAGCCGAAGAAGCGACTGACGGCAAAAACGCCGGACCCGGAGTTCATTATGACCATCGAGGACCACGGACCAATGGGAGGTGGGTCAACGGCGGTGGATCGTGCGTTGCGTGTTGACAAGTCGGAGGACGAGTTGCTGTTCCTCACCCCCGTGCCGGAGTCGTCGGAAGCTGGGAAGATGGCGATGCCGGCGACTGTGCCAGAAACGCTTACTTCATCTTCGGACACACCCCCGGCGCAACAGCGCGAGCACCGCATTGCGTCGAACGTGTTTCAGCAACAGGAACAATTTTCAGCCGGATCCACAGCTGCCTCCTCCAGCACCTGTCCGACGATCGCGGACCAAATCAGGTTCCAAAAAGCGAAGGAAAAAGCGGAGGAGTTGTTGCGCCGCGTGCCCGTGCAGCCAGTGATGTGGCAACAGGAGAACGCGAAATCGCCACTGGAAATGGTTCTCTACCCCGCCGAGGAAGATAGCGCTAATTATGCGCAAGATAGAACGAAGATGAAAACCAGCAAAGAGGCCCCCGAAGCAGACGGACAAGTAGAACTGGCTCGGGCCGCCGTGCCCTTTTCAGTAGAGGACATCGCAGAGGACCTGGACGAGCAGACGAGAACATCAATTGCCGGCGAAGCAGCTGCTGTGCCTAGAACAATGACCTCTAGTACAACAACTACAGAGGAACGGACGAAGCGGCGTAGGTTTTCCTCCGGTGAGATTTCCACCGCGTCCACCTCTACCCGAGCGTCCACCTCCACCCGAGACCCTGCCGGCCGATCTCGATCCGAAGACCCCAATCGCGATGACCACTACGCGCGAAGCCGGTCGGACAGTGAGGATTACGACCGCCCGGCATTGGAGTTGCAGCCGAGCAGTCTGCAGTTAGAAAAGGAACAGCGGGAGATCGACATGATTCTGCGACCGGAATTCGAGCGGGTAATGCACATCGAAATGCCGAAAGATCTTGATGCACCTGTTACCGCCGGAGGAGCAGCGTCGTCCTCGAGTGGGCAGGAAATGAGCACAACTGCAGGAGCACGAGCAGGAGCATCAACAGGAAGCAGCAGTGCCAGTTCGTCTCTTGCTGCAAGAGGGAGTGGAACAACAGCAGCAGGTGCTGCTCAGGCGCTGACCTACGCGAGCCCCCCGTCGCCGAGTGTTGGAGGTAAAATGCTGTGATTGATTTTTGTTGTTGTATAAGCGGTTCGATTCTTTTTCTTTCTCATTGCAGCGAGCTACTTGTTATCGCAATTTCAAGAATTATATATTATTATTTCGCATTTCCACATCTCAGGTCGCCACCTCCAACCTCCGATGCTGTCGTCTGCTGTCGAAGAAGATTTCCAGCCTGTCTCCCTTCCGCAGTTAATCGAGCAGAGCTCCCAGGAGTGCGACTCGGTCCCCGCGCTATGCTGGATGAAGTCGCAGAATTGATGACCCGAAGGAAAAAGTGCACGAAAATTATGCACGTAGGCGACGCAAGAAGAAGAACGGGATTGATTGATGCTGTTTGATTTTTTTACGTCTTCTGCTCATCCGTTTTCGTTTTCCACAAGGCGGAGTACACACTTGTAATGAGTAGCATTGTCACCCGTTACCAGAAAATGGATTAGAGCAGTAAAGCTATATTTGTTTTACTATCTGACTGGATTGAGTTTTTTTATGGAACTTTGAATAAATAATGATTGATGACTTGTTATAGTTCTGTTGGTATCGATTTCGACGTGTGCGGTCGTGCAGGAGAAATTGAAATTGTAGTATATGACAACAACATCTAATGAGCGATGGATTTGGAGACAATAGAAAAATTGCGCGTAAAAATTTGGACGTCCTTCCACTCCTGCGCGACCGCGATTCTTGCTTTCACCACTTTTCATTGCAACTGGAAACAACTACCGCGTTGGTACATGTCGTAGGTTTTTGGAAGTTTTGACGATTTTGGGAATAAAGATCAGAAAAAGAAATATTGTAGCGGTCTTTTCCCGATCGTGGCAATCTGTGCGTTAGAGTTGTCCTAGCTTGCAACAACAAACGCGCTTGTCATAGATGAAGCTGAAGAAGTGTCAAAAAGGCATCAAGTCTGTGTTCAAATTTGCTTTCCGGCTTGACGCAGCTATTGGATTGCCTTGGTCCTCTGAGCGTAGTTCGTGCTGCATTTTTACCGCAGGGGCTCTGTCTGTTAAGCGGCTGCAATCCGCGCGCGGGGGGGACCACGGCGCGCGCGACGCGTCCCGGCTCTGGCGCCATTTGGTTGAAACAAAAGCCGGCCATGGGGCGCGTGCCCAAGCGGGCGCGGGTTAGGGTGTGAGCGGTCGCAGTGTGCGCGTAGTTTTTGGCGGCACAGAAGGCACGCAAACCCAGGGCAAAACAGATGGCCGCAGCTGGCACGTACCACGAGAAGGCGGCGGCCTGGGCCGAAGTGGAGCAGCTCAGCAGCCGGGTGCCGTCCGATGACGAGGGGCCGAAGGCGCACAACCACACGCACGCAGTCGCTTGGCCGTGATGGGAGACGGAAGAAGGAGCAAGCTCGGGCGCCGGGGGAGGGGAAGGAAGCGAGGAACCCGAGAAGGGCCCGGGCCCGCCCTCCTGCGACCGTATTGCGTTGGCGCTCGCGGTTGGGGCCTGCCAGGTCGGCCCGGGGCCCTTGCTGGCAGGCGCCTGCCGCGCATGGTAGTGGCGCCGCGGCCCACGAGCCCCCGGAAGCGGGAGGCCCGGCCCGCTTGGATAGGATGGCGTGGGGCGCCCGCCCGCGTTCGTAGGGCCTTCCTTCAGTCTATGCAGTGCTTGGCCCCCGTGCCGGGCCGCGGGCGGTCGCGCCCCGCCCCCTCCCTGTGCATGGCGGCGCGCGCAGCCCCGAGCTTTTTCGAGCTCTAACGGCGCGAACGCCGCCGCCGCCGGGGCCGAGCGGCGTGTTTCTGTGGGGAAGGCGGAAGCACAGCACGCGGGTGCGCTACCTATTCGCCCAGTCCTGCACAGGACTGGGCTTCATACACCGCGCGACGAAAATGAACAGGATTTGCGACGAGGGCCGCGCCCATTCCTGTGGTAGAGTGGTGGCCGCGCGCCGCGGCCCGGGAAATCGCTCCCGCCCCCGTTTTGCAGGCCGGCAGGCGTGGCGCAGGGCCCGCAGGCCCGCCTCCCTCTGCCTTGCTTCCGGGCGCTGGCTACTCCTACCGGCGAGGGGGAGCGCAGACAGGCCGGCGGATGGCGCCGCTTTGATTGTGTTCGCGCCGCCGCCTCCATAGGCGTGCGAAAGAAACAAAGAAAGTCGGCAAGGGAAGCAAAGTCGGCGCCGGGCCCGGGTTTTTATCTTTATCCCCATGCGCGCGCCCCTCAGTTTGGGCCGGGAAAGCAGCTGCTCGAGGCGCTGCTGCATGCAGGGTAGCGGCCGTTTTCCCTTTTTTCGGTCGGGCGGTTCCTCCGGAAATGTCGCGCTTTCCCGGAGTGGGCGCACTTTGTGCGGCAACTGGGTGGCCGTGTTGCGCTGGCTTTGATGGAAGACCAGCAGATAGGCCGGCTCATCACCGATTTCATTCTTTAAGAAATGTTGTCGAGGCGCCAACCCCCCGATCGCCTTTTATTTATGATTTTGGTTTTGTATTTGTTCCGGCGATCGACATCGAGCGATGTCCTGTGTGGTTGACGAGTGTTGTGAGGTATGTGCAGTGGCTAACTACTTCGGCGCTTCTGCGCGGTGAGCTTGCTCTGGTTGGCCGCGCCGCTTCGGTTGCGTGCCATCATATTGAGATGGACACTACCGTTGTAGTTGTTGACTCGTGTGCGGTTGTGTGAAGATTGTCTTCAACGAAAGAGCGGGAGTGCACCCAATGTGACATCTTCTTCTTCAGGCACAGTATGACTGGTGGATTTTTTTACGCCGAAGAATATGGCGTCAGCAAAAAGTACGCAGCTGATTGGCGCTCTTTGCAACGCCGATATACTTAAGTACTGCTGCTAGTTGCGCCGGATGGCGACCTTGTCCCGGAACATCATGCTCTCCATATCAATACCAGGCCAACCAAATTATATCCTTCCGGAGCTCATCACGACTGCATTGGCAGCAACATCCGGGCGGGCGGAGATGTTTCTGACGATCCCGACGCGGGGGATATGCGACCCCTTGCAGGACAACAGAAGGGGGGTCACATCCTGATCTCAAGGTTTCGGGCACGACCCAAGAAGATGACCACAGAAGATGATTCCGGAGGACGGTTTTGTTGATGAAGCGCTCGTGCACATTATCCTATGTAAAACCGTCCCCACCCAAAAGTTGTAATGCAAATCTGCATGCTGAAAATGTTTCTCATGCGGAGCCCCATGGTAGCCATTTTCAAATGCTATCTGGTAGTTTGTCATGCTGGAATCACGATAAGGTAGCCAATTTGTCATGCCGCTGCACCAGCTAAACAGGATTACACTACGAACCCGATAAACTTGTCATGCTTGACAGCCAAAACTTGGGGATTTGTGTTGCAGATTTGACAGCTTGACTATACAGAGGGTGGGGACGTTTTTACTCAGGATACACATCGCTTGCGAGCAGAACATTTTCCCCACTACCTCGCCGAAAACCAAGAGGAAACGCTTCCTGAAGGTGCATGAAACCTTCATGCAAATCTATGAAGAGGCAGAAGGTACAGGGCCTGGAAGAAGTGCTTCTGCAGTGTCTTTTTGCTTGACAGTAGTTCGTTGCGTCTTCAAGTACAGAAGAAGTGCCAATGATGAATGTCAACGTTGTACATGTTGAGGACAACTAATACAGTCGCTTTTGTCGTGTGCATGTTGAGTATACTAGTCTACTCAACATCTTGTCTCATGCTTTTCAAGCGCTCATCATCTAAATCTTTCTCACAACTACAGGTGACAGCAGCCAAATCAACAGCGTGCGAGAGACGTACAGTGCGAGTTTATCGAAAGGGAAATCCGTCGGGGGCACACCGCTTCTTCACACCGAAAATTTATTGCTTCGCTATCATTAGTATCTATGCAGAATCAGTAGCACTAGCTGTGCATGATGCCGCCTATGAGGGACTGCTGGGAGGTATGTTTTGACACGCCAAAAGAATGTACTGTGAGTCCAGAGGTGATAAGGAAGTAGCAGGAGGTAAATTAATAAATCGTATATTCTCGCGGTCGCGGTCGTGGTGCGGATGTAGTCGCTCGCATTTTTCCCTTGCAGACTCTGCACTGCAAAAGCGGTGGGAGCAGCTCCAGGTTATTACCAAGACGGTGCCGGACCAGTTTGTCTGTATTGGTACGATCCCAGTTGTGACATCGGCGACCACGGCCTCCGTCGCTGCGGCAGGCTCTTCCTCGACTTCTGCCTCTTCCCCGGTGGTCAGCAGCCCCATCATTCGCGTCACCACGCCGCCGTTCTACAGCACGAGGAATAACAATTTGAACCCGCAAAATAGTTTTGGCACGACCTCTACCTCGACCTCCAGTCGGGCGCCGAGCGCAGCGGCTGCGTCCTCGTCCACCTCGCCCCGGAAAAATTCACCACCGGAACAAGGGGGCCGTGTGCGTTTGGGAGCAGGCTCACCAACTTTTCCAAACGCGGCAGTTGCACCAGCAGGAGGACCAGCAGCCGCAAATATGACCGCGAAGGAGCAGTACAGCTCGACGGGAGCGGCCCGCGCCAGGGTGGAGCGCGAAGTGCACGCGGTGGGATGCAGTGGGGGAGGTGGGAGCAGTGGCAGCAGCAGCTCTTCAAGTTCTACTACTACAGCTGGTGGCAAGAAATACAACACCAATAATTATCCACCGAACAAACCACCACCGCTCGTTGCCAACAAGGGTGCGGAACCCATGACGCAGGCGGAATTCCTGGACGCGAATGCGTACGATATAACTCCTGCTCTTGGTTCAGCTAGGTCCTCAAATCCCTCATCTTCGAAAGAGATAGTACACAGATGTACTAGCCCGTCATCCAGCACGACAACGAGAGGACTCGACACATCATCATCATCGGCGGCAAGTTCTTCCAGCAGCAGCTCTAGCTCATCCAGTGCTCCTGCGGGCGAGGGAGAAAATATTACAGAGTCAAAAAAAGGAACATCATCTTCTTCATCTTCACCCGGAGGTCGTCGGGAAGATGCGTCAACCATCCCAAGGACACCGCCCACGCCCCCGTTGCCTGAAACAAATATTAAACTATCGCACCTTGCAAATAATAATATTAACCGAGATCATCGAGACAAGGCACTGCACCAGCAGTCGGCGCAACAGCTAGGGACCACCACGACGAGCAAGATCTTGACCAGAAACAAAACGCGGCGACGCAGAAAATCTTCCGCGGCAAGAACACAGCTGCTGCAGCAAAACCCGGGAAGTCATCTGAGCTCCCTGAACAGTTCCGCAGTGCTGGAAAGCTCGGACGAGGACGGAGAGATAAAGCCGCTGGACATGTCCGAAGTGAAAGCTAGCATCGGAAGGGCCATGAGACACAAACAGGGCATAGTTGGGGGTTCCTACGGGACAAGCAGTTCGCCCGAGGACGGGGATGATGTACTGACTTTTGAACGTCTGTTTCATCCGTGTTGCAAAATAGAACGCACGTATTCGTATGAATGTAGGTTTTGGCTTTGATGTTGTAACTAATGGACTGCACGAGGGGAAATTGGCATGATGGAATTTGGATTTTTTGCATGTAAAAAAAAAACAAACTCTAAAAAACTCAGGGCGACGGGGGCGTCTACAACCACCCTCACGGTGGGGGCCACAGTTCCGTCGGGAGTGAGGACGCGGGATACACGAGAGAGGCTGAATCTCCGGACCATTTCAACAGTAGCTCCTCGTCGTCCGCTTCCGGCTCAGAAAGTGTCGACCAAAGAAAACCCGTCTTGTTCCGCCCGCTGGCGCGAGGAGGGAACAAGTCGCCGGCTTCTGCAGCTGGTGGACCTCCACTTCCAGGGGGGATGGGCACAGCGAACAAACGGGTGAACAATAAACAGGTGAAGCCGTGTAGAAATGTTGTCCTCTCGACGTAACCTAAATTGTGTGGGTACTCATGAATGAGGTATGATCTTCAAATAAATGATATGCGTTCATCTACTTGTGACGCGAGCGCGGAAAAGGAGATGCACATATCTTGCATGAAGAACAAGAAGTGCACAGTATGATTACACAGACCTTCTCGCCTACCCCTTCTCTCTCTGCACCCAAAACAGGCCGCTACGACGCTCCGCGAGGTTTCGGTCACGACCGTGAAGCCGCAGAAGAGAGCGTCTCTTTCCACCTCAGACGCAACAGACACCAGCTACGGTGTCTACCCGGGGCCCTCCCCCGGCGTCGCGTCTTTCCGGACCGGTTGCAATTCGGGTCATTATCTCGGTGGTAAATCTTCCCAAGTGTCTGTGTCATCCTATGGCGTTCTCAAACGTTACATTCTCAAGTGTTACATGAATTTGTGATGCAAGAATGGCAAAAGTCAAAGCAGGGAGGTTGCACCTGTAGCATTACAAACTCCGCACAGATTTAGGCGCTGTTTAGCCTTTCCAGATTTGTCATGCGAAGTAGCTTCACCCTGTGGATGTTGATCCTCATTTTGCATGACAAATTCATGTAACAGCTGAGAATGTAACAGTTGAGAACGCCATACATCCCGTCGCAGCCAGGCCAGCTCGAGCTTTGTGACTGTGGCATCGCCTGGTGGTGAGAATTCCTCCTCTCCGCTGCTGAGAACGGCAGGACCTGGTCTTGATGGGAGCAGAAGTAGCGGTGTACTTTCAGAAGTCACGAGGAGTGAAAATGATAACGGTGGGACCACAACGACAAAGAACGACGCCGCACTTCTAAGGCCCTCTGGTACTTCTAGTGCCTGCTCGTCAAAGCCGCCGAGACTAACTGGCCGCGAGTCGATCGAGAGCATGAGCTCTTGCCTCTCGAGGGACGAAGAGATGGACGGGAACGACGAAGACGGGGTGGAGCGGGCTAGTGTAGTAGACATCACCGGAAGTGCTAAAGCTAATGCAGCGGCGGACGATCATGTTGAACTCGACGCCGACCACTCTGGGGTCACTGGATGTAAAAATACACCAACTACCTCAGGCCCTGGCGGTAATACAACTACATCGTTGCAGGTGCAGCAGAGCCCAGCCGCCGGTAGTTCAATATCATCTTCGGCTAGTACTAGAAGTGCACAACTTCCAGGTCGCCCGCCCACGCTGCCAACGAAGAAGAACTCCTCAGCGGCAACAAAATCCGCTCCCTCTGCAAAACTCAGGACGTCAGAGTCTGCAACTTCAGGCACGCAAGATGATGAACATCAAGTCTCTCCTATTTTATCCGGAGGAGGTTGCACTAGTAGTGCGAGCAATTCTACCTGTTCCGTTCCGTCCCCTACAGGAGCCACTGCTTCGAAGCAGCACCAGCAGCAGTTTCGAAAACAAAACGTCCCGACTTTCACTGCACCTGCAGCCGGCGCACGACCCGCCGCGAGCTTGACGAGCTCGCTGCTTTCTCATGCCGCAAGCAGCAGTGCAAGTATGAGCGCCGGGACCACAGCCGCTGGAAATAAAATAGATTTGGTAAATACGCAGCCGGTAATGTTTCCAGGAACAACAGCCGGTAATAGTAAATTATCCGGTGCAACGTCTACAGCATCGAGGGGTGCAGCTAGTGGTCACAGCTCCTCCGGGTCGCAGAGCTATTCTTCCGGTAGGTATGCAAAAAAAACCAAATAAAGTTTCGTACTCGTTGTATGTATTCTTGCAGTACAACAGCATGACAGATCCGGTTATAATTCTTGCCTAGTTCAGCATTTTTACACGTTCTGTTTTTCTTTGTGGAAAAAGTTGCTGCTAATGCCGCTATTTCTACTCAATAGTACGAAAGCGAATACTTTTGCAATGCATGATAGGGAAGACGTGGTGATGCGCGGGAACAACAGCAATCACGGAGCCGGAGGTGGCGGTGTAAACTCTTCCTTTTCCTCTAGGTTTTCATCTGATGGTGCTCCTCGGGGAGGTGGAACAAAAAGCAACACCAGCAAAGCTTCTTCTTCGTTCAAGAACCGACGGGCGAATTTGCTCGATTCGTTAAACACAAGTGATGAGGATGATGACGATGATAGTCACCCTGCTTTCTCGAGTTCCAATGAGGGCGGGGGCAACTCAAGCACAACGTCGGGCGCAGCGATGGTCGTTGGTGGCTCCTCTGGTGCGACGTCCTCGACGGCCCACCAACAACATCCTTTCGCGTGGGTCAAGACAGCAGGTTTGACAGGTGGCTGCAACCATTTGGCTGGAGCTGTGCCGAGCTCCAAACCGGGCGGGACGAGCAAGAGTCACCAAGTTCATCCTGGAACTAGTGGAAGCTTGAGCAGCAGTGGGCGGGCTGTGAACTACAGCAATTTTAATCACGCAGTAATGTCGACCGGGACCACGCCGGCCGACAGACTGCACGCGATGCAGAGCCGGCAGAGCCAGACGCACGCCGTGAAGGTGATTTTGGAGAAGAAAAGCTATCAGGAACAGCTGCTCCGATTAAAGCACAACGTGGACAAGGTTTCGAACGAAGACGACTGGAACGACTTAACCGAGGTAGAGCGGGACTTCTCGACGAAGCTCGGCTACCAGTTTCTAAGCGTCACCGGGGGAGCTGCTAGTGCTACAACCGCAGGAGCAGGAGCTACTGCAGCACCCTCCGGAGGAGCCCCCGCCGGTCCTCAAAGTGGTCAGCAGGGCAACAAGAATCCGATAGGCAAAGCCGTTTTCCACTTGCTCAGTGTGCTGATAACGCAGAGTATCCACAGTAAAGTTCCCGTACACGTACAAATGCAGTCTCTGCATGACAAAACTTGCCTTCAATCCTAGTCCAGCATGACAAGTTGGACTCTGCAAGGTTGCGAAATTTGTCATGCATTTTGTACATGTGCAGGAAATTTACATTGCATACAGAGTGACATGTACGCTCGGAATGTGGACCAGGACTGGAATCCGGACCGCTTCAACGTTATGGTAGTGTCAGGATGGAAATCGACAAAGTTGAAATGATTTGTAATGCATAAAATGCATGACCAGGCGTACGTGTGTTGCAGAGCAGGCAAGTGAGCCCGATTGTAATCCTGTTTGGGGTTAGAGCTCGAGCTGCTAAAGTAGCATGAGAAAACTAGTCTTCTTTGCCTAAACAGCATGACAAACTGGATTTAGACGGAGCCGAGAGCTGTCATGCACCGCTTAGAAATTGGGCTTCGAACTGGCATCGATTTCATGCATTACAAGTTATTTGTGTAGTGGTTTCGGTCAGTTTAGCATTACAAGTTATTTCAACTTTGGCGATTTCAATCCTGACGCTTCCATAAACGTGCACCGGGCATGCATGAAAGCGCGAATCACGTACTATGACGAGATTATTCGCAACTACTTAAATGGAGGTAGTGCAGCTGGGTGATAATGATATCGATAAATATGTCATCAATATGGAACCGAAAAATTCGAAATTCTTAACATCTCTCTATGTCTATGTTGCTTCATCCACTTTCATTCTTTCAACTTATTGTGCACAAAAATTTGCTATGCTTGTCGCGTGATGTGTAGCCCCCACATTTTGGTGTTGGTCCTTCTCTCTACTGTACTCTTGAATAAAAAAATGGCGAGCATGTTTTCATTTGCACTTAAACTTGTCGCTGCTCATAGTCGCACAGTCACGGCACTTGATATAGTTGTGGAGCGCACGAATATGTATTCCAATTTCCACCTAGTAGAACTAGTTTTTTAGACGGTAATATAATATTTTTCGGTTTAGGTTTAGGTAGGCCGCCACCGCCGCCGGCACGGGATGGCTGTCGTCGCGACCGTCTCACCTCCGATCTACGCCTTCTCCTGCCGCACAAGTTCGATCCGGAAAGGGTTTAGTTTAGGTTTCAGGGTTTAGGATATCCACTTTTAGACGGTAATATAATATCGCGATATTTTATAGTTGGCGCGGAGCATTTGATATATTGGTATTGATTTTTCGGGTGCGGACTCGATCTCCGAGCACGCATAGAGCGAGAGCCACTTACGAGTCGTGTATCGTTTTTGAATTTTGGTAAACTATGTCGTACAGCAGCCGAAGGTTTTTTTGAAAAGGCGGACAGTTTATTTTCTTTTATCATGCAGCTGCTGGTGCTGCTGCACCTTTAGCTTTACCACCACTTAGTCCTCAGGTATAACGTCGTCTTTGCGAGTTCGTTAGTCGAAGATGTCTTCTTGCAAAGCGGTTGCTCTCTGTCTATTGTCAACTAATTTCTTTTGTCATGATTGTACGCGGCAAGAACATCAACGGGCACAAAGGGAGTCATCGTGGAACTTGGCTTCGTCTCTTATCAACAGCAGCAAAAGAACAAGAAGAAGACTTGGGAGCAGGAGACCCCCACTAAAAGCCATATAGTCAGTAAAAAAGGGGCGTGAAGTAGATCCGCTTCCGTGTGGGTCTCTTCCGTTTGCGAGCACCCACCGTAGTGCTGCCTTCGTCATGATGATTGAGAGATCGTATGTTGATCAAAGGTTCCCGTTCCATGATTTTTTGAGAGATCGTATGATCATGATTTTTTGAGAGATCGTACCGAACAAGATGATTAAAGGTACTTCTACGTAGAGGTTCTACAACTTAAACTCTTGTCGATTTGCGAAGTTGTTTTCTTCTACCCGCGCTTAGAAATTATAGTGCGGATAGAAGATGAAAAATAGTGCCGTGAGTAGCATTGGATCATGATGAAAAACAAAAACGGAAGAAAGATCAAATTTGAGAGAGCGAAATGGTCTTCGGTCGTAACGAAATCTTTAACGATGGAATCTTGTATGCAGTACTTACGTACTCTACAACCTAAATTGCGGCTCACTAAGATTAAGGAAAAAATCGTTCCACTACTGACTCGGGATGTGGTCTTCTCACTGCCTGCGAATATGTCATGTCAGTGTGTGTGTGTGTGTGTGTGTGTGTGTGTGTGTGTGTGTGTGTGTGTGTCTTTGCTGCATCAAGACTCAGATTCGGTCTGGTAACTCGAGCAAGAAAATTATGCTCATTGGTTGTCGGAAAAAAAAATTTGAAAATGTTATAGATATGAGAACCATGGCTCCTATGAGGAATGTGGGTCGAAATCTGTATATTAGCTTCTCGAAGATGTCGTGGGAACGAGGTCGGTACTTTGCAAAATGAATAATATTCATGGCTGGGCTGTGTCGTGTGTGCTTATGCTGTCATCCACCTATCTCATCCGCAGTTACACAGTGAATTGTGGAAGCTCCCCTCTACTAGCGAAAGCCGTAGCTTACCAATCTTCGCAGTTCGCCCCAGCTACAGTGATCTACCTAAGCTTATATTTCCGGATTTCGCATTCGCATTGCAATATATGTCTTCGCGCTTGCGCCGGGTTTTCTATCTTCTGAGTCGTGGTATTTTTTAAAGGAGGTTTATATCTTGATTTGCCCTAGTTAGAAGCCTTAGTCTTGATACAAAATTAACTTTTGACCCGTCCTCTCACCGGACTATTATTCTATAATTCCTTCCGGTATATCTATATTCGAATTCTCGAAGTAGTACGAAGTTTTTGGCGAATTGTAAAAAAATCAACATGGCACAACTACAAGTGAATACTGCGTCACGCTCCAGAACTGTTGCCCTATCCATTTTCCCTTTAAAAATGTTGTGGGCCACAATCTTCTTGCAAATGCAAGAATGGTCGCGTAGTTTACACTCTAGGACGGATCCTCTTGTAGGCTTTTTTACAACACCGCATGGTTTTATGCCTCCTGGAGGTGTGAGTGCTGCGCGTCGCGGGAGGGGGAGCAGGAGGAGCAGAAAAAGAAAAAATAAAGACGAAAAGAAGCGTGGCGAAGGCGAAGCAGGCGCGCGAGGGAAACGACAGTGGGTCCCGGTCGAGACAAGAAGACTGATGGAGGACATTGAGCTTCAAGCGCTAAGAAGCTGGTATGTTAAAACAGTTTTAATACCTGCGGAAGGGGACGATCTTCAAGGTCAACAACTACACCGCCAGCAACATCAGCCTGGTGTTGTTGAGGAGAGCATCAAGGAGTTTGAGACGCGCGCGTTTTTGGTCTACAAGCGCATGATGCCGGCCGCGGTCCTAGTGAGGAAGGGGAACCTCGTCTGGCCGGAGTTAATGAAATCCCCCCGCTCGGACAAGATCGACTTCGACATCGAAGGATCCTACTGCCCCCCAAAAGAAATCAAAGCCATGTTAGCAGACGTTAAACGCACGATGTGGCATGAGGAATTCGCGAAAGAACAAGACTTCCGGCGTTTTTTTGTCGCCCCCCGTAATCCTGCTGAGGAGATGAAATTGAATTTGAAACAAGTGTACCAGGACTTGGTCAAGGTCGTCTTGCTGTCCGCGTGCTCCGAATGGTATTATCGGCAGGTTTATGCTGAGCAAGACACTACAGGTGAAGTAGAACACGCGGCGGTCGCACACGACCAGCAGGTCTTTGAATTCTATTCGCAAGCGGACGTCTACCTGGCAGAAACGGTCCTTTGGGATGCATTGCTGGCTGGAGTTCGACGCACCCCCGTGCTGCAAGGAGTAAGAACACAGGAGGACCTCCAGCAAGACGCTCTGGTGATGCTACTTGTGGGCAGCCTCGAGGCAGTAGAGAAATACCTCGCATGGGCGTTGGGTAGAAATCACGACAGCGGCGTCGACGGGCACAGGCACTGGGCTGCTTCTGCTCCTGGTCCTGCTCCACTTCTGCCGCCGCTGGTCGTGAAACACGAGGGTGAGAAGGTACTTCGAAGGGAACTAGAAGCAAGGGGTGAAAAGTTGATCAATGAAAAATGGCGGACGGTGCTGTCGCGAAAACTGCCGAGAGAGTATCTCGAGGAGATGGGGAAACTTTTTCAAGAAGCCTTCGACGAGTACGACAGCACTATCGATCACTCCGATGCTGCTTTGGAAACGTTTTGGGAAGTTCAATGGCGCGGGTTTGTGCAATCGCAGGTCTTTAGCTTCGTGGATCCCAAGAAGCTCATTGGATCCGGGCTTCTCAACAAGATTCTGCAGCACGTGCAGAAAACCCAGAACCCAGTGTTGGTGTCCGTTGCCCTGGCACTGAGCTTGGCTCCCCATGTGCAGCTGGACAGGACGCCACCTGGTTTCGATGTATCTGATCCACCACCTACAATGGCCATTTATAACTGGAACAGAATGCCGACGCGAGCCAGCTTTGCGCATATGACCGAAAGGAAATTGAAAACGGAAGTCGTTCCCGCTTTGGAAGGGTATGTTTCCCGCTTTCTCACAGGTGTTGAAAATCATGGCATCCATGCGCGGCCGGAGCACGGCGCTAGCAGTGCAGTGCAAAAGTTTGTGAAGAGGATCCTGGAGAAGGTGGACAGGATGATGAAGAAAGACGAGCTCCGAGCCGAGTTGTTTGAGGCTTTTAAGGCTGGTGGTAATGGTGCTCCGCGCGAGTGGTTAGCACGAGCTGATTTGTTGCGGTTCGCGTTGTAGTTCTCAAAGCTATAAAATCCACGCGCAGCATCGGCCTGCAGCACCTCTATCCCAGTGCGCAATTTTGTGCAGAGCCTGCAAGCGGGAGAACGATCACGCAGACGCACTAAAGCAATGCGCACTTCTACAGAGCCCCCCTTTCATGATATGTTTGTATGAGCTTTATTAAGTAATTTATGCGAACGAAAAGACAGCAGGCAGAATTATTTCTCATGCGGCGAAGCTCTTACACCGCATTATGCTGTTTTGTGTGCACGGGAGTCACAGTGGCGTTGGCGTACGAAAGAAACAGCCGCAGCTCCCAACAAGCCACGAGGGCATCGCGAAATTTTATCTGACAGTTTTATATCAAATGCAAAAATGTCTGGGTCAGGAAGATTGCGAGATTTGTCATGCACATTTTGCATGACTCCTGATGTCTGTGATGCATGCCCTAGGATCAGAAATTTTTTGAGGGCTTTCTGATGCGTATCCTGAATGACAAATGCCCTCTCCGTGTAGCACAAAATCGAATCCTCTAGCTAGTCATGCAACACAGATTCTCTTAGAATCCGAAGACAGCATCAGAAGTTGCATCCTTCCAGACCCAGACATTTTTACAATCCATATTTTAAACGAACTCGAGCTCCGAGCTGTAGCTTGAAACTCCGAGCTGGCAACTTGAAACTCCGAGATGCAGCTTGAAACGTAAATGATGATGATGATGATGATGACAACGTACCTCTACCTGGTAGGCACGCAACAGCATCTGCTAGAGGGCAAGATGCGTGATGTGCGGCGCGTTGAGCTCGCAGCTGAGGCTGCTGCACGTCTAAAGACCGTGGCATAATTTATCAAAATGACGCTAGCAGCTTGAACCGCATTGATGCAGCCATCAGGAACAGGGAATTGAGATTGCCGGAGCTCACACAGACACCGGCCCCCCTAGGGGACGCATAGGCCCCTCCTGGCTCCGATGTTCACCTGTTGAGATGATTTTGCTTTCTTGTTTCACTTTGATCAGGTCGAAGTTAGTAGGTGCGAAAATGAAGTAAGAACTGTGAACAGAATTCGGGACACGGGCACTACGTTCGCTTGTCAAATCATGAGATATTAAAATGAATGAGTATACCAGAAATCTTCAACAACATACGAGGGCGAGGCTAGCCACTTTCGAAGGCCCGAGGAACTAAACTAGAGAAGTAATATAAAAAAAGATCATGCTTCGTTCGTCTCTTCCTCGTTTCATTCTGCGTAAATTTGAGTCCCATTTGCCGACCGTCGCGGAGTCAGCGTTTGTGGCGCCGTCGGCTGACGTGATCGGGAACGTGAAGCTTGGCGAAAATTCCTCGGTCTGGTACAATTGCGTGCTTCGCGGCGACGTGAACTTCATCGAAATTGGGAAAAATTCTAACGTGCAAGATGGCACCGTGATCCACGTGCGGTCGGATTCCCTGGGTGGGAACAAGCCAAATCCCACGATCATTGGCGACAACGTGACCATCGGCCACAGTTGCCTTATCCACGCGTGCACGCTGGAAAGCAACAGTTTATCCAGGAAAAAAAGATTGTAGGTGTAACTTTCTTGGAGGATTAGCATGACAAATATCTCTCACATGACACCAAAAACCTGTCATGCGCAGATAGTACGGGAAAACGCCGCTGAATGGACCCTACAATGCAGGCACAGCATGACAGGCTCAATCAGTTTGCATGTTCCGCATCACAAATTTACACTAACAACCTTTTTTTTCTTCAATACAGCTTTGTCGGAATGCAGTCCTGTGTGATGGATTTTGCGCGCATCGAGTCCAACGGGTACCTCGGCGCGGGGTCCTTACTCCTCAGCGGCAAAGTGATACCAGCGAATGAACTATCCTGAGTAAAAATGTCCCCACACCAGAGTTGTCATGCAGATTTGCGATTAGAGGAACGGAAGATTTGTAATGCGCATCTCCATGAGAGGCATTTCCAGTCTCGTTTTGGAATTTGTAATGCTGTAAACGGGATCAGAAGATGGATTTGTGATGCGGCTGCACTTGCTAAACTGCACTACACTACGGACTGCAATTTGCCATGCGTGGCTCCCAAAGCTTCTGGGTCTGTGTTGCTAAGTTCCCAACTTGACTATGGGGTGGGGACGTTTTTACATATGATATCAACTGTGGGCCGGGCGGCCGGCAAAGTTTGTGCGGGAGCTGAAGCCAGAGGAGGTGGAGTTCATTCAGAAAAGCGCTCGGGAGTATTATGACAGGTGTGCACAACTCCCCCTCCCCCTCATTTGTCATGCAAAACCCCAAATCCAAGTGCGTCCCTGTTGCACTATTTGCATAACAGATTTTTCCGGAAGGCCAAACAGTACTACACTAGGCGCATGAATTTGTCATGCACAGGCTCCACCTGTGGTGGTGTTTGTATTGCTGTTCATGCCATACACATGAGGGGGAGGGGGGGTTGTGCGCTCTCATAAGTATGCGAAATTTGGCAGCAGACACAAAGTGTCGGTGGAAAGTGAATGACAAGCTTCTACAATTTTTTCGCGAAGAAGCTGTAAGAAAAAGTGTAATCGAATTTATACGAAAAGTTAAAGTAGAACACGACTCGTACTGAAGATGTTGACACGATGAAACCACGCTCTGTAGAGTTCTACGAGAATATTGATGCCGTGCGTCGACAAGAAAAGGATCAAGATAGTCTTCACGATTGTCCTATTAGACTGTTCGAACCCGGCACTTCGATCATATGTAGGCGCAGCTTACTGCGCTGCAGTCGTGTCTGTTCCACTAGGCAGCGTGTGTCTTTCGAGTAAACACTGTAGAGGTACAACTGGATGAGTATGAGAAAGGCATAACGCGAGTACGATGAAGATCTACTTGATCTTAGAATAGATAGTACAACATGTGATGCGCCGCCGTCGCAGTCGTCGCTGAGATCTCGTCTAATTTCGCTTGGTTTGCTGGCCGTGGTGAGCCTTTGTAGCCGCAGCATATAAAAATCAGTAGGTAGTTGTAAACAAAAACAGACATTTAGTTTACAGGAACAAGAAGTTTGTCGATCTGGATCTTTATCATCAGCGATTCTTGTGGTTCTTTGAGCAGTCTTCGTTGACGAAGCCACAACATCATCGAAGCCACATCTTCACGACGATTGATTCCGAATAGTACAAGAAAGCCTTTTTCTTTTTCTACTTTTCAACATTCCCTATAATTGAAGAATCAATCCAGCAGTAGTTCCGCTGTCATTGTCAATGTTATCCCGCCTTTGGCGCAGCTTCGTGAAAAGGGGTTTCCGTTTTTGAAAGAAGGATGAAGTTCTTGATCTCGTCCTTCCGGGTGGTGCGATTTATTTGGTAACAACAACGACGAGGGTCGTGGGCCAGAAGATCTTCATCTGACTTGACAACAGCGAAAAACCTTGTCCCTGTATAGTCTGTTGTCGTTCAAATTCATCATAAAGGAGGACCACACCGGTGACGAGTTTTCTTTGTGCGGCTCGGCAACCTCCTGCGCACCAGTGGCATGTTTCGAATAGCATTACGGATGTCGGAGTAGGAGTTCTGCAACTAAGTACACAAAGGCTGCAGCACTATTTCTTGGCGTGCGGCCGGGGAGTCCGAGGACGAGGAGGACGATCTTGTAATTAAGTACTACAGCCCAGTAGGACCAGAAGCGGAAGCAGAAAATTCCGCGACGGTGTCGCGTGATACTAGCGAGGAAGCATTTCGAAATTTTGTGTCGAATATTACGGGTTGTTTTTCTGGGGCGTCTGTAGAAGCTCGTTTTATCGCCGACACCTACTACTACTTGGAAGTGGAACTCCAGCAAGCTAGCGGCGGTGGGAACTTGAGAGCACGACGATAGCGAATTCGAAAGGCCGGCGCCAGAGTGTTAGTTTGCAGCTCAAGTAGAGCAAGCTGAAAGTAAGTAGCGGACGAGCTGGAAGGAACTTCTCCATCTGCCTCTACTTCTTTCCTCTTAACAACAAGATGGGCGATCACTTTGACCTTGTCCGAGGTCCGTCGCGAGACCAGGTAAGAACCGTATGTGGAGTGGGTTTTTGTGATGTTAGAATTAGATAGACATAGATGAAACTGAAACATTTAAGTACGAAATAACGTTCAAGTAGACTGGCTTCCCAACGCGGGTCGTGCGGAAATTTGGACAGCATGAAGATTTTCAATCGATGGTGGGTTGATGACGTGACGAAATGTATATTACTTTCTTACGCCTGGCGAAAGGAAACAAATTTTACCAAAGCTAAAGCTAAATCTGTTCCCACTCAACGCAGGACCAACTTTCGCCGGACGATCTGGAATATCGAGCCGTGCTATGAAATGGAGTCGATAATTCAGCTTTTTGATGAAACAAGTCGCGTCTGGGATAACATTAACAACACAACTTGACGCCGACCTCCCTCGCCATGCGCTGCGCGCAACTTTTTGTAAAAGTGTATAAATGCTGCAAGTGATCATGCATCACCGACGTCATAGGCATGACCGAGAAAGCAGTTTCTCTTTGCTTGAGGATACTCCATTGTGAACAAGTTTTCGTACTGGTCCGCGCCATCGACTTTATTGAGGAGGACCCTCCGTAGTTGACTCTGCCTGGCGGAGTTGAGACTTCTTGTATCAAAAAAGCTTCCGGCTTTTGCCACTCTACATTTTCTCGACGGCCTTATTCCGCTCGTTTCGGAGATCATAGACGCTCAGGGCGGATTGTGCAGTTTGGGCTTTGTCATGAACGACGACAGGGTGAAGGCACAGCTGGCGCGGGTCCCAACCGGCTTCGACAAAAAAATCACGAAGATACTGAGTATAATTTTGATTTTGCGGCCCTCCTCGGGGTTTCATACTATTCGTTCGATGCTGATGTGAATATCGCAATTATCGCAAGGATGAAATAAACTGCTGGGAAGATTTAGATTGTGCATGTTATGATTTCTGTCAAACCGTAAAACAGGATTTTACAACGAGTATTTTGCCATCATTGACAATGGAATGGTTGCCACGAGTACCGGCTTCGAGACGGGGAAAGTCGTGTTTAACAATGCGGGCCAGACGGTCGCAGCCAATGCCGCTTCCGTCTCGGGGGAGAACCTGGGCACTGCCATATTGTGAGGAAAAATCACCCCCATATTAAAATGCAACTTTGTGATGCTGTTTTGTGGTCACAAATCAGATTTGTCTTGCCGAAAGTGCTTGGCGGTAGTTTCTAACCTGTTCGTCGGGTATGCAGAAGGCTAGCGATTAGGCATGGCAAACAGATTCGCAGTAGTCGAAAGCGCATGACAGCCTGGCTGCAGTATGCGCCATAAGCATCCTATTGCCCTATAGGCAAGACAAAGGCGATTTGTGAGCATTAAGCAGCATCAGAAATTTCCATTTTGATATGGGGCGGGGGCATTTTTCCTCACAATATGCCACAACCTCGGGCCTATGAACTGCAAAAGTATCGTACTCGTATAAATGCATCACAAATTTCCTCAGCATGAGAAATAAAATTTGTCATGCTAATTTACCTTAAGAAAAATATTTGTAATGCAAGACTTGCATTTATACGAATACGATACTTTTGCACAGGATAGGGCCCGTCCGGGTACGGGAAGGGAGCCGGTGGAAAGTATCGCAAGGAAAAATCCCCCCTCCCCATATTGAAGAGGTGAGGTTTCGAGAATTTGTGTTGCTGATTTAAGGTCACAAATCACGTTTGTGCTGCAAGAAGACAAAGGCAGCAGCTTCCGTCCCATTATGGAGGCGGTTTGTCATGCTGTTGAGCCAACATCACGGACGCTTCTCATGCTAAGCGCCAAAGTCAAAGCCTCTCTACTCAGGCTTGATATGGGTCTGCAGTCCTCTCCAGCAAGACAAATGCGATTTGTGTACTCAAATACAGCAACACAAATTTCGCTTTCGATATGGGGAGGGGGGATTTTTCCTCACAATAGAAAGGGCAGCGGTGGCGCGGGGAAAGGGGGACGCGCACCCGGTGGCGGGAACGAAACCACGGACCAAAAAGCGATACAGGACGCTGCAGACCGGCTTTGGAAGTAGAAGAACTTTAGTTTCGTCAATGAATAAGAACTACGTGGTGAACAATAATAGGAGTCTGACTTCTCGAGATGGAGGACATAGAGTTGTGGTAGGTCCGTCCCGCGAGTGAGGTCGCCCGCGACCGGGCAAAATGGCAGGCCGGAGGGGAGGCGACTTGGCCCAGGAGCCAGGATGGCAGCGGGCGCACGCAAATACCTCCCGCTGACCTTACCGCGGCGCCAGTGGGTGCGTCCGTTGGTGTTGTAGGGTATTGCGGCTCTTTGGCGATCGCGGGCGAAGCAACTCGGGGGCGGGGGCTAAGGCCCCCCCTGCGCTAGCTTTTGACTGGGCCCGGGCTTTGGCCCCTGCGCCACCCCGGGTGGGCCGCGCCGCCCTTTGGGTGGGTCGTTAGAAGTTGCCCGGGCCAGGCCCCCCCGCCGGTTTTTTGTTGCAGAGTGAAAGAACAGCCGCGCGCCGGGGGCCCGGCGCCCGCTGGCTTTTGCGCGCGAAGCCCGGAGGCTTCTTGCGGCCGGCCGCAAGCGGCAAGCGTCTCTCTGGCCTCCGCGGCCTTGTGCGCAGCGCCCGGCCCAACCCGAGCGACCGCCCGCGGTCGCCCCAAGGCCCCGGCGGCTATTTCATTCGGGCGGGCTAGGGGGGCTGGTGGTGTTCCATTCCCGCCCCGGCATAGGCGCGGGCTTCTTTTGTAGCTATGCTCGCTGGGGATGGGGTCCGGAATGGCTCCGGGCGGCTTTGGCCCGCCGCGGCCCAGCGCAGTGAGTGCTTCCGAAAGAAAGTATTTCAAGGGGGCGCCGGGTGTTTTCTGCGTTGGCTTTTCATTCTATTGGCTTTGGAAAATTTTGGGAAGGCTTCGGGGAGATATTCGGGAGGCCCCTGCCGTGCTCTTTCCAGTTTTTCCAGAAAAAAGAAGAACGGGGGGGCCCGCCTTGCGGCCTCCGCGTTGGTGCGTCTGCCCGGGCCCGCCGCACGGGAGGCGCGCCCGCATATTGGAGGCGTTGGCCCGCCCCGGGGAAAGGGTGCGCCGCAGAGCGCGGCCAGGGAGGCGGGCCAGTCTGCCCTTTGCCGTCCGAGCCCGCCCCGGCGGCTTTCGCTTCTGCCCTGCCCTCCGCGCCGCCCCATGGCAGTCTTTTGGCCGGCCTTGTGCTTCGGGGCAGCCAGGCGGCCTGTTGGCCCGCCTCCGTCCGCCCCGGCGCGCGCCCGTCCATTTCGCCGGGGGCCCCGGGCCTTCGCTCCTTGTATTGCCCGGCCCGTGCGTGTGTCCCACGCACTCGGCGTGCGGGTGTACCGCCCGCGCCCTAGCCAGAAACTGCCTGCGTGGCGCGCCCCGCCCGCGCGGGCGGGCACGAAAAAGGGGCCGGCCCCAGGACAGGCGTGCGCGGGCGAAGGGGCCCGCAGGAAGGGTGGCGCCACTTATTTTGCCCACTGGACTGACTGACTTCGCCCGGTCGGTCGCAATGGCGGTGGGCACGCACCCACGCAGGCAAACCAGCTCGGCGGCCGAACTGCCGGCGAGGGCCCGAGGAGCGATGGAGCAGAGAAGCTGCATGCCGCCGCCCTAATGAGAATGAAGACTGGCAAAAAGAGCAGGGGCGGGGCCCGCCAAAAGTTGGGCGGCAGTGGGCCTCGGCCTGGGCATCCACCCCATGTGCGCGCCCATGCTATGGGCACCGTTGTGACAGCCGGGCGGGTCGTGCCCGGCCTGCCGCGCGCGGCTTTCTCTGGGCCCTCTCGCGTAGTTCGGGTCCAGAGGGGCCGTGGGTCTTGGTCTTGCTTTTCCTTTATCGGTCGCCGCGCCGCCGTGTCCTACCTGCAGAACATTACTCAATAGGCATAGCCATTATTTAGTCATGACGGCGTGGCACGGGAGTAAAGACCTTGGAATTAATGCGGGCAGGGTGCCTAACCCGCGGGGGAGAAAACAGTCCAAAGCCCGGGGCGGTTGGATGTGGATCAGGGGCAAATTTTGTGCATGTGCTGGAAATTTATTGTTGAAATATTTTTGAAAAGCTTTGCGCGGTCCGTTTGTAGGGTAGCTTTGCCTTTGCCATCGCGTCGCCTTATAGCTTTGTCTTTTGTCGCCGCATTCCCGACATCGCACTACCATGAGGATTGAGTATATTCCGCATGGAAAACTCGCGCAAATTGTTAAAGAGCACCATACCGCCGCGATTGGGGTTTTTCTGATTTTTCGGTTTTCGGTTTTGGGTTTTATATAGCAAAATCTCCTCCCTGGTCCTCCCTACCCTGGGACCCGGGATTCTATAAACTCTTCTGATATGAGTCTGCCTTCTCGAGATGGAGGACATAGAGTTGTGGTAGCTGTGCTTATTCAATATCGGTACTAAATTTGTCAAATCGGACTTACCACGTGCACGTCGACAAGATTCTTGTGAAACCCGACAACAGTGCCGTCTTCGACATTGCCGACGAGGACAAATTTGCGGCCGCGATTGGCGAGGTGAATTACGTGCGAAAGAAGCTCTGGGAAAAGGGCATTCTGCACCTCCCAACCCCCGACTCCCTCGGCGCTGGCGCCTTGGGCGGGGCCGGGGGGACCAACCACGACGGCGGTATCGGGCACATTCCTTTCGCCGGCAACGTCACCCACCTAGTACCCGGCGCAGCTGGTGGAGGTGCGCCCGCCCCAGGTTGTGGTGGCGGCGGGGGAATAAATAGCAAGGCCGTCTCCGCCGCCGCCCCCGGCTTTGGAAACCCCACCGCGCCGGGAGGAGCAGGAGCTCCGGGGCTAGGGGGGCCCGCAGCCGCGAACAACAACAGCTGTACCTACGCCGCGGCGCCCGGATTCGGGCCCGCACCGGGTTTCGCCGCAAACAGCCAGCATAACAGCTACGGGTCGAGTTCCTACAACCATCATGGCCCGAACACAACCAGTCCGAACGTGGTCAATAACAGTGCTTGTTACGACCAGCACGGGTATAATAACACCTCCACAGCTGCGCATCTTTCCGGTAGTACTTCGCACCACACCACCACAGCGAGCGCGGCGCACAGCAGCAACAATCCCCCACTGTCGCTCGAGAAAAGAGACGGCCGCATGGCGGTTTTAGGGCAGGCGTGTGTGGACTTCTTGGCGCAGTGTCCGGAGAAAACGGTACTGATGCAGCACTTGAGCTCTGACCCACAGATCACGGAGCTGAAGCGCGGTGTGGTGGCGAAGTTTGAAAAATGGATCAAGCAAAACGAGCATGTGTTTCGGCTAAAGGAGGTGCATCAGGGGGGCACGGTAAGTAATATTTGGTGATGTCTACTATAGATAGTTGTTGATCCTTCCATGTTGAAAGCGAATTTAAGCAGCAGTTCTATACTGTACAATTTTTTTCTTCACATAAAAATCAGGTAAAAACGTACATCAACCTGCACTTGGAGCCCAATGAGAACGGCGAGATGATATTTCCCTCGGCAGTGAGTGGCCTGCACCCCTGTGCCTCGGTGGCGGGTTGTTAAAAGAACATGTTAATATCGTGCTGGTCGACGTCGGTTCTGGATTTATTTTCGGCGCTCCCCGAGGCTGAGGTGCAGGAGTACTTCTTTTAGGCGTTTGGTTTGCGCTAGGATACTATTACTATACAAGTTACAGCACCTCCTCCCTGATAGTGCAAGGGAAAAGAGCTACGGGATAGGATTTCCTGGCAGAAAGTAAAGCATAAGCATTCCAATGGATGAATCGACATCACGACGACAAGAAAGACGAGAATAAACGCCACGACTGATAGAAGTAAGTACTTATCATCTATTCGCGCTTCCAGATGAACGGCATGACTGAGTATGTGAGTTCTTCTCTGTAAACTCGACGACGCAGAGGCAGATTGAATCTGCAATGTAAAAAGCGACATCATCACAACTAATAAGGAAGAAAACTGCTGTGGCTGTCACAGCAGCCGCCGGCCGTGACAACGAAGGTCCGAGTTCGTCTCCATCGTTGTGCCCTGGTGAAGGTGGCGACTTTTTTATCGCTAAGGACTTCCCGCAAGCTACACGCTTCAGTTACAAGGAATTTCGATTTATTTCTTGATGTCGTTCGAATGCGAATCTTTTTTGATCCGCACAGAACAAGCTGCCAAAATGAGTAGAGAAGTGTAAGTTTTGTCGTGACTGAAGCTTTTTAAACCGATGGGGATGTTGCCGATCTCATCGTCACTCGTTGATCTCCCGCAAGGCCCAGTTAGCCTCTGACTTTTTGTCCCCCTATTTATCGCACCAATGGAACAAGAACGCAGAAGAAGTACTAAAGTCAAGTTGGATTCCAATTCCTTATATTGCAAGACGCACTACCACCTGTTCGTGCATGTATTTTTGAGTACCTCAAGTTTGCGACTAGAACTACCTTTTCCACCTCCGCTCCTTGAAAACGAGAACACCATGGCCCGGGTAAGTGGAGCTGCTCCTTTTGGCCTCGATGTACTTGAAGCAGACCTGCAGCATTGGCGGGGTGAAGAAGCCTATAGCGCGGCGACGTTTGTGGACCTCAACAACGTGGAATCGCCGCAGAACAACAAGAACCGTGGCTCAGCAGCCAGCCGTAGGTCCCCCTCACCGAGAAGGGGCGCAAAACTGACCCTGTCCCGCGAAATTGCCCAATACGAGGTGCTATGCATTGCAAAAGCGTCGTACTAGTATAAAGTGCATGTTGACAAATTTGCTCAAGAACAAAAAAATGCAATTTGTAGTGCTGTTTTCCCTTAGAAAGTAGATCTGTCATGCATGGCTGCAATTAGTACGAGTGCGATACTTTTGCACTGGATAGGTGCCGCCGCACTTGCGGGTGCAGAGTATGGATGAGCAATTTTTGCTCGAGAAAAAGTACCTCGATCTGTACAAACAGAAGCTGGAAAAAGAGATAAAACGGGAGGAATCTTTGCAGAAAAAGGTAGTACACATATCAATGCTTTTCAGCCGTTGCGGACGTTTTTCTTTTTGCATTATTGTTTTCCGTCATAGCGATAGGGATAGAAGTACTTACAAGTAGTAGAGGACGTGTAGTGTACCAGTGAGGGTGGAACAGGCTGTGCACAATGAATTTGAATACACAATCGACCACACGCCCCAGCCGGCGAACGAGAAGCAATCCTCCCTGATGCAAGAGCTTCGCTCCTGGCGGGAGAAGCAGAAGGAGCAGATCCAGAAGGAGACGGAGGAGAGAGACAAAAAATTGTCCGACATGCAGGAAATCACACAGGCGACGGAGCATATCGCACGAAAAAACTGTTTCATCACTGTGAACTTGTGATGCATAGAGTTGAAGACTGAAACTAGTTGTCTTGCTACATCTGCAAGACATCGGATTTTTCATCAGCGTGTTTTCCCCTTGGGAAGCGCGCATAGCAGGTTTTCTGTGTCATGTGTAACGAACTTGTGATGCAGATCTTGCAAAATCATCACAGAGAGACAGTTTTTTTGTGGGATAGAGCAGGAATGTCGCAAATTTTTGAAAAAATACGACTGGGACGTCAAAATTGCGTGTGAACAATATTTATGCATTGCAAAAGTATCGTACTAGTATAAATTGCATCACAAATCTTAGCAAGAAGAAAAGTGGAATTTGTAATGCTGTTTTACCTTTAGGAAGGAGATTTGTCATGCATATTTGCAATTAGTACGACTACGATACTTTTGCACAGGATAATATTTCAATGGCGAGGATGTCAGCGGGTCGTGAACAAACTGGTGAACATGATCTTCTTCAAGGACATACTACTTCGCGGTTTAGAAGTTTGCTTTTTTTAGATGAAGCGAACAAGAAACAGAATTGAAGTGAAAGAATGAAGATGCTCCTGACAGGAAAGTTTTGTTCTGTTCTTTGCCGCAAAAGATGTTTGTCGCGTCTATAGATGGAAAAATGCACTGTCGTAAAGATGTATCCACCGCAGGGTGTGTTGCTGCTGCTGATATGTACCGCAATTCGTATATGAAAATGAGTATGAAACGCTAAGGCATCCGTAACTCGTCGTTCCTTTTCATCGTGATCCTTCGTACCGTCTTCGTACTCATAGAACGCATCTCGACGACGTCCAAACATTTACAGCTTGTCACCTGGTGCACTTGTGGCAATCGTTGCAAGAAACTCGCTCAGCATTAACTTGAAACGCACTCCCTATAATCCAGCGAGAAGCACCAATGAACCAAATTTATCTCCATTCAAAAAAACAGCTTGGTGTTGTGTCTTTTCCACGGTGTCAAGGCGCTTTTTTTTTTGTTCACTATCGGGAAGCTAGAACGTGAGTATATGTAGTTTTGATTTTAGCATTGGGAAACTACCGACAGCATAGCACTTTTCTACTGGGATATTAATTTGTTCACATATTACTACACGCACTACGACTACCCTACACGTAAAAGTACAATGTTTCTATCGCTTCTGAAACTCAATAAACGCATCATCACTTCTTACATTCAACATTTTCATCCTGCTCCTCGCATGGTCACAAGTTCCTTCTGCTAGTGCAATTGATTTCAATTTGTGCACATATATAGCACATTAAATTTCTATCATGTCCCGCGTCCGGTTCCAACAGACGGAGTCCAGCCGACAAAAATCCCGGTCCCCCCTACCGTCCCCGGATAGACGTGGTCAACAAGGAAATGCCGCAACTTTGTTGGAGGACGACGATGAAAACGAAGAAGGTGGACATCATGTCTCTCGCTCGGTTGTAGATGCCGGGCCTGCGTCTGCCATAACGGGTAAGAATGATGTCAAATCCCCAACATCAACTACTCCACGGACGAAGATGAACCAGAACAAAGCTTCAAAGACGAAAGCCAGTATCTCCGACCTCCTCGAAGAAATCTCCGCCGCGAAGCGGCCATCTGCTTTGTCGAAGACAAAATCCACAACGCTCCCAAAACTCGAAGACGCCCTCCCGCCGAGGGACCCGCTGAAGAATTTCAGCCGGAAAGACTTGCAGAATTTACAGCTACGAATCACCGAAAACGTCAAACAGTCGCAGCTGGAGAAGAACTGGAAGCAGAGCGACAAGATCGGGAAGTTTTTTATCGATCCAGCAATTAACAGTCTTTTTCTACCGGTTGGGAGAGAGGAAACCACCTGGGAAATCGAGCGGAAAATGCACGCGAGAAGGTCAACCCGCTCCTATCGAGAGTTACCCGACGACGGGAGGCGGCGGTTGCGTCTGCACTACTTCGATAAGAAAGAGGAATACACGAAGTTGAGACGAGAAAAAACCGTGTCGGAGCACGTGTTCACGAAGGAAGAAGTACGGAGAAGGGCAATACTGGAGAAGGATTTGATGCGGAAGCAACACCCCCTCTACGTGAACAAAATGCGACAGTTGACCTACGACAACGCTGTTGCGAAAGAGAAGTATTTGCAGGCGATTGCAGCGGAAGAAGCGGAACAGGAAGCGAGGTTGCAAGGGGAAGCGGAATTTGAACTGCTACAGGGGGCTAGGAAGGAAGTGCTCGCGAAGCAAGCGACAGCTGCATCGTTGGAGGGTAATGAGCAACAAGCTCTGGCGGGTAATCCTAATCTTGACGGCCCCGGTGGATCGGCAGCCGGAAGTGGCGTAAAGAAACAAGGAACAGCAGTAGGAACGGGGACTGGTTCGCAAGTGCACGACGAAAGAACTGAGATGCAGATGAACGAGCGGAAAAGCAACCGATCAAGCGTAACAAATTCCCGGCCAACTTCGCCCAGTCCTGGTGAAGAGAAGAATAGAAAAACTACGCAGTCGAAAATCAAACCCCCGAAACTGCTCCCCTTACCGAATTCCAGCACGGCCGCTGTTCCGAACACACAGATAAAGAACTACTGGAAGACGGTTGACATGTCCACGCGGGGGAATTCGTTCGAGGAAAAATATCCGTGGAAAGCAAAGGAGGAGAAGCGGGACCTTTACCAGGACGGCTTCTATGAAAAACAAGTGAAGTTGGTCAATAATTTGGACGCAAGGAAACAGGGCGGGTTGCATAAAGACAATCACGCAGCGGCACCAGGGTCGAATAAAACGAAACTGTGATGATGGGAGACAGATTCATTTGTGGTTTCACAGACGAGCATTAGTAGGTTAGTACTACACATTTTTTCTTTAGTTTTCGTTAATCATTCACATGGGAATTGTTTTAGGTTTCGCGCATATATATACACAGTTTTCAAACTTCCCTTTGGGATTTTAGTTTTCAATATACACAGTTTTACCAGCATGGGAAATAATCATAAAATGGGAAAATACAGTACAACACGGGCAATTACCGAGAGGACCGGAGATCATGCGCATAATGCACCACATTCGTCACAGTTAGAAGCAGTAGTTTCTATCCGAGACTACTTACAATCTTTCGCTCTGTTTCTGATTGATGAAGCTTCATTTTCTATTACTTGTTTTTTGTCGTCCTCTTTCTCACTAGTATCCCTTGTTCGATGTAAGACAGTGAGTTGTACGCAGATGTACCTGTGCACATGAGTATCAGTAAAACTTCTGTCCCGGTGACACGGTAGTTGTTGTAAATTATTATTTGTCGATGATGATGGAAGGCGAAGGCGTGCCCAGCGAAGGCGTTCTTTAGCCACAGCTGCATTCGGCGGTTAGACCGTCTCGCTACATTTTGATCGTGTTCTCCATGACGATTTGCCTCTTTTTCTTGTTTTCATACCGTTTTAGTAGCTTGTCACACTCTTGACAGCACACATTATGGAGATGGAGTGGCAGCCGTTTAGTCGTGGCACATGCGTCGTCTTCAGGCGTGAATATTTGTTTACTGCTTCACTTCTGTGCAACGTAAGAACTGCAATTTATCAAATAACATCGTTGTGCAACGTGGTTTCTTTGTCTGCATCAACTACATCAGTGTAGTGTTTCTTTCAGGAGTTTGATCGTTCTTCAATCTTTATTTCTCTTGGCGTGGCTGCAAGAGTGCCGAACTGGTACCCATTGCAACGCATTCGCAAAAAATATCGCATTCAGATTCACCACAACCGAAAGGGGAGGGACTCGGACTACACGGACTACAGGCATGGGCGTTACTAACAAAAATTTCTACTTAAGTTTCACAATCGTGACAGGACACTGCTCACAATAAAAAAAAATCATGACGGTGTAAATCGAACAAGTCAGAAACGTTTTGGTTCACTGCAAGCAAGGTTGTCTCTCCTATTCTTCGTTTATTTTGCAGTTCGCCTTCTGCTGGTGAACCAGAGACTCATCGCGGGAGGTCGTCCACACCACCAGGACTGCTCTTGAAACAGCTGAGCAATAAGAACTTGAGCAACTTCATCCTCGGCAACAAACTTCATCGCGGCAGCATTCCGGTGCGAGATTTACCCACGGCATGGAAATCGGATTCTAAACCGCCTATGGAATATGTTTGCAGCGCCGAAGCTGCACACGATTTGTGGATGAGCGTTGATTTTTTCGATGATGCGATTATAGCGATTCGTATTCTGCTTGTCTTACTTTGAGCTACGTTTTTGAGCAAAAATAACGGCTCGCTAGCTACAAATTCCCCCTTGCCATAGAATCCGGTTTTGCACTTGCATATCCTGTCGACTCCCAACATCCACACGGACCAAACGTCCATTCTGGCGTCGCAAACTCCCACGCCAAATCTGAACAACGAGGAGGACAATTTGCAGCTGAAAATAAATAACCAGGACGAAACAAGCATGCTGGAACAAACCGGCGGGACCCGGGTCGCGCAGCCGATCTACAACCTGGATCCAAACCAGATGAAAAAGATCGAGCAAGCCGTGCATGGGCAGTTGTTGGTGACCAGTGGCGCGGCTAATGCTGGCGGGAACAATGGAAGCAGTGGCGGCGGTAATAATCTTCAGCAACAAGGCGGCGGTGGATCATCGCAGCCGGGAATGGCGCATTTGCCCCCAGTACGATTTCCGATCATACTTGGACAATAAATACTTAAATCGATGCTTGCTTATTGGTCATGATTTCCTTTCCAAGTACGTGGTGTTGATGACAAGACATAAAGCAGGAGATGATCATCAGGGCGTTCTTTGATGTGAGGCGTCCTCATGAGCACAGCTTCCACATAAAATGACCCAGGGCCAATCCATGAGCAGCATGTCGACTGCCAGCGCTCTGGGAAACGCGCACCCAAGCAACCATTCTCTGTCCGAGATGCTGATGAGTATCAGCGGCGGTGGTCATCATCTGCAAGTCTCGCAGCAGGGAGGTGGTGGTCAACATCTGCAGCATCAAAACGGCACTGTTGTCCCCGGTCAGACGACAAATCCAGGCCTGGTGTCAACCTCGACGTCCATTCAGGACCTGCAGAGCTTGCTGCCCGGTACTACGATAGTCGCGTTTTCATGCATGCATGATCTCGTTCTCAGCCTTTATTTACTTGTTCGGTTCGTCAAGCAGCATGTGAAATCATGATACGTTTTGTGACAAATCAGGCTCCACCAACCGGTCTAGTCAGAACTTGCAAGCGCTCCAGCAGCAATCACCCGGGAATCCGGAACAGATGCAGAGGGCGCTCCGGGATCTCATGGACAGCGCACAAGGGGGATACAACAACCGACAGGTATTTAATATTTTTGAGAGGCAGTTTCTGTACAAGTACAACCGACGAGAATGTTGTAGATGATACGCAAACAGAAGAGTACAACATTGGTAAAGTCATACCATACGAAGAAATCGACAAAATTAAAATCAGAACCTCAACCTCTCCCCCCAACCGCAAACCTCGCCGACGACCGCGGATCAGCTGCAATCGAACTCCCAGCTCTTGCAGCAACTGCAGCAAGGCTTGGTGGGACAGCAACTTCGCCTGGCGAACCACGGCAACATCAATGCAGGCGACAGTCAGCAGCACCAGTTGCAACAGCACTCACTACAGCACCACAACCCGCAGCAATTATTTGTTTTTGACCAGAACTCGCAGAAAATGATGCCTCTGGTGCGAAACAACGCTGGTGGAGTGGTGCAGATCGGGATATGCATTGCCAATGTGTCTGGGTGGTCTCCTGGAAGGATGTTGCCAGTTTTTCCATGCTTGTCCTCTGGCATGACTGACGAGTTTGTGATGGTGCGTGTCGTGTCAAAGAAATTCTTCTGCATTCTGATTCTTTTTCTTCCAGACTTAGACATGTTTCCATTCAATACGGGAATACTCTGTACAATTTATCGGCTTCGGGCAACAATTATGCACTGCAAAAGCATCGTACTCGTATAAATGCATTACAAATTTCCTCAGCATGAGAAAGAAAATTTGTAATGCTGATTTGCCTTGACAAAGAAATTTGTATATGCAAGACTTGCATTTGTACGAGTACGATACTTTTGCACAGGATAACAATCTGTTGAACCAATCGTCCGGCACACCGAGTTATGCATTGCAAAAGCATCGTACTGGGTAGTAATTGCATTACAAATTTGCTTTAGCATCACAAGTGAAATTTGTAATGCGGTTTTACCTTAGGAAGGAGATTTGTCATGCATAAGTAACTGCAATCACTACGAGTGCGATACTTTTGCAGAGCATACGAGTTCCTCCTCCCAGGATCTCGTCGGCTTGGTCCAGCAGCACCAGCAGCATATGCGTTGCAAATATGTCTGCGTCTGGAAGGTTGGAACCTGTCATGCTAAATCTGAATCATGTAAAAATCTGTGTTGCGTGATTACCCAAAGCTGCCCACTTGTGACCTAATCGAGATGCAGTTTCTCATGCAGAATAGGCATCGTAAAACTATCATAGAATCTGTTATGCTATGTCCTACATACCAGACCTCATGGGTCATGGACAACCTGCGTGACAAGTCTGGCACTCTTCCAGACCCAGACATACTGGCAGTTGATACAGCAGAACTCGAATTCCAACCACAATCTGTTGAACCTCTCGCAGCAGAGCGGAGGTACTACTAGCGGGGGGCACCCGCACCACCAGCAGCAGTTTCACCTTGGAACCAACGCGCAGGGGCAGCTGACTCTGATGGCGACGACGCCAGGGACGAGTAATTCTCTGCATCACCAGCACAATTCTACTTCGGGGAACAACATTTTGAACTCTTCTGGGGGTGGTACTAACACTTCAGCATCCGGGGGTGGTCTTCATCAGCACGCGCAACTCTCTTCTGGCCTGCAGTCGCTGCAGAACAGTAACGAGAATATGCAAAATTTGCTGTTGCAAAGCGGACCGGACGGACAGCTAGTGTTGCAGCATCAGACGAGCGGATTGAGTTCGACTCACCCCGGAAATAACGCGGGTGCGCACCACCAGCATCATCAAGGGACGACCACCACTACTGTGAATAGCCACTGGATTCCCACCTCCAGACCCATCATTCTCCGCACCGGGGGGGTCGGGCAGAGCGAGCACGTGGTCCAGAGCACCGCGGGGTTAGGTGGAGGGGGTGGGACAACGACAACAAATCATCACGGGTCCTCCGCGGGGAATAGTAATCTACTTTCCTATCACTCCAGTTCTTCCCCCGAAGACCAACTGTACAGTAGCTCGTTTCACCATCAACACCAGCACACTTATCAAAAGTAAAAATGTCTGGGTCTGGAAACTTGTGATGCTGGGTGGCGTCTCATGATGAGGCTACAAATGCTGGCTCAGCATGACAAGTTTCTGAGCTCCTAGGTGTTGCCTATTCTGCATGACAAACTGCGCTTCTGCATCACAGAAAAACGAAGCTCTTGGGTAACTTGCATGACAGATTTAAGAGTCATGCCAGACAAGAATGACAAACATGAATTCTTCCAGACCCAGACATTTTTACAGTTGATAACACTGCAGCAGCTGCGATTGACCACCAGAACCGGGTGATATTACAGCAACAATTCAAGAACAAAGAGTTTATCTATCAAATGCAAAAATGTCTGGGTCTGGAAGATTGCCAGGCTTGTCCTCATGCAGTTTTTCCAAGCTCCCCCACGTCTGGAATGCAGGGCCTAGCATTACAGGTTCTGCAGCTCCTTGGTGATGCGTATTCTGCATGAGAAATCGACTCACAGCATGGCCAGAAGTGGGCACCTTTTGCACGTTATGCGTCACAGATCTTTGTAGGATCCGAAACACGCATCACAAGTTCGGAGCCTTCCAGACCCAGACATTTTTGCATTTCATATTATCGGGAACGCGACAATTTTACCGCCGGGCGCCATCAGTCGGGCGAACTCGTTGCAGAACAAGGGGAATTACACACCTGGTGCGGGTGGTGGAGCGGCTGCGGTATGGAACGAAAAAACTGTGTCAGTGTAGGTGTCTTCGGGTCGTGACAGCATGACAAATTTTTTCTGCATGACACAGAAATCCTGTCATGCAGAATTAGTACGGGAAAACTAAACACCTGCGCCATAGGACTACTTCATGGCTAGCTAGCATGACCAGTGTAACAGTGTTGCATGCTTTGCATGACAGACTTACACTTACACAGTTTTTTTCTTGCATATGCGGGGTCTTCGTCGTACCAGCACGCGGGCGCGATCCACTTGGACGACTTGTATCATAGCGGTAGCAAAGGACCGGGCGCTCCTGGTTCTGCGCAGCATCACATGCACGTCGAGCACTCGTTTCCCCAGCCACCGAGCCCGAAGGGAGCAGCTGCGTATAATAATCTTCGGAAAAGCAGCGGGGGAGGAAAGCACGCGTATAAAAATGCAAGCGACCCCCGGAACAACGGGGATCAAGTTCAAGATTTCCGAGATGAGTTGTGGGAGAGTCGAAACAGCGATCAACAGCAGCCGAACCAGCAAAGTGGTCGAAAGAGCCGAGGAAAGAAGGGGAACAGAAAGGATTCAGGTTCCAAGGGCAATTCGCGGGGCTCTCGCAACGAACCCCGAAGCTCGGTCGAACAGGACCAGCTGGATTTCGACGTGGACAATGATGCAGACTGGCCGGCAGTAATTCTGCCCGGAAAGCAAGACCCCTCGACGACTCGGGGATCTTCATCGGGCGGAAAGCAAGGGATGAAGCCCGGTGCGTTTCAGCATCTGGAGCACGATCCGTACTACTTTCACACCAACCCGGTTTTCGAGCAATTCTATGACTGGGAAAGGCTCGAGCAGATGCGCGCGATACAACAGCAGCAGGGTGCAGCTGGGACGGGCACGGGTGGTACTTCTGCAGGACAGTACCCAGGTACTAGTTCAGCCGCAGCCGGAGGTAATTTTCAAAATCATGTCGCGCACCACGCGCCGTTACCGCCGGTGCCACCCCCGGCCATGGTTCCGCCGTATCACGGTGGTGCTCCTGGAGTAGACCTCGCCTATGGGTTCGCGCCGGGGACAAGAACCACGAGCGGTGGGAGAGGTTACGGAAAGTCCGGCCCGGACCCCCTGATGGATCGAAAAGGAAGCACGAGTAAGCAGGGAGCTGCTGACGGGGGGAAAAATAACTCTCGTGGAGGTTCCAAAGGTGGTGGTGGGGGGCCGCCGCCCAATCGGAACCGGAAAGGCAGCGGTGGCGGCAAGCAGGGCGGATCAACATCTTTTGGTGCGAACCAGGACGGTGTCGGTGGAACAAGATCCTCAAGCAGCTCCTCTTCTTCCGCCCGAAATAGTACAACCGGACCGCTGCCGAAACTAGGAAACAACGAGTTGCTCCACCAACGGAGCAGCGGGTCCAGCAAGGACAACAAAAGCGATGGACATGGTCGCAATCATTCGAAGAAACAAGGAAGAGTACAACTACATGAAGGCTCGGGTTCCCGCCGGGACAACTCGAAGCGCGAGTCGAAGATGTCCAGTTTGGACACATATGCATTGCAAATATGTCTGGGTCTGGAAGAATGGAAGTTTGTCATGCTTGTCTCTCATGACTCCTAAGTCTGTGATGCATGAGCAGGATGAGAGTCCCTTTCCTGTCATGCAAAAACACAGCTTGCCATGCAGAACTCGCAACACATAGCAGCTCAAGAACTTGTCATGCTTGGCTGCGTATTGCAGTGTGTCCACCATTCCCAAGCCAGCATCACAAGTTTCCAGACCCAGACATGTTTGTATTTGATAACGCAAACGGTGGTGATCAAGATCATATCATCGACGCGGCACAGGGGAATGTGAACGGACGGAGGGTCACACACCATCGGGGCATTGAGTAAATTAATACTTTACTTCTACTGTTTCTCTTTGTCTTTCTCATGCGACAAACTTTTTCTCTTTCTCATGCGGGATCGGATCGATTGATTCCTATCACAATGACTCAATGTGAAAATCCTAAAAAGGTACAAGCACAACAAAGTGCCCCGCAACAAGGATCTCCTGGCGGAATACGGCCAGACGCTGTCCGAAAAACCCATCACGACGCTGATGATCCGGAATATTCCCAACCGGTACACGCAACCCCAATTTGTTCTATGCATTGCAAATATTTCTGGGTCTGGAAACTTGTGATGCAAGAAAGGGAATAGTGAGCGCACTGTGATGCGCTGCTCAGCATGACAAGTTTTTCCGTGGTTCTGAGTTGCGTACTCCGCATGAGAAACTGCGTTTTTGCATGACAGAGAAGAGGAGCTCTTCGCGGCCATGCAATACTTACAGAGTTCAGAGTCATGCCGAACTAGCATGACAAATCTCGTATTCTCCCAGATCCAGACATATTTGCATTTGATATGTTCAGGAACTCGACAACATCGGGTTTGCGAAACAGTACGATTTCGTGTACCTCCCGATCGACCGGAGCACAGAATCTTCTGTGGGCTACGCATTTGTCAATTTCAAAAAGGCGGCAGACAGTGTGCGGGCGCTCAGTGTTTTCGGGGAGTACCGGTTTCACAGGTACATAGCTCTTGAGCGTAGTGGTTTTTTGATGTCATGCATGAGTTGTTCGCGCACCGCTGTCCTATTGGGCTGTAGTTGTGCAGCTTTTGCACGTAATGTTCCAACGGCAAGAGAAAATGATGAACCACCTCTGCAAACAAAAACCCCAGGTATCGCAACGTTTCTTCTAAAGTGGGCTCGGTTTCCATCGCGCACATACAAGGCTTGGAGAATAACATCGCGCACTACAAGAAATCGGTGATCAACGATACGAAGAACCGGTTTCGCCCGCTGGTCATCCGGGATGCGAAGCAGATGCGGGAGCAGCGGGAAAAGCGGATGTTGAACAATAACAATAATTCTGCGAACAGCAAGAACAGCTGCAACCAAAACAGTGACCAACTCGAGCGATTGGAGGACCATGTTGATGTGCTGGTTGAGGAGGAGGAGGAGAATGACGTTGGTTCCGGCGGGTCGCGAAACGCCAGTAGAACACAGAGCAAGGTGGACGACAGCGCGAAAGCAGAAGATACCTTTGCCAACAAAAATGATGAGGACCACTTCCACGCGTCTTCCAAAAATCCGCCCAAGCAAAAGGTTGCCGGTGAGGCGAAGGAAGACGCAGATGAGAATTCAGCGCCGGTGAAGAACAAGGCCGGCAGTGAGGACATGCTTCTGCTCGACGAGCCTCCGGAGCCGACCACCGTGTCGACCAAGCCCCAGGACGATTTTCCGGAGCCGAGCGAAGCCGGTCAGCAGGACGAGTTGGCGAGCATGTACGAGCACAACGATACCCTCAACAAGAACAGCAAGGGTGAGGACAACACGCAGCGCAGCTTGTCGGAGACCAACGAGCTAGGTGGAGCTCCTACCGCAGAAACGGCGACGGCGGGCGAGCCCGTTTCCTGCAACTTTTAGTAGAGAAAATTGTCACACTCACTACAAGAACTGAAGCTGGACTGAAGTCATCCTTTAATTAAAGCTGAAGATGTGGAACTCAAAACAAGCATGTTTACTAATAAATACTAATTGCTCAACATGCTCTCTACTCGGTTTCGTAGTATATTTGTACTGTATTTTATCGATGACGATGGATACAGCTTCACGTATATGATCAGAAAATATATCGTTTCAAGCGCAAGTTTTCAAATTTTTCTTTCTAACGTTCTGAAATCAAGCGCCCGCACCGGCTAGTGCGGTCTGTTTTCTACCGGTACTATCTATCAGAAGTATGCGAATCATCTGGATCGCAATCGTATTCGTATCTCGGAATTGCTATACTCAAAAAGAAGTGATTGTGATGAGAAAGATTTTGATCATTCTTTCGAGCACCATACCTCGAAAGGAAAACAACAAAAGAACTCCTTTGTTTTTGGTCGTAAGTATAATTAAGCAGGGACAAGAAGTTATCAAACTTTGTCAAGTTGGAACAATCACTCACTCGACGTGCAGTTGGTTGCTCGAACAAATAAGAATAAACCTGGAACTACCTCTAGATACTTAAAAATTTCGTAAATTCTTGGCGCGCGGCCTCCAGCGAGAGGACGGCCGCACTTCATCTCGATAATTCAGTACAGTAGAAGGCGATTTTTTTTCATCGATCTGCTATTTCGAGCTCGAAGTTCAAGTTGTAGATGAGAGCACTGTATGGAAGTATGCTCAAATAAGATAAGTAGATGAAATACTCTAAAAATAAGTAGAGCACGATTTTGGAATTTCGCGTTCGCCATTATACGCTACCGACAAGAAAAATAAGGATAAGCTCGTCCGGCCATGTGTCGCGATTACGAAAAGGAAAAGGGACGCTGTTCTCGTTTCCAGCTGATGTAGGTATAGTATGAGAACAGTCACGGCTTAGACCTGGCCCTGATCCCTTGAGCCAGTAAAATAGCCAAACCCAAAAACTAAAAAAACAATTGTTGGAACGGCAGTTCAGTTGTTGCGAAGAACACATACTAGACTTGTATCGCTTGTTGTAGCAAATGGCCTGACGATGTTGACGCACATGAAAGAAGCAGCTATCATCTTCATGGGTGATTTTTTCAACCGGGTATGGAAAGGGCTTAAGGTCGAGCAGCTCGAGGCACAGCTCGTAGCTCGTGCGGTGAAAGATGAAAGTAAGTGGCACTACAAGTACCGACACCGAGAAGGTGCGCCATGTAGCATGCTTGGGGGCAGTCCCAGTCCTTCCCGGTACCATCTTCAAGCTGCTAGCTGTGTGCAGCGATACTAGAAGATACTTGATTTCTCATGCTGCCGCTGCCGCCGACACTAGGGCGGGGCTATGAAGGGAGTAAAATCCTCGCAGTAAGCGGAGGACCGCTGTTGGCGTAGCAAAATGAAAATACTCTAGCAACTGGAGTTTGTTTTGATTTTTGGCACGAGAAACAAATATATACCGTGAGGACTAATATAATCATGACGCACGCGCACCTAGCTAGTACAGCATATGCTCAAGGCAATTCACTCACATGATACACATACTATCATTGCGGACCTCCATTCGCCTGGCCTCAGAGCTCCCTCGCTCCAGGATGAGATTTTCACAAGCGGATGTGCCTCTACACTATGAAAAAGAAACGAAAAGCAATGTATAGATACAGTGGGTCGTTGTTGTTTTCCTGCAAAGGACGCCCAACTGAATTCAAGTGCAACATCTTCCGAGTTGCCACTATCGGTGTGCGATGGTGATTAAACCTTGGCTGCCGGATTTTCAAATTCCTACCACAGGAACATGGACGAGGCACAAAATCAGCAAGGTAGAAAAAGGTTGCACTTCCGTGCAATCATAGGAGATGCGAAATCACTTAGCCTCTCAGTCCAGAGACGGATCATGCTAGAGGTTGCTTGTTGCCTCGCAAATCTGTGGTCCTGCGACAAGCGCAGCACCACCATGCTGCTATACGCACCTCGAAGGAAGAACGAAAACATCATCGGGTGTGCAACGGATGAACACAATTTCAAGTCACGTACGAACTATGATTATTTTCAGTACTGCAGTCTTTCTCTTTTCTCGTCGACAGACACAGATATCACCTTTTTATGTTTGCGAATTTTCACAATTTTCCTTTTCCTAATTTTCCGATCTAAGGTGTCGAAAGTTTCTCTGTCTATTGTTGCCTATCTTCATTGTTGATTGACTTCCAAAAAAATGATTTATGTTCGAATTAGAATAAGAATTCAAAAGTATTTGTATTTCGAGAATTTTCCGCTCAGTTTTTTCGATGTTTTCCGATAGGAGTCAGAGTCTGTTTCCCAAGAAGTTGTCAATATCTTTTGCGACGCACCGTAGTGGTCGCTCCTACCTTTTACTCAACAAGCGATAAAAAATATATACGATTGATAGAAATGGAAATAAATTCTAGGCAGTTCGTAGTTGCTATGAAGGCAAACATCACGTCAGTAAATTAAGCACCGGACAGGAGGTGAAGCGAGAAAATATGAACTCGGCTACAATGATATGTGTATGTCACACACCTATAACTACCAAAAAGTTGGTTCGGGGGTTTTATTTTCACCCAACCACTGAAAAAAAATCGTGCCAGGTTGTGCCTGTTGTTGAAAACTTTGCTTTTGGCAGGTTGGTAGCGCGAGGATGCGCAAAAACGAGTTCGGTGCGCGGAGTATTCTAGAGCGGTACCCGATGATATTCTTGTTCTTCCTCAACATCTGTGGTAACTGCAGTTGCACGAAAATAAAATCCTGCTGAGCACGCGCCTCTCCTACATGAAACTGAGTCATGATTGAAGTCACGCACATGAGAAAGCAAGACCGCTTAGATAATGGGTCATCTAATTGCGCAACATGGACGAGGGAGCTCCACGAGCAAGGACGATGAATAAAACCCACGGCCAGAAAACTTGGCTACGTTACTGAGCTTAATTTTGGTTTTGCAAAGCGTTTACTTTCGTTGAAACGCCCAAGGGTACGGAGGTCAGACTGACAAGGACTAGTGACACAGTAGGTTTTGTGCTAAGTATCAAATGCCCTAGTATGAATCGTAGAATGTTGCGCCCTGAGGTGTGGCGTAAAAATGAATCATAGCTGACATCGATCAGGGAACGTCCTTGAACAAGAAGACAAGCAGTATCAGTATTCATCAAAAAAGTAAATGACTATGATGTCCTCCTCTTCCTCTTCTTCTGCCCTGCATCAGAACTATAGGGTGATGCAGATGAACATGAATGCGATGAACAACAGCAAGCAGCACCCCTCGAGCTCCTCCAGCAGCTCCGCAGCTGCTTCCTCTTTTCTGCAACAGACGCAGCAGGTGCTCCGCAACAACTTCGGCAACAAGTTTAAGTCGCGGAGAGGACACCAAGGTTTGCTGAAAAACAGCAGCAAGAAAACGACGTATCAAGCGAATTTCGGCTACGACTACCTCGCGTCGGCCGAAACGCTCGTGATTGATCCGAATGACCGAGATATGCAAGAAAAAAACGTTGTTGGTGTAAATTTGTGATGCGCAACATGCAAATTGATTGAGCCTGTCATGCTGTGCCTGCATTGTAGGGCCCATTCAACGGCGTTTTCCCGTACTATCTGCGCATGACAGGTGTTTGCTGTCATGCGAGAGATATTTGTCATGCTAATCCTCCAAGAAAGTTACACCTACAATCTTTTTTTCCTGGATACGAGAATTGGCGAAAAATGAAAATCTGAACCACAAAGGTCTCATCAACGACGGTTGGAGCAGCAGGCCGGTGCCGGACGTGGTAAATATACATGATCAGGTCTGTTTAATGTGTAAGACGCCTGCGACATATTTGTGTAGTATGAACGTATGACACACACACAGACACACCAGAGTAGGAACTTGTTCTGTATCAACATCAAAGTCTGTCAGTGTCAAGTCCGCCAGCAACGAACTCTACCCGTCGAAAATCTACTAACAGGTCCTGCGGAAGGTCTACCAAATGACCACTCCCCCGCGCGATGTACCATTTCCATCGAGCAAGACCAACACATTGCTGGATGACGACGATGAGCTCCTTTTTGCTGCCTCCGAAGAACAACAAACACACGGAATAAAACAAGCCACCGCCTCGCACAGCAACCAGTCCACGCCGAACGCGACTAAAACTAAGCGGAAAATGATGAAACAGACGCCGGGCAGCAAGAGCATGAAGCGAGTTGTTCATGGGTCGACAGCTTCGCAGATGAACAATAGTAAAGCTGCCCGCATCGATGATGACTTGGAGCTGGATGAGAACGGACAGTTGGTACGAAAAGGAGCTGCTGGCGCAATAGAAGGCGAGGTCGATGCCGAGGAAGACCCCGATGCGGATGAGACGCTGGTAGGAGACGGAGCAGTGACATCAAAGGGATCAAGAACAGAGAAAATGTCTACTTGTACTGCTACTTCACGAAATGCTCCGACAACATCCGTCGACCTATCGCAGCACCTGTTCTGGCGTTCCAGACTGCTCGACGGCGACAACCTCTGCGTGTCTGGCTTGGGGAGCAAGTACGCGATGCTGCGGAGATTCGGCCGCAGCTGTGTGAAAGAGATCGCGTTTCAGACGGAGGGGGTGGTGGAGCACTTGCTGGTCGATTTCGAAAACGACAACAACACCACGGGCGATGAGGAATCCAATGCCCACCCCGCGATTCTAAAGCATCTAGGCGAGGACGTGGTGCAGCAATGGGAACGGGAAGAGAGGGACGAGCTGATGATGATAGTGGACAATGGTGAAGATGCTGATCACGATGTCGTGATGGGAGAAGAAAATGATAGCGATAATGGACTGCTAAATCCTGGAAGAATAAACACGCACTTTTTCCAGAAATATAATCATACACGGAAATTTGACTACCTGGTCGAGGTAATCGGCGGTTGGACAACACTGCTTGACTCCCTGGAGCAAGCATTTCAGAAGATTGCGAGCCAATTTTTGGACAATCTGGTGGAGCTAGCGGATGTAAACCTGTTGCAAAGCAGGACAAAGGATATCCAGAAAATGTTTCACCGAGCCGTGCATGAGGCGAATTTCGACCTGAAACCGGTGCGGAAAGTATCAAATGCAAATATGTCTCGGTCTGGAAAGTTGTGATGCTGAAGTTTGGATAAAGACTGGCGCTCTCAAGTGCAACCACGCATGACAAGTATAGTACTTGACGCCATGTGCTGTGTAGCACGCATGACAAACAACTGCGTTTTTGCAGGACGAAAAAGTAGTCCCTTCCTTGCTGGCTGTGCAATACAGATTTCTCAGGAATGCAAGACATGCAACACAAGTTCCACTTTTCCAGACCCAGACACTTTTGCATTTGATAGAAAGAGTGGCCGAGCGATTACGAGTACGACACGCCGGAGAAGTTGGAGTGCCGGGACTATCTGAAGGAGCAACTGCAGGTAAAGAAATTGTAAATGGGTTTGACTTTGTTGTACTTGGAAACAACAAGTACGTACCTAGTTAGCTACCCTCCAGCACGTCGTGACAAAAGCCGCTGGCTGTAATAAACAAGCCGGAACTACTTGTTTTCTCTAGTCTTGTTGGGAACGCTAACTTTCATGAAGAAAACTCATTTTGTAGATCATGCAAATACAAGAAAAAGAAAAGCACAACATGATCTATTATCAGCCTTTCCTCGAGCAAGCCCCGGTTTCCTCCCGCACGCCAACTGCGCCGCTGCACTTCGTTTGCAACTTTTTTCGTGAGTTCGTTGAGTTCGCGGAGGTGAAAATCTTGCTGGTGGTTCACTGCTACGAGAAACTAGTCTGCCCCAACAGTTTGTACTACCAGCACGCGAATCTGGTTGACGGGTTGATGGAGCTGGTGAGGCCGGGCGCAGACGAAGAGATTTTTGGCAGTAGTGCCATCGGCGAGGAAGGTAGAAGAGGAGGAGACGGTCACTATCAAAGTGAAAAATCCCCCCTCCCCATATCGAAAAGGTATGTTTCCGAAAATTTGTGTTGCTGATTTGAGGTCGCAAATCACATTTGTATTGCAAGAAGACAAGGGCAGAAGCTTCTGCCCCACTATGGAAGCGATTTGTCATGCTGTTGGCCCTAAATGTGACCTGTTTGCCATGCTGAACAACTAGACCCATACGCCCCTCTACCTAGCCTGGGGATCTGGCTGCGGTGCCTTTCTGCAATACAGAGCTGATTTGTTTACCCAAATTCAGCATCAGAAATTTCGTTTTGATATGGGGAGGGGGGATTTTTCCTTGCCATAGTCACAAGAAAACCAGCGAAGATCTTCCTCTTCCTGAAGATGATCCTGAGCAGAACGATCATACAAACTGCGACAACGTGACGAGGCCAGAAAGCGACCTCCAACCCCTCGGCTTTATACGGCTCGTTCTTTCCCTCAACACGCCGCAAAACCCGTTTTCCACCACCGACGTTAATGTGCTAAAACTGATATGGGAGTCGTGCACAACTCCCCGTCTTCGCCCCAGTTGCATGCACAGTACCAAGAAGTTCGCCCCTTGTATCTTCGCATGACGGGTTGTTCTTCTTGCAGCCCCAGCCGCACTGCGATTCTCTGTGGATACTTAATTTCATTATTGTCATGCAAAATTCGCATTCATTCTATCTTGCCGACGTGGTTTCTATATATCGCTGTTCTAAACTTCACGACTAGAACATGAGGGGAAGAACGAGCAGTTCTGTGCCTTTTCATAACTGAACCACGAAATAGTGAACACGTACCTTCCTCCGGTGCTGGAAATCTCCCCGCAGGAGCGCCAGTACGTGGAGCAGGTGAAGAGGTTCGGCCAGGCTGCGCAGAACTCCGGCGGCAGCACTTTGTCCGACTTCTTTCTAAAGTGCAAAGCCTGCAGTCGGGCCTTCACGAGCAAGCACCGCGCGATTTTGAAGGCGGTGCTGGAGAAGATGAAGCACGCGAACCCTCTGGGCTTCTTGTACAACGAATTGCTGTCGGAAATGCAAAAGAACAAGGGGGTCCAACAGAGCGCGCTAGACCGGATCTTGCGGGAGTTGCAGGAGCAGCAGCTGATCATCCAGTCGAACCCGGAGCAAACCGGGCAGCGGGTGAAGTTGAATGTATGCATTGCAAATATATATGTCCTCTGAGTCTGGAAAGTAGTGGGAACTAAGTTGTAGTGCTAGGTTGGCATCCTGGGAAATCTGTATTGCATAACCAACATTTGTCATGCAAAAACGCAGTTTGATGTTCTCATGCGGACTGCCTAGGAGAGAGCGCTCCGGAAAGTTGTCATGCTGGGCTCCTCCTGCATTTGGAAGCGTCATGCACATTGTAGCATCACAAGTTTCCAGACATCCAGGGATAATATTTGCACCTGATAGAACTGCGGAACGGAGTACTTGAAGCAGAAATACGAGGAGATGCTGGAACTTTTCTCGGCCGGAGTAGACGGGGACGACGGTGACTAGGTGGGTCTCCGGAAGTAGAAGTTCATTTTTCTTGCTGCCCTCCTGTATCAATTTCAATGCTTATTACTACGACGCCGACCTGCAACCAGTAGTGCACCAGCACCTGAACTATTAACTCGCAGACAACATGTAGGTTTTCTGGCGATCATGACAATCACAATGAACTTCTGCCAACATTATCATGTAGAACCGGAGGCGCGACTACTTGTTGTAGCGAGTACAATCCTCCATTTTCAAAACTTGTTTCTACCAAACATAACGAACAATGAGATCATTCGGCCTACCATTCATTTGTGTGTGTGTTCGCCCGTGGTCGTGCAGAAATGGAAATCGTCATGTTATGCATGTAGTAGATGTAGACGCATAGCAGGAGTACGAACTGCTTTTGCTTTCTGTTTTTTGTCTCGACGTCTAGATGTTGGTGTTGCAACTAGAAGGGCGGTATGTCAGCGTCCGAGTGGCAATAAAACAAAAAATGTGCAACAAGAACAACTGGTCCCTCTTCTAGTAGTCATCCTTAAGTAGAATCGTTGTCGTGGTGGAAGATCATGGCAAGAAACACGTCTCGTCCCTCTGTTCTTGCTCGTTGCTTTTTTTCTACGGGAAGATGTTGTACACTTGGTCCTAGAGAAGTAGATGCTCGTGCTTTATTCCTCTTCCCGTCATCATCCATCGTGCAAAACAAGCAAATCGCTTTGGTGGGCTGCTCTAGGTTAAAAATAAAAAAGCTTTGTTTCTCATCACTCAGAAGTCCTCGTTCTCGTAAAACTTGATATCCAAACCGTAGCACTTGCACTGATAAAGCTAGTACAAGTCGTACACCAAGAAAATAACCGTCCACACCACCCTACTTCTCTTCTTCACATTGTGACAAGAGAATGAAAAGGGAAAGGCGTCTTTCGTGAAAGTTGATTAAGGCTATAATATGCTTCGCTGTGTGAATGTGATGTTACAACTCAAAAATGAAAACCCATGACGGTCGTCTGCAAAGTTTTTTTTTCCAAGAACGGAAAGGGTCAGTCAGAACTCCAATTCCAGCCCCGGGAGGGATCTGAAGTTGATACTATATACACGAGTTTTAAGTCGTCCTGCTGCTGCTCCTGCACATATTGATTAGAAATCAAATTTACGTCCGCAGAAAAAAAACCCACACACAATAAAAACCATGTCTCGCAACCCGGAGCGCACCTGGGTCAGGCGGTCGGAGTCCGCACCACGTGCGTTGACGAAGCCACCAGGCGCCACGATGGATGCCGGCATGGGGCAGATAGTGTGGCAGGCCCCGTGTCTCGTGAACTTCCAACCGTGCCAGGGTGGAGACAGACCGAAGATAGGTACTTATTGAAATGCAGACATTGACATCAACATACACAGAATGCGCAATTTTGGTTTTGCACAATTGCATGCTGTTGCCATTTAGTACTTACTGCCTCGCACTGAATGAAGTAGTCCTCATGCCGGTTCACCACGGATCGTCATGTGTGCCTGTGCAACGCTCGCTCCTCCGCCCTCGTATCACCAGTTTTGGGATCTTGTTGAATAGGTGAAGTGATCATACAAATCAATGCCAGCAACATCACCAAGTACTTCATGTTAAGTTATAATCAGGTCGTGATCTGTTCGGCTCCGTGACGAATCCATACCAGTTTGACAAGACTTTTGTCAACCGAGTGGACAATTTTAAGAAGCGAATTGCGGAAAAAATGGAAATGGACGTCGAGACCGAAGCCCCAAGCAGCAGCAGGAGTTCAGGTAGTTACAGAGTTTTCATGCGGGATGTGCAAGCAGCACAGATTTGTCATGCACTTTGTGTGTCGTAAATGCTAATGCAAAAACCAAAAAGTGTGCATTGTAATACGATGAAATTTCCCACTAAAATCAGGTTCCTCCTCCGTCCCCGAGCGTCAGTACTCCGTCCGGAGATCACAAAGCTTCGAGTACACCAACCGAACACCCTTTACCGTGCATGCCCAGTCAAGTCCTAACCTGGTGATCAATATCGCCAGAAACAAACCGGGATACATGGGGTATAAAATTCAGTATAGGATCATTTCTATTTCTTTCAGTTTCACGCTATTGCTCATGTGAATTCACGCGGCAAGCAGGGAACAGTGAGTACTAATTACATTTGTAGTTTGCTGGAACTTGAGATAAATGCAGTAGAAGGGGTGCTGGCGTGTCCATGATGCAGCTCTCTCTCCCGTTTTTTTCATGGTTATCTTTTGCAATCAATAGAATTCGAATTCCAACCTTTACTTATTTATCAGGTATATTCCCGGTGAGAAAGCAGAAAACGTTCACGGTCGCATCTGGGCGAAGATGGTGTCCGATTGCGCACACCTTCGCGGCCCAGCAAAATCCCAGCCGTGGGACGGAGCGCGGGGTATGCTGCCCCTGCCAACGCCCTACCCGGAACTGCGGCACCACCCGACGCACTGGCTCGGGAACGGGTATTAGGAACCATGTAGGACTTCTGTAGAAAAAAACAAAAAATCCTCGCCGTGGTGCGAAGACAAAGAGCTTTTTTCCAAAAAGCATTTATTTTCATCGGGGGCGAAAGCTTTTACCGAAGCGAAGTCAGAAACGTCAGTAGAGATGAAACACAGGGTACGAAGTATCGGATGAGTGACTGAGTCATTTCCGCGGAGAAAATAACACTACAACCAGTTCAAAAATATTATGTCAAGTAAAACACGGCACTGCGGTGCGATTTCTTCAATCATGTCAGGTTAATATTTCAATAGGTTCAACAGACAAGTAAATATAGGTTCATAAGGATTCCAATAGGTTCAGACTTTATAGGTTCATCATTGTGACTTGTCCTTAGGTCGATTTCATGTTCAGACGAGAAGTTTTGTTGCTTTCATGTACGCTATTTTGTAAAATTTGGTTTCGATAAAAACCGCAATTTCATGGGCAAAATGTATTGCGAAGCGCAACAAGCGCGTTTCTGGCCGGAACATCGAACACCCGCTACTTTTTTGTTTACTACATGGATAGCTGCTCCCATACTTTTCCAAAATGTACATTACTTTTGTGCTGCTACTTCTTGAATCATTGCACGCGCGGCCCTCAGCTCGTCGTCGTGTAGAAGTACTTCATAAGTGCTTTACCCTTGTTACTTATTCAATTTTGCTTTTGCTCGCTTGACGAGGTTTATACAGATGCACTTCACCACCTCGCAGCTGCCACAAGGTCGACAACGCATTTCTCCTTCCCAGGAGATCGCGTTGACCGCCTGTTGACAGGGATGAATCTGTTATTTCTCAAGCAAGTTTTTGTTTTTTCTACCGGTCAGCGATGAGAAAAAGAAGCAAGAGCTGGGCACGAAGATCTGGACGATTGTGTACCGCGCATCTTCCGCACGTAGCTTGCGAGCAGCTTTGATCATGTCTGAGTCTGTTTGATGCAGCTACAACCGGGTCGTCCTCGTCATCTATCAGCTATAAAGATGGGTATCGTAAGACTAAGAGCGAGTATCGATAGTCAAGAATCAAGTACGTGATATTATCAAAGAGAGTCGTTCTCTACGTCGTCCTTGAAGTAGGTGGGAATCCGTGCGCAGAACTACTGAAGAATCATGGGTGTGAGAGAAGATTTCGTACTAGCATTTGTCACCGGAAGTAGATTTTTCTGGGAGGGGATTCTCACGTCGTAAGAAAAACTTCTGGTCGTCCCAATACCGGCGCATTGCTTCTCGTCTAGTGCTTTGAATTCTACTATTGCACAGGACCCAACTCCATTTGTACGTAGTATCTGTTACCTGCTTATCCCCCGGAGGGACAACGAGCCAGCCCCTGGAAATACAAAAACAGGAGGACAGAATTGTACGTTGTTTTTTTGTTGAGCCTGAGAAGTCATCTGTAGTTCATCGTTGCCTAAGGCCACCCTCCTCCGCCCAGGATGCCGAAGGAGGTGAATATGGTAAACGAGATGAAGCTATGCTGTGCAAAAGTATCGTACTAGTATGAATTGCATTACAAACTGGCTCAGCATTACAAAGGTAATTTGTAATGCGGATTTCCCTTGATTATTAGATTTGTAATGCATGACTGCGATTAGTACGAGTGCGATACTTTTGCAGTGCATAGAAGCTCTGGAAAGACAGGGTAGACGGTGAGCTCAACTCCGCAGCCGAGTGGGAAGCGAACTGGGGCTTTTTGAAGGCAGAGAAGAAAGTGGAAGCGCCACCAGAAGGTATGATCATCATGATGTTGATAAGAAGTAGAACCGAAACCGACCTTGTCACGGCCCTGTCTTGGCACCACGACAGCAACTATGAACAGAAGCAAATGTATACCCAAACACTACTATCAGGTAAATTTAGTGTCGAAAGACCACCCGCCCCCGCTTCCCCAAAGCCATCGGTAACGGGCGAAGATGCGGTGGAGCTGACCGCGAAACTGAGGTATACCATCAATCGCGGAAAAACGCCGAAGGAAATCCAGGCCAGACCATTGACAACATCGCAGGTATGGACTTATTCTACAAACGACCCCCTCTGAATTTCTATGGTACGGAAACGCATGTTGTTCCCTTCCGTTTTCGTTCATGTTATGGTCAAGCAGGTCATTCTATTTCTATCCCGAAAGGAATTTCCCGGGCACGACATGTGTATTTGACGTTCATTCGCATCACCTCTTGATCCTGAAGCAAAAAATGATAAAGAAAGTAGGACGCAAATCTGTATCTGCAATGAAAAAAATCGCACCATTGCACAAAATCAGGAATTGGGCTGGAGGCCGCCGATCGAACTGTTTGGGCGGGGCGACAATGGTGTCAAGCGGGACCCCGGAATTTGGCCGCAGTAGGGTCTTCCTCTGAGGGGAGCAAGAGAATGTGTCAATGAAAATAATTCTTCACAACAATAAAATCAAGGCCTTCACCGCCACGGTTTCTTCAACTACAACACTGTTTGTTACAAAGCGAGACTCACTAAAAACATCTGTCAACTGTCACCAAGGTTCAATATTACACGAAATACGTCAACACTTAAAGTTCACTGTTACACTACACTCAGAAATGTCACGGCAGATCTTCTGATGACAGGAAAAAATGCGTTGCGAAAGATTGAGGTTGAATGTCAAATAGCCGGTCCTTGATGGACTTTTGTTAATGTTTGGGAAAATGTATGCAATGTCGATGTTGAGCTTGCGGAACAGAAGCACTTGTTAAAAAAAAAGTACCATCACCAGACGCTTTTTGCAATTCCAATTTGGTCGTCCCATGATCCTGGCGTTCCATTTTTTACCTCGGCATCATGCCTTCTATTGCGCTGCCTCTGTTTCGTCTTCGCTGCGTCGTTGAATATGCTTTTGCTACGGGAATTATAGTACGTCGCATGCCCCCTTTAAGTGTAGGAGAGAAGCTGGTGCGCCGTTGTCGTGTTTCTTTCTATTCGCATCTCTTTTGAATTCGTACGCCAGCAGTTCGTGGTCGTGGAAACAGGGTTCTTTGGGCCAGGGAGTGACCGAGAAGCGAAGACAAGGCCGCCGCGATTTTGAGAGAACAGGATTGGTGAACCTATGTCAATGAAGACTTTTCTTTTGCTAGAAGTACGAGTTCTCATGCAGCTACGTACTGTCAGCAGCCGCCGGCGCGACCGCGAGCCCGAGCGCCTCAACGAACAATCTCACGCTGGAGGCGAAAGAAGATGTGAATCAACCTTGTTTACTTCTGCTTCTCAATACAATTACTTTCGTCTGTAGTAGGGGAGAGACGCCGTTCCCCGCCAGGGCGGGAGATCTTGTGGTAGTTACCATCGAGGACCGCTGCTGTCCTTGCAGTCGCTACTGTTTTTCCTTCCGCTCGTTTAAATCTGAAGTATTCGTATCTAAAATGTATGTAATCAGCAGTTTTACCCTCAAGCCTGACTGCATGATGGGCGGTGAACAACTTTGCCCACTAGGAGCGCTTCGTCGACGGCGTAGGCGATCGAACAACCTTTCCGCGATTTTTTTCCTCTTCGCAAGAAGCGGGCCTGGTTTTTGTAACTTTTTGTGGCTGCAACAAGCTCGGAGCACCACCACGACAGCATCCAGTTCATCTTCATCGTCTGAAGTTGTACAACCGGCTACTCCGCCGCCGGCGAAGAACTTATTTTTCGAACAGCAAGAAGTAGAGCTCGAGCACGACGCGCAGCCGGACTTTGTCTCGTCTTCGTTCCTGCGAGAAGAGGACGCCGGCGCAGATGAGCTGCGACAGGTGCCACAAAAAGCAGTCCAGAAAACAAGCACGACCGCTGCAGGATATGAAACTACTGCTCCCCAGGCAATGGTAGATCACAACGACCTCCCGGAAAGTAGAACGGACACTTTTACATTTGATATGAAGGGCGGCGAGCAGGCGGGCATGAAATTCCAGGACAGTGTCAAGATCGCCTCGAACCTGGCCAATGTCGGCGACGCCAAGATATCCTGAGTAAAAACGTCCCCACCCCAGAGTCAAGTTGGGATTTTGGCAAGACAAATCGAGCATCTTTGGGACTCACGCATGACAAGTTTGGCTGCGCAGTGTAGTCGTGCCTAGCTAGTTCAAACGCATCACAGATCCAGTCTGTCATCCTGATTAGCGCATGACAGATTCCCAAACGCCACTAGGTAATTCCTCTCCTGGAGAGCCGCATGACACACATTCTGAGCCTGCAGATCCGCATGACAGCTATGGGGTGGGGATGTTTTTACATATGATACAAGACCGTGCTGATTCACTCCTGGTCGACGACGCATTCGCAATTGACGGAAGAGCAGCGGATCTCGGCGGGCGTCAAGCCGGAGTCGATTCGTGTTTCGGTCGGGTTCGAAGATTTGGAAGACCTGAAGCAAGACTTCAAGCAGGCCCTGCTCGCGAGTCAGAAGTAAAAGTTTTGCTGGTTCTTGTGACCATTTTTCTGTACTACGCTTACGCATAAGATGAACCGCGTGGAACTACTTACGTGGAGACGAGCTCGAGTGTTTTTAGCTGCACTTGTTTCGATTTGCTACGTTAGAATTAGATTTCCAAGGCGTCTACAGCATCTCGAAACCAGGATCCACGAGGATTTCTCGTTGGAAAAGTATTGACTTTTTGTTTTGTAATTGTAAGAACTACTTAGTAGTTTTTGCCACAGCCATCTTCAGCGATGAAAAGATGAGATAGAGAATGTGAAGCATGAGGTTAAGGGCACGTTATTGGTGCTCTAGATTACATTCTGAATCGATGGCAATTTTCATGATATTCTGTTCTCATTTTTGTCGTAACCTGCACCAGAAAATTAGATAATCGTGACGCAAGGAAGCGGATGCACTTTTTACATTGAAAATCTTCAGAGATCGAGACATCAACATACATCATGAGTTACACAACGTCTCTACGCGTAGCATGCCAACATAGTAAACATGCGGCTCGCTCTCGCAGCTAGGAGTGTCAAGCCGTTTTTTTCGAAATCGTGTGTAATTATAGTTTGCCGGCCTGCCGTGTACGTAGTTTATTCAAACTTGCACTTTATTTTCACGTGAATCGAAACCAGCACCGTACGACAGTGGTATAATGCATAGTTGTATGGCTGCTCGCGATGTTGATAAATCACAGCCATTTCATCTTGTTGGTTTTGATTCCGAATTATCATTTGTTGCCGTACCAGCGCACCATGATATTTTACTTCGCTAATACTAGCACTATGTCTCTATTTGATGCACATCAGAAATCCTGAAATCGTTTTTGGAATTTGAAGAAAAAATGATTTCGAGTTGTTGTATGCACCAGTAGTGATTGGAATTGACAGCCTTCTAAACGACCTCGTCTCGCTGGAATGCCAACATACGAATGTTTTTAAGTATGTTTACACTAAAGCAAGGCTAAGTGGCGAGGATCATCAGAAATTGAGTATTGCGCCGCACTTTGAAGAATTCATTGCACCTGTACTTGGAGGAGGCTCGTCTTGCATCTTTTATCTCGAAGACCACAGGAGTAGCACATAGTTTCACGCATAACGGACCGCGCTACACATGTCCAGCACAAACTTTTGGTTTTGCGACAAGAAGCATCTATTAAACAGTCTCTGGAAAACGTTGGAAGATGCCATATTTTCTCCCTTTGCCGTCGTTGCATGGCACTTTTTGTTTCGATTCAAGAACCGGCCTCAAGAATGTTCTCCGAAAGAGACCACAGACCTCGGTACGACCCTATAATTGGAGAAGCACTCAGCAACACGTCCGCAGCTCGACGTCGGCAAAGCGTGTTTTTTTGCGATTCCGTTTCATCTGCGTTCCTGCTGCAGCGCCGGAGTTGAGTAAGTTCGCCGGATCACCCTGTGCTTATCTACTTCTCGTGCTCTTGGTAGTATGGTGTAGAAGGTGTGTTACATTTGGATCATCAAGATCATCGCGCGGCTCCTAAACCTTACGGCTCTACAACTCGTCACGCGCCGTTGATTGGTAACTTGTGGGCCAATTTCTGGGATCACATATTTAGATTGACGACACATCAAGACTGGTTCTTGCAACTGTCTTCTTCTTGCGGTACTTTTCTGTTGCAGTGTCCACCGCTGGCGCAGTCGTGCTGGAACGAAAAATCAGAATTAGAAATCTTTGCCGGACATTTATTTTTGTAACGAGAACGCGAAGGAAGATGATGCATCTCTTTCTCGTCCTCCAAATTGCAAGTAGGCATTGGAGATGATCATTACAGCGACCTAGCGCAACTTCACCCACTTCTCCTGCTGCGTACTATAGGAATCAGGCGAAGATGCAAGAGCAGGACCATCACCAGCAGCAGCGGCGCGACGTGCTGCGCCTTCGCATCCGGCGGTCTCTTTGCCCCCCACCGCAGATGACTATTTCTAGTAGTGGTTCATCTGTACTAGCTGCACATCGACCTGGTGCAATAAAGCAGGGTCAACAACATCATGATGCCGCAACTACCTCTGCACCAGATGATCCGGAACTCAACTATTACAAGCACTGCGGCACGGTGATTCCTCGGGACACACTGCACGAAGCGTATGTGTCCTACGACAGCATAAGGACACGACCAGAGGAGCGTCAGTCGTCGTCCGACGACGGCGGCGGTGCCGGTAGTGGTGTTGATAGCACCACAAGCGGCTCGTCAACATCTCCTCTACTTCGGCTGAAGGACAACAGTCTCTGGCTTGCGTCAGCACGATCAGGAACAAATTCTTCCCCCAGCTCCTCGTCATCCTCCTCCACCTCGAAAAGAAAACAAAACTCGTTGTCGTTCTACTTCCGCCTGCGGATTGTGTCCAGCAAGTCAATCCCGAAAAACGAACTGTGGCTCTCCTCCCACTTGGCGCATAATTTCGGGTCGGATATTTGTGGCTCCTTCATCGCGGAGTTGCGCCTAGTACCTTCGTGGTCTACTTCGCTGGGTGAAGATAGTGTTGTCGGTGTAGAAGGAGCTCCTCCTGCTGCAGCTAAACCGTCGGGCCGAGGCGGAACAGGATTAAAATCCGCTTCACAAAGTAGACAAAGTGCGCATGTTGAACGAAGTAGAGCACCACCTCCAGAACAAGTATTGCAATGCCTCTGCATCGAGGACGGTAGCATGAACATCCTCTCTACTTCCCCTATGCAACAACACCTCGCGCCGCGGCTCTGCTCCAAAGCTCACCTCGAGCTGCTCGGTGGGACAGCCGCTGGGCTGTTGACGAGGAATTTGCCAGAAGACGTCATGGCGAACGTCGCGGACTTATCAGAATGAAAAATCCCCCCTCCCCATATCAAAATGAAGTCTCTGATGCTGGATTTGCGTACACAAATCAGATTTGTGTTGCTGGCGAGGACTCCAGACCCACGCTAAGCCTGAGTAGACAGGTTTTGGCCTAGGCGCTTTGCATGACAGACGTCTCCGCTGTGGCTAAAACAACATGACAAACCGCCTGTGGAATGCGGCGGAGCTTGTGGAGTTGCCTTCATGCAACACAGAGGCGATTTGTGGTCACAAATCAGCAACGCAAATTTTCGAAAACGCGCCTTGTCAATATGGGGAGGGAGGATTTTTCCTTTTGATAGGACTCCCTGCGGATTCTTTGCGGCACGGTGCCCCGGCTTATGACAGTGCACAACTCCCCCTCCCCCTCATTTTGTCATGCAGAATCTCAAATCCAGTCGCTCTCGCTGCCTTGTGGCACTGTTTGCATGACAAGTTCTGGTAGCCCAAATAGCACTACACTCCAGTGTAAATTTGTCATGCAAAACCCGCACTCTTGCTGATGCTTGTGTTGCCGTTCATGCTAATATACAAATGAGGGGGAGGGGGAGATGTGCAATCTCATACGGCTCGTCGCGGTCAACGAGGTTTTCACCCTGCCGTTGGCTTTGTGGCCCGCGGGATTTGAGTTCTTGGCCCGGATGGAGCGGAACGGGCAGGTCAGGTTTGAGGCGAGCAGCGTCGCGCCGCAGCAGCCAGCTGGGATAGCATTGAACAACTCAGGAGCTATGAGTTCTTACAACGCAACCTCATCGGGCGGCGCACTAGGGGGAACGGAACCAGGGGTCGTGAAGAATCCGTTGACTCTTCCAGCAGCATCCTCCGCCGCGCACCGGTTTTTGGTTGGACGGCACGTCAAAACCGCAGGAACCGATGCTTATTCCCAACAAGGCGGCACTGAAACAACCGAAGCTTCATTTGGCGCTGCCACAAGAGCACCAGGGGGGACATCTTCACGAGCAGCACAGGGAAACGACCCGGCCGGGTCCAGCATACTAGAAGCGGGCGCGGCTGCTGCTAGTAGAAGTGCTGCAAGTAGGACACATCATCTTCCGCCAAAGCCGAAAGCCAAACTGCTGCCTTGGATGTCTCGCCAGAAACCGAGTCCAGATATCAGCTACCGACAGGCGATTGAGCAGCAGTTTTTGAACGTCACAGACTCGGTGTTCGATCTGTTTATGCCCTTTGGATTTCCCAGTGTTAATATGGGAACATCAAATGGGGCATCGAAGAACACAGGTGAACAAACATCAACCGGAACTACAACGAGAAACACAGCGACCGAATCCGTGGTCGCAAAGATCGCGAAGACGGTGACGAAAAAGTGCAACCCGCACCCGCTCTGGGACTACAGCTTTCTGCCAACGTTCACTTTTCGGGTAAAGAAGTTAGAGGTGGCGGGGATGGAAATCGGAGCGGACGACGAGATGAAGAACAAAGAGGATTTGCAAACAAATTATGGGATGAAAGCAGAACGAAGAAATGTCGGCGGCTACATTTCCTTCCCGGAAACAGCGGTGGAGCTGGTGTCGAAGGAAGAGGATTCACCACCAGGTGAGGACACGAGTGGTCCTGGCGGTGGAGGTCGCGCACCTCCAAGTTATAGAAGCTCCGTATTGATGCTGATGGACCATTACATCGAGGATAGCGAGGACGAGGAAAATTCGCTCGATAATTATCCGCAGCTGCGCGCCAGGGGTCAGAATACAGAAAATAATGACGGTCGTGCAGATGGTGCGCAACAACTTGACTACTACAAGACAAAAGCCCGCCCTCTGCAGCACCAGCAGACCACTGCTACGCCCTTTTCCCTGTTTCACTTCGCGAACCACTTACCGGCACCGTGCTTGCCGTGTTTGCGAGAAAATGCAGGGATTCTGAGGAAAGTTATGCACGATATACTATCTACACCGTTTGATGCCGCGAGCGCGGCCACTAGGACCACAACTACAACTAGCACAGTACCCCCCGTGCTTCTCTTCGCCGGCCCGCGCAGCACGGGGAAGCGGGGGTTACCCGCGATGCTTTGCCAGATGCTCGGGTTTGAATACAAAGAGATCAACTGCGTCGCGGATCCGGAGTTTACGACCATAGAAGAGTCTTTGCCGAAGCTGGTTCGCGGAATGTCCATGACGACCGCGGGTGAAGTAGATGGTTCCTCCACCTCCTCCGTTCGCAAGCGTCGTGCTCCTGGCAAGAAACACAACCACCACGACCTCCTGCTCCCCACCCTCCTGCACCTGCGTCGGTGCGATTCGCTGTTCAAGGGGAATCCTATGCAAGAAAACCGGGTGGTGTTGCAGCAAAAGCAAGCGGCGACGGTCAAGCTGGTAGTTGAGAAACAGTTGAGAACTACGTCTAGGAGGGCAAGAATACGTCGAGGAGGACCACGAGCGAGTAGTAGTAGTCATCTTCCTTTCATCCTCGTTTTTTCTTGTGAGGAAATGGATTCTGTGGGAAACGTGTTTCTGGAGGAAGTCGTTCAGAAGGTGCTGACCTTCAAATTGCCCGACGAGGAATCGAGGACAGTGGCGTTGGAGCGGTTCCTGGGTCGTGCGAGGGGAGCGAGCAGTGGCAGCAGTGCTCCTTCTGCCAGTAGTACGGCTCTTCAAAAGCCGCTTGTTGCAGGAGATGGACAACTCCTGTCGCAAGGACGAGCAGGAGAGGAGCCATCACAGTCTTTACTATCGCAGTTGCCCTCGTCAACAAGAACTGCAGACCAGACTTTTCAATTCGATTCGAAACCCTTCCAACCCACCGAGTTCCTGCACAAATACTTAGCCTCCAAAACCACCGGATTCTCTTTCACCGAGCTGGAACTCCTTGCTTTGCGCTGCAAGGAAAAATGCGAAAAACAAGATCATGCGGATGAAATGCGGGCAGGAACCAATTCTCCCGGCGAGGTTGGTGCAACAGGAGGAAATAAAATGGAAAGTGTAAAAAACAAGCAGAAAGAACCTCTGCCGGGCCGAAATTATTCTACCAGCGTAAAAACATTATCAGCCAGCGCAGCGGCAGCTTCCTTTCTTCTTCTCCCCGAAGACGTGGCGGATTCTCTGATTCAGGAAATTAAGCAAGACTGCATGTCCGCGAAAAAGGATCTGACGAAGCAGGTCAAACTGAGCAAAAAAGACATTTTATCAAAACGAAAAATCCCCCCTCCCCATATCGAAGCGGTATGATTCCGAAAATTTGTGTTGCTGATTTGAGACCACAAATCGCGCCTGTCTTGCAAGAAGACAAGCGCAGAGGCTGCCGCGCCATTATGGAAGCGATTTGGCATGCTGTTGGGCCTAGGGGGCGCCCGTTTGTAATGCTAAGCAACGAACTAGACCCAAACGCCCCTGCCTATGCTGAGGATCTGGCTGCGATGCCTTACTGCAAGACAGCGCGCATTTGCGTACGGAAATCCCGCATCACAGATTTCCGTTTTGATATGGGGAGGGGGGATGTTTCATTTTGATAGATTTCCTGGGACGACATTGGCGGCATGGAGACCGCGAAAAAAGAAATTTTGGATCTGATCGAACTACCACTGTCTACGGATCCGAAAACGAAAAAACTTTTTTCTAGTGGAATAAACAAGCAACAACAACAGCAAACGAAACTCCGGTCCGGCGTCCTGCTTTTCGGCCCGCCGGGGACGGGAAAAACCTTGCTCGCCCGAACGGTGGCCGCGGAGTGCGAAGTTTCGTTTCTCTCTGTCAAGGGGCCGGAGCTGCTCTCCATGTACATCGGCGAATCGGAAGCGAACGTGCGCAAAGTGTTTCAGTCGGCCAAGGACTGTCTGCCCTCCGTGCTGTTCTTCGACGAGCTAGATAGTTTGGCCCCGGCGCGGGGCAAAGGGTCCGATTCCGGCGGCGTCATGGACCGGATTGTGTCGCAATTGTTGACCGAATTGGACCAAGTGCCGAGCAAAGTCTTCGTCCTGGGCGCGACCAATCGGCCGGACTTGCTGGATTCGTCGCTCTTGCGGCCCGGAAGACTGGACCGGACGATCTACCTCGGGATCAGCCAGGACAAGCTGCCGATTTTGAAGGCCGCCACGAGGAAGCTGGCAATCGGGAGAGAGGTGGACTTGGCAAAGATCGCCGCGCAACTGCCGGCGGCCTTTACGGGCGCGGACACGGCAAACCTGGCCCAGGAGGCGTACCAGCGGGCTTTGCAAGAACGAACGGACTTTATCAAGTTCGAGCTGTGCGAGGGCCAGGACGTAAAGGTGACGACGTTTTTGCTCGAAGTCGAAAAGATTGCAGAGGAAATTAACGAAAGCGCAACAGCGCAAAATGAAATCAGCTCCTCGGCAGACACACAATCAGGTTTTTCGAAAATCGCGGACGGAGTTTGGGAGAAAATGGCCACCGAGTTAGGTGTCGCTGTAGAAACTACATCAGGCGTAGAAGAGGACGACACTGGAGCAGGTGGTGAAGTCGTGCCCAGGAGCAGCAGCAGGCGTCAGATGTTTCTAGCGAAGTCACTGCTAGAAATCCCAGTGAAGGAGAAACATTTCTTACAAGCACTGGAAGTGTGCCACCCATCTGTGACAAAAAAGGAACTTGAGAAATACGAACTGTTGGCAAAAGAGTACAGAAATGCATAAATAGCATACTAATACAGACGAACGAGGCACGTAAAAACAGAGAATCTTCAGTCTCAGTGGTGACAGCACAATGCGATAAAATTGAAGGCTTAGAGTCGGATGATCTTTGCGGCCATCATGCCGAAGATCGCAGCGACTTCAGCGGCCTGAGCACTCCTTGCGTTCATCTTCTCTGTGGTTTCTTCCTGTCGCCAGTTGTTGACATCGATTAGTTTCTTCCTGTCGCCTGTTGACATCGATGTTCTCGTACCGGGACCGCAAGGCAATCGGGGGTGGGCAGCCACCGGGTGGAAGGGCAGGACCTAGTAGCAGTTTATTTTGACTGATCGTCTATAATTGGGGAATAGGTCTTCAAAGGGACAGGGCTCAAAACTTTCGGGGGTTATGGTGTTGACAGCCAAGTGATTAAGTACTTGTCAAGTTCTTGTAGATAAGGATTGCGAAGATGTTTTATGTTGATGAACTCGTCAACAACAGGATACACAGCTGCACGTGCAGCGAGGTAAAGGTAAAGGTACAGGTATAGTAAAAAAAATACGCCTAGCTTCTCACTGAGTCAACCTGTGCCTCACCGGGGTTGAAGTTGAACTGGAACAAAAGTCGTGGTAGACGAGGTATCGGAAGAAAAATTACGCACACCACGCGGTGCGTTCTTCACTACGAAGCAGATCTAGTTCAGTGCAACTCGGAGTTTTTGTTGAAACATTCGCCACTAAAACCGGATACAAATATATTGAAACACGAACATGGCAAACGCGATTGACAGCACCACTAAAGTTTCGCCAGAAGTGGAACGCAACTACAACAACGTGGCATCTTCACATGATGCACCCGACACCGATAATGGTTATGGCAAAGGCGAACGCGAAGCCGATGCCGACCCGGCGCGCCTGAGTGACCAGGAGGATGAAAGTGCTGGAACAAAAACTTCGGGCGGGGAGCAGCGGGAGAAGATGAAAGCTTCACATCAGCAGCACCGGAAAACGTCCCGAACTTTCACTGATCTGGACATTCCAGATTGGTCACTACGGCCCGCAACGTTCGAGGAGCGGCAGAGGGGCGAGAAGTCGACGGAGACTGCGCTCCCGGTCAATGCGCATTTCTGGATTCAGGAATGGAAAGTAATCGCCGCCGATGTATGGATTGCACGAAACCAGGGATCGCACTACCCGTGCTAGTAGTGGCAATTATCGCATAATTTTTGCTGCATGACCACAAAATTTTGATCTTCTCTGTTATACCTGACTCGGTTGTAGCATTGTGATGAATTGCGCCTTTCATAAATTTTGAAAACAAGACGATTTGCATATGGGATTTCCACGGCTAGTATTGCTATTGCGCTAAAAACTTTTGTCTTCCATACAACGGGCACGAGTACAATAAAGTGAAGTTCCGTATGCAGATCAAGTGGACGGACTACAGACTGGCCAACTGGAGTCTCGAGGAGGATGTGCCCGAGAATATTTGGAGGCCGGAGATGTTTTTCGTGGGCGAAGGGGGCATTTCGATTCCGGATTCGGAGCTGCAAAAGCCGCCCACCTTCGCCGCGCGGGACCGAAACGACGGGGTGCTGCTGTGGGAAATCTACACGGAGCTGGCGCAATTTGAGGTGTTGGCATCCGCGGACGGGTTGCGATCTTTTCCGTTCGACAGTTCCCGGTACGATTTCATCGTGTGCCTGTCCGGGGAGAAACGGCTGGAGGGGTCGAACGAAGTGAAGTTTGATTTTGAGAAAAGCTGCGTCGAAAACTTTGACATTCCGGTCTCGGATCCGCAAAAGTGCACCAGCGGGGACTTCGAGTTGAAAGGTGTCAGCTACGCCAAGGGCGGGCACAGCTCGATGGCGAACCCGACGGGGTACGAAGACCTGCTGATTTCCCTGCACGTGAAGCGCAACCCGAAATTTTACCTGTTCAAGACCTGCTTCCCCTTGTACGCGATTCTCATTTTCGGCGCCCTCTCCTACTGTCTCGAGGTGTCGGATCTCTCCGGGCGGCTCAACCTCATTTTCGCGATGTTCTTGACCTGTTTCGCGCTGCAGTGGATCGTGCTGGACCGCCTTCCGCGCGTGCCCTACATGACCTATCCAAGAAAAAAACTGTGTTAGTGTAAATATTTTGGGAAAACAGCATCACAAGTTTGTCTGCAATGACAGGAAAAGCTTGTTATGCACAGATAGGAAGGGGAAACACATAGGAAACGAGCCGATCATTCATGTCGAGCATGACAAGTGTAACTGTTCTTTTGCATTTTTTGCATCACAGATTTTGATTTACACTTACACGGTTTTTTTCTTGCATATGACCGTCTTGGACACCATTATTTCATTGGTGAACGCGAGTTTGTTATGCATTGCAAATATGTCATCTGGGTCTGGAAAAGTGGAACCTGTGTTGCATTTCTTGCATTCCTGAAAGATCTGTATTGCACTGCTAGCAAGAAAGGCGCTACTTTTTCGTCCTTACAAAACCGCAGTTTGTCATGCGTGCTGCGCATCAGACGGCGTCAAGTATACTTGTCATGCTTGGCTGCACTTGAGAGCGCCAGTCTTATCCAAGCTTTAGCATCACAAATTTCCAGACCCAGACATATATTGCATTTGATATTTGTTGCTCATGGGAGTGGGGTCCGCGGTTGTGGCGATAATCTTGTCTCGGGACCGTTTTCCGTTGTATGCATAATTGCGAATGTGTCTGGGTCTGGAAGAGTGAAACTTGTCATGCCACATCTGGATCGTGGAAAAATTTGTGTTGCATGATTACCAAAAGCGGTCCACTACTTTTGAACAAGTATTATTAGAGGCAGTTTCTCATGCAGGAACGGCATGATAGAGATCTCACAGGTGAACCTGTCATGCTAGGCCGTGCATGGCAGACCGCGTGGGTCATGGAAAACCTGCATGACAAACCTACGAATCTTCCAGACCCAGACATTTTTGCATTATGATACGTTGATCTCTTCAACAAACTCAAACTTGGAATCCGACACCAGCAGCGCAGCAGTGGAGCTCGCAGCACAGGTAGAAACGAAAACGGTAAATTACTCCGTTATGAAATGCAAAAGCATCGCACTAGTATGAACCAGCCATGCTCCGGCTGCCGCCGGAGCGCAAGGCTGTTGGGCCGGGGCAAGACTGCTTGCCGATCGGACCACAACCCCACGGGCCTATGCAAAACGAAACATACTGGATTCCTGCCCCCGGTTTGCGCCGCGCCAACCCTCAGGACCACTTGCGCGCTTCCCGCGCCTGTAGGCGCTCTGCGCAGGGAGCAGCTGCAAAGAACAACGGGGGCGAACAGAAGCCGCCCGACGGGAGAGGGTAGCGCGAGAGGGTGGCGCGGGAGGGTGGCGCGAGAGGGTGGCGCGAGAGGGTGCGCGAGAGGGTGGCGCGAGAGGGTGGCGCGAGAGGGTGGCGCGAGAGGGTGGCGCGAGAGGGTGGCGCGAGAGGGTGCGCGAGAGGGTGCGCGAGAGGGTGCGCGAGAGGGTGGCGCGAGAGGGTGGCGCGGAAAGGCGCCGAGCCAAACAAGTCCGCGAATGGCCTGCAATGCCAAATATGGGTAGCACCATGCGGATTCGCGCCCGCTTCTTTGTGTTTTTACCCTCTCGCAGACCTCTCGCAGACCCTCTTTTTGACCTCTTTTGGGGGTCCCCGCTAATAGTCCGGCTATACTCGCGGGGAGAGGTCGACAGAGGTGGCCGAGAGGTGGCCAAGAGGGTCCGCGAGGGGTCGCCCCTTATTCGCGCAACCTCTCTCCACCTCTGTCCCCCTCTCGCGCCCCCTCTTTTTGACCTCTCTGCACCCTCTGTGCCACTTAGGCGGCGCCTAAGGGTGGGCGCTTACTGCGGGCCTTATTCGCGCACCCTCTCGCGCACCCTCTCGAACGGGGTCCCGCGCCACCTCTCCACCTCTGTCGACCTCTTTTCTACCTCTGTCGACCTCTTTTTTACCTCTCGGCCACCTCTCTGGGACCCTCTGTCTACCTCTTTTTTCGCATGAATATAATGTATAGTAATTGCATTACAAATTTCCTCAGCATGAATTGCCTTAGGAAAAAGATGCTGATTTGCCTTAGGAAAAAGACTTGTAATGCATAACTGCAACTAGAACTACGAGCGCGATGCCTTTGCACTGCATATCCGTGTCTCAAGTGCGACTCGCGGACCAGGTGGACTATCCTGTGCAAAAGTATCGTACTTCTACTCGTATTTGAGTCATGCATTAAAAAGCTTTTTCTTAAGGTAAAGCCGCATTACAAATTTTATCTCTCATGCTAAATTTGTAATGCATTTATACGAGTACGATAACGATAGCGATACTTGTGCAGTTCATATGGGCCGGATTTTTCAAATTCTCGTGCTGGTACTTTTCTTCGGGCTACACTTGTACGTGGTATATGGGGTGAAAGCCGCGAGAAAAATATACAGGAAAAAAACTGTGTTAGTGTATTACCTCTCGTCGTGTTCGAACGACAGCATCACTAATTTGCTGTGCATGACAGAGAATAGTTTGCCATGCATGGCTAGTAGCAGTGAAAAGGCAAATAAAATTGAGGCTTCCACCGGAGTGTCATCTGGCATGACAGGTGTAAGTCTGTTTCTTTTTCCGCATAATTATTACTGATTTAGTACACTGACGCAGTTTTTGTCTTAGATAAAGAAGAGAGGGAATGTACCGCCCCTGGTCGGACTATGGGAATGTCAGGATTGAAATCGTCAAAGTTGAATTTGATTTGCCATGCACAAAATGCGATACAAAAACTGACTCTATTGCAGAGGACGCACGGGAGGCAGATTATAGTCCTGGTAAGGGTCAAAAGTTGGACTGCTGACTAGCATGACCACAGAAGGCAGCTCTTTTGCCCTAAACCGCAGGACAGACTCGCTATCAGGACCGGGAAAATTTGTCATGCGCCGACTACAAACTGTATGTCTAATTGGTATCGGGTTTATGCATCATAAATCATTTCAACTTTGACGATTTCAAACCTGACGCTTCCATACGGACGGGCCGCGGGCGTGGGTCAAGAAAATCGCGGACCCGCACTACGTAGCTTTTCCGCTACGGGTGAAGTATTCCGCCTACGCAGATCGCAGTGAAAAGGAGCACAGGGAGTTGCAGAGGCTGTTTTTGGGGGTGGAGAAGGAGGTGTTTTGAGAAGGGAGAGCGTCGGCTATTTGTCGTGGAGGCGAATATTTACGCAGCAATATTTTTATCATGAAAGTTCGTTACGGATCAATGAGCATCATAATGCCCACAGCTGCAAAGGCACACACTCTTCCAGCCCGCCTCCAGGAGCGCTTGTATCGCTCGTTACTCATCATGGCCTGCGTCAGCGTATATTACTTCACTGGCAACTAGTTGTTCGGTCTTTCGGTTTCGCCTTGTGACTGCTCAAGAAGGAGATTATGCCTCGGTTTTGCAAAAGTCAATGTCTTGGAATTTATGAATTTGTCCATCAGGAGTCCGTGTATGAGGTTTCTTATTATTGTGCTGTTGTGATGATTTCGGTCTCGGTCCCGGTTGCATTGTATGCAAGTGCGAGTAGAATAAAGTTCTCCACTAAATCCGGTCGGTTTTCCATTTTCGTGATGGAGATCTAGTTGCATTTTTCGGTCACCTCATTCCTTGTGCATCTTCGGTTTGGTCGCAGGACTACACGCAGAGGCTTCTACTTCCGGATTTTATTTTCGGTATTAACTTCTAGTTGATTGGACTCCGCCCTGGATTTCAAAAGAAAAAGGCGAGAAGCGCGAGAAAAAGTAGTAAGTAGTCGAAACGCAGTGTGTCGTGCTCGTGACACCAAGGTGTTGTACTTACTAGCTTGCATCTTAGATGAAGTCAGTATCTAGCTTGCATCTGAATTTATTCCAGGTCCTCATTTAACAATATTTGTATTTCTACACTACCTCCTAACTATTGCTTTGTATATTCGTTGCACTTCTTTGATTTTGAGGAACAAATTTTTTCTTTTTGTTTTTCGCTCGGTCTCCGCATCTGGGTGTTGCGTCTGGTCTACAACTACGCTGGCTCCAACAAAGATGTTGTAAAAGTAGCTCTATTTATTTCCATTGCTGGGTGCTCCAGCCCCGAACTCTTGGTTAAGAGTGAAGCGGTTTAGAATTAGCGCCCCCGGCCGCTGCAGAACTTTATTACCTTGGCTATAAAAACCTAGCGCTTGAACCTGAATGATCGCCCCGGTGGTGCGTGATTTTCTTTTTCACTATCCTGAGATAGTACGACGACCGTAGAAGTTGAAGGCTTTTTGGTTTTCGACATCATGCGGAAAACGACCACTCTGGGCGCCACCGTGAAAGATGGAGCATCTTCTACTTCAAACGAGATCATGATGCCCGACGGGAGTGGTACAACTCCTAGTTCCTTTGTAGTTCTTCCCCCGCAGCGTATTGTAAGGAAAAATCCCCCCACCCCATATCGAAAAGAAAATTTGTGATGCTGATTTGTGACCACAAATCAGCTTTCTCTTGCGTACAAGGCAAACGGCACCCATGTGGCGCATTGTACAGCGAGTCTATCATGCGTTTTCGCCTATGTCAGACTTGTTTCTCATGCTCAGCTGCTAGCCGGATGCGTACCCAAGTGAGCTTAGAATATGCCGACAAGCTCCTCTTGCAATACAAAGTTTATTTGTGTACACAAATCCAGCAACACAAATTGTCTCTTTGATATGGGGTGGGGGCTTTTTTCATTTTGATACAGCGAAACAACGAGTCGACCTTTATCCGTACTGTCGATGGCACACCTGTTCAGGGCGAGGACCGCCACAAGAACCTCCAGCAAGGGGGTGGTGCTTCTCCTTTCCCAAGGCCACGAGGACGTGCAGATGATAAAAATAATCGCGAGGATCTACCAGTACCCGGTACTATCTTTAGTCCTGGTGGCTTGCTCGCAAAGCGGGAAATAGAAGACGCCAGGAGGGCGAGAGAAGCTGCACGACAACTACAGGCAGCAGCTTTATTACAACCTGCCGCTACAACAACCCCCGACCGGGTAGTTGGTCTTGATGTCGCGTTGCGCCGGAAGAATAATGTTGCTACTACAAGAACTACAACAGATGAACAACAACCCCGACGAGGACCTTCCGCACTTACTACAGAACAACGAGAACCAGCAGGAAAATCACGAGGAGCCGGCGGATTGACCTTGACAAAGGGGCAAGATGAAGTTGGGAAAGTGGATGAGGAAGTTATTCCCGCCTCGAGGACCGGGTCCAGGGACGATTTATTTTGGAGCGAGGCCGGAGGAGACGAGGTGGAGAGGGCCGAGTTGTTGAACGACTATGGTGCAGCAGCTGCCTACCAGGCACCTGCCAGGGCGGAAGATGTCAGCGTGGTAGACGACAGTGTGGAGGTCATGATGATGCCAAAAACGCTGTCAGAGCTCACCGCCACGTCAGACTCGGACAGGGATCTACCTGATGAAGGCAGTCGCGGACGAACACCACGCACTTCCTCTAAAGACCCGAAACCGAGCGCCGCAGGGGCGCAAGAAGATGGTGGCTCTTCTCCGTCGATCACAACTTATGAGGACGTCGACATTCTCAGTGAGATATGCCGTGCAAAAGTATCGTACTCGTGTAAATGCAGAAGTCTTGCATTACAAATCTTGTTTATTAAGGCAAATCCGCATGACAAATTCCATTTCTAATGCCAAGGAAATTTGTATTGCAATTTATACTAGTACAATACTTTTGCAAGGCATATGAGAAGGAATTTCATCGAACACCGCATGAAGATCAAGGGAAGAGGAACAGTATAGCAGTATCCTGTGTAAAAACGTCCCTACGACCCCATAGCCAGGATGGGGATTTTGCAACACAAACCGAGGAGTTTTGGGAGTCACGCATGACAAAATGCACTCCGCAGTGTAATGCAGGTTAGCAAGTGCAGCCGCATCACAGATTAATCTGCTCATCGTGTTCACAGCATCGCAAATTTGAGAACACGATTGGGAATGCCTATCATGGAAGATATGCGCATCACAAATTTCCGTGTCATCGCAAATCTGCATGACAACTCTGGGGTGGGGACGTTTTTCCTCAGGATAAGAAGCTGCAGGGGATGGGGATCCACCATCCTCGTCCTGGACCTTTAATATTATCACAAGAAAAAACTGTTTCACTGTGAACTTGTGATGCATAGAACGGAACGCAAATGTGTTTGTCTTGCCACACATGCAAGACATTGGATTTCTAACTGTGTTTTCCCTTAGGAAGCACGCATGACAAGTTTCCTTTGTCATGTGTAACAAACTTGTGATGCAGATCTTCCAAAATCGTCACAGTGAAACAGTTTTTTCCTGGGATAAATATCCAAGCGGCTGCAGCAGAAGGACCACCTGCTGACAAACTGAGCAGGAAGATCACGGACACTAATTATATCAAGAGAAACACAAACAAGGACATGTTGAAGAAGATATCTGCAATACACGACCCCGCTGCGAGTGAAGTAGATCTAGATGACCAAGATAAAGAACAAAGACCCGGAGGTGCTGGTGCGGGTTTATTTGCCGTAGCTACAAGAACTTCTACCAGCGCAACGACCGCAGCGAGTGCCAAGAAGAAGCTTCCTGAGCAGCAGGACGAGGTTCAGCAGGAGCTGCGGGGGCACCAAGATGTTGAAGAACACCATGTAGTTGACAAGCACGACGATGACTACGGCCACCGCCACGATCATGAGCACCTTCACCATTATCCCCCCAAGCACGACTTCGTAATTTTCGGCGCGGACACGGTGATCGGAAAGTTGGTGATTCGCTACATGGCAAGGCGTATCAAATGCAAATATGTCTGAGGCTGGAAAAATTGGAATTCGAATTTGTGGTGCGAATTCTACATCATGCCAACATCTGTCATGCATGGCCAGCAAAAGGCTCCACTTCTTGGCACAGAAAGAGGTGATTTGTCATGCGGATTAAGCATTGGGATACCTGTTCGAAACTTCTACCTGTGACGCTAGGGCTTCCATGCCAGCCCTTTTGTGTCATGCAAAACCAGCATGGCAAAAATCTGCATTCTTCCAGACCCAGACACATTATTTGCATTTGATAAGGCGCCAGGCCGTCAGTGGCACGTGGTCGAACCGGTTTGTGTTTGCGATTCACTCCTTTGTCAGCACGAAGGAAGAGCTGAAAGCTATCAAATGTAAAAATGTCTGGGTCTCGAAGGATACAAACTTGTGATGCGCATTTCAAGACACAGAAAAATCTCTCATGCATAGTTAGCAAAAGCTGCCCAGTTTCTGCCACCATAATGGGGGATTTGTCATGCGGATTCGGCATTGCGAAAGTTTCTCGAAACCTGTGATGCTAGAGCTCCCATGCCAGACCTTCTGTGTCATGCAAAAACAGCATGACTCTTCCAGACCCAGACACTTTTGCACTTCATAAAAGCGTGGCTGGCGTTGAACATTCCAGATGAGAAAATACGATCGAAAATCGGCGTCTACAGTGGAAGAACAACAACAACTTCGTCGGGAGCAGGAGAAGATAGAAACTCGTCTTCACAAAAAAATCCGCGTCCTCGGCATGACACGACAGGTGATCTTCAAGATGTTGCAGCGGGCGGGCTGCATATTACCAGGGACGCAGCAGGAGGAGGAGCTCGTCCTCCTCGTCCTGCTCCTGCGCAGGAAGGAGTAGTAATTCCGGCTACAACTAGTACAGGCAAGAACCCATCAGCGTCTGTCGAAAATACTAGAAACGACAAAGAAACTTCTACACCAGCTCCAGTTCTGCCTGCACAGGGCTCGTCCGCCGTCCGAGAACATCTCCTTCAAGAAGTGCCAGCAGTGGTGGGAGAACATCACGATGAACACCGTGTAGTTCCTGAACAAGATCGAGGACTTCTACATCATGAGCATTATCACCAACACCACCACCACGACAACATCAACTATCCCACGACGGAAGGCGAAGTAGAGAAGACGAAAGAAGTGAAGCATCTGATACAAACGATATGCTGTGCAAAAGTATTGTACTCGTAGTAATTGCAGTCATGCATTACAAATTTTTTTCTGAAGGTAAATCCGCATGACAAATTTTATTTCTCATGCTGGGGACATTTGTAATGCATTTATACGAGTACGATACTTTTGCAATGCATAAACGAGCTCCGTCTGCATCTCCTGCGAGTCGATCTACGTATGCCTTGCAAATATGTTGGGGTCTGAAAAGTTGTGATGCAAGTCTGCGAGTAAAAATGAGCGCACTGCAATACGGAGCCTAGCATGACAAGTTTCTAAGCTGCTATGTCTTGCTTGGTAGTAGGGGATTTCCAAGAGTGCGTATGCCGCATGGCAGACCGCGTTTTTGCGTGACAGACAAGGTACTTGTATTCGTGCCTATGCATCACAGCGTCCAGAGTCATGCCAGAACAGCATGACAAATCTCGCAAAGCTTCTTGACCCAGATGACATATTTGCAACGTATACTACGCAAGGCTGGACAACGAAGAGCACAGCAGGATGATCGTGAAGTACTGCAGCATATGCTGTGCAAAAGTATCGTACTCGTATAAATGCAGGTCTTGCATTATCAAGGCAAAGCAGCATTGCAAATTTTATTTCTCATGCTGAGAAAATTTGTAATGCATTTATACGAGTACGATACTTTTGCAGGTCATACAGCAAATTTGGAAAAGACTACGCCGACTGCAGCAACGAGCCGGACTTCATGCGGGCGTGTATATGCTGTGCAAAAGCATCGTACTAAGTACAAATTGCATTACAAATTAATAGCCCAGCATTACAAATTGCATTCGTGATGCTGATTTACCTTGGGAAAGAGATCTGTAATGCATAAATGCAATTACTACGAGTACGATACTTTTGCAATGCATAGTGTATTGCCCATTACCACTTGGCAGCCTCGGAGTCCAAGGCACGGATTCTTCTCTCCGCCGGCTCCAGCTTTCTGCCCTGGGATTTAACCCTCGTCGCCCTGCAGAAGGAAATCCGCCGAGATTACCCCTTCGGGCGGGAGGAAGCGGAGTTGCGGACTTTACGGACCTACAGCGAGTATGCATTTTTGCAAATATCGATCTGGGTCTGGAACAAGGTTGCAGCTTCTGCTTGTGATGCGTCATGTATTGGTGAGTCTTCACACAAAAATAAAAATTAATTTTCCTTTCGCGGGTACTAGCACACGTGAACCAATGTAGTTTCTCATGCAAGACATGCATAATTCTCGCAAAGCGAAAGCTCCTACAAAAAATAAAGAGCCTGGGATCAAGCTATATCGTGGATTCAGCCCTCGTGGTGCATCCAAAACCAAAACCAAATCCAAACTGTGCACGACACACGACCACTTCTGCACTCATCCAGACCGAGTAGACCACATATTTGCATTTGATAGTACGGGCCTGGACGAGATTCCGCGGTCCGTCTTCGAGCCGATGCAGTACCACATTCTGCAGAAACCGAAGGAGCTGGCGAAGATTAGGAAGGAAAAACTGGAAAAGGAAAAAGAGTTGTTGAAAATAAAGCAACAGGAAATAAAGGCCGCATTGCTGCGGGACGAACAAGCTCAAGCACAGCATCTTCTTGCGGCGCATGAAGATCATGCAGCAAATATTAGAAATAGTAAGACTAAGAGCGCAGCTCTAGTAGTACCTCCCCGGCTGTCGGGCGGCGGGGAACATCATCAAAACGAAGCGGTTAGTAAGAGTTTCTCCGCGAATGGACCACGTGGAGCTGCATCTCCAGGAGCTGCGCAACTACATGATAGCAGACACAACTCGAAGTTGGAAGTAGAAAGTGGCCAACGGCAGGTAGGCGCCCAGGTAGAAGATGTTGACGAGGACCTGGACCGGCTAACGCAGCAAACCCGAGGACAGGCTTCTCAGCTTCCTGCTGTGGTGCACCAGCAGGCAACTCGTCCACATCAAGATGAAAGTGGCAGAGCTACAGGCAGCCCTGGAGGTAATTATATCTTCACGACCAACAAGAAGGCGAACAAGTCTTTGAATGGGCCCACAACGCTGCTGGGCATCAAGCCCTTAGATGTGGAGGACAAAACCAAGCTAGACTGGCTGTATTACGTCGACCCCTTCAGCACCAATCCCGTTATGGCAGCCAAGATGTTTACCGACATGGCCGCTTTCGAAACTTCTACGCAGCAACTACACTATGAGACTGCACAACTCCCCCTCCCCCTCATTTGTCATGCAAAACCTCGAATCCAAATGCATCCCTGTGGCACTGTTTGCATCACAGATTCCGGAATCCCAAACAGAACACCACTTGGCGCATGAGTTTGTCATGCAAAGGCTCCACGTGTGGTGCTGTTTCTATTGCTGTTCATGCAATACAAGTGAGGATGAGGGGGAGTTGTGCACTCTCATAAACACGGAGGTCCGAAGAAGCTAAAGACCGATCCGCGGTTTCAACTGGAGAAGGTGGACACGCCCTTTCGGTTTTTGTCCAGCAATATGCAGTGCAAATAAAGTATCGTACTCGTATAAATGCATTACAAAAATTTCCTCAGCATGAGAGATGAAATTTGTAATGCCGATTTGCCTTAGGGAAAGACTTGTAATGCATGATTGCAATACGAGTACGATACTTTTGCACAGGATAAGCAAAAAGCAGAAGCAGTTTTTCCGCACCGTCCCGGCTTTTCATGACCACCGCGAGACGATTGATGAGCAAGACGTCGACGACACCAACGCCCACCTTTCGCAGCGGGATGTTTGTGACTACATTCTTTCCCCCGTGACCACGTGCGGCATCCTGCGAACGAACGCACTGCTGCAGATTTCCACGAAGTTGACCTTCACCGACTCCTTTCTCATTCCTGACCGCGACCGGGGCTTTTTCCGGAACCTGTTTTGTCGCGGTGGTGGCGTGGTGGGCTGCTTCACGCTGTTTGGCAGCTGCGGCAAGTGCAACCGGGGTTTGTACGCGCCGCGGATCCACCGAGAGGGGCGGAGGCAACTGTTAGAAAACGAGGTGAAAAGTATCTTTCACCACGACCGGCTTGCCCGGGTGCAGGAAGATGAACAAGGAGACTTCGCGGCGGACCGGGGAGGAGTAGATGACTACACGAGGAGCAACCGAGATGGAAACAAGGAGGCCGCTTTGATGCCCCCACCAGAGTCGGATCAAACAGAAAACCCTGCGGCCACTGCCGATGAACTACCTCCACAAGAAGTACAACTACCGAAGGCCGCAGTAGACCTCTCGGGCCCCAGGGAGGCGGTTTTGACCGGGAGCTATGAAACGAGGAAACACAGTTGCATTACGCTGTATGCCATTGCCGAAGTGGAGGTGTCGACCCAGTTTCAAGCCAAACGAAACATCGAAAATAACGCAGGAGGACCCCACCAACATCCCCATCAACATCATGGGGTGCACGCACTGCACCAGCAGCACAAAATTGGCGCAGCAGCAGCAGGAGCGGCGGCGACCCACCAGCAGCTGTTGCAGCATCACCAGCACCAGCAGCAGCATGATCTTCAGCACAGAAACAGTGCGGCGGAGCACGCTGCAGCAGACGGGAGTTCCTCTCTCGGAAGTAGACAAGGGGGAGTTGGTGGTTTTCCCGCCTCTACTACGCCGGGTTCTTCAGCATTTCCGGGAGGTGATGGAAATACCATATTTGGAACGGCAGGCGGGGGCGGAACAATCGGAAATTCAAATTATTACAACACTGCATTTCCATTTTCTTTTTCACCTCCACCACCGCCAGGGCTCACGACCACCAGCATTCATCCGCAGTCGAAGCTGTTGCAGAGACTAGGCTCTTTCCAGCCCCCACAATTTGGTCTTCAGCAACAACGTATCAACTGTAAAAATGTCTGGGTCTGGAAGATTCTGACACTTGTCATGCACGTTTTCCATGAGCCCTCATGTCTGTGATGCATGCCCTAGCACGACAGGTTTTCTGAGAGCTTCTTGATGCCTATTCCGCATGACAAATGCCCTCTCCGCGTAGCAAAAATTACATTCCTTTTGGTACTCATGCAATACAGATTTTTCTGGAATCCAAATGCAGCATCACAAGTTGCATTCTTCCAGACCTCCCAGACATTTTTACATTTGATACAACATGGTGGTCCTGCTGTGGGACCACCGCAGCATCATCATATTATCCAGCCAGAGGGAGAAAGTTCTGTTGAAACCCATCCGCTGCAAGGAGGAGGCAGCTTTTCCCTTGCCGCGGGCGGGGTTGATGAACTCGAAGAGAAGGACGCTTACCGGTCGCTGCGAGCCGGGGGTTTTTATGCCTTGCAAAAGATGTTGTAGAAGTGAAAGCATCGCATTCGCTGCACCCGTTGCACTAGACGTTGATGAAGCACTGCATAAATTATCTAAAAGTATTATAACGAGAATAACTGTCGAGTAGCTAGATATTTTCAAAATCATTCGCTAGCTATTAAAAATAGCTACTTGTTTGCATTGTATTTACGGTGCTATTAGCACGATGAACTAGCTAGCCTGAATGCTGTCACGGATGCGTAGACGCATCCGTGACAGCATTCCTACTAGCTAATTAAATATCTATTCCGCACCTGAAGAGGTGGTATTTACAACATGCTTTTTTGAAAGCTAGCTAACGACTTTGAAAATTCTTAGCTACTCGACAGTTATTCTCGTTATAAGTATCTGTGCATTTATTTCGATTAGCATGGCAACAGACTAACTGCTATGTGAAATCGAACTTGCTAACATGTCTGCGCCGAAGGCGAAGGCGAACGCGAAGTCGAAGATTTTCAACCAAAGGTGACGAAAGGCGACTTAAAGATGTATTGAATTTTTTTCTCGTCTTCTGTGGCTACGTCGGAAGTATTGAGCAAGTAGATGCTTAATCATCTTGAATCGCTTTTGCAAAATGCATAGTTTATTTGCCGATGGCGCAGCTGCAAATAAATTCGCGTTTGATGCGTCTTCTGGGAATGAGGAAACTTCTGCCGCAGAAACTGACCTTGCGAGCATCAAACTGGTATGAACTGCAAAAGTATCGTACTCTTATAAATGCATGACAAATTTCAATTTGCTCGGCATTACTACAAATGGAATTTGTAATGCGGATTTGCCTTAAGAAAAAATAAAAAAATTGTAATGCATAGATGCAATTACTACGAGTGCGATGCTTTTGCAATGCATAACTGGCAAAGCTGGCGAAGTGGTCCCCCTCCATGTTGGAATCAAGAACGGTAAAGTACCGGTCGGAGCTGAAATTTTTTCAGACCGACAGTGTGATATCCTGTGCAAAAGTATCGTACTCGTAGTAATTGCAGCCATGCATTACAAATCTCCTTTCCAAGCTAAAACAGCATGAAAAATTTCGTTTCTCATGCTGAGAACATTTGTCATGCGATTTTTACTAGTACGATACTTTTGCAATGCATATGTGAAAATGGAGTACAACGAATCCGCAAAAATGCTCTGCGAAACCGCAATTCTACTCCTGGAAACGCGGAAGAGAGGCGCGGTGGATGTTGCTCATACTAGCGCAGCAGGTGCTAGCGGCCAGCATCACCACTACCAAATACACGGTGGACATCAAGTACATGGGCATCACCACCACCATTACGACGCAAACGAGCATAATTCTCACGGTACTGCTGCGCACCACCACTACCCGCTACATCACCACCACTTGCACGCCCGGTCCTACAGCGGAGGGGTGGGCACCGCGGGGTACTTATCAAATGTAACAATGTCTGGGTCTGGAAGATTGCGAGGTTTGCCATGCAGAAATTCCATGACCCATGAGGTCTGGAATGCAGGACCTAGCATGACAGAGTCTGTGAGGTCTCTGCCATGCCTATCCCGCATGAGAAACTCCCGCCCAACTTGGTCGAAAGTGGACGGCTCTTGGCACTCATGCAACACAGATTTTTGCAATATTCGGATTTAGCATCACAAGGTCCAATCTTCCAGACCCAGACATTTTTACATTTGATAGTACTTTCTCGGCCTGCCGCTGTTGGAACGGTTGACGGGGACGGGAAACTGCTCCGGGAACGAGGTCAATGTCAGCTTCAAAATAGAGTCCTTCTCGAAGGACGGAACGGAGGTACGGTCGGTGGTCTCGGACCCGTCGACAGGGCACGGCTTCCGGCGGACGGCGCTGCTGGCAAACAAAGCGCATTTATTTTTCAACAATAAAGCCGCACCTGGAAGCAATCTGCGCATGAAACATCAACTGGGAGCTGCGAAACACCTCCACGCCGGCGCGGCGGAGGGAGAGCAAGAAGTAGATAGTGACTTCCTCGAATCCACCGCTGGAGAAGACGAAGAGAGCGATCATGTAGCTGAGACTGCGGAAGATGATAAAGCTTTTCCTAGAACAAGAAGTGCCTCCAGATCCGGCAAAACAGCACGAGACGACCTTCATGAACTTGAACGCCCGCGGGTGGACCACGGTGTTGTGTCTTCCTCTTCCCCCCTGGAAGTCGTCGCCACCGGAGCAGGAGTGAGGTACTATCAAACTGCAACGACTTCTAGACCTGCAAAAAAACCACGCCCCGAAGGGTCTACTTCAGCTGGGGTAAAAACTTTGAGTGGAGTATTAACCGGAAGAAGGAGTAGCGCTACGGCCACCAGAAGCAAAATTGTCTCAAACCACAATGAGTACAACTATACGAGCAGTAGTTCTACTGAGCAGGACGGCACGACTGCGGACTTGTCTAGTACCTCCGACGAGGCAGAGGAGAGGGAACTACACTATGTCGAACAAAAAGGGAACCAAACAGCAGGAGTAGATCCGCTGGACGGGTACGAGATACAAAGAACTACCCTGTTGCAGAATGGCGCGATGAATCAAGATCAGGATGAATTGTATCCGCAAAATAAAAAGTCATTCATGAATTATTATGCCGCCGAAGTCGAAGATGAGGATGACGATTTGCTCGTGTCGCCGAGTGAAAACGAGGATTTTATAGCGTAGAAGAGGTTGTATTTCACGTCCTCTACGGTGACTCGGTGTGAATCTAGATCTAGAACAGTCGACATCGCTGACTTGCCTTATTCCTTGGTGCAGCTACCGAAAAATTTTCGTATCTCTCGCTCAAAGCATGATTTTGATTTGTGAAAAACTACCAATAAAAGCATGATGGAACAACGCGTCGTGTATTCCAAATTTTATAAGGACTTTTCGTGCGTCTTCACCACTTGAAGGTGTTGAAGACAGACTACTCACGCGAGTGGCAAAATATGTCACTCTGATCATGTTCGTCGCGACGGCAAAATTTGTGTTGCAGAATTTCTGTTTTCGGTTCATACCATTATAATAGTTTCATTATCACTCGTCCGATATGTGTAGTATTCCATTTCGAGCGCACTGACTGCGTGGTGAGGTGAATAGGTAGTAGTACCAGCAGCTACACACATATTGTCTTTTGGAGGAGGTCCGAATAGTAAGCCTGCTAGTCATACCATCGTCCCTCATCGTGCGTTAGGATTTCGGTCGCGAAAGTTGAATTTCACGTAGTTATCGGTTTTCGTTTTCATCCTGGAGTTTGCCTCTTTGGTATTTCACGCTCCTGCAGTCGGTAAAGCGATCGTCGTCTAACCAGATAATTAGTACAACTTCCCCACGAAACAACGTTCTGACCGCTCGTGCGACTTGACATCGTTTTCGTAATGCGCAAGATAGAGAAGTAGAGAACGAAATGCTTTTGCAGACATGTAAAATAAAAGTTGTCTCGTCGGCGTCCTTGCGCTTTTACTTTCGTCTGATGCAGTATCCGTATCAATCTAGGCCTAGCTCGTTTACTTTCATTGTTGATGTTTTCTTAATCGCCCCCCCCAACAGGTTTCACGAAACCCAGAACTCCGATGTATGTCACCTACTTCACTAGTGGAATGAAACCCCACATCAGCGTATTAACATTTTTTTTTTTTGTATGAAAACTTCTTCACTTCTTATTCGGAATTCTAATTTTCTACTGACAGCTGTTACAACTGTGACTTTCACTTTTCGTGATTGCGACTACTCTCTTCACCCCACAAGAAGAACTCTTCTCAAAATATTAGATCAACGCTGCACGACATTAAGGTCCTCGTGGAGGTGTGCCGTTTTGAACGTCCGATGTGCTAGTGGAGAAGAGAAAATCTACATATCAGCTTCATCAAGATTTTGAGGTCGGGAGGACATTTCATTTCGGATCTGATTCTGAACAGCGTCCTCCGACGTGCACGACCAGGGAACAGCACACAGCGTCATCTACTTCGCAAGAATCCTGTGTACAACTTCTCCACGACCCACCTGCTCATCATCTTCTCTGGCGGAGGACAACCGATTTCTCAATAGCGCAAATAAACCGCACAGCAAATCGGGAATAAAGTCAACATGATTGCCACCCGTGCTGTCCGCTGCGGCCTCTTCCTCGTCGGCCTTCTCGAGGTGATCTTTTTTCAGCCCGCGGATGGTGCTGGTACGGCGACGGTGCCCTCCGGTTACGCTGCGTCGCAGCACACGCGGCCACTGCTGCTGTTTTCCTTTCTCGCGGCCTTGGCGACCCTGCCCACCGTGGAGGCGAGTCTGTGGGGCATCGGGCACGGGGGTCACCGCATTTACTGGGACAGCGAGCGCGCACTGCAGGACTTGCAGTACTCGTCGCCCGGTGGGGGCCTGGTATCCTGAGCACAAACGTCCCCACCCCAGAGTTGTCATGCGGATTTGCATCTACAGAAACATTTGTAATGCGGCTCCCCATGAGGGGCATTTCCAGTCGTGTTTTGGAATTTGTAATGCTAGCAACGGGATGAGCAGACGCATTTGTGCTGCGGCTGTCCTTACGAACCTGGTGCACTACACTACGCGCTGGTGCTTGTCATGCGTGGCTCCCAAAACTCCTAGATTTGTGTTGCTAAGTTCCCAACTGGACTATGGGGTGGGAACGTTTTTACCGAGGATACCTGGGGTTTTTGGATCAGCTCAAATGGTACGTGCGCTACCTCATCGATGAAGAGAAAGACACGATTGACCGTATCCTGTGCAAAAGCATCCCCACCCCAGAGTTGTCATGCAGATCTGCAAGCGCAAGCGCGTTTGTAATGCGCATCCCCATGATAGGCATTTCCGATCGTGTTTTGGAACTTGTAATGCTGTAAACAGGATTAGCAGATGGATTTGTAATGCGACTTCCCTATTCTAAACTGCACTACACTACAGCTAGCAATTTGTCATGCGTGGCTCCCAAAACTTGAAGGTTTGTGTTGCAAAATCCCCATCTTGACTCTGGGGTGGGGACGTTTTTCATTAGGATAGATCGGGGCGAACTTTACATGTACCAGCTGCGCACGCCGACCAGCGGGGGCCACAACTGCCTCATGTACACCAGTATGCAGTGCAAAAGTATCGTACGAGTACAAGTTGCATGACAAATTTTTGCAGGAGGAAAAAGGCAATTTGTATATGCAGTTTCAGGCAACCAGGTAGATGTGTCATGCTGTACTGCGATTAGTACGAATACGGTAGTTTTGCAGAGCATAACCAATTGGGGGGAGGTCAATGACCCGCGTCTCGGGGGGAAGTACGAAGCGCTGGACCAGTGGGAGCTGGGGGTGGATGGCAACCAAGCGAAAATCTGGGTGTCCCAATACCCGGAGTGCATCGTGTGGACGGACAATCTATGAATTGCAAAAGTGTCGTACTCGTAGTAAAAATTGCAGCCATGCATCACATCAATTTTTTTCCCCAAGGTAAATCCGCATGAAAAATTTTATTTCTCATGCTGGGGAATATATAAATGTGTATTGTGTAATGCATTTTGATTTATATATACGAGTGCGATACAACTTTTGCAGTTGATACATTCTGGAATTCCTCTCGGACCCGGGCTTCGTTGAGCATATGAACCACGATACGGAGGAAAAGGACCCCCACAACCAGGGGGCGGCTCAGCCAAACAACATGCCCGGTTTAGTGATGGCAGCGGGAGCACAGAAATTCGGCGGTATGAGAAGATAGATTTACTTGTACCAGAACCAGATCATGTTGGAGATGATATTTCTATTTCACCAAAACCTATATATCGATTCGTGACGAAATTGTTCCACTAGACTACTACAGTTCACTTGTCAGCAAGTATATAAGTTCTTGCGCAGCCGCTTTAGAAGAAGAAAGAAACTCTTTATTTGAAGATGCGTAGGACGACAATGTCAGTTGATGTTCTTCCTGCTCCTCCGGTATAGTTTTCGTTTTAATGAAATTAAAAAACCGAAAAAATTTTTAAACACATCAGTGAAAAACAACGCGCAAAACAACGCACTGATGGGCGCGGGCATGGGTCTAATGTCCGGCGAAACTTCTTTGCGTCACCCGATCTGGATCCCGAGTTACGTCGTGGGCGGCGCTGTCGGCATGGCGAACGAGAAGTTTGCGAACGTGGCCTCGATGGGGGTCTCGCACAAAAGCGCGGAGTTTCGGATGTACACGAAACTGAACATGGACCGCGACGGGACGGTGGAGATCGACGAGTCGCAGGCGTACATCGTCAAGTACGACGTCCGCATTCAGAACATCACGGTCGGGCTCTGCTGCGGCTGCATCTGTCTCTTCCTGCTCACCGCGATTGGGCTGGCGGTCTTTTTCATCTTTTGCCACGTCAAGCGCGAAGTGCGCAACAAAAACGCGCGCTACCTATCCAAGAAAAAAACGTTGTTAGTGTAAATTTGTGATGCGCAACATGCAAGATGATTGCGTCTGTCATGCTTGGCATGCGTCGTAGAGTCCATTAAAAGGCATTTTCGCATACTATCTGCGCATGACAGGTTTTTGCTGTCATGCCAGACAAATTTGTAATGCTGTTCCTCCAAAAAAGTTACACCTACATTGTTTTTTTGTTGGATACTACCTGATGGAGGACGACTACTACGGAGAAGACGACGGCTATGCCGCGGCGGCGGGGGAGGGGGGCGGATGGAACAATTGGCAGTGGTGGTGGGATGATCCCAACGCGCGCCAGGACAACTACGGTGGAAACTACGCGGACGCCTACGCGGCTGGTTACGACAACTACGGCGGCAACGCCATGATGTATGGGGGCGGGCAGCACATGCAGCACAACCCGATTATTTCTGGCTCCGCCATGGAAGCCAACATGCCGGGCATCATATCCGGCACGCAGTCGCCCTCCGCAATTCCCACAGACGGGGACACGGACGGAGAAAGCGGCTACAACAATTCCTCCTCGGCGAAGTTTCAGGGGAGTAGCTCCTCGAAGCAGCGAATCCTGGACCAGTTGGCCGCCCTGGATGCGCACGAGAATTCGCAGATGGAAAGTGGCCTCAACGTCAACTCCTCGTCTATCCTGAGTAAAAACGTCCCCACACCAGAGTCAAGATGGGAAATCTGCAAGACAAATCAGCCACCGGTGGTTGTTTCGCATGACAAGTTTGTCCTCGTAGTGTAGTCCTGTTTAGGTAGTCCAGAAGCATCACAGATCTAGCACATCGTGTTGATTATAGCATAACAAGTTCCAAAACATGGCCAGAAAATGCCTCTCATGGGGTTCCGCATGAGAGACCTTTTTGGCATGCAGATCTGCATGTTAAATATGGGGTGGGGACGTTTTCACACAGGATATCGTCGGCGAAACGGAGCTCCAGTCGGAAAATGAACTCGTCCGCGGGTGGTCAGTATCCTGTGCAAAAGTATCGTACTCGTATTGCAATCATGCATTACAAATCGAGAAAGCACTTGCGCGAGAAAGAAAAGGCTGTACTGAGCGAACCGGGCGAGTTTTGAACGGGCCAAAGAGACACTTGAGTCAAGCCCAGACAGGAAGAAGAAAGAAAGAAAGAAAGGTAAATCCGCATTACAAATTTTATTTCTCATGCTGAGAAAATTTGTAATGCTAATGCATTTATACGAGTGCGATACTTTTGCAGTTCATAGTCAGCAAATGAACTCGTCCGCGGGCCGGCAAAACAACTCCTCGGCGGGTGGGCGAATGAACTCGTCCGCGGGTGGTCAGCAAATGAACTCGTCCGCGGGCCGCCAAAACAACTCGTCGGCGGGCTTCAGTAACGCGCGGGTGCCGACCGTGGACAGCAACGCGGAATCAGGACTGGAGTCCGGGTCCGCCGACTACAACGATCTTCCCGGAGGACCCGATGGGAACCCGCCGAAGCAAAAGCGGTCGTGGACGCCTAATGCCAAGAACTACGGCGGCGACACCCCGATGTCGCCCTGGTTCGCCACCCGCTCGTATTGTAAGGAAAAATCCCCCCTCCCCATATCAAAACGGAATTTCTGATGCTGGATTTGTGTACACAAATCAGCTTTGTATTGCAGACAGACATTGCGGCCAGATCCCCAGGCTAGGTAGGGGCGTATGGGTCTAGTTGTTCAGCATGGCAAACGGCTGCTCTTTAGGCCCAACAGCATGACAAACCGCCTCCATAACGGGGCGGAAGCTTCTGCCCTTCTGTTCCTGCAAGACGGATGTGATTTGTGACCTCAAATCAGCAACGCAAATTTTCGAAAGCATACCCTTTCAATATGGGGAGGGGGGATTTTTCCTTACGATAGCTCGACCGGCGGGAGGGGGGCCGCGGATAACAATCGAAGCGACCACAACCAGATCAAGACCAGCGGCCCGCTGCTGCCGCACGGGGTGGCCAAGGCCGAGTTTGGGCAGCCAGGCTCAGGGAGTCCGGGCAAGAGGAAGTCCGGAAACAAGGGCTCGGGCAACTTTCTGGCCTATGAGCACCGCGTGCATTTGGAGGGGGAACAGCGCGCCAGCGGGACGAGTGGTCGCCGCGTGAAGATTTCCAGTGGCTCCTCTTCGCGGGGAAATCAGAGCGGGACATCGAGCGCCGCAGGCGAGAGCGACGTGGCCGGCGCCGGAGCGGCGCGAGCATCGTCCTCCGTGAAAGCCCGCAACAATGTGCAGGGCCGTTCCAAGCAGATCACCAAGGACTAGTACTAGACCAACCGCTGCATCATGAAATGGCAGACGAGAAGGTGGTGCTGGAGAATAGAAGAGGAGGAGAGGGCGCCCGGAGTTGTAGCTGCAAGGACCAAGCGTCAGTGCGACAACATGAACTACTTAAAACTTTTGAAACTTTTTAATTTTATTCGTCTTTTGTATTTTCACATTTACAACATAATTTCATAGCATTATTTCAAATTGTTACTGTACTATCCCACTTAAGAATTCGGCAACAGGAACATTTTTGCTTTATTCATGATCTTTACCATATGGATGTGTCAGAGTTGAAATCGACAAAGTTGAAATAATTTGCCATGCATAAAATTAATGGATGCCAGCTGGAACCCAGTTTCCAAGTGGCGCATGACAAATTTCGGCGGTCCCTAAATCCAGGCTGTCATGCTGTTTAGGCAAAGAAGAGCGATTTTCTGATGCTACTTTAGCAGCTCGAGCTGTAACCCCAAACAGGCTTACAATCGGCCTCACTTGCCTGCTCTGCAACACACGCGCCTCGGCTCATGCATTTTATGCATTACAGATTATTTCAACTTTGACGATTTCAAACCTGACGCTTCCATATACCAATGCCTTTCTGTTTGTTGTACTTGAAATCGGTTAAGAGCTAACATTGACCACATATCGCTCGATAACGACCCCAAAAACATCACAGATTTTCTTGCCGACAAGAACTCATGTTTTTTCCTTTGTAACACATAAAGAACTTGACTTTTCACCTAGCGCAGTTCTATCTTTTTCAGTCTCCTCTCCCAAATAATTTTGTCTCAAGTTTTCATCACACATCCTTATTTTGTATTTGCTGTCCCCAGCAGCAGCATAGAGCGGTTTCTCTTTATAATTCCTGTCTCCCAACAGGTAATCTCCACCAATGTCATTCTCATTCCTCATCAAGAACAGGCTCGCTATAACAAGGCGCGTACAGTAAAGAGAGTTGTAAAATAACAGAAGAACAGCCTGGTCTTTTCCCTAAACAACTGTGAATCCCTCGCCGCAACATGAACAAGAAGAACTATCGAAGAATCTAAATCATCTATCGCTGGGCCATCGTCGTTACGACACTCACCTGGTGTAGTGTCACCGAGAGCCGGTCGAGGTGGTAAGTAGCTTGTTCGTGCTTCTCCTGACCCAAGGGGGCCCTGTTTGTCAATGATAATCAGTTGTAAGCTGCAATGCCAGTGATCCTGATCCGCTTCCGCATGCATGGAGCAGTTGTAGGTGGAAGAGATGAGTCCGTGTCTTGCTGTTCAAGTCGGTAGCACTAGCAATTGTGCAAGCATGAAGATGAGGAACTGTGCCCGTTCCTGCAGCAGCTGTAAGTAGCCCCAGGAGCTGCAGCAGATCATTTCGGTTAATTGATTGTACAGATGGCGGTAGCTGCAACATCCACTACATGGGTCTGATTTTGATTCTGATCAGGTGCCTGTTGTCTTATTGGTCCTGTCTCCTGCTGGTGATGCTCTTGCTCTCTGAATTTCTGCGATCTCATCCATGTGGCCGCGTCGTGCTAATATTGTTGTACTTCTCGCAGTCGCATTTTTGATGCTCAGTACAGTTGTAAGTAATGTTGTTCCTCCTGTCAGTGTGAAGAGCAGAAGAAAAGTCTGTAATCGTGCAGCAGCATGTCATCAACATCTTCTGCAATGGATCGGTGACAAAAAAGGATCTGCATACCTCAAGGAGTCGGTCCTTCGCATAACGCTAAGACGCATTTGCTGTGAACGAGAATGATCATGATAGGTGCGAATATATAATTGATATTTTATTTATTTAATTTTTTGGTGCTACTGTGGCTTCGGGTACTAGTTGTCTACTGGGTTCTAGTACAAGCGCCGCATTTCATCTATGACAATCACTCTTGGAAGAATGCAGGTATGAACCCCGTCAGATGAAAATGAATCGCGAATATTAAATGCCGCAGCCACAAAGACAAGCCTAAACCTATCCACCATAAAAATACGACCTTCTCAACTTCAGAAAATTCACACTAGTGTAGCCTCATGTCGTACCCATTTCTATTTCAGTCGAACCTATTATGTTGATCTAGTGCCAGCATGCATAATTCCAACTCCTACTGTACAATAAATCGCCCGGCGCAGCCAGTACATAAACAGCGATAGCTGGTGGTGTGCAAAAACTTATTTCGGTCGTGATCGTGAAGCAATAGGACCAGGAGAGCAATTGGATTTTTTTGCTTGTTCTCATTCAGGTCAACGGGAACCAGAACCACTCCAGCGAAGAGTTCGAGACTCCGTCCGGAAATATTTCGAAGTGAAATTGATATGGAAGATTTCCATTGCTTCATTTGACCTATCCACCTGTTTCCCTGGATTTGAGATTCGCTAAAAGTTTAAGAAGCTTTACTTTTTACCTCCATAGTTTTTTCCCCGGACAGATAAAAGTAAAACCACCTTCCAAAGGAACGTGATATTCTTAAAACGATGTGAGCGTGATGAAGTAGTTCGCTCTTTGTCGTACTACCTGGTCACTCACTTTAAATGAACGGTAAAGTAAGAATAACGATGTCGACGTCGGTTCCTGCTTTGGTGGACGAGAGTGACACTATCGTGCCCGCGGTGGCCGCAAGACCAAATTCGTCATCGAACACTGGTGACTACAATTTCGAAGTGATCGCCTTCTCCTGGGGCGACAATACCTCGAAGCAACTCTTGTCGACTGCGACGAGCTTGAGTTCGTCTTCCTCTCCATCCCTCTCGAATTTTTATGGAAATAAATCAGCAATAAAAAATCAAAGTACCACGACACCCACCACGGACCAAGAGACCACGTCGACGAGCCAACATTTGACAGCGACTAAAATCGACCACCTGGCTGGTAACGCGGAGGCGACTTTGTTCCTGAAAAACGAGAAGCCGCACTTTGTCGGGCGGAACATCCTTTTTCGCGAGGACGAAGACGACACGGAGTATTTTGAGGAACAAAACCATGCGCGGATTGATCTGGAAGAATTTCAAAACATCAAAGTGGCCGCTTTGGCTGCGGGAGACCAACACTTTCTCGCGCTGTCCGACCAGGGGTTCGTCTTCAGTTGGGCCTGCAACAACGAGTTCGGTCAGTGTGGGCGGAGCGGGGGCGTCTCCACGAAGAAGCAACTTCCCCAAGTGGTAAATTTCGGAAAGTCCAACGCGGAAGTTATGCGGAAAAGCTTCGCTGACGGTACGAAAACACATCTGATCGTCCCGGCTCCGACGTATAATTTTTCCAGCACGATTTCCTTCCGCGCCAAGCAAATCGCCTGCGGCGAGAATCACTCGCTGATTCTCACCGAGGCCGGCGAAGTCTACAGCTTTGGGTCGAACGTGCACGGACAGTGCGGGATCTACTACTCCAGTCAGGACCTGCACCGCGCCGTCGCGAGCTATGCCAAGACACCGGGCAACGACTCGATACAACAAGACGGATCCTGCTCCTCGCAATTGATCCTGAATGAGACGCTGACGCCGAACTTTTACGCGTTGCCGGATAATGTGGATTTTCTCCGACGCATATGCATTGCAAAAGCATCGTAGTAGTACAAATTGCATTACAAATTAGCTCAGCACGACAAATGCAATTTGTAATGCGGTTTTACCTTAGGAAAAAGATTTGTCATGTCGATTTGCAATTAGTACGAGTGCGATACTTTTGCAGAGCATAACGCAACCCGCACTACAAGTACCCCGGACCACTTCTGGGCCCGCACGTGCAGTTTAGCAACTCTTGGAACGAAAAAAACTTCTCCCCGGCTGCCTCCCCACCGCTGACGATCGAAACGCCGATATCCTGAGTAAAAACGGTCCCACACCAGAGTCAAGTTGCGAATCTAGCAACACAAGTCCGCAAGTTTTGGGAGCTGTGCATGACAAGTTTCCCTCTGCAGTGTATTGCTGGTTGGAAAGGGAAGCCGCATGAGAAAGCCACTTTCTCATTCTGTTTACAGCATTACAAATATAAAAACACGACTGCAAATTCCTCTCATGAAGATGCGCATCACAAATGTTCCTTTCATTGCACGTTTGCATGACAACTCTGGGGTGGGGACGTGTTTACAAATGATATCCGATGCGGGTGGAAGGCCGGCTGAATTCCTTACCCGTCCGGCAGATCGTATGGTAGTGTCAGGATTGAAATCGACAAAGTTGAAACGGTTTGTCATGCATAAAATCGATGCCAGTTGTAACCCAGCTTCCAAGTGGCACATGACAAATTTGGGTAGAACCGAAATGCAGTTTGTCATGCTGTTTGGGTAAGGAAGACGCCTGCTGTCATGCTACTTTAGCGGTTCTATTTCTACCCCTAAACAGGCTTGCAATCTGCTTCCCTTGCGTCCTCTACAGTAGAGATACTTTTTGCGTTGCATTTTATGCATCACAAACTATTTCAACTTTGACGATTTCAAACCTGACGCTTTCATAGATCGCCTGCGGCCGGCACCACAGTTTAGCGGTGTCGATATCCGGCAACGCATTCTCGTGGGGGTCGAACCGGCGGGGCCAGCTGGGCTCGGGAGACGACAGCATCAAGAAATCTTTCCACCCCCAGCCGGTGTTTCTCTCCCACAACAACTGCCGGTCTCTGGCCGGCGGCGGGCAGCACAGCGCGTTTGTCCTCTTCAAGGGGTCTTTGTTTCTCTGCGGCGACAACAGTTTTGGGCAGTTGGGGCAAGATGTGAACGAGATTGCCACCACCTCGGTGCCGCTGGAGGTGCCGTTTGGGGACAACTACGACCTGTACGTACGGGGCGTGTCGTTGGGCGACAGACACTCCATAGCCTTGTCGGTGGACAATAAGATCTTCGCCTGGGGGCGGAATGTGGAAGGCCAAGTGACCGGGATGGTCGATCGAGTGGAGAAAATGAGCGAAAGGGAAGTAGGAGCTGCGTCAGGAATGAATATGGAAGTGGATCAAGATGCATCAAATGGCGATAATAAAGCACTAGGAGTGGATGAAAACACGACGACCAGCGGCGCGACTACACATTTCGACATGGTTCCTTGGCCGGTGCATATTCCACTCGAGTCACTTTGCCGCCCATCTTCTTCGCAAGGAAGTTCTGGTGCGGCAGATGGAGCAAACGTCGGCGCGTCGGGATCTACTTCACAGCCTGCTCTGGTTTCATCTGACATGCGCGTGCGGGAGATTTTTGCAGTCGCGGACCACACGATCGTGTTGGCTGAGAGGGAGATTGTGGCAGATGATGAGGAGCCTGTCATGCGAAAGAACATGAAAAACAACGGCGACTTGGACAATCCAGATGCCATAGCCGATGAAGATCCCGTGGAAGAGCTGGAGGTTGGGAAGAAAGACCACGAGGGTGATATTGCCATGGTACCCGTGCAGGAGGTAAGTATTTTGATTTTACTTGTATGAGGAGATTTATTTCTCCGAGTGCTGTAAGTCAGAACATGAGCGAACAAGAATGAGTTTAGTTCGAGCCTGTTTGATGTCATAGGAGCTGCAACAAAAAGAACAACTACTTTTCATACGAAGAATAAAAGAAACTTAAACTTCACCTTCGCCTCTACATCTCAGGTGGACAGCAGCACCGGCATCACGACCTCCAAGCGGCGACGTATCACCCGCGGGTCCGCGACAATCGATGCCAGACAAGCTGTATGAAATGCAAAAGCATCGTCCTACTATAAATTGCATTACAAATTAGCTCAGCATTAGCATTACAAATGAAGTTTGTAATGCTGTTTTACCTATATCTTGAGATTTGTCATGCATAACAGCAATTACTACGAGTGCGATACTTTTGCAATTCATAAGGTGACGAGTTTAAGGAAATTGCAAAAAAGGCCTTCGAAACCGCGATGCTCTCCAGCCCTATACCAAATGTAAAAATGTCTGGGTCTGGAAACTTGTGATGCTGGGCGGCGTCTCATGATAAGGCTACAGATGCTGGCTCAGCATGACAAGTTTCTGAGCTCCTAGGTGTTGCCTATTCTGCATGACAAACTGCGCTTCTGCATCACAGAAAAGCGAAGCTCTTGGGTAACGTGCATGACAGACTTAAGAGTCATGCCAGACAAGCATGACAAACATGAATTCTTCCAGACCCAGACATTTTTACAGTTGATACCCTACGCCCAGCGCCGAAATTCTTGCCAAGATGAAGAATAGCTCCAAGAACCAGAGTGCGGAACAGCAGGAAAAGGACAGCGCGCTTTTCACGCGGAGGCTGAGTCGCGCGACGAGCGAAAGTGTCAAGCAATTGCGGAGCAACTCTGCAAGTTTGGAGGGCGCAACAAGTACTACAGGTGGAGGTGGCCAAACCACAGCGAGAACAAGCGGTGGACCAAATACAACAACAGCTACTGGCGGTGGGAATCCGTCGCCAAACTTGCTTTCCATCATGCAGCCGCCGGGCTTCGAAGACATTCAGTACTACAGTTCAACATCGAGGGCGGGGACGAATCAGGGAGAACATCAAGGCGACACTGGAACAGGAATGACAGCTGCATCAGCGCCGGGCACAACAACTACTGCTAGTACTACTTCTAGAATCTTGTTGCCAACTAATGGCGCCGCCGCGGCCATTGATCAAGCGGCTTCTAGTTCTAGCGCAAGCGGAAGCGCACCCTCCAGACCACCCGTGCAGCTACCGCCTCTCGGAGAGCTGCAGCAGCAGGAGCCAGCCTTCGCACCGCGATCCCGGTCAGGCTTAGGTAGCGCCGGGATTAACAACGAGGAGATTCCAGCAGCGAACACTACCGCGGATCATGTCCGGCAAAAATCGTTTAAGAGGCCGCTGCAGGGGGATGACCAACTTCATGATGAAGAAGCCTCCGGGCAGCTGACGAGAGAAAAAGATCCAGAGAGCAACTTCCTCCCGAGGCATTTCTCCCGGGGCTGCAGCAGTGAGCAGGCCGATGCGATCAACAAACTGGTCGAAAGTGACAAAGCTCTACAGCTCCCCCACACGCTTTCCGCGCCGAGAATTACGGCGAACAGCTCGGGTTCCTCCGTTCTGTATCAGAAGCACCAGCAGCATAATACTATCCTGGCAGCGACCACCCGGAAGAACAAGCTGACTCTTCCCGGCAACTCGGAGTCGATTCATTTCTACAGCCTGGAAAACGCGTTTTTTTCCTCGTTCGCGGCAAGTACCAATTCCCTCCTCTCCGCGAACAAAGAGAAAGAAATTCTGGAATTCGAGCAGACCCTGATCGGCGCCTTTTCCCGCCCGTCGGTCCTGAGTTGCTGCTTCGTGTTTCATATGAACTTGAACTGCAAAAGTATCGTACTCGTACTAATCGCATTCATGCACTACAAATTTCTTTCTCAGGGTCAGGTTAAATCCGCATTACAAATTTTCTTTTTCATGCTGAAGAAATTTGTCATGCGATTTATAGATACTAAAAGACGCTGCTTTTGCATTTCATATTTCAGGGCTTGAGCACGCCGAAATTAGACGTGGACGGCTTTATCGCGGGCACCGCTGAAATCTGGAACCTTCTCGGGGAAGCGAGAAGATGGTTCTCGAATAGTATTGGTACTGGTCCTCGTGCTGCTGGGTTGTCATCTTCGTCGTCGTTCTTGAATGCCAAACAGCCCCCTACTTCTCAGCCGTTCAACCACGCGGTACTAAACGGCGCTGCCGCACCATCTTTTTCCTCCACGGGCAGACCACTGAATGTGGTGCAGAATGCGTCTTCCGCGTCCTCTCTTGCAGGTAGTACTAGCGCGATAGGAGTTGTTCATCCGGCGAGCGGGAATATTAACACCACAGAGATAAACGAGGAACAGCTGGAGTTGCGGTCCAACCAGAACCACCCAGTAGTTGCAGCAGCAGCAGCTCCTGGAGGTCCTGCAGCTGGTGCAAATGCAATGGTCAACCTAGTGAATGTGAATAATAACAGCCTGCCATCCGTGGTGGAAGCGGCCGATGAATTTGAGGAGGAGCAGGAGGTAGAATTACTCGACAGAAAACAGTCCGCACACGTGCCGGGGATAAGCGATGAGATAGACAACGACGTTTCCTCGGATGGTATGATGAACAGAAGTGGCAACTTGATAGAAGACCACGGTGATAATCATGATCCTATCAATGCCGCGGCCGGATCCAATTTCAGCTTGGTCGAACAGCGTACAGTTCCAGAGCAGCAAGAGAACAACCCGCAGGAGCTGACGAACAACCTGCTTCCAGCAGGACTACAATTACAAACAGACAACGACTTTTCACCACACTCAGCTCCACTGCTACCACCATCGTCGAACAAGTTCGAGTATGAGTACCAAAAGTGCCTGCTACTTCTCGAGGAAACTGTTTTCTTCAACTGGCTGTTTGCCATCCAGCAGGGCCTCGAGCGCATGCAGCCGTCGAATTTGGAAAAGAGAGACCAGCTGCGGACGCTGGTTTTGTACCTGTTATGTCCTGTCTGGGACACGGCGGGGTCAAATTTAGACACGGAGCTGAACTCGGCATTAGAAAACAACGACGAACAGAACAGCCTGGAAAACCTCTACAACCGTCTCCCCTCTTTGATCGATATCACGCGAAAGACGAAATCGGACTTGGCGCGAACACTGTCCGGGCAAAGCGCGTCGGAGGTGGTCGGAGGGGGTGGTGGTGGTGGTAAAAAACAGGGTAGTACAACAGCTTCTGATATGCTTGGCGGCCCCACTCCTGCCACTGCGTTCGCTACCACGGCGACCAGTAGTAGAGTGCCCAGTGGAACATCAGGCAACGAGGAGGATCATGGCAACGTAGCTATTTCTGCGAGCAATCATCCTCCTACACGGCCCGCCCTGGTGCGGGCGGACTCCTCGAATGAAGGCTCCAACCAGCAAGAAACACAAAGACAAACTCCAAAAGCCACCCAGGCCTCCAACTCATCCGAGCAGGACCAGCTGCCCAGCCCAGCGGACCAGCATTTTACAGCGATCGAAAAGCAGCGCGAGGACTTGTTGGTAAAAACGTTTAAGCTGCTGATGAAGACCATCATGTGGCTGCCCAAGCCGTCCAAAATCGAGTTTCTACACATCCTGCGCCAGGAGCTGACTGCGTTCGCCTTCGAGCACCGGCTGCTGAAAAGCATGCAGTATGCATTGCAAAAGCACTGTACTCGTATAAATGCATTACAAGTTTCCTCAGTGTGTTGAGAAATAAAATTTGTAATGCGGATCTACCTTTAAGAATTCGATTTGTAATGCATGACTGCAATTACTACGATTGTGATGCTTTTGCAGTTCATATGCAGCGCATGGCGCGCGTGATGTACTTCAAGAAGGGACACTTTATGGAGAAAGCCGTCCAGACCCACAACGGCGCCCAGGCCTACATTCTCAACTATCAAATGCAACTATGTCTGGGTCTGGAAACTTGTGATGCTAAAATTTGCATGATGGAAACACTTCCGAATGCAGACCAGCATGACAACTTTCCGGAGCACCTTCTCATACTAGGCAGCCCGCATGAGAAGCTGCGTTTTTGAATGACAAAAATGGGCGCGGCTTTTGTCGGTTATGCAGTACAGATTTCCCAGGAATGTAAAGCTAGCATTACTCCACCAGACCCAGACACTTTTGCATCTGATATCAACATTGACGAGTCGATTTGGCACCACGTGTACCTCCTGGACATGATATTGAAAGGAAAAATGCCCCCCCCCACATCGAGACGAAGTTTCTGATGCTGGATTTCCGTACACAAATCGGATTTGTCTTGCAGTAGAGCACTGCAGGCATATGGCAAGCCTGAGCTGAGAGGTTTTGACTTAGGCGCCTAGCATGACAAACGTCTATGCTGTAAGCCGAGCAGCATCGCAAACCGCCTGCATAGTGTGGCGGTCTCTCTGGGCTTGCCCTCTTGCAAGACAGACATGATTTCTGGCCACAAACCCGCATGACAAATTTTCAGACGGATGCGCTTCCAATATGGGGAGGGGGGATTTTTCCTCGCAATACATGATTTACGTGAGCGCGCTGCCGTACCTTGCGAAGGGTAAAATTCGGCGGGAGTCTTTCCATCTAAACGTGCTCCTCGAGCCGAAACCACCGGAAGACGACGAAAACACGGCCGACTACAGGAGGCGAGGAGCAAGAAGTAGACAGGGGACAGCAGCAGGACCTCCCGCACAGGGAGCTGCAAATCAAAATCCAAACGCTGGCGCTGCTGGTGCGCATCAGAATCAACAAGGAAACCCAAATATGGTAGGGCGAGGAGGGGCCGCTGCTGCAGCGGGTTTCATGTCCTTCCCGGGTAGTGCGCCGGGTGGAGGTTCTACTAGTAGTGCTGCGCCCTCGTCTACAGGACCACCTCCAGGAGGACCCGTTCTTGGAGGACCCCCGGCGCCCAACCCCCAGATGCAGATGAGCAACCACATTCACCGATCCCCCTCCTCCGAATCCAACGCGTCGGCGGGTCAAACGCCGACTGGCGCTGCTGCCGGAACTACGGGCCAGCATCTTCAGACGGTTTCCCAAGGGCCGCAGGTTTATTTTCACACGTTGGTCCCACCGGAGGCGGACCTGTACATGTTTGCGCAGTATCCAAGAAAAAAAGATTGTAGGTGTAACTTTCTTGGAGGATCAGCATTACAAATACCTCTGGCATGACAGCAAAAACTTGTCATGCGTAGATAGTACGTGAAAACGCCCTTGAGTGGACACTACAATGCATGCCGAGCATGACAGACGTGATCATCTTGCATGTTGCGCATCACAAATTTACACTAGCGCCGTTTTTCTTCTTCGATACGCAGTATTCGAAGAACAAGCCGATCAAACCGCAAGACTTTCTCGACGTCAGCCACCACTTCGACAAGGCCAACCCTTTTTGCGGCGTCCCGAGACATATGCATTTCAAAAGCATCGTACTAGTATAAATCGCATGACAAGTTCCCTCAGCATGAAAAATGGAATTTGTAATGCGGATTTAGGTTAGGAGGGAGATTTGTAATGCATGACTGCGATTACTTTTAATACGAGTACGATACTTTTGCAATGCATCAGACAGATCATGAGCTTCATCGCCCATCCACATTTGTGTCCGACAAAATACAAGCAGAAAGTGCTGGAGGTGCAGAATGCCATGCAGCACGAGCTCGTGGCGCAACGGTCGATGCAACAGGGCTTGATCACCGCTCTGGCGAGCGGGAATTTGGATCCGCACAACCTGACCCGCGACATGCTGGTCGCGTTGACCCACTTTGTCTTGGAAGTGCGGAGAGACAACCTCGTGCACGACTGCTTCCGGGAGCTGGAGAAGGCCACAGAGGCGGACCTGCAGCGGCCGCTGAAGATCAAATTCAAGGGAGAAGAAGGCTTGGATGACGGGGGGCTCACGAAGGAGTTTTTCCGGCTTTTGTCCACTGAGGTCTTTTCCGCGGCGTACGGGATGTTTCAAGAGGTCGAGGGGACGCGCGCGGTGTGGTTCAACCTCTCGGCTTACGATGTGGGACTCACCGCGGAAGACTTCAAGAACATCGGGAAGATCCTCGGACTTGCGGTGTACAACAACGTGCAGGGGTTGAATCTGAATTTTCCAAAACTCTTCTTCAAAAAGTTGGTCTCGGAACCCGTCGATCGAACGATCGACTTGGAGCAGATTTACCCGACCTACGCCACCTCCATCGACGCGATCCTGAACTGGCGCCCGAGCCCCGCCGATCTCCCCATCCACCAAGCGAACCAGCAGTTCGACGACACCTTCTGCCTGGATTTCTCGGTCAGCTACAAGAACGCCTTTGACCAGAACATCACGGTGGAATTGTGCGAAAACGGGCTGAAAAAAACGGTGAACTACGAAAACCGCGAGTACTTCGTCGATTTATTGTCGGAGTTTCTGTTGAACAAGCAATGCGAGAAGTTCGTGGACCCACTGAAGCAGGGGTTTCAAACCGTGTGCAACGAACGGTCGGCGATCGCCGGCACCCTGTTTTCGGATGAACTGCAGCTGATCGTCGGGGGGGAGCGAGTGCTGGACTTCGACGCTTTGAAGGAGGGGACCACGTACATAGGCTTTGACCGGGACTCGGACTTTATCAAGAATTTCTGGTCCGTCCTACGAAACTACTCGCTCGAGAGAAAGTATGGAAGCGTCAGGTTTGAAATCGTCAAAGTTGAAATAATTTGTAATGCGTAAAATGCATGACCCGCGGCACGTGTGTTGCAGGGCAGGCAAGTGAGGCCGAGTGTAAGCCTGTTTGGGGCTACAGCTCGAGCTGCTAAAGTAGCATGAGAAAATCACTCTTCTTTGCCTAAACAGCATATAACAAACTGGATTTAGGGACAGCCGAAATTTGTCATGCGCCACTTAGAAACTGGGTTCCAATTGGCATCCATTTTATGCATTACAAATTATTTTAACTTTGACGATTTCAAACCTGACGCTTCCATAGAAAGCGGGCGTTCTTGGATTTTGTAACGGGGAGCGACATTCCGCCGATCGGTGGACTGAAGGAACTACAGCTGAAAATCCAGAAGAACGGCGAGGAGCCCATATTACAATGAAAAATGCCCCTCCCATATCGAAATTCGATGTTTCTAATGCTGGATTTCCGTACACAGATCGGATTTGTGTTGCAGTAGAGAGCTGCAGGCCTATGCCAAGCCTGAGCCGAGAGGTTTTGACTTCGGTGCCTAGCATGACAAACGTCTATGCTGTAAGCCGAGCAGCATCACAAACAGCCTGCATAACGTGGCGGACGCTCTGGGCTTGCCCTCTTGCAAGACGGGCAGGATTTGTGGTCACAAATTTGCATCACAAATCTGAGGCGGATGCGCTTTGAATATGGGGAGGGCGGATTTTTCCTCGCAATAGCCCACGACGCGACTCCCGACGAGCCACACTTGCTACAACATTTTGCTTATCAAGTGCAAAAATGTCTGGGTCTGGAAGGATGTAACTTGTGATGCTGCATTTGGATTCCAGAAAAATCTGCATTGCATGAGTACCAAAAGGAATGTAATTTTTGCTACGCGGAGAGGGCATTTGTCATGCGGAGTAGGCATCAAGAAGCTCTAAAAAAATCTGTGGCGCTAGGGCATGCATCACAGGCATCAGGGCTCATGCAAAACGTGCATGACAAGTGTCAGAATCTTCCAGACCCAGACACTTTTACAGTTCATATTGCTCTTACCGGAGTACAGCTCGCGCACAAAGCTGGACCGGCTTTTGCGGATCGCAATTTCCAACGCAGAAGGCTTCGGGATGGAATAAACAGATTGCTGCATAGTGATGTAACACAAACACTCCGAGAATGAAGTGGCTGTCATAGTAAACACAAACACCAGAGACTCCTGAAACCCAATATCGCCACTCCTGCCCCTTTGAATGATGTCGCATCGCCTGGAACATTTCTTATTATTGTTCGTCATCTTCTTCTTCAGGAAAAGCAAAAGATAAGGCAACCTCTTGTTGGCTGCATGTTGTGATGTCGCTGTCGCAACTTCCCGCTAGTCCAGCCTCCTACGTGCCCGTACTGAATGTTGGCATTTTATTTTGCCCTTCACAAAACCATAACCAACACATAGCAGCTTCGGTTTCGAGCTCTAACATCAAATCACTATGAGTCCTCGGTGTTGTGTCTCGTACTTCTACTCGTTGCTATGTGCTTGATCTTGATAAATCTGTCGAGCAGGCCAGGATACAAGTACTCAAACTCGGTTGTTTTTTTTTCGTTTTTTGCAGATCGTGCACGAGACAACTGTAAACTGAAATAAAACCAATGTAAGCTGTACATCGGTCGTTTTTTCGTGATGTGGTCGAGAAAATCGTGCAAAAACATCATCAAAATCGTCCCACCGAAGAACTCCGTCGCCCTCACCACGTCCTTCGATGTTGTAAAGCCTATCTGGGCAGATGAAGCTAGCTGCATTAAATTTTTGGCGTGTTTAGGTGTAAAAGTAGCGTCTTAAAAAATAAAATCTGGGTATAAAAAGATATCACCAGTTGTTATCCAGGCCCCGCTACGCCTCAGCCGCTCTCCGATACTGCACATAAAACAAAGTAGAGCAGATCTTTCATCATGTGACGATGCTTATCTGGCCAAGAACCTAGCAATTTCGCATCGCCTGGATATTGTTGTTGCTACCCGGAAAGGAACTTCTTTACCCGCACAAAAAAGTTTCTTCGCCAGCTCGCACTAGCGGCGCAATTTGATTACCTCCCCAAGGACTACGTACATCAAGACGGTACATCTATCTTCGGTAGTTTATAATACATAAATCAAAATGGCTTCGTGTCTGGCCGGCATCTGCAGCGCAGTTTGCGGAACAGAGGGAGCTTCCAATAAAGAACAGTTCGCCGCCCTGCCCGGCCGACCCTCGGCTGCAGAAAATGGTGGTCAAAATGGAGTGTACACCAGCGCCGGCGACCTCGACCCGTCGAAACTGATCGAGGAATCCATGCCCTCCCTCAAGATCAACCTCTCGAACGATCTGCTGAACCAGATCGCGGCCAAGGATGGCAACGGCTCCAATACCAGCTTCCAGGCGTTGCTGGTGAAAAAGTCGCACTCCGGGAGCCTGCAGACCTATTACGAAGAGTCGGGTGGGCGGACGGGGTCGCTGTTAGGGGAAGGCGGATTCGGATCAGTCAGGAAGATGGTGCACAAAACGACCGGGAGACTTCGGGCGGTGAAGAAGGTATTGTACCGAATTATTCTTGGTGAATTTGGTGCGCAGTTTTTGCATTGATTCCTTTTTTTCACTTTGCAACTACATCTTTCTTTGTTTTCAACAAGTAGAACCTCCAGCATGTTGGGTACTCACTAGGGCTCTTACGATGCTGTCGTAGTTCGCTGGCTTCGTTCGCCGATGTGTCATATCCCCACCAGTCGTGATGTCTCGATCTTTGTAGTGCTCGTAACCATATAAATGTTAACATGTTCTCACTGCCAAAACGACACAATCTCATTCTGATCATCTTAGGTCGAAATCACTGCGGGGAACCTGGCGATGCTTTCCGCGGAGCTGTCCATCCTGCTCCAGCTGGACCACCCTAACGTGCTGAAGGTTTTCGAATGGTACCAGTCGGAGGACGAATCGTGTCTGTACATTGTCACGGAAATTTGCGACGGGGGCGAGATGCAGGATCTGCTCTTAGAGGGGAAGTCCCAGACAAACGCGGAGGGCCTCCTGTATGGCGCTCTCAACTGTTACATTCTCAACTGTTTTACATGAATTCGTGATGCAAGAGCGGCAAAATTGAAAGGGGGAAGATTGCGCCTTTTGCATTACAGATTCCGCACAGATTTAGGCACTGTCTAGCCCTTCGCAGATTTGTCATGCGAAGCAGCTTGACCACCTGGCGCCTTAAGGTAACTTTGCATGACAAATCATGTAACAGCTGAGAATGTAACGTTTGAGAATCCCATATCCTGCTCCAGGTTTTTTCCGCGGTGCAGTACTGCCACCAGATGGGAGTGGTGCATCGGGACCTGAAACTCGAAAACTGCCTTCTGAAGGACAAACTACAGCGGGCTTCCGACGGGTCTTTATGCATTGCAAAAGCATCGTAATAGTAGCAATTGCATTACAAATTTGCTTAGCATTACAAATGAAATTTGTCATGCTGTTTTACCTTGAAAAGGAGATTTGTCATGCATAGCAGCAATCACTACGAGTACGATGCTTTTGCACAGGATAGTCTCTGATCCAAAACGACGATTTGTCTCACGTGCTGATCAAGGTGATCGATTTTGGGCTCGCCGCGGTCCAACAGAAATCGGTCGAGATCAAGCAACAGGAAGACGACTACACGCGGGACCCCTCCGACCGCACGACCGCGTCCTGCTCGTTGACGGAGGTGCTCGGCACGCCGTACTACATCGCGCCGGAAGTGTTGGACCCCTCGGTGCCCTACAACGAGAAGTGTGACGTTTGGGCGCTGGGGATCATGATGTACATGCTCTTGTCCGGCGAGCACCCCTTCGCCGTGGAGGCGGATTTGCACCGGCGGTCCCCGTATGAACTGCAAAAGTGTCTGGGTCTGGAAGAATTCAAGTTTGTCATGCTTATCTGGCATGACTCGAGAATCTGTGTTGCATAGGCACGAAAGAGCCCTCTTAACTGTCATGCGAAAAGGCAGCTTGCCATGCGGAATACGTAAGACATGGCACTAGCCACAAAATTAGTCATGCGTAGCTGCGTAATATTCCGGCGCGTCTATCATTCACTTGTTTTAGCATTACAAGTTTCCAGACCCAGACATTTTTGCATTTGATACCCCGAAGAAACTCTTTCACCGGATTAAGACGAAGGAGCCGAATATGCAGCGCCTGAAGGACGCGAATGTGTCACCGTCCGCCATAGACCTGATCACGAAATTACTCGTATGCATTGCAGATATGTCTGGGTCTGGAAAAATGCCAGGTTTGCCATGCTCTGCTAGCATGACTGTCAAGTCTGTCATGCCAGGTACCCAAAAGCGCCACTTTTGTGTCATGCAAAAACCTAGCTTCTCATGCAGAATAGGCAACACCTAGCGACTCAAAAACCTGTCATGCTGAGCCGTCATTTCTGGCGTTCTCTTGATTCGCCAACCAGCATCACAACTTTTCAGACCCAGACATTTTTGCATTTGATAACTCGAGAAGGACTTTCGCACGCGGCCTTCCGCGCGCGAGGCGCTGCAGCACCCCTGGTGTCAGCGGGCGAGACAGAATTTGATCACTGGCGACCAGGTGGCGCTGTCCGCCCCGCTGCGCAACATGCAGCTCTACTATCAAATGCAAAAATGTCTGGGTCTGGAAGGATGGAACCTGTGATGCGCATTTCGGAACACACAAGAATCCCTCATGCATAGGTAGCAAGAGGTGCTCAATTTCTCTCACCAAAATGGGGGATTTGTCATGCGGGTTCGGCATTGCGGAAGCTTCGCGAAGCCTGTGATGCTAGCGCTTCCATGCCAGACCTTCTGTGTCATGCAGAAACAGCGCGACGCTTCCAGACCCAGACACTTTTACATTTGATATCTACTCAAAGACGTCGAAACTAGAGCGGGTGTTGCGAACCATAGTTGCCCGGGAGGCAAAGCATCAGGATCTAGAGGCCCTCAGATACGCCTTCGCTGAGGTACTTATGTTTATGTCGGAACAACTACTGCGTAAAGATCAAGATGGAAGTGTTGTTGTATATGAGTTGGAATTTATGTCTGTGAGGTAGAGATCGTGTTTGAGTTCGAGTAGTTGCGGTCGAACGCTCATGGCACGTCCATGAGAATTTGATGCTCGTACTACCACTAATTATCATGTGAGCATGGTAGATGAAGAAGGAGAAGACAATGCCGGAAATGTGAAAAAAAAATCAGGTTGATGAGGACGGGTCCGGCGTGTTATCCAAGGACGAGGTTAAGCACTTGTTTCAATTAAAACTCGGCGCCGATAACGTGGATGAGAAACTGTTCGAGACTACCTGGACGGCCCTGGATACCGACGGGAGTGGATACGACAGTGCACAACTCCCCCTCCCCCTCATTTGTCATGCAAAATACCCACTCCACCCGTTGCCTCTTGGCATTGTTTGCATGATAAGTTCTGGTAGCCCAAATAGAACTGTAATCCAGTCGTGTAAATTTGTCATGCAAAGCCGGCATTTTTGCTGATGCTTGTATTGCTGTTCATCCAATACAAATGATGGAAAGATGCTGGAGTTGTGCACTGTCATAGTGGAAACATCGGGTACACCGAGTTTTTGTCCGCCGTCCTGGACAAGAACCTGCTGGCACAGGAGGAGACAATAACCCGAGCGTTCGAGTATTTTGATTTGGACAATTCTGGAAAAATCGACCGCGACGAGCTTGTATCTTTTGCAAAAGTATCGTACTCGTACTAATTGCAGCTACGCATGACAATTTTTTTTCCCAAGCTAAATCAGCATGACAAATTCCATTTGTCATGCTGCGCCAATTTGTATTGCAATTACTACTAGTACGATGCTTTTGCAGTTCATAGCCTGCAGTAGTGCTCGGCGACGCCGAGGTCGAGGCGGTGATGAAGAAATTGGATGTCGATGGGTCCGGACAGATTTCGCGGGACGAGTTTGGGGAGTTCGTGCGCCAGATAGCCGTATCCAATGCAAATATGTCTGGGTCAGGAAAGAATGGAATTTGTGATGCTACCTTCGGAGTCTACAAAAAATCTGTATTGCGTGAAGAGCAAACGAGGTCCAGTGTTTGCTACGCGGAGGTGAGGGCATTTCTGATGCGGTATGGACATCAGGAAGCCCCTGCAGAATCTGTGATGCTACAACAGCATGCATCACGGACGTCATGGGTCATGCAACATCTGCATGACAAACTCCTGCATTCTTCCAGAGCCAGACATATTTGCATTTGATGAGCCGCAAACGCCGGTGGGTCTTCGGCCGGAGTAAGGTCCGGGCAGGGGAGCCGCTCTGGCTCGAAGATTGCGGCGCCCGACCGGTATACGTACGTGTCCGAAGCAGGAGGTCGCGCAACGTCAAACGCCGGAGGGGCGGCAAAGCCCCCGCGAGTCAGTGCTGCTGTTCCGGGCATCGTGGCTGCGGCCGGCCCGGGAGAAGACGGGATAACAAAATCGAAAAGCAAGTTTGGACAGCAGAAGTCTATGGTGGTCAAGCAGGCTGCGCTAGCGTCAGTGAAATACACAAAAAAAGACTTGGAGCAAAGTTATGATGGGGAAGGATCCAGTAGCGACTAGTAGTAGGTTTTTTTTCAACAAAAATATGCGACTCATATTTGCTAAGAGGTTTATACATCTTAATCTTTTCAAAAAGAACGACCCAGAAGACGGAGATACATTCATACTCATGTCTCGAAGAAGTAGAAGATCATTGGCCTACTTCGAGTTTCGCACGCACCTGTTGGCTCGCAGCACACTGTCTCTTATTCAGAATACTAGGTCAATCTGTGCTGTGACGCGTTTTTTTTTCCTTACCTCCAGTATAAAATTTTCCGCACTGCTAGTAGAACTGCCTTTGAGACGGTAGAAGCATAGCCATGGCCGGTTTCGCATTCGAGGCTCTGGGTGCGCGGTGCAAGTTTTCCATTCATGATAGTTAGCTGTCGGGGTACTTAAGAAAAACAACTTTTGCGCAGGTGCACGTGCACATAAAGAACATTACTAGCCTTGAGATGAAGAGCGCGACAGGAGGTCAACATATTTTCCATAGTTGTTTATGTTCTGACCATAAGTATCATGCTCATGATATATTCCTACACGATGTCTACTCAGTATTTTCTGTTCGTGTTTCAGTGTCGTGAGACCACAAACAGCGCAAAACATCACTGTGTCTGTGTCATACGTATTTACCACTTATTGGATCTTCTTACATGCAGCTACGTCGGCGTGGTGACCCTGACCGCCACGGACGCGGCGATTTCTTCGCAAGTTGGAGTCATTGAGGCAACTGCGACACCTGTTCATTTTGTTCTGCCGACGCCTTCGCGTTTGAATTCGATCATGAGTCCACATCGTCAGAATAAGTAGGAAGCAGCTTTAGGAAAAATGAAAATGAGGATGAAGAGGCCCCCCGTCGGGTCGTGGAGGTTCGGTCTACCTAAAAATTCATTGTTCCTGCCGTGAGTAGTTCTAGTTCACCACCAATTTGAATAGCTTATCTCGCTTTTTTTTGGAAGAACCACTCTCGTCTTTTTCGGTCGTCGTGTTTTATTGTTGTTGACATTCGATATGCTTATCCTTATGCAGTAGTTGATGTTGTATTACCAACAGGACAAGCTAAAGATTCATCATCATTCGATCCAGCATAACAAGTCCAAGTCATAAATATGAAGCTGTGCTGAGAGAGGAAGATCATGCCATCTACTTCCGTGCGCGCCGTGCTGCCCACTAGCACCGCAAACCAAGCTTCGTCGTTGATGTTCCGGCACCACCCCCACTCCCACCATCCCCGGATCATCTCCCGTCAGCACCCGTTGGTAAAGCACCTCCGTGACCTCCGGCGCAACCGGCACTATCGCAACGCCGAGACCTTGTTTGTGAAAGGCGGCAATTTGATCGCCAGCTCGCCCGTGGCGCCTCGCAGGATTGTGGTGCCGTTGTTGGGAGCCGGAGATAGAAGTACTTATTGGGATCGGGATGATCATGATATTAATTCTACAGCTAGTGCTGCTGCTGTAAGAACAAGGGACGAGGCGTTATTTTTAGCCGAGGACCACAGCGCGAATGATTCTGTCGCCAGCGAAAGCGCCAGTCCCCCTGAGAGAGTGCACCAGGCGCCGGTATCGAGCAGGAGCAACGGCGACATTTTGCCCAACCTGGAGGCTGCAGTGGAGCATCGTTGGCCTGGACAGAGGGTGGAGATCACAAGACTACCGGCGGAGCTGCTTGAATACATTGTCGCTGACGGGCCTTCCGATGCCAGAACAACAATCGGGGGAAGGGCTGGTCGTGGCAACACTCTGGGCCCGCAGTGGCGCCATCATGATCTACTTCACAGAAACTCACACAACTACCTCGAACGTGAAAGAAGACCAAAATTATGTGACGAGGAGGAGGACACAGCATGCGCACCAGGACGGCCCTCGACGGGTTTCTCGTCGGGAGTTGGACATCAAGAAGGAAACTCAGTGGCAGATGAGGACAACTACAACGGCAACGGGATAATGAACACCGTACTGCCCAGAAAAATGAACGATCACTCCGGCATCGTCCCGAGAAAACACGGCGCAACCCCAGAACAAATGTTGCAGCAGTGCTTTCGCAGCTGCTGTGGTGCAGCAGGGATCATGGAATCTAGTACCACTGCCGGGTCAGGATCATCTACACCTGCACTACGAGAACTACAACTCGGTGGACCACCAGCGCCGACAGCCAAAGCTGCTCACTTCGATGGCCTGATCGTCGCAGAGCTGGACCGTCCGGAGAGCAAGGATGAGGCGACGCTATTCATCTCCAACAAGAACTCTCATCTTGTTCACTGTTCTTACAACCAGAACGAACTCGCAGACTCAGAATCCAACAACTCCTCGACCAAAAATCACGGACTGAGGCTGGTGCTGGCCCTCGACAACATTCAATACCCAGACAACATGGGGCAACTGATAAAGCTCGCGAGCGCCTACAAGTTTGACGCGGTCTTCACTACCCCGTGTTCCGTATCGCCACTGAACTGGCGTAGTTTGCACTACTCGGGGCTGTTGCCGAACTGGGGGCTTCCCTGGGTGGTATGCTGTGCAAAAGTAGCGTACTCGTATTACTACACTCACAAAAATCAATGATGAAAATCCGGCACAACTACATGACAAACCTCCTACTAACTTCCCAACCTAAATCAGCATGACGGATTTCAGTTGTCAACATGCTGCGACAACTTGTAATTATGGCGCAAAAAGAGTTACTTACTAGTAGAGACCGCGAGAGTTGTAGTTGTACGAGGATCATACACATACTTTTGCAAAAATTCATATCTGGAGGGGTGCACCAACGTGAAGCGAGATTTGTTCGAGAAGATCGTGCAAAAACACAACCTGCTCCCCATCGTGGCCAGCAGTGACGAGGGAATTAGCACCACATTGCAGTCGATTTTCTCGGACAAGACGTGCCGACACTACTTGGGAGGTGCTGGCGGTGGTGGTCGTGTGGGTAAAAACAAGAATAACTTCGACGGGTTGTGCCTGATCCTAGGCTCGGAGTCTTTTGGCCCTTCTCCGTACTGCATGGAAAACAGTATTATGAACTGCAAAAGTAAGTATCGTACTCGTAGTAATTGCTGCTATGCATGACTAATCTCTCTCTTAAGGGAAAACAGCATTACAAGTTTCATTTGTAATGCTTAGCGAATTTGTAATGCAATTTATACTAGTACGATGCTTTTGCACAGGATAAGTATAAAAATCCGCGTGCCCATGGCGTCGACCCTGCTCCAGTCACTGAATGTACATGTGGCAGGGGGCATTTTGATGGAGGAAATCCGGACCCAGGTGGATAGGTACTTTTTTGCAAATCACGCATGAGGACCACGCATGTATAGTTTAATCTTCTAAGATGAAGATCGTCAAAGATGACGAAAACGTGAACGTGTCGAGATAATATCACGGGCGGCTGCGATGGATTTTTATCGTGCCCACGTGGTAACCTACATATAACGAAAACGAATAGATTTGATTTTGCCTAAGTCCTGGTAAACAATGTTGCGCACGCAATAAAAAGAAATGAGTGGACCCCTGGAAGGCCGCGAAAAAAGATTTCCATGTAGTTGTCTGCAGTTTGTTGCCCCTCCGCTGGGGAGCATGACTGTTGAGAAGGTCTATTCCCGACAGCAAGTCGAAGTCGTGACGAGAAAGGCAAAAAGAGCCGTGGAAGAGAAAAAACAATAAAGTGAAAAAGCTTGGCGTGTCAAATAAAGCGTTAGTTTTTCAAATAGAGAATTGCGTTGTAGTACTTGCACTATTATACAGAAGTAGCTGCACCTGCAGAAGGACTGCACGAGTGGTGGTCAAACTGTTGCTTCTTACAGCGAGGAGAGGTCCTTTAAGTATAGCTCACAATGAATGACAACATGAGACGGTGAACTGAACACCTATCAAAACCGACACCACAGTTGAATTCTTTACTGAAGTATTTTTGTTGTTGCACCTGTAAGAATTTCTTGTTCGTATCTATACGTACCTCGTCTTGGTGTCGTGGTTCGCCGCACATTTTTCAAATCAACCGCAGAGCTCTCAAAGGTTGTAAACTCGGAAACGTACTACAGCGACCAAAGGAACGAACAAAACTTTTGAATAAAAAATGCCCGAGTCCCGCGTGAACCCGGCACCAGATCCTGCGCATCTGCTGAGTGCGGAGCTCCCGAAGTTGGAGCTGCCGAAGGAGAATGCAGATGTTGGGGCAGTGGAGAATGTTTTTGGCAGTAAACAAGGCGAGAACATCTTCAATGCAGGTGCTGGCGGGGAAAAAATGGAGCAGCCGGGAAGTAGTAACGCAGCGGACTTGAACAATGAGTTTTCCGGTGCAGATGGAGGAGAATTCCTCCTTCCAAACGAAGTCGGATTGTTTGACAACGAGGCACAACTTCAGCCGCAACAAGAGGAGGAAGACGCACCGGAGCCGGTGAATCTGTATGTATGCATTGCAAAAATCACGACATCGCAATCTGGATCTCGTCGCATAAGGAAATTCAAGTTTTCATCAATATGTTTGAATCTCGTATACTATAACTATGAAGAAATTCAAATTTTCATATGTTTGATTCTGCATGTTAGCAGCCCTTTCGAAGTTCTTTGCTTGGGAGACTTTGTCATGCGTTACTATTTCATACCGTTGCGAAGTAAATATGTTTGCAATGCATGGCATGATGTGATCGACGAGCTTGACTTGGCCGCGATGTTAGAGGGTGACCAAAAAATGCTGAAGACGGAACAGGTAAAGTACTATATCGCTTTACAGGATGTTGATAGACTACATAGCTTCATTTTTTAAGGAAGAGAAGGAGAAGGGGGCTAGGGCTTGTTGATGACGCATTGAGTTTGACGAGTTGATGTCCCAGGAGGTGCTTTTCACCACTACTTCTTCACTGGTAATTCCAATTCGATTTCCAAGAATTATTAGCATAACTCCCACACGACAACTTTCCCCATGAAATAAACCGATCAGATTCTGCAGACGCTGACCGACACTTTTATCTCCTCCGAAGTGCTGGTGGTGTCGAAAATTGTATGAGATTGCGCAGTATGCATTGCAAGAATGTCTGGGTCTGGAACATGGCAACTTGTCATGCCAAGTCTGAATCATGCAAAAATCTGTATTGCATGACTCCCAAAAGCTGTCCACTTTTGTCCAAGTTGGGAGGCAGTTTCTCATGCAGGAAATGCATGATCTGTCATGCTACGTCCTTCATTCCAGACCTCATAGGTCATGTAAAACCTGCATGACAAGCGTGCATGCTTCCAGACCCAGACACTTTTGCAGTTGATACGCAGCTACTAGAAGTTCCACATAGGCTCTTATTCTTTGGTGTGGAGGACGAGGAGGTCGTGTAAAATAAGTGCTAGAATTTTATTCTCGTCACTTCTACTGTCTTTGCTCTTTGGCAAACGGCACTGGTAGTTTGTATCCGACAACTTGGTTCAACATCTGGAAGCCCAAAGAGGACCGGCACGAGAGACCGACCAGTCAGTGTGTCGTGAAGTAGATCTTCAATGAATTCATCTGTGTGATGAAATTGATGTCAAGAAGCAGAACACGAAGCTGAAATAAGTAACTCGGGGTGTGGGACGTCGAGTTGTGCATTCTCATACATTGGAAACCGCGTGCAAGAGGTGATTGAGGAATTTGGGTACCAAACGAAAGCCAATGTCCTGGCGAAGAAGTTGATCGCGAGTTGGAAAGGTATGAATTTATCTAGAGAACGGGGGTCGGGGTGCTGGATGATTGTTTATACGTGTTTTCTTTTGCGAGGAGATTTGCATCCATTTGGCAGCTGCTCCTTTTCCTCATACGTTTTTTCATGCGGATCCGGATGCGCAAGAACAGGCGTCGTAATGCAATGAAAATGATGCGTCAAAAACATGAAGATAGTAGGCGCAGTTTTGAGTCCTCTCTACTTTCACCAAATGTCTTGCATGAAAAACCACACGACAGACACTTCTCCCAACGACAAGCCGCGTCCATCGGCGCAGGTCGCGTACTTTGACGGCGAACTGGAGAACGAAGCTGGCGAGCTGGAGAAGGTCTGCGTGTGGCCCGACCTGATTGGCGGGCCTAGCTCCAAAAACAAGATGAAGCAGGCCGGCGCTGGTGGGGAGAACAAGATGAAAAGCAAGAAGCCAAAGGAGAGAAAGGCAAAAGGTGCAAACAAGCCGAAGGCGAACAAGCAGCCCAAGAAACAAGCGATGAAGAAGAAATCCGATCTGGCGCTGCCGGATCTGAACTTCGAAGCCGATGAAGAAGAGGGCGGCTCTACGCCTAGCCTGACCAGCGAGGACGAGGGTGAGGAGGAAGATATGAATTGCAAAAGTATCCGTATCGTACTAGTTGTAAATCGTATTACAAATTTTCTCAGCATGATACATGGAGTTTGTCATGGTGATTTTCCTTGAGAGTTAAAATTTGTCGTGCATAATTGCGATTACTAGTACTACGGGCGGGATACTTTTGCACTCTATAGAAGATGGATACAAAAACCCGGACTTACCGGAGAAGGAAGAGAAGAAGGAGCTGGCAAAGCAGAAAAAATATCCCGTGCAAAAGTATCGTGCTTATTCGTATTGAAAATCACCCTCGACGCTGGTGCAATGATGCATGAGAAGCCTCCTTCCCATAAGTAAATCAGCATGACAAACTACGCAGGACGAATTTTGTTTGTGATGCAATTCCTACTAGAACAGTGGAGTGCTTTTGCGACGCATAAGAAAAAGTTGGCCCGGACGAAGACGATGGATGGCAGTGACGAGGAGCAATTTGAGTGGGACGTAAGAAAAATGAATTGAGAATTTAAAATTTAGCGAGCTTATTTGACGTGGTACAACGAGTACGACGTATTGGTTGTGATCCTGCATGTAAGTATTAGGTAGTTTATTTTCTATTCTTTCCACTATGAATGAATGAATCTTGAATGCCAGCGGCAAGAGGCGACGCCAACGGCAAACTCCCCCCTGGTGGCCGGGCACTGCTAAAGCGGGCGGTGAAACGTCACTAGGGGTGTAGGAGTTGGTTTACCACTACTACAGAATCATTTACCACTGAGAATTACACTACAGTATGTGAGAGGCTTTACCGCTCACCTTGAGAAGCGCGCGCGTCATTCTATTCTTTCCACTACAGAAACTAACACATCTGCATATCAGCATGATGTGGAATTATCGTGCACCTGTATGACAGAATGAGCAGCAGGATTACGACATGAAACAAAATGAATTTCAACACAGAAACCGGACGACAAATCGGCGGCAGGCGGGGCCGCGCAGTCATCCAAGCATGTCCCCCTGAGTAAAACGGAAAAAGCGACTGGAGGGTTGTTGAAGCGCAGGACCCGCAAGGTCGTTGGTGGAGCTGCTGCGGGGAGCAAGAACGAGGAGGGGGTAGAGGAAAACAAAAAACCAAACACGAAGGGGAAAGGAAAGGAAAAGAAAGTATTGCAGTGTTTTTCGATTTTATGCTGTCAAACTGATGTTGAACTTAGCGCGGCGTTGTTTGATACTTGCAGTGCCAGTGCCAGGTAGTAGCTTCTGCCATACTACCAGGCACTTCTCCTGAATAAATTCTAAAAAAAGCTTCTACATAATTACCAGGCCACCAGCAAGGAGTCCTCCGCCACCTCCAGCAAGGCAAAAGTCGAGGACGACCTCGAAGTTTCTTCCAAGTCCAAGAGCAAAAGCACTACCTCCAAGGTCGCCATGAAGTCCTCCACCGGCGCGGCCGCGGCCAGTGGAACAAAGAAAGGCTCGAAGGAGTCAGCATCCTCTACTTCCGGAGCCGACAAAAACTACACGACCCTGGACGCCGACGTTCTGCTCGCGGAGGACCAGGATGATCCGGCTTCCTCGAGCAAAGCGATGAAACGGAAAATGAACAACAACTCGAAGATGAGCAAGGTGGGACAACAAGATGACTATGCAATGCAAAAGCATCGTACTCGTAAAGTAATTGCAGTTATGCATTACAAATTCAGGTATTAAGGTAAATCCGCATTACAAATTCCATTTCTAATGCTGAGAAACTTTGTATTGCAATTACTACTAGTACGATGCTTTTGCAGAGGATAATGACAGCGAACAGATGTCATCTCCTATCGCGGAAAATAAACAGAAACAGGATGCAGCAGCTGAGATGAAGCAAGCGAAATCCAAATCGAAATCTACCAACGCGAAGATCGAAGCGTCTGTTGCGGCGGAAAAAAGCAAACAGGAACAAGAGGAACAATCGAACTCTGACGCAGCTGGTGAGCCGGCGTCGAAGAAGCGGAAGATGACAAAATACCCAGTGCAAAAGTATCGTACTCGTAGTAATTGCGGTCATGCATTACAAATCTCGTTTCCAAGGCAAATCAGCATGACAACTTGCGTTTGTCATGCTGAGGGAATTTGTCATGCCATTTATACTAGTACGATACTTTTGCACTTCATACAAAAGGTGCGGGAACTGCAAAAGCAAAAGGCTCTAGTACGACCTCCGCGGGAGGTGGAGCGAGTGCGAGTGGAAAGGTGAGCAAGCAAGCGTCAAAGCAGTCGTCGAAGATCAGTGTGGAGAAGGAGCAAGAAGCTGAACCAGTGGAGAAAAGCGCCGCTGGTGCGACCTCGTCCAAAATCGCGAAATCCAAAAGCAAGGAGCCCGCTTCTGATGCAGTCGTGTTGAACAAAAAAGCAAGCAAAGCCTCCACGATTTCCGCCTCGTCGAGTGTAGCAGTAGCCGTGATGAAGAAAGATCTCCAAGAACAACCAGAACAACCGGAAAAGTCCAAGTCGAAATCCTCAAAAGCGCCGGCGATGAAACAAGCCCCCGCGGCCGCCGCTTCCTATCAAATGCAAAAATGTCTGGGTCTGGAAGGTTGCAACTTGTGACGCTGTCTCTGGAAGGTAAAAAAGATCTGTATTGTATGACCAGCAAGTAGAGCAGGAGTGCAGTTTGTGCTGCGCGGAGTGGGCGTTTCTCATGCGGAATACGCATCAGAAGGTCCTTCAAATCTGTGACGCTAGGTCATGCATTACAGGCATCATGGGTTATGCAAAATATGCATGACAAACCCGGTCACAGCGGTTATGCAAAATATGCTGCATATGCATTACAGGCGTCACAGCGGTAGGACCCAGAGAGGGCATTTTGTTCGCCGCAGAGATGCAGCGGGTGCAGATCGTGCGGGGACAGCAGAAAGAGTGCAAAGCCATTCCGGAAAACAGCCCGCCCGAATTACCAGAGGGCGACCACATTGCACTCCACACCGCTATTAGCTGGCATAGGCCGCAGGCGCCACAGCCGGCACAGAGCGGAGACGCGAGGCAGCCAGGCCGCGGCGAAAGGACGAAGCCGCTTGCCTTCAACGCGCGGCATTCGGAGCTTATCCCGACTGAAGGTGAGAGAGAGCGGGTGAAGATACTGAAAGGACAGAATGAATTTGAGGAGCGCCTCCCGTTTTCGGGAGTAATATCTTGGCCCAGGGGTACAAAAACGACAGAGGTTCTGGAGCCACTATTCGAGGGAGCACAGATGCCCGACATCGAGCAGGTCGGCCTGGAAGGCATCCAGAAATGGGCGCAGGAAGTACTCTTGGACTCCGGTGCGTGCAGCTACGTACCGACTGAGCCGACAGAGGATATGAGGCAGCTTTTTGAGCGACAGACACCCGGCCAGCGAGGAGGGAGAACAGAAGGAGCGAGCGGCGCGGACAAAAAGAAAGAAAAGGAGAGAGAGCATCGGTCAATGTTCGCGGGGCCGGTAGATGGATCGACGCTAGATAACGTCTACCAGCACGCGAAGCAGGCGAGAGAGCAGGTTCTTGGCGTCCGCCGCGGCGCACCGGCGGAGGAAATCAAGAAGATCAACGCCGGCACGGCCACGGCCCCCAGAGAGGTGGTCGGGGTTGAGGAGTGCACGAAAGAAATCTCCTTGGCTCATGTTTTCAAAAGCGAGCGAATCCGGCACGCCGAAGGAGAGCGCCATACGTTCAGCCCGGAGGAAATGCCGCGCGCCGTCACGCAGTTGACCGAGGCAGCGAAAGGTCTACCGCCTCTGCGAATTCCCGCGGCCGAATTGAGGAGACACATCATGAAAATGAACAAAGAAGCTTCCGGCGCGCGCCGATGGGGTCCGCTTGTGGGCCTTTGCCGCAATGACGGACCAGCAGACTTGCCAGCTCGCAGCCGGTTGCGAGGTCTTCTTGCAGAGAATCGGCCTCGCGGATTGGATCCCGGGACAGGAGGACGCAATTTTGCCGCCGGCGCTGACGGTGCTGCAGGTCGAGATCCTCCGGAAAGCCTCACAACTTGGCGGGGACATCTCGAAGCTCCGGACGGTAATTCGCGGGACACCGGTCTACCGGATTACGTTGAGCTTCCTTACGCACCGCATGGCCCGCATCGCGGACCTCGGGGACGCTTTTACCCCTTCCGGGGCCGCCGGAAAGCCGGCTGCCTCATGCATGGCAACCGTTTTAGAAATCCTGAAGGTCTGCTACGCGGAAGACCTGCAGAACGGCTGCGAAAACAAGGAGCGAGCGGCGGAACTGAGTGAGCAGGAAAAAACGAACGCAGCGAACTGGCTAACGATCTTGATAGGAATTGACGCCAGTAATTTCTACAATTGCATAAGCATGCCAAGCATGGTGCGGAGTTTTCGCTGGGCGCGGTTGCGCCCCACCTACATCAAGCTGGCAATGCTTTCAAATTGGCGAAAAACCCTCTTCCTGAGGAACGGGAGTTGCTTCGCAGAGCTCAGCGACCATCGAGACCTCATCCAGGGTTCAGTGGAAACGATGCTCCGTGGCGTCCTGCTCTTTATGAGAGGAGCCACCGCGGTGGCGCAGTTCGTGGCGGAGTGCTTCGACGCGGCCGGGCGAATCGATGAGAAGCGCATCGACAGCGCGGGGGCGAAGCTCCGCAGAACGCTGCGCGAAGATTTTGCGGGGGGAGATGACACCGACGCCACTTTCCCGGACTACAAGCCGGCGGAGGAGGTCCATGAGCTCTTCCGCGACGAGGAGGGCGCTGGCGGTGCAGAGACGGGAAACAGGACGACGAGGACGCGGATGACCCGGAGCAAGGAGTACGAGAGGACGAGAGTCAGCCAAAGACTGCCGATGAGCGAGCGGGAGGAGAAGGCGCCAAGGAAGGCAGCCGTCGTGCAGTTTGTGGATGATGGCACCCTCTCCATCAAATTGCACAAAGACGACGCCGAAAAACTGCGGAAGCTGCTGAAAATAGTGGCCACAGCGTACGAAACGATGTATGCGTCCGAAGGGCAGTACCTCGCGCCAAAAAAGGCCGCGATGCTCCTCTCTGCTTCGGCGATGGACCAGCAGGCGCTATATCTCGCAGCCTTCCGCCCCTTCGGAATTGTCTTCAACTTGAAGGAGTGCACCAAGATCCTGGGCATCACGATCCGGCTCGGCGACATACGGGACCAGGTTGATGCAATTCGCAAGCAGGTCAACAATTCAGTCTCGTTCGCGCAGCACCTCTGCTATCGAGTTATGCGAAGCAAGGGCAATTTCGTGATGACAGGCGCGGATCTTCGGTGGGTGATCATTTGCTTCTACATGTCGCCAATCATCTACATTCTCCCGGTGCTCCGCCTGATTTTCGCCCAGAGCGACTGGTCCGAGTTACTTATCGAGATGGCGACTTCAATCGCGAAGGTTATCGGTTTCGAGCGAGAGGTCTGGGAGAGGATGACCACGATGCACAATGTCACGCCGGAGCTTTTCCATCGACTGATCTTCAGTGAGAACATCATGGGGATTGTAGACCCGTACGTGCTCGGGATCAAGCTCCTCCGAGGCGTAGCGCAGAGCGACATCCTTACCAACATTGATGGCTTCGTGACGTGGGCAACGTTCCCGATCCGCTTCCACGGCGCCGGGCTTGCAGGAATCGGCGCGGCCGACCGAAAGGCAGCACAGGTAAAGACGACGGCAGACCTGGCATTAGTTGAGGCTTTGAGCGAGGGAGCAGAAATCAGGTTGCCAGCGAAGTCTGACCTCCGCCTGTGCGGTTTCATCCCGGACAGGAGCAGCAAGCCTCCGCCGCCCGAAAAGGTCCCGCGGGCGTGCCACAGTGCGAGCGCGTTTGTGGTGGCATCGGCGGACGGCATGGGCGTCCGACTCCTGCAAACAGACACGACGGGGCGGGTTTCGGTACTACGGCAGGTACGAACAAAACGCGAGCACCTGCTCACAGAGGAGAGAGCGGAAGAAAGGCAGTTCGTTGCTTATCTGAGTGGATTTCTATCCCTAAGTCAGCAGACGGAACAAGAGGAGCCAGGAGTGCACTACACCTACAGGCTATGCGACTACTGGCGACTCCGGGGAAAGACGCGCGGGCCGCTGCGCCGGGGCGAAGGGATAGCCGTCCACTTCGCCGAGCAAGTCGAGCAGATGCACTTGAGGGGCCACAGAGTAGAGCGAGCGAACACAAGAACGGCGGAGCAGGTCGCCGAGGCAAGCAGGGAGATGAGCACAGTGATGGCGACCAAAGTCATAGGGCTCAGCATTGTCAACGCAACGGGGCACGACCACGAGTACACAGACTGGCCCGTCTACGATTTCGGTGAGCAGGCTTTCGGTTTCCCCCCGCTGCGGGACTGGAAAAAGCGGCGCAGCCTCGCAGCGCGGCGCGAGTACGTCAAAGACTCGCTGCAGTTCCAAGACCTCCAAAACGGCGAAAACACAGAAGACGAGCATCCGGATAACGATCCGGCGGAGGTTGAGAGAGCGGCCGCGCGATCGCCGGCGCCGAAAGGAAGGGCGAAAGCACAGGCAAAGGCGAGGGAGCAGCCCCCCCAGGAGAGAGCGGCAAAGCCAAAGGCGAAGGCGAAGCAACCAGGCCCGCAACCGAAACAGCAACCAACAGGCGAAACGAGCGCAGGCTGCGGACCCGGGGCCCCCGAGGCGACAGGCGGCCGGCGGAAGGGCGGCGCAGGCGAAACAGAACCCGGCCCCAACAAGGAAAGCAGTGCCGGCGAAGAAGAAGGAGATCGCGTAGCTTTAGGACGCAGGCTGCTCGTCGAAACAAAAACAGAAGACCTACTAAAAAAAAAAAAAAAAGCAACAGGTAGGACAGTCGGCACGAAGACCGTGAAGTTTAGTTTCTTGCGCAAAAAGAAAAATATAAAAAACAGCACAAGGCGCGTGCGGAGGACACAAGGCGATCACGCGGGCGGCGTGTTCATCCAGGCGGGCGGAGAAGAGCCAGGAATGGCTGAGAGAAAAAGAAAGAAAAATGGCTACTCAGCAGCCACATGCCCCCCCCTAGTTCCTTTGCACTCCGGGCGCGAGGCCCGCCAGGGTTTTCGCCGCTCGTGTATTGTCTCCCACGCCGCGACAGGGCTCGCGGAACGAAGCCCGACGGGACCCGGCCCGGAAAGAAAAACTAGCAAAAGCCAAAAAGAACAAACCGCCGGGGGCCTTATGCCACCCACCTTCGGCACGCCAGAAGGCCACAAGCCCAGCAATTCCAAAAGAGCCGGCAGTGGTAGCAGTGCACTACCTAGATACTAATTAGCTTAGACGGGTCTTAGCGCAAAGAAAGAGGGGCAAGTCCAAGAGGCTTTTGCATGGGGTCCACTGGTCACCGTTTCGCGCGAGCCATTCGGTGGACGACTGACCCCGCCCCATTTAAATAGCCGCTATGCGGGAGTTTTGTAAAAACTGGACTTCGTCCGTCTCCGGGTGGCGTGCCCGGGGTTCAGTCTAAATAAATTTGCCCGGGAAAATACCACGCAGCGGAGCAATCAGGCCTACTCGTAGGCCAGTCGGGGTCTATCCTTTCTCCACGTCGTCACGTGTGGTTATTGGGTTTTGTTGGCGTATGTCAGGGGATTCCTGTCTTTGGCATTTCACGACTCTTCCCATGGGTTCACTTCGATGATTGCTGCCGGGGACGTTCTTATGCAGTCAGCTGGATGACTGTGACCTGGCTCGTACTGTGAACGCAGCTGGATGACTGTGACCTGGCTCGTCTTCGATGGGCAGGCGGATGACTGTGACCTGTCTCGCCCATCAAGATCCCTAATCCGTAGCTCCTAGACGTTGCCTGGCCCGCGAATGACTCCACGGCAGCCGGATGTCCGTGACCTGGTTATAAAGGGCTTCGTCGATCGATTGTGCCACTAGGGCCTTGTGTTCCGGCTACTCCGGATCGCAATCGATGGAGGGCGGGACCTGCACCGGCGACAGGCGCTATCCAACCAACCAACCAACCAAACCTGGTAATCTTCCAGACCCAGACATTTTTGCATTTGATACTTCCGGCAAGAGTACTAAAGGTAGTAAGAGCAGCTCCTCCGGCGCTGCGTCGTCTGATGAAGCGGCGTATCAACGGGAAAAATGTCTGGGTCTGGAAGAATCCAACTTGTCATGCTGATTTTGGATTTTAGAAAAATCTGTATTGCATGAGCAGCAAAGAGACTCCAAGTTTTGCTACACGGACAGGGCATAATTTGTCATGCGGTATAGGCATCAGGAAGCCCTCACAAAATCTGTGATGCTAGGGCATGCATCACAGACATCAGGAGTCATGCAAAATGTGCATGACAAGCCTGGCAATCTTCCAGACCCAGACACTTTTACATTTGATACGGCGAACAAGAAAACGCAGGAACAGACGGAGTTGGAGAAAATGTTGGACAAGGAAATAGAGGAAATGCAGACGAGGCTGAAGGAGAAGCAAGCGCAGAAGGAGCAAGCGCAAAAGGAAAAGGAGAAGGAGACGAACCAACATTCTACTTCTGCGGCAGTGCTGGCAAATGAACAACAAGTGTCGGCAGCACCGGTCGTCGCGTCGTCGTCCGTCAGTAGACCGATGAAGATGAAGGCTGCAGCGTCCTCTTCATCCGCAGCGGCGGCCGTCGTGGTTGAAAAAAAGGATGTTGAGAAAAAGCAGGCTAACAAAGCTGCTGCTTCAACGTCCTCGATGAGGATCATGAGTAAAAACAAGGCCACGACGACAGCGGCAAACGAAAATAAAGTGTCCATGAAGAAGAAGTCCTCGAATAACGGTAACACAGCGGCGTCATCCTCATCGTCGTCGTTGAAGGCCGCGAAGGGTGTTAACAAGAAGGCCGCCGCTTCGTCGTTGAAGGCGAAAATCGAGAAGGTGGATAAGAAAAAGGAAGTGATCAAGTCCAAATCGATGAAAAAGGAGACATCCACGGTGGCTGCAGCTTCTTCGAAAAGTTCGAAGGCCACTAGCAAAAATACAACAACTTCTTCTTCGGGGACGACGAAGCAGGGAAAAAATAAAGCAGCTGGCTCGGCCGCCCCGGCATCTACTGCGACGGGTGGAAAGCGCCAGGCGATGAAGAAGGCGTGAGTAGAGTTTAAATACAAATCCGCCGTCAAATGAAGGAAACACGACACTTAATTTAAGTGCAATTTCATGCAGATAACACCGCGAGAGCCTGGTATGGGTGTGTTTTTAAGTCTTTTTTGGTGATTTCACTTGCAAACAGATGTTTACCAAAGCTCGAGCCTCCGCTCACATTTATTGTTCAAAAATAATTTTATTAATATACAACTAAAACATTTCATAGCCTTCACGCAACGAAGCTACAAATACATCTGTCAGAGTCGTCACGCACGATTGCACTTTTGGAAGCCTTTCTTTCACTACTAAAAATTTGGCAATGAGTAAATCTTTTACCCGCGTGCTTTTAATTTTATATCGCGACTGTTTTTTTTTTTGCAATCTCTTATATCTAATGACCACAATATAGCAAGAATATTGAGGAGAAAACAAATTTCACGGAAGACGCGCTGCTGCAAAGAAAGCGCGTTTCTTAAATTAGGCCTGAGCAACTTACTACCGGTATCGCCACGAAGTAAGGATAAAATGTAACCCTGAGGAGCAGCTGCAGTTGCAGTCGGAGGATGGGGCGCAACTCGCTCATCAACAACAACATCTACATCATCAGCATCTACTTTTTATATCAAAAAATTTAGCGAAACCAAATCCAAAAGCAAACGCAGTACGAGGGGTCGGAATGTAGTTGCTATGACTGTTATTCGTGTTCATGCTACTGGTTCACCAGGTTTTGTTGTTCTGTAATAAATACCCCGGGCTTTTACTAGTAGCTCATTCTCCATCTTCTATTTCTGTCAATTCCACCGATTGTGCTTTGATCTTCTCGTCCGTTCCTTTTTCCGTTTGCTTTTGTCGACGACAGGCAGTTTACAATCGACCGAAAATATTGAAGATCACCTCCCTGGTGGCAGTGGTTTTTTTGTCAGACCCGGACAGAAGAATAATCAATGTTCTACAACTTGTAGCCCATGATTGCAGCTTAGGTTGTTGTTGTCCAGGAGTCCTCTGTAGAAATCGTTCTTTTGCTTGGAAATCCGGACAAATCGGAGATTTGTCTATCTTATCGTTCATTGTTGTCTGTGTGCGATACAACTAAATTGAAATTTAGGCTGATACTATAGAACCAGTACAAGAAGTCCGTGTCGTGTAGGTGTTGCGATTCATCTTGCTAGTACTTTATACGCGTTCTGAGCGAGAAGTACCCGTCGTAACAAGCGCGATATCTATCCACCAAGATGAACAACAACTACTTTGCCAGCAACTCCGCGCACAAAAGCCGGCCGCACCACGGAGGACACCAGGGTGGTCACCAGCCGTCTCACCACGGGTCTTTATCAAATGTAAAAATGTCTGGGTCTGGAAACTTGTAATGCTAAAAGTGAATGGTAGACCGACGCACTGCAATGCGCACGTATGCATGACAAACTTTTTGGCTCCCATGTCTTACGTATTCCACATGGCAAACTGCGTTTTTGAATGACAGGTAAGAGGGCCTGTTCGTGCCTATGCAACACAGATTCTCGAGTCGAGCCAGACACGCATGACAAGCTTGCATTCTTCCAGACCCAGACATTTTTGCACTTGATAGTCTTCGCACCACAGCAACCTCGGCGGGAGTCAGGCCTACCACCACGGCAGCCACAACAACGGACACTGGAGCAGGGGCGGTGGCGCGGGGCATCCGTATGCTGTGGGAGATCTTGATGTTTTGGGTCACTCGGGGAGGGGGAAGATCATGCGCATTATAGTACATTGCATTTGATGATACTGAAAGGGAGCTCCACTCCTGTTCATCATCTTCATGCGTGTGAGTGATATGATCGATGTTTTTATGATGGTACAAAAGGTGAAGGCTCTATGCGTGTTCAGCATCACAGATTCATACTCGTGACTCACAATTTCTCATGCATATGCCGCATCACAGCTACTCTTCCGGGCAGCTGGACCAGCACCACCAGTCACGAGGGCAAGACAGGTATACAGGATTTTTACATATGGAAAATAAAGTTGTCATGCGTTGGTTTGTCGCCATGGCATGAGATGAAATTTATTCTGTCTTGCATGAATGTGGATGTGCTGCACAAAAAGAACGACACGATCAAACTAACAGAAAACCGCGGGGTATGCTGGAGCATGGGGGATTTTTGGATGGGTACGCTGGGAAAAAGTCGAACCGTCGCAACAGCCTGAGCCGAGACAGCGACGGGATGGTATAGAAATCAAAGCCTGCGCGTCTTCTTAGAATTGAATGATATAGTGCGCGTCTTCAGGAGCAAGAAAGACAAACATGAAGAACAAATGTTGAACACGACTTTCATGCAATGCCAGTGTGCATTATGGAGATGTGACTTTTTTGTTTTCGCCTCGTGGCAATATGCATGACCACGACGAGCATGATGACGTTGACATCATCGGAGATAAAATCAAATTTAACAGAGCATCAGTGACGAGTACAACCGAATGGACCGATATGAAACCGGAAAGCTTTACCGCTAATAGTAATATCAGGTCGTCGTGGACGAGGTTTTGCATCAATGTTTACGTTATTCTTGTTCGCCGTACGACTGAGGCGCCACTTGTATGTAAGCATCATTTCCAGAACCGTCGCAACCTGAAATTTCACCTTGCGCTCGTCCTGGCGGTCGTCAGGCCCAAACATCACGCGACGCGTCAATGCAACGAAAATTATGAATGGCTATGTACGAATGTTTTTTATTTTGTAGTGCTGAGAATGAACTTGCCCGAAAGCGGAATTGGTGGAGTAAATGATTATCCAGTTTAGTTTTTCGGTTTCATCACCGATCTACCAGTCTAACCGCCATCGACTGTCACACATCGATCCCAGAGGACTTGTATCGCAGAATGGAGTATCAAGTGCAAATATGTCTCGGTCTGGAAAGATGCAAGGTTTGTCATGCTTAGCTAACATGACTCTTAAGTCTGTCATGCGTGTGACCCAAACCCCCCACTTTTCTCTCATGCGGTGGAAGCTCACTTTGTCATGCAGAATAGACAAGACTGTAGCAACTCCAAAACTTGTCATGCTTGGCAGTCAATTGAGGTTTTCTCGTCTTTCTTAACCAGCATCACAAGTCTCCAGACCCCGACATTTTTGCATTTGATATGGAGCACGAAGCGAATTTGGACCGGGGGGTGCATATCCTGTTCAAAAGTATCGTACTCGTCGTAATCCCATTCATGCATTGCAAATTTCTTTCTCAAGTTAAATCCGCATTACAAATTTTCTTTTTCATGCTGAGGAAATTTGTATTGCAATTCATACTAGTACGATACTTTTGCAATGCATAGTGCATGTGCCAAAGAAAAAATCCAATGGAGACTGCGTCTTAGTGCACACGGGGGTGTACTGAGGGAATATTAAACTAGGATCGTCACAACTGCATCGGAGGGAAGATCTTCATCTGTAATTATCTCTATTTATTCGTTTCGCGAAAGCAAGAGGATAAAGTGAGATGGTGTGCATGATTATTTTCTCCGATGATCGTAGTTTTTATTCCTGTTCTGAAGACGCGTTTCACATTTTTGTAATTTCCAGATTTTGCTTGAGGTTTGGTTTGGGTTTTTCATTTTTTCAACCCGTAAAAAACGTTATTTTCAAAATAGAGTCACTGATTTCCTTATTGGGTCGCTTTCATCATGGTCGTTATAGTGAAGCAGACTGCAAAAAATTCTTCTGTAAATTTAAGTTTCTATGTTCAAAGTTGCAGCTGATCTTCTATAGTACGCGACCAGTTGTTTCTAGTTGTGCCGGTTTCTGTTTCGACGTAACAAAAAAGCTGTAGTTTGAAAATCACCATTTTTAGTCGCTTTGACATTATCTTTCGGGGATAAGAAAAGATAAAGGCTCATGTCTACTTCCCGTCTATTCTCTACGATCTCGTCCTAACTCCCGCAAGGTCACAGGCTCCACAGCTCGATAGCGTCACGCTCCTAGTCCCGCCACTTTGTAAGCGGTAAGCCCTTGTGCTGCGATTTATTTCTGCCTAACAATCCAGTAAATTGTTTTCGATAGGTACTAGTCCGAATCTATCAATCGCGTTTCTCAATGTCCCTTCGGGTTGAGGTTCATATTGATACGGTTAAGACGAAAAATATTTATCGGACAGAGGCATGATAATGCTTTGTTGTTTTTTTTTTCTTATTCTTTCAGCAACAGACGACCATGCTGATAGAAATTGCTACCATTTTTTTTCAAAATGCACACTACCTAGACCGATTTATTGCCTTTTCTGCCGAAACAGACTGTTTTTGAAATACATCCTCCTCGACGTGGTGAAGATGCTTTCTCCCAGGTTAGTTTTAAGGCCCTTGCCAGGTAAGTAGAAGTAGACAAAAGACTTCTACATCCCGCACCTGCACGACTGGGGCTAACGCAATCATTTTTTTATCCAACGTCTCAGCTCCCTGTAATAGGTGTTCTTTTACGCGCTTTTTATCCGTCTCGTTCGACAGATAGACTCCTGCTACACACTGTCTGGACGAGATGAAGACAAAAGAAGTGTCTGTTTGGACAGTTTCAAGATGCCCTTTCACTCTCAACACTTTTGCACCACGCAGCAAAGTGATAGGACACACGACCCACGAAGCTACAAATCTGCTGCATAATTGTGCACATCACGACGACCGTTGCACGATCGAGGAGCTTCAGCTCCAAAATTGAAAAGTACACGACTTACTTTACAAAATGCCTTTATGTAGCTTATTTATGATACCCCAGACCCAGTTCTAGTTGTTGAGTTGTAAAGATCATGAGAAGGATGTTGCTATCACCTCCTGCAGCAACACTTGCAAAAACGAAAAGGAGGACTTGCTGGCTTGGAGGAGATAGCAACGTGCTACTGCCTGTGTAGTTCTTGGTTCCTCATGCTAGTGCATTGTCAGCGCTTGTTCTAGTCTTCTAGTGCTGTCAGTGCACTAGTAGGATTTAGTTAGGAAAATAATGGTAGCATGGTATTCCTGCAGTTCTTGGACTTTGACTATTATCCTCAAAAAATAAAGTTACGAAAACTACAAATCCAGTCGCGTTTCGCTCGTACGTTGATTCTCTTGTAACAATATATTCTCTCTATTTTCCTGTAGAAGTAGCGGATGCACCAGAAACAAGACCACCGAAATTGGCTGCTCCTATCAGTATAATCCGTAGAAAATGTACAACATATCAATGCAGCATTTGCATTGGACTTTAAATCAGCTTGAAAGTGACTTGTAAGACGTAGCAGTTGGACTACTTTTTATTTTTAGTCGCGAAATCCCGTAAAATCTCTCTTGTCCTCAGTCCGCAAAACGCAAAAGTATAGTACTACGAATCGAAATTTAATTGCAACAAATAGAAAGAGAATGAGCAGTTGTCTCTGCCCACGACGCCCGGTTGTCTATCGGGAGCTTGTTTTGTGTCATTGAGATGGTTCTTTCGTCACGCATGCATATTTATCGGGCGGCGGTGGCGGTACGACCCTGCAAACTAAGGCTCGTGATGTTTGCCGTACGTAAGATCCCCGGTGTTGCAGTCACATAACGACCGTGCTTCCAAGCAGGTGTTCCTGTTATTTTGTCTTCTTTCGTGTTGCAGAAGCAGAAACTCTGCACCGGCGAAAATTTCCAGAGTTTTGCCACTCGGGGCGCGAGCATAGTAGAAGTAGAGAAGTGGTCTAGTCTAACAAGGAGGACAGTTACATGCTATTGCTTGTCTCCTGTCTGAGACCACAAGGAGCCCCATGAGCGGGCGTGTGGCTAGAGGGAGCGAAGAACATGATGAGCAAGGTGATACGTGCATAAGTAAAAAAAATCAAGGTTGATTTTTACTTTTCACATATTGGATCATAGTTGTTAATTAAGATCTTGAGCAGTTGCATCTTCGACACCAGAACTACGAACAAGATGTTGTGAACTCGTACTGCGGTGCCAGCATCTCTTTCTTCGGAACATGATTTTTTCCCCTCCTCCAAGGACGAGGAAGATGAGGCCCTGGTGCATGGCGCAACGAAGAACAAGTATGACAAACAAATTTTCGCCGCCGGCCTTAGCAACAAGAACAACCACCACCATCACGAACACCTGAACAAAAGATTCAACGTCTTCGAGGTGAACCCTCTCTACTATGGGCGCGCGCCACTCGCGCGCGCCCCCGGGAGTAGTAGATGAGAGAGGCATAGAAAATAATTGTCGTGATGGCAATTATGAGACTGGCACTGGTGTTGGTGACGACCAAGCACGAGGAAGAGTGCCCTTCAAAAATCCGAATAAACATTTCTCCCCGGCGTTCGGCGCCCCCGATGATGCGAGACGAAGTAGAGAATCTGGTGAGGCAAGACCAAGACAAGAACTCGCGTACGAAGACTACTCGCCGGTGCGAAAGTGCTGCACTCTCGGCGGAGGAGGTCGTGGGTATGGAGGGTTTGCTGCTCCTTCCGACACAACTGGTCGTCATGAAAGGAATGCAAGAGCCAGCCGCGTATGGGGCTCGGCGGGAAATCAGGTTGTAGAAGAGCAAAAAAATCAGAAAAGCGCTCAGGCGCAAAATCTACTTCTGCAGCACACAAATGAACAAACTACATGGAACAATAAACGCAAGCGCAATGCAGCACCGCGCGGCCCGGCGTGCTACCCCGAGGAAAAAGGAAAACAAGGAGCACGACCAGAATGCAACAACTACAGCGACTGCGACCACACGAGCCAAAGCCAGGAGGAAGGAGATGGAGAAGCATCACTTGCTAGTTCTGAAGATCTTCACAACTACCATGACAAGATGGATTGTTCCGCTTCCGCACTGAAGGTGAGGGTCGGGAGGGAAAACCAAAACCGTAAGGTCAACGACGACAACGACGGCTGCTCTTCATCGGATAGTTCTTGTTTCTCCACCACTTCATCAACAGGCAGTAGTGATGGTGGTTGTTTTTGTTCTTCTTCAGTTTCTTCCAACGGAGGCGCAACTCGTGGGGGATTTTCAACTACCAGTACCACTAGTAGTGCAAGAACATCAACAAGAGCTGCTTCAAATAATAAATCTTCGAAAATATTAAAGAGCGGCAAAATAAGTAGCAGCAGACCCACGAGCTCTTCCAACCTGTTAAAGTCATTTTCCACGGGTAAAAGAAGACTGCTGCACTTGAAAACGCCCGGACATCAACATCATCTGCACACGACTTCATCTGCGCACGCTTCTAGGAGTGAAACAAGCTCAACATCCTCTTGTACCACCAGCCCTAGAAAAAGAGCGAAGCAAAGCCGCGAAGAAGTCGGGGATGGGCGTCGTGCGGGGCGGCAAGATCATGATCCTGGGGACGATGCAGAAACCAAACCGGCGCTCAAGAATGTCTCGAACCATGAGCAAGAACGCAGCGAACACGACTTTGGATCATCAGCATTATCGCGCAGAAAAAAATCGTCACAGCGCTCGCCTGGTAGGAATAGAGGAAAAGAACACCGTCTGAACAATCATAGATCAGAATTTATTCCTGATTGTGAGCGGAGGCCGGCGCAGGACGAGACACACAGCAACTACCTAGCACCTCAAGAGCTGCTGCAAAGGGATCGAGATCATCGACATGATCCCGACCAACCTGCACAGAACCCGACGTTATTTCCGCCACAGCAAGTCCAGCCAGACCCTCGTGCTGGTACAGCTTTCAACACGGATTACATTGAGCTCAGAGTACACGACGTGAGAGCTCGGGCGTCCGGGAAGACCAAGCTGCACGACTCGGGGATGAATACCGACCCTTGTAGTAGTTCATCAGACCACAGTGCAAGTTCTACTGCGCCTGGGCTGCTGCAACCGTGGTGGGATCATCGGCCGCAAACTGGAAACAATAGGAACCTTTATTGCATCGTTCAAGTGGGATCCTACCCCGCGGTTGAAGCTTTCGCGACGGAGTGCGAGTATGTGCAGGTGTAGTTATGTACAATACTTTTCATGTTTATCTTTATATATTGGGCGGGTTGATGTCTTTTATTGTGTTTGTGTCACTACTTGTGTCAATAGCGCGCAGCAGAATTGAAAATAATTCTATTCCTGCATGTAGTTCGGACAAAAATCGCCGCAACGACATCAACCTCTCGCACGAGGACCTTCTCAAAAATTAGGTTGGGCAGCCTCTGTACCACCAACTCGACCGCAAGCTTGCCTGCAAAATCCGCGGCTCGGCGCCGAAGCGTGAGTACATCCGGAAATTTGCGAAAAAGAAGAAATCGCGGCATTTATCCTGAGGAAAAACGTCCTCGTCCCCACACCAGAGTCAGGACGGGGATCTCGCAACACAGATCGAGAAGTTTTAGGAGTCACGCATGACAAGTTCCTCTCTGTATTGTAGTGCAGTTTAGCAAGTGCAGCCGCATCACAAAGCCATCTACTCATCCGGTTTATAGCATTACAAAGTCCAAAACGCGATTGGGAATTCTTGTCATGGGGATGCGCATTACAAATCTTCCTTTCATTGAAAATCTGCATGACAACTATAGGGTGGGGACGTTTTTACTCAGGACAGCATTTGAAGTTGTCGGAGTTGTCGAAACCAAACGGGCACTACTTTGGCATCTATTGCCGCGTCTCCTGTTGGAAGAAATCGTATGCATTGCAATAGCATCGTACAACTCGTATTGCCATCATGCATTACAAATCGAAATCTTAAGCAGGTAAATCAGCATTACAAATTCTCTTTGTCATGCTGAGGAAATTAATGCACTTAGTATACCACGAGTTCGAGTGCGATACTTTTGCACAGGATAAATCGCGGCTGAAAACCATGTTCAATCTTCCCGTGTCCGATAAATACCTTGGCGAGCGAATTTTCCACATCCCCAGTGGCGCGCCGTTGGTCGGCCAGGAGTTTGCGCTGTACTGCGGGGACGCGGAGACGGTATTTTGTTGATGATATTGCGATATGTTTATGATTATGTACGTAGTACTAGAAGTGCTGACTCGTCTTCTCGATTCTTCGTGGTGTGTATTTTCATCAATTTCAATTTGAAGTAAGAGTAAGTACAGTAGCTAGTCACGGCGCGCCGCGCTGAAGACAGACTGCAACTATCACTTATGCTACACGCGTAGCTTGCTGTGCTGCTCTTGATCTTCGGAGGAAAAAAGCAAAGTGAAAGTGTGTCCAAATTACTTTTCCAATTTTTCCAGGTCCTTCCCGAGCTGGTACAGGGGAGCATTCAAGGAGTGCACCAGAAGCGCAGGTCTTGCCGCTTGCCTTTTGCCTTCGGGCTGCGCAGGGGAGTTCTCGGCCGCCACAGCTGCAAGAACAACGCAGTCAATTTTTATAACAGCGAGCTGCATGATGATAATTCCTCGTCTACTTGCTCTACTGGTTCTGCCCCCGGCGCCGCTTCAGTAAAACAACCTTTGAAGAATGACTGCTCGAGCGTTCTTCCCGCGGATCATGTTGAAGGTGCTGGAGGTTCTACAGGGGCTACAGCTGTGACATCTTCGAACTATACGCCTCCAGTCAACATCAACGCCACATCTTCGAATGGCACTTGGAAAACAAGCGGGAAGATGAATTTTCGGGCTCCTGGTCCGGTACTAGACCAGCAAATTCTCCGGCGGCAAGATAATGAGCTGACGATCCGGGTGTCTACGCACTACCACCGCTGCAAGAAAAAGCTGTATTGCAAAAACGCTAGTCGCTTTCTGTCTACAGTGCTGGAGGAAGACTTCTATTCGGCAAATGGAGGAGGTGCTACTGGTACTCCAACTACTAGTCACCCTTATTTTCACGACCACCTTCCCGCTGCTCACAACACTGGCACCACGTCAATTTCTGGCACCGCTGCTACAATAACACCTTCGACCTCGACGTTGAGCAGTGGAAGCTGCAATTATGCTCGCATATGAACACACATAAATAATTGCAAAGAGGGCTCTACCTGGTTCAACGACACCCACTTGATGTGTATAATAGATCATTTTGTATAGCTATAGCAATAGCTGAGTCTTCCAGCACCGCACTGCACTGGCGCTGGAGTTGTATTATTCAGCAGCAAACTTTTTGGCCCGGTCGTAGTGACACCGTTGTAACAAGTAGCCGCGAATTAGTTTTTTAAAAGCACAAATGCAACTGTAAGATATAAAAATCGTCATAGCGACCGAGAAAGAGAATTCAAATTCTACGCGGCCACCAGAAGCGAAGTGTACTTACGGCATGATAAAGTCACTTCGCTGCCACCAGATATGTTGTAGAATATGTTGTGCTATAGCGTTGCCAGAACCGTAAAGTCTAAGTCTTACTTCTACTCCGACCGCCGTGGCAGAATCTAAAATGAAATCCGACGGTGTTCTTTCCGAGACGTGGATGATCTCCACCTGTCGCGAATGAACGATTCCGAGACGTTGATGATCTCCTGTCGCGATTGAACGAACCAATTTTGAGTTTTCGATTGTCACAGGAGAAGACTCGCTGCATTTTTATTTTATGCGCTCCTGCAACATGATGCTCCAACTCCTACTTTCATCTCGAAGTAGATGGAGCCTCAGGCGGCCGCCCTGCTCTTTTGTGTTCGTTTTTGGCTAGTTTTTATCGTTTGAGCACGGAAATCGTGAAAATTATCTAGTAGAAAAAATGAACGACCTACCGATGTTGCTGCACAAGCACAAGCTTGTACAGCGAATGCACGGAGGACACCTCCCTGCAAATTCTGGATGTTGTCGCTGCCTTCTGATGAGCGAAAGGGAACAAAGAGCAAGCAAATGGCAATGCTGCATTCAGAGATCTACTTCAGCAGCCCATTTTTAGAGTTTACTAGAATTTAATATAGAAGAACTTCATGTGGTCGCTCTGTCTCGCTGTTTATTTTGATGGTCTTCGTCTACTTGAGCTTCACACAGTGCTTCACTTTATTTTAGAGACATTGGAACAAAACCTCCGAAGTTGATAGCCCCTTCTTGCCATGATCATGTTGTAGCAGTAGCTGCTTCGATTCGTAAACAAGAACTTCCTTCCCTGTATACAACTTCAAAAAACCTTGTCACTACATGAAGCGGTCGCGGTGGGGCAACAAGAAGAACAAAAATCAGGAAGGTTGCAGCACCGCTGGCGGCCATCATGATGCTCGACCAGGCGACGGGCAGCAGGGCCACCAAGCGGGTACTAATGAAGATCCAACCCAAGAAGGTAGCACGCGTCAGAAGCTCGACGTTTCCGGGGTCGTGAGCTACCCTTTGTTGCACCTCACGAACAACGATCAGGACATCCACAACACGGCAACATTAAATGGTACTAGAGCAGCTCCTGCTTACAACCCCACGACCCCGAATTACACCAATCAATGCGGGGATATTGCACTCCGTTCTTTCGTGAAGCTCAGCCTCACGACACACTTCAAAAAGGACTACTCGGCGGATCTGAAGCACTGCCTGATTGGAAACAGCATCTATCTGCCCGCGTTCTTCCCCGATAGTGAGAATCTCGTCATGGACACGATTGTTGCCGAGGTCATTGCCAATACGGTAGAAGAGCAGAGTGCTTCTGGCGAGGAGCAAGAAGATGTTGGCAACGCGAACACGACAGCGCCAGCACAAGCACCACGACCGGATGGAGAAACTGAAACCGCTGACGGTAGTAGAAGTGCAAACCATCTGAGCTCTCTTGAGGCAGGTCGTGCTGGGGGAAGGAAAATAAATGGGCACCAGAGGACGCAAAGAGCGCAGGGGCTGACCAACAGCGCTGCGGCTGAAGATTGGCAAAAACAGTCGTTTCTCCAGGACGCACCCGAGTTCAAGCAACAACTTCTAGGCGCGCGGGGAACGAATCATGGAAAAACCGTGAATCCGCAAGATGAACATCGGCAAATTGCTAAAAAGGCGTGGTCGAAACACCAAGTGATAGAAAACTGCCAGGACAAGTCGCCAACGTTCAACAAAATTATCGAAGTTTTGGAACGGTACTTTGATCTGGACATCCTGGCCACGCGGCTCAACTACTACGCGAACCAGGACCACTGGAAACCTTTCCACAAGGACAGCCACGCGTACGGCTACACCCCCCTACCGGACCCGAAAACGGGCAAGCCGCAACGGATTAAAGAGGATTTTACCGTCGGCGTTTCGTTTGGTGCGGAGCGGTATCAAAACTGCAACTATAAATCTGACAACTGGAAATCTGTGATGCTGATACTTGCATTGTAGTAGAGTGGCCGCTCGGATTAAGGCGTAACAGCATCAGAAGTTTTGTAAGGGTAGAAGAAGTTCAAATCTGACGGATTCCTTCGGAACTCGCATGACAAATTGCCTGTTCGCACGACAAATAGGAGCCTTCTAGCCAAAAATGCTCTTCATGCATCACTGATCTTTTCTTTGGTCCTTCGACTTTCGCATCACAGATCCAGACCCAGAGTTGTTTTGATTTGCAATGCATACACGAATGTTGGAGTTTCAGCACGACGAATGCCAGGAGTTCAAGTTTGGATTCCCGCAGCGCAACGGGGACCTGTTTGCCTTTACCGACGTAGTAAACAGCAAGTTCCAGCATGGCGTCCCCAAAGTGGCGAACGGCGAAAAGTGTGGGCCCCGGATTAGCATCATCGGCTGGGGGCGGCGGCGAAAGCTGACCGTCCGAAATGGGGGTGTGGCGGCCTGACAAGCGTTTTTCTTGTTTTGTGATGGAAAAGTAGAGCAACATGGTCGTGTGCGTAAGTATGCTGTGGGCAATCTCTGCATGATGTAGTTGCGCGCTCGTCCTTCTGTGCTAGTACTAGTAGTCCTGCCCATGGACGAGAATCATACTTACATGGTGGAAGTAAAACTGACAAAGCAGTAGAACATCTGTGTGCCACCTCGCCGCTAGCGATAGTATACTCCTGTTCATCGGAAAGAACACAAACAGCGAGGACTACCTCCCTCCCAGAGTAGACTGTGTGGCAGAACTGCCCAAGTGGTCCGAGACTCTGCGGCACCGCGGCCGCCTTTCGTGGCCGTGGTCTAGTGCAGGAGAGCGGACGGTCGTCGTGGTTTGCACTTGTTTTGACCAACAAGAGTTCTAGAATTTCTACAGTGTGTTCCGCATCTTCGCCTCTTTGAGTTTGGTGTAGGTTTTCACATTGGTATGGCAAGCACTAGTTGTAGTTGGGAGGACGAACACGAAGAAGCACGACCAAAGTCGTCGTTGGGGAGAGCTGTTTGCGTTTTATGTTGAGAAATGCAGAGAGACATTCAATGTGTACAAGGTTGAGACCATCGAACGAAATACTTTATCAGAAAGGTTTTCGTCGGGCAAAACAAGTTCCAGTATAGTACTTGAAAAACCTTATACAAGAACAGTCAAAGTCAAAGATTATTACAATGGCGTGCAAAACACACGACCCCGCAGGTGCGTTTGCGCCTGAAGTGAAGCAGGTCGTGACCACGACCGACAGCTGGCGTCGCGTCCCGCTCGGAGTAATCGACCACAATTCCGTCGTGTCGGCGCAAACTAAAACAGAGACAGCTCCGGACGAGGCAGTTCTTCATGTCGTGCAACCTGCTGCTCCTAAAACTTTAACGACGTCGCCAGAACTTTTGTTGCACCCGAAGAAAACCTCCAATACGTCGAATACCAGCGAAAGGAGGACCAGCAAAATGAGCAGGAAAGAAGATGTAGCTCCTGCGAGGACCTCCCGCCCTGCGATGAAAACAGGATCTTCCCAGGAACTCCGGCGAACGACCGTCGTTCCAAATTTTTCCGCTTCTGAGAATGAAGTGAAGCACCAAGGTCATCTACATCTTGTTCAAGATAACTCGGCCACCTCGTCGCTGAGGCAGCCCTTCTTGAAAAACAGCAGAAAGTCGGACGGTTTGAAAAACAAAGAAAATCTAAATCATGACATCCTCGTTGAACAAGACCAAGACGACCAGATCGAATGTGTGTTGAACAACAACAAAAACCGCTGGGCAGCATCGACAACGAAAACGTCCCCCCGTGTGCAGCAACTCCTGGCGCACGAACAGAAGCTATCCACAGTGAATTTACAACGACCTCCGTGTTGGCACTGTAGTATGGCGGAAGGATCATTATACAATGTTCCCTGACGAGGACAAGGGCGTTTCTTCAGCATGGCCACACGTATCAGGTGGGCAACATTTCTGTTAGATATGCAATTTATTTGTACGTGCAGCTGCAGGTTTGCCATGCGGGGGTAATGAATTTGTCTTGCATAGAAGCACCGCAGAGCTTATGACTGGTCCAGGTACAGTCCGGTGCGCGTGCGGGGGAGGTCACCGGATCAACTTCGCGCAAGAATGACCACAAACTCGGAAAAGAGCGCGGTGGGACAAGAATTTGCTGTCAGAACTTCTACACAGCAAAGACGACGAACAAGACCCGCCGGCGCGGCGGCAGGCGCAGGCGTCTGCAAGGAGACGGAAGAAGCCTTCGTGCCCTCTATCAAGAAGAAAGCGGTGACATCGTCCAGTCCGAAAAGCCCGGATCACGATGCGAGAGGAATTTTGGTAAAGACGGGGGCTGTTGCTACACCGTCCACATGTAGTAGGTCGACTTCCTTCTCGTCTTCCAGTAGCTCCTGTGCAAAGGAGAAGTTCAAGTTCTACTCGTCTTCGTACTTGTTCCCACCTGCTCCTCGTGCGGCTTTCTACTTTCCGAGCGACGAGGACGAGAAAATAGTGCGGAAGATGGGACGAGCAGAGGAACAAAGTGGCCAACCCGTCTCCTGGGCGGCAAGGTATACTTGCTTTCTCCTGTAGTGTATTCACAAAAATGCTGTTTCAAAATAAATTTCGTATCAAAATAAATACAGTGATCCAAATTTGTAATAGCTCTTTTGTGAACCGGACGTGCCCACCGCACTGCCCGCAGTTTTGTTTATGCTTCGCGCTGAGCAATCTCGGGGTCCATCACATTAGAGGCCGGGCGGGCCATTGTGGCCGCGGCTTGGGCTTGCTCCGTCATGCCTCAACCTGCCTTCAAGGCGGGCCAAGCATGTCGTCTCCACGCCTGGGGCATGCAGTCAGTGGTCGACGTACGTTGCTAGTCGCAACTGCGTCGTGGGACGCCGGAACTGCAAGTAGCAGTACGGCGCCCCTGGCGGCCTCGTCCGGTTCCCAAACCGGGCGTGGGAAAAACGCCAAAGTGGGGGTACCTTAGTATCCCTGGAGCGGGCGGCCCGTAAACGGGACCCGACCCGGGTAGATCCTCGTGCAGGCCCCGACCTGCCGAGAAGAATCCCCGGAAGTGCCCGACTGGCACAGGACGTGTGGAAGTCCAACGTAGGCGTCTGACAAACGCCGGCAAAGGCTGACGGGGTCCTCCCTCCCCTCACCTGCGCCACTCAGGGTGAGCACAGCTCCCCGAAACCCCATTCCAGTGAGCCCCCACCCGCTCACACCGAGGCGTCTCTCCCTGTTGGAAGGGGAGGGGGCCTCACTGTCACTAGAGTCACGCGCTTGGGTTAATCTCAAGATTGCTTCGCGCAACCAGGCGCGTGCCTCAAAATTCCACGTGTAAAAGCGCCCCGGGCGCCGTGCGCCGCACGAAAAAAACGGCAAGGCAACGTGGGGCACCTCGCCCCACGGTGTGTGCCGCTCGTAAGAGCGGCTGTGTCTCTCCTCCGCGTAGGAGAGAAGCGTGGCGCCGACAGGCACCACGCAAGACGCGCGCGTGCACCTCGAGGCCACGATCACGCGTGCGTCTCGAAACGCGCGCGTGCGCCTCGAGGCCACGAGGCGCACGAGCACACGCAGTGCGAGGTCACGCGCGCGCGTGCACCTCGAAACCCTGGCCGCGAGGCGGCAGGGGAACGGACTACGAGATGCAGCCGCACCGTAGTAGCCGCGTGTTCGTTTATGGTTGAAAATCGATCGACAGGACGTTGTGCATCAAGATTCGCTGCCTAAATGTCGGTCGTCGCAAGAAAGCTGTCGGTCGAGAGGTGATTGAGAATGGATTTTCGTACTTCAGAGACCGTTGCGACACGTACGCGAGCCGTAGAGCCGCAAGGACCTCGACGTCAAAGGATATGCGAAAATCGTACAACAGAAGGACGTTCAAAAAATCGTGGGCAGTACAACCCACGCCGATCCCTAGCAGTAAAGTCGTCCAGTAGATACTGATCGATCGTCGAACGACCATAGACACAAACCGCAGGCAGATAAAATCACATACAGGGCAGGAGCTTAAAGCACATTGCAAACCCACATAGTGCTAGCACTAGGCACTCTAGAGCGCGCTAGTTTGCACAAAATTACAGCAATTAAGCACACTACCCAGTAAGAAGCTTTTGCTTGCCCCTAGCGAACAAAGCAAGTGCAACCCCAGAGCACAAAAAACCCCCAATGGCGCAAGCGTACATCTTCGGAGGCGGGTCCCCCGACCCGCTGAGACTTCGACTGGAGGTACATCCGGACCTCTTCGAGAACACGCTAAAAGCGCGGGTGGCGGCAGCATCCGCGGGATGCGACCCAGAGCACCTGGACGTCCGCTGGAAGCAGGCCCTGGCCACGAGTAGAGGGCTAGACTGCATCATCTCCGACCTGGAGAATGGCGAGTTCCTGAACTTCGATTTGTGGGAAAACGCACCGCACGCGCAGCTGCCGCTGCCGGAGCACACAGTCGCGCACTACGTGCGATCCATCGTGGCCCTCACGTTGGTATACGAAAAATACAACTCCGTCGAGTTCGACCGTTTACCCTCGGAAAAACTCAGGAAGATGGCGGTGATGCACGGCCTGCAATCTGGCGGGAACAAAGCCGCGAGGCTGAACACCCTCCAGCTCGCCGCAGAGCAAGACCACCTGTATCAGTTCCCGCTGCCACTCTGCCCAGTCGTTACGGATGGCCTGACCATCCACGACATCACCCAAACGTCGATCCAGGTGGACGGCAACCCGGTCCCCGGACAAGCGGCGGGACCCGCCCTGCACCCCATTGTCTACCCGAACGGAGACAACGCCGCGGCGTATCAGGCGGCCCAACAGGCGGCAGCAGCTGCAGCAGCGGCGCAACAGCAGGCAGCAGCCGCACAGCAGGCGGCGCAACAGCCCGCGGCGGCACAGGGCCCAGGACAGCAAGCGGCAGGTTCAAACACTCTGCTACTACAAGTGCTCGCTCACTCTCCCGCTCGGAGCAAGCTGCTCTTACTTACAGTACAACGCTGCAACGTTTTGGAAAAAGTTGCAGGGGCCGCGGCCTGCGAGCTGCTTCTAACTACGCACGCAAGTGCCTGTAATATGTCAACCCACAAAACTCACAGGTGGAGCAGCACAGGGTGCGGCAGGCGGGGCACCACCGCCCCCAGCGGTACAAGCGCAAGCCGCGGGAGCAGCTGCAGCTGCAGCACCACCGGGCGGAGCAGCACAGGCACAAGCCGGAGGCGCAGGTACCAACTAGCGCCTCTTCGTGTAGCTATCCATACTGTCGCTTTTACAGCCATGACGCAGCCCCTAGCTAACGCATGACGAACAGCAACACAAATAACACACAGGTGCGCAAGCGCAGCAAGGGGGAGCAGCTCAGGCAGGAGCAGCAGGAGCACCCGCTGGCGCAGTCCAGGCAGCCGCGGCGGCCGGAGCAGGTATCTTGCTGTCGTCGCCACGAAGGGCCTTCTACATGCTCGAAATCACCTAAAGTCCTGCGCTATCAAAATAAACGCGTCTCGTGCTGTCAAAATAAAAAGGCGCTGAGCAAGAGCGTAACTTGTAGCGTTTTCCCTTCCCCAATCGGGGCAAAAGTCCCCCGCTGCGTGTCTCGCAATGAAATTAACTCAACACCACAGGAGCGGGACAACAGCAAGGGCCACAGGCACAACAGGCGCAAAACCCGGCGCAGCAGGCACAAGCTGGGGGAGCAGCAGGCACAGCTTCTACAAGTCTGTCTTTGCCCTTCTGCATTTTCCAGAACTCTAGACCCGACTAGAGTACAGCTCTAGAGGACTTTAGACCCCCGCAAGCACGTAATTTTGTGCGAATTTAGTCGGGGCTCCAGATCTGCAAAACCAAAGTAAATCCCAAACACCCAAACCACAGGAGCGAACGCCGCGGGACAACAAGGACAGCAGGCCCAGCCACCGCAGGCAGGAGCGCAAGCAGGTAACCTACCCATCCCGCCAGCAGCGGCCGCGGCTGCGGGGGCACAGTTACCAGTGGCAGGGCCACAGCAGCAGCAGCAACCGGTGGGAGCGCAAGCCCAGCAACAACAACCCCCGCAAGTACAGGCCCAGCAACAGCAGGCCCCGCCGCAGCAGGCGCAGCTGGGAGCACAGCCAGCTGGACAACAACAGGCCGCGCAACAGCAACAAGCCCCCGGACAGCAACAAGCTGGAGTACAGCAGGGTGGACAACAACAGCCACCCCCGGCCGGACAGCAAAACCAAGGTGGACAAGCCCAGCAGCCACTGCTACCGCCCGTGGGGCAGCAGGCCCAGGCGCAGGGACAGCAGAACCAAGGTGGACAAGTCCAACAGCAGCTGCAGCCCCCCGCGGTGCAGCAGAACCAGGGCGGACAAGTCCAACAGCAACCGCAGCTCCCCGCGGTGCAGCAGGCACAGGCGCAGGGACAGCAGCACCAAGGTGGACAGGCTCAACAGCAGCTGCAACCCCCCGCGATGCAGCAGGTCCAGGCCCAGGGACAGCAGAACCAAGCTGCCGGGGCGCAGCAACAATACGTCGTGATAAACGGCATGGCATACCCGGTCGCGCAACAACCGCAGCAACCGCAGCAACCACAGCGGCAACAGCAGCAAGGGGTTCAGCAATACGCAGTAGCGCACGCACCACCGCAACAAGGGCTACCCATGCCGAGGGTCGGAGGAACGCAGCCTCCGCTTCCACCGCCGCAGCAGCAACGGCAGGCGCAAGCACAGGCAAACGTCTACGGTGCGTTCAACGCAGGAGGGACGCAGAACACTAGTGCCGGTGGAGTCCACAACTTCGAACGGTACGCGGCAACGGCCCCGCCACCGACCAACA